CTCTTACAAGTTACTAAAAATGCTAAAAAACAGGGGTCTCTACGACATTTGGGGTGAGCAAAACCCGGGAGACATCAGCCATACATTCCAATCGGGACGCCATGATACAGTGTCCAGACTGGACAGCATTCTACTCACACAGGGTCTGATCCCCTCAGTAGAATCAACAAACATAGGTAACATTAAAATCACAGACCACGCCCCAGTAGAAGTCATTGTTAAAATAGGAGAAGGAACACAAACCACCCCATCATGGTCCTTCAGTCCTATCCTAACTACAAACAAACAAATTAGAGAGAGTCTCACAAAAACCCTCCAAAACTACTTCAAAGAAAATGATGTAAACAACATAACAACCCCCCTCCTATGGGACGCAATGAAAGCGGTCACCAGAGGAGCTTGCATAAAAGAGAAAACATTCCTTAAAAAACAAACCTCCTCAAAAATTAGCAAAATAGAACAAGACATCACAGCCCTCTCATCACGCTACAAACAAACAGGATCTAAAAAACTCCTCAAACTTATAGAACAAAAAAGGAGAGAACTAGACTCCCTAGAAATTAACAAAACAATGATCAACATTCTATACTCTAAACAACGTTTCTATGAATATGGAGGGAAAAACTCCAGATCACTAGCAAATAGATGTAGGAAAAAAGCACTCAAAACAAGAATACACTGCATCACCAAAAAAGACGGCAACATAACATTCTCCCCCAAAGAAATAACCTCAGAATTTGCAGAATTCTACTCCAACCTATACACCTCCCATAACCCACCAGAGAAGGAAATCAGAACATTTCTAGCAGGACTGACCATGCCTACCCTAACTGATGAGGAACAGGAATTCATGGACAGCCCTATCACCCCAGAGGAAATAGATGCGGTCCTCAAAAACCTGAAACCACACAAAGCCCCAGGCCCAGACGGCTTCACAGCAGAATTCTATAAGAAATTCAAAGAACCCTTGATGCCCTACATGACCCGCCTATTCAACGACATCATAAAAGGGGCCCCATCCCCAAAACCTGGACCCACTCCAAAATAGTCTCCATCCCAAAACCACTAAAAGACAGCCTCAAAGTAGAATCATACCGCCCAATCTCATTAATAAACCAAGACTACAAGATATTCACATCAATCTTGGCCAACCGCCTAAAAATCTTCCTACACAAGTTAATAGCCCCAGACCAGACTGGCTTTGTCCCTGGCCGCAATATAACAGACCCCATCAGGAAACTACTGAACCTGATCGAACACAGCAAGGCAACCAAACTCCCATTGACAATTATGTCCCTAGACATCCTCAAAGCCTTTGATTGCTTGGAGTGGAAATACATACTAGCAGTACTAACTAACATGAAATTCGGCCCCAACTTCCTACAAATCCTCAAACAAATATACTCCCAAGCCTCAGCAAAATGCAGAACTAACAATATGGATTCTAACACTATAGCTATCCAAAGAGGCACGAAACAAGGATGCCCACTGTCTCCCTTCTTATTTATCCTGGCTCTGGAACCCCTAGCAATCCGCATCCGAGCAGCCACAGACATCAAGGGAGTGGAAATAAAAGGCAGAACCTATAAATTAGGGCTCTTTGCAGATGACCTAATGGTCACAACACCAGACCCCATAAGCACAGCAACCTCCCTAATCAGAGAACTCAACACATTTGCAATGGTGTCGGGCCTACAGGTAAATTTTACAAAGTCAGAAGCTATGTGCTTCAACACCCCTCCCCACACCCAAAAAGAACTCACGAAGGTCACCAAAATAAAACTTTGCCACACCAAGTTCAGATACCTAGGGGTACAAATAACCAGAAACCTCAATAAATTGTACCTCCACAACTACAAGCCCCTGTGGCGACAAATTAACAAAGACCTAAAGAGATGGAATAACATGAACTTCACTCTCTCAGACAAAATAGCCATGATCAAAATGATCACACTCCCAAAACTAACCTACCTATTCCAAACCCTCCCAATCTGGATCCCCCAACCCAACTTCGCAGTTGGCAGAGAAAACTACACTCTTTCATCTTCTCACATAAAAAACCAAGAATAAGCCCCAAATACCTGCACCTCCCCACCTCAGAAGGAGGATGGGGAATCCCCAACATAGAAGCATATTACAATGCCAACCAAATACGCCATATAATCCCATATATACTAGAAGATGAGACAAAACAATGGGTACACCTAGAGAGGGACACAATTGAAAACACCTGCACCACAACATACCCACTCCTCCCAAACAAACTAAAGAAAATTCCCACAACACTTAACAGGTACACACAGACCATGCTCAAAGCATGGAAAACACAAATAGGCAAACTATCCCCAACCCCATCCCCACTAATCCCCCTGGCGTACCACCCATTATTCCACCATGCAGCACAAAACCTCAAGATAAAAACCTGGCAAACCAAAGGCTTATATCGCCTAATAGACTTTTATAAAAATAACAAACCCTTGTCAACACAAGAAATACAAGACAAACTAGAAGACACCCAAATGCCCTGGTTAACACAACACCAACTACATGCCCTCTTAAACAACCCAACAGTAAAATCAGCAGCAACTAGGCCCCTGACAACCTTCGAAAACCTCCTCCTAACAACAAAGGGAAACGGTAAAGGGACGGTATCCGCAATATACAAAATACTACTCCATAATCCCGCAAATCCCTAGACGCAATCAAAAAACAATGGGAGAATGACATAGGCTATGAGATTAACCCCACTCAATGGACAAGAATGTGGTCTAAACCCCCTTTAAATCCATATCAACGAAAAGAAAAGAACTCACACTGAAACTCACCTACAGGTGGTACCTAACACCAAGGAAACTAGCGCTAATACACCCAGGAACCTCACCAAAATGCTGGAGAGGGTGCACCTCCACAGGCACATACCTCCACATGTGGTGGGAGTGTCCCAAAATCCAACTATTCTGGACAACAGCCATACAAGAAATATGTAAAATAACTAAGCAAGTAATAGACATCACCCCAGAATTGGCCCTACTAAACATCTTCCAAGACAACAATGCCCATTTACACCACAAAGAACTCATAACCCACCTGCTCTCAGCAGCCAGAAACACCATAACCAGACACTGGAGAGACCTGTCAGGAGTAAGCATGGACCAATGGTACCAAATAGTATGGGAAACAGCACTACTAGAAAAATTAACTAATAAACTGAAACTGACACGGGGACAAACAGAAGAAGACGCCTTCACCCCGGTATGGCTCCCCTTTATCACATACACAGCCCAACAGGACAATGACAATAATCCACCAACAGCATACAAATCAATATGGCTAACCTGATCCAAAACACCCACCCACCTCACTCACACATGAAAACAAAGATCACCACAGCCAATCACAAGCAAACAATCACACCCTAGGCCAACCCCAACCTCTCTCACCACCAAAGGAACACAAGTGAACAACACAAGCAACGCTGACACCAAACTCTACATACATTAAACATAATAGAAACACCGCCACCCGACCCCACCCCTATCCATCTTCCCTCTCTCCACCCCCCTTTCTTTTTTCTTTTCTTTTTTCTTCTCCCCCTAATGCCTCAACAAATGAAATGGATTTGTAAAAATGTTACATGGAAAGAAAAAAATACGAGGCACTACACTTCTGTAAAACAAGAAAATCCTTAATAAAATATTTTAAAAAAAATAAAAATCCATTTGTCTTCAATTTTAATTTTATTGATAATTCTATCTTCCTTTTTCTTCTTTAATTGCCAGGCCAGAAGTTTGCCAGGTTTATTTGCAAACTCAAAATTTCTATGTCTCAACCATTTTATCTTCCATTCTATCTCTTTATTATTTATTATCATGGAGAATTACGTCTGTAAAATTTTTATACTTTGCTTAATTAGTTCATCATCTGGTTTTTGGAAAAGGATCCTTTCCTTTTTTCTAATTTCCTCCCATATCTCCATTTTCTTCTTCTCCTTTGTTTTCCTTTGGAATGTGTTTTGTTGTATAAAGAAACCTCTTATGACGGCTTTACCCGCGTCCCAAACCGTCTCTAGATCTACTCCTTGATTTAAATTAAACTTAAAATATTCTTCTAAGATTTGCTTGGCCTTCTGTACAATTTTTTCATCGTTTAGCATACTCTCATTAAGTTGCCACCTTTTAACCTTTTCTTCTTTCCCTTTAAAGTTAACCCAGACCGCACTGTGATCTGAAATTGTCCTTGGATGGATTCCTGGTTTTGTAATATTATTTAATAAATCCTTTGTTGTCCAGATCGCGTCGATTCGTCCTGCCGATTTATGTGGCTCTGAATAATGTGTAAATTCTTTATCTGTTGGATTCTTAAACCTCCAAGCGTCAAACAAATTCAGGAGTTATATTAATTGGAAAAATGTAGTTGGGAGTTTGTTCTGCCTCTTTTCTTTCTTCTTTATTGTTCTGTCCATGTTTGGATTGACTACTCCATTAAAATCTCCTAATAATATAATTTCCCCCCCTAAGTATTCTATGACTTTTTCTTCCAGGAATTGATAGAATTCGGATTTTCTTTCATTTGGTGCATAAATTCCAATAACTATCACTTTTTCATTATTGATCTTAACCTCTATAATCACTGTTCGGCCTTTTTCATCATTGTAAAGCAGTTTTGGCTCCAGCTGAGGTTTTACATAGATTACCACCCCTCTCTTTTTTCTTTACTTGATGCAATAAACTCAAGCCCCAATCTCTTATTTATTAATACTCTTTTATGTTTTTCCGCTACATGAGTTTCTTGCAGACATATTAGATCATATTTTTGCTTAACCAGAATATGTTCCACCTTGTTCCTTTTTTATTTTTCATTTAAACCATTTACGTTCCAAGTAATAAATTTATAATCCATACTTTATTTCTTATGATACGTCAACGGGTTAAAAAAAAATAATAATTACACATTCAAGGTCTCAGTATACATTTAATAAATTCCCTTCTTAGATCTGTCTCCTAACTCTCAACTGTTTGTTCAATTTCCTCTGATTCTCCCAACAATTGCCTTTTTCCTCCAAGGTCTTTCCGGTACTTTCTCCAGAACTTGTCCGCATCTAATGCCGACAAGCACTTTCTACATTTCGCTTTAAAGAAAAAGGAGATGCCTTCAGGGTACTCCCACCTATAGTCCACTGCCTTTGCTTTTAGTGCCTCGGCCAGAGGTCTATAAGCTTCTCTCTTTTTTATCAACCGATTTGGGATAATCTTGTGGACAATAATATCATTTCCTTCCGATTGGAATTTCTTCTTGTTACTAGCGTGTAAAATTCTATTTCTGAAATCCATAGAGTTAAAAGAGACTAAACAATCAGCCGGCCAGTTGTTTGCTTTTGCTATATTAGATTTGACTCTGAATGCTTTTTCTAATTTTAGTGCTACTTCTGCTTCTTCTAAGTCTAACCAAGCTGCTAGCTCTTTTGAGATTTTTTTCTCAATTATTTCCTCTGCATCCTCTGTTAGTCCTCTGAATCTTAGGGTATTCTCCCTTCTCTGCATTTGCAACATCGCAATAGAGTCCAAAGTTGAATCCTGCTGTGCTTTCAGATCTGCTGTTTCTTTCCTTATCTTATCACATTCCCTTTTCAATTCTCTATTTTCATTTTGTAATTTTTTCTGAGCTTCCTCTAGGTTCTGTGTTTTACCTTTAAGGTCTAGCACTATTTTCGTCAGTTCTGAATTTTTTTGTACTAAATTATTGACCTGAGTTGATAACTCAGCTGCTATTTTCACATTTTCATCTATTTTGACTCCCATTGAAATAAGTTTTTCTTCTGTTGCTTTTGCCTTTTCATTTACATTATTTTTTAAATCTTGGATATCTTTCTTCAAACTTAAAATTAATTCTCTCATATCTAGTGATTGATCCATGTCAGTTACAGAAGTTCTCCTGATTTGTGAGGCTGAAACTGCCGCAGAACCTGACACAGTTGTTTTTTTACCATACATCACCAAGAAATTCAATTAGCTCACTAGGTAATTTGTTCTCTTTCCTTCTGTCTTACAGATTGGATATCAATTAAATTCCATCTTTCTTAATACAATCGTGTCAATATTTCCAATGTGATAATTAATGAATGTCAATTAAGTTCAATCTTTCTTAATACAATCAAGACAATTTTACCAGTCTGATAGTCATCTTCGGGCTATGTATCCACTAATTCTTTATATTCCCAGTTTCACTAAATATATTTTAAATTGATTATGAACAATTATCTAATTAGTTACAGCCAAGCATCAATACAGCAATATCACAAATTCATCAGATCAAATAAATATAATAAATGATTGCAATCCTTGCGTTCACTTACTCATTCAGGGTAATAGATCATATATATAAATCTTTAAACAGGTTAGCGGTTCAGTTAATCAGCACCTTGCAACAAAGCTAATGACATCTGATGCTAATATCAGCTGCATTGGCTACCAATAGATAGTGAAAGGCAAAGCAAACAAAAACAGAAAAAAGCAAGAAAAAACAGAAACAAAAAAACCAAGACGAAACCACACAAATTGAAAACCACACAAAAACAACCAGAAAAACAACAAAAATGAAACAAACAGAGAAACAAAACAAAACAAAAACACAAAAAAATTACAAAAGAAAGAAACAAAGAAAAGATGGGAGGGTAAGAGAAAAATAAAGCAGAAGAAGTAATAATAATAATGCAATTTATAATTTGTAAAGAAATAAAGAGGGGAAATAAAATACGAAAAGTATATTTAAATAATAAGAAAAGAGCTGGGGAGTATTTTCAATTAATAATGTACAATGCAATAATGTTATGTGCTAGTAAGTTCTCTCTAAATGTTGCTTTTCCAGAGGTAACAGGAATGCTGTTCCAGTAATGGGATATAGGGTCTATAAAAATTTATGAAACCTTGTCTCTTTCAGCAGATTATGATGCAGCGTTTTGGGATCTTCACTAGTTGCAGATCTTGCAAAAATCCCTGTAATTGCTCTTATAAGTCTTATTAGAGGAACGTCTTTTTCAAAAGAGTGCAAAGTTTTCTTTCACCAGCTGATGTCGCTGTTTGAGTCACTCCCTCTCTGCAATTTTCGACCCCCTTCTCAATCTATGTCAGTCTATGTCAGTCTTATACAATTCATTTCTGTTCCTCAAACCAGGAAAATGTCGGTCTAAGAAAATGTCGGAGCGCGTGAGTCAGCAGAAGTACTCTTAGCTGTTGCTAAATTGATTTATACAACTGAGGCAGAATTGGAAGTAAGTATTTGTTATCTTAACATGTAATTTTAGCAAAGTTGGATGCCTTTTTAAAAAAAGAATATTTAATCATGTTTTCTTTTTTTTCAATTTTTTCAATTGATTTTCCAAATTTATAGCAAACAAAAAACATAAAAAAACAAACATTTATCCAGAATATAATTCCATTTTTGTTAACATTGTTAAATGACTTCCTCAGATCCCCCAGCTGAGTTTCCATATAGTCCATTGTAGCAGTTTTCCAAAACTATTTTCACATAAAATTTACTTAGACAAGTGATAAAATGTGAAGTTATTTTAAGTGTGATTAAAAAAGAAAAGATGGTTAGAAATTATGATATATGTAAACTGCTAAAGATTAAGTAAAATGAAAATCAGATAGGGGGGACTTGGGGAGGCCCACTTAACAATGTTTAGAAAAATAAGGATATGACAAGAATTTGTTTGTATTGTTTGTTTTTCTGTTTGTGTTTTTTATTTTTTATTTGTGTTATAAAATGAATAAATTTTTTTTGAAAAAAAGAAGAAAATATTCAAAGAAGAAATAACAAAGGATTATAAACGTAATCCTAGATAAACCACCAACTCTGTGCAGGGAAGAGCTAGACAGCCGGCTGTGTTCATTGCCTTTAGAAACCTTTGCAACTAGGAGTTTAAACATTTCCCACATTGACAATACTCCCGTTTTGAAAAACAAAACAAGAAAACTGCATGTAGATTGTTACTTCTATTACTTTCCTTGTACTACCTGCTTTAATAGATCAAGGCACACTATTACTGAAATGTATTCAGAATTCACGTGTTGCAATGAATCATTTTATTATTATTATGAATGAGTAAGGCCATCCAAACTGCAGAGTCTGGCATGCGTTGGGATAGAAGTGTATTTTAGGAATTAGCTTCCACACACAAATACTTCAGGTCTGCTCTGCTCTGAAAATCGTTTATTTAAAGTTGCGACCCATCCTGGTGGTAGCAATAGGTTAAAAGATATTTAGCAAAAGTAAGAACCACATTCATTTTCCTTTTTTACTTTCAGGAAAGAACATTCATATTCCCACCCATTGTGACATCGGCGGAAGTCTTAGAGGTGGAAGGAAGGAAGATTGACTTGCTTTGGGAAGGGGTGCTGATGGTGAGTCACATACAGTCATACCTTGACAAATTATCAAGGAACAATTACTGCCCTACTAGGGCGGATCATAAAAAACTTTTAAAAAAAATGCCTGCTCCAAAGATCTTATCTTACTACACTAGGGATTATATAGCTATATATGAAATTTTATGCATATCCGTTAATATCTTGACCCTCCTCCATGAAAATAGCTGTTTACCTGGCCATTTTCCTAAGTCCTGAAGGCTGAAATTTCAATTCAGTGCAGCAGGGTCAAGATATTAACTGATATGCATGAAATTTCTTATATAGCTATATAATCCCTAGCTTAGTATGATAAGACCTTTGGAGCAGGCATTTTTTTTACTAAAAAAAGTTTTTTATGAACCGCCCTACTGCCCCCCCCTTCCTCTGGGCTTCCCGGGTCCTGGACAGTCGGCCTATGTGAAGAAAATGAGACTAGGCCGAGTAGATTAGGACTTGCCTTGCCTTCGCCCCACCCCCTGCCCGCAGCTGATTGGCCACCTGGGTTGGGGGCGGGGCAAAGGCAAGGCAAGGCCGAATCGACTCGGCCTCGTCTCGTTTTCTTCACCTAGGGCGACTCTCCGGGCTGCTGAGGAGGCCTGCCAAGGCCACTGCCTGGCCTGCGCACCCCCTTCGGGCCCCGACCCCCCTCCAAAAAGCTTCTGCTGCCCCCCAAAGTGGAGCGCACGGGACAATGGCAGCACTGCCGCCCCGTGTGGCGCCGGGAAGAGCAGCTCAACGCCGCCTTGGGTGCTTGGCAGGCCAGTCTCCCCTTTGCCCCCAGCCTCCCCTGCATGAAGGTGGGACCCCCAAAAGCAGTTGTGTAATTAAAAGAAGATGAGAAAAAGCAGCAAAGCTATTCTGTGGCTAATTGACCAATTCCTTTAAATAGGGTCTATTCGTGAAGTTCACACTTTTGACAACCCGTCTCAGACTGGCAGGCTGATGCTTTGGCAGAAAAATATTCCTAGACACAAGACTTTTTTATTTTTTAAGCCCTTTCAGTCTCCCATCTCAAGGCTAAGTACAGCAAACTGTACATTCCCACCCCTCTCCCCAAGGCTAAGGTTAAGTCGGTGATGATACATAGGGCTAAGGATTTTGGCTATAATATACAGCTAGAAGACTGGGAAAAATGATGGAAAGAAGGAATAATATATCAAGAGTTTGATATTTAACCTTGATCTTTTGCAGATATGTAGTGGGGAAGAGTCTCGCCAGTGAGGCAGAATTGGAAGTAAGTATTTGCTATCTTAACATGTAATTTTAGCAAAGTTGGATGCCTTTAAAAAATAATAATCATCATTTTTACAATCCTGAGTAATTTGTGGTTGGATTACACAAGAACCTTATGACAACTATCTAGCTAAAATTCTTAGAGCATAAACTTCATTTTCTTTTTTACTTTCAGGAAAGAACATTCAGATTCCCACTGATAGTAACATCAGAAGAGTTCCTAGAAGTTGAAGGCAAAATGATTGATTTGCTGTGGGAGAAGGCGCTGATGGGGAGTCACATACAGTCATACCTCGGGATGAATACGCTTCAGGTTAAGGATTTTCGGGTTGCGTTCTCCCCCCACCATTTTGTTTCCAACAGCTCCCCCACCAACTAAAAAAGAGGACCCCTCCCCATCCGTGTGGGAAAGATTGTCAAAACCTAAAAGGAGTTAAGAACAACCAATAGGTTAAATCTCTAGAGTTTAATTTTGTCCCTGCTGGGAGGGGAGGAGAGCGCTGCTGCTCTGTCGCAGTGGCTGCTTGGGCGAAGACGTGAGATGAGGGGCCTTGAAGTTGCCCATCAGCGGTTGGGCACCTGCCTAGCAAACGGAGCATGCAGAGGGGCCACCAGCCACAGACTTTGCACGACAGCAGATGCACTTATGTTTCAGGGACTCCCCTCCCAGCTTAGGCATGGGCAAGATACCTTAATATGCACTGCTACCAGCTGAATAGTGTTACATTTTCTCTTTTTCTTGACTTTAAGAAATTAGCCTTCCCCTAAATAAATTTGGTAGATGGAAACAGATCCATCCTACAGCCATTTCTTAGCTTAGGTTTAAAACATATGGGGATATGAATAATGAGTTAAAATAATACTGTTTTGGGGGGCCAAAAGGCAGGGGACTTAGTGGGCAGGGTGGGCTCCTCCAACAGACAGACAGGTTTATGCTTTAATCTGATCAATTAACATTAGGAATGCTATGCTAATAATTAAAGTACGGTGGATTCATTCTAAGTCATGTCCATGCTTGCCTTTCAGATTTCTACCGAAGGAAGAAAAAGGGGAAAAAACAACAACAAAGAAGAACAAAGAACTAACCACCATTGAACTCCTTCCCTCCTCCTACCAAGAAAATAGAAAGATTGAACCCCTCCCCTCCTCCTTCCACTCCGGATATGTCCTTTCCTTCCTGCCCCCCCTTCTCCTATAATTTGCCTCCCCCCACCGCCAAGCCCTACAGTCCTCTGTTTGAAGGCTATGGTTTACCAGCCTGGTGGCTTGCCGTGTGCCAAGCTTGCTGCTGCTCTGTGGCGCTGGGAGGGGAGGAGGGCGCTGCTGCTCTGCCGCAGCGGCTGCTTGGGCGAAGACGTGAGATGAGGGGCCTTGAAGTTGCCCATCAGCGCTTAGCACCTGCATAGGACATGGAGCCTCCACCTGCTGCTAAACCGGTTCAAGAGCTAGGCCTGATTATAGGCTGAAGCCAGACTAGTTCCTGTCCAGATGTGCCCCACATTCCCATTGCCTGGGCCAAGTGTGGCACGCAGCACAAGAGAGGACAAGGTAAAATGAAGCAGACAGGTAACGGTGCTCTTTCCTTTTCTTACTTTTCAGCCTGAGGAGAACTACTTCCCGCACTGGAAGTCCCCAGGCTTGGGAACCCAGCATGCTGTTAATCAGGACAACTGAGCAAGGAAGAGGGAGGAGGAGTGGAAGGGGACAAACCTCCTTCTTGACACTCCCATGCCAGCTGCTCCCTGACACTTGCCAAGGAAAGGAAAGGGACTGGGGTGAAGGCTTGGTGGAATGGTGGGTTGATCTGAAAGCAGGAAAGGATTTGGCACAATGCAAGGCCGCTAGGAATCAGCTCAACCCCCCAAGCAACTAGACCATGAGAACCTAGCACTGCATTTGCCACCATGCTTGAAGCCAGGCAGGTCTTCTCCAGTATTAGAGTCAGAGATGAGATAATTGGGCAGGGGGATGTTCACTTTCCTTTTTTTATTTCAGGAAAGAATACCCAGAAGGGCATATGTGCCAATCGTTACGTCAGAGGAAATATTAGAGATACAAGGGGGAAAAATAGGCATCATGTTTGAAATTGCCAAAATGGTGAGTCACATACGGTCTATAAGATGAGGTTTTTTTCTTAGAAATTAATGTAAAAAATAGGGGGACGTGGGATTGGTTGCTGCCATGAGCAGGAGATTTATAGTCAAATGCATATGCTCAATAAGTTATGGCAATACCCAGTTAGTTATGGTGATGCTAAAAATATATTTCTGTGTACTGCGTTCTGAGACAAACAGGCAGAATGAATTCTCTTAAATGAGGCTTTCCCCCTTTCTTCCTAAAGTCTTAGGATTAAATGCAAATGACATGTGTTTACATTTCTGGTGTTTTAATAATTCTGAAGCTGTGATCTATTAAAGCTGAAATGTTTAGGTAAAAAAATAAGTCAGATGGATTGATTCTATGATTCCAGTTCCATGGAAATCACCTGAGGCCATATTCCTTCTATTTTAATTATTATATTATATTTTTCATATGCGCCCATCCAACTGGGTTGCCCCAGCGACACTGGGCAGCTCCCATCAAAATATTAATAACACAATGAACCGTCAAATTACCCTTTTGCTCTTTTTCTATAGGAAATGAGTAAGGAGACAAAAGAACAGCCTCCAAAAGAAACACCAGGTAAGGTACCTTCTTGTATCAGGAAGAACTACATTGTGATCTACAGTGGAACCTCGGAAGCTGAATGTTTCGGCTCCCAAACTCTGAAAAACCAGAAATGAATGCTTCTGTTTTCAAACGTGTCTCGAGGCATCTTTCTCTTTCTGAATGGAGCTTGCTGACCACCCCATTGAATCCCAGTTTTCGAACACTTCGGAAGCTGAACAGGCTTCTGGAAAGCATTAAGTTTGACAATCGAGGTTCCACTGTACATGGTTGTGGCGTTTGTACGGAGCCCCCAGTCATCTCACGGACTATTGACCCGTACACCACTAATCCGCTGCCACCAACCAGGTCCTCCCCGGTAAATCACTTAGTCTCAGTCAGGTTGACAAATTAACAAAGAAAAGTGTAGTTTATTTCAGACACAAACTTTAACTGCATTCCAAACGTTGTTACTCTTTAGCTTCTTAGTCTTGTTTTATCCTGTCTCTGTCTCTTCTACCTCTCCTCACACAAGAACCCACTGCACTAACTGTCTCTCTGTTTCCAACTGCCTGCCAACTGCTCCTCCAACTGCCTTTCCCAACCAACCAACCCACTAAAACCAACCAACTACCCACCAACAACTAACTCAAACCTCAGGCTAAGCCCTTTTATATGCAGGTAGGCTCCGCCTCCGGCTTTCCTATTGGTTTTCATATTAACCCTTTTTCTCCCCCTGCTTTATTATTCCTCCACCCACCATATCTCCAAGGTACTTGATTTCTGAGTCCCCAGTCTGACATTTACGAGCCTTCATGGTCCAGCCCACCTCTTTAATTCTTTGTAGCACTAACTCTAGGGGCTCTTTGTTTTCAGACCAGGTTTGACTAAAAATTGCAATATCATCCAGCTAAGCTACTGTAAACTCCCTTAATCCATGCAGGATCTTATCCACTAGCCTTTGAAAGGTCGCTGGCGCATATTTTAACCCAAAGCCCATCACTTTAAACTCATATAATCCTAGGGGACTTTTCCTGGTCCCCAGGATACATTTTTACTTGATAATAGCCTTTTGTCAAGTCTAGACAGGTAATGAAATGGCACCTGCCTATGGTCTCAATTAGGTCATCTAAGCTGGGCATTGGATAGGCATCCGCCTTAGTGACATGATTTAACTTTTGGTAGTCAACACAAAATCTTATAGAGCCATCAGGTTTGTCTACCAGCACTGCCCAGGGACTCTCTGAGGGGGTTATGATCCCTGCCTTCAGCATCGCCTGCACCTCGTTGCGGACTTTATCCATGTTATCCAATAAGGGGTCACTACAATGGGTTTAGCACCCCCAGTGTCTATGCGATGGACCACTCCCTTTGCTATTCCAGAGACGGCTTTGTATTTTTGTAGGGTACTTCCTTCCTCCTCCCGCTGTGATCGGGTTAATGAAGGGGCTAGATTCACTTCTTTCTGATTACAACGTTGCTCCCCTCTCCCTTCCCAGCACAGTATGTGGTCTGTTTCTTCTGGGTCCTCTCCTATAGCATATAGAGCCCAGCTTTCTGTTCTCTGGTAGGGTTTTAGCATGTTCACGTGAACCACTTTGCGCCCCTCATCCCCCTGCTGGATAATGTAGTTCACATAATTCATTTTGGACACAATCTTGTACTGTCCCTTCCCAGGCTAATTGCAATTTATTTCCCTTTATTGGCCTTAGCAGCAACACTTCATCTTCTGGCCCAAAAGTTCTCTCTCTGGCCTTTTTATCATACCAGATTTTTTGCTTTGACTGGGTGGCTTTTAAATTTTCTCCTTCTATTTCTAAGGAACGGCGTAAAGTGTTTTGCAGTTTGTACAGATATTCCATCACTGAATCTGGATCACTATCTGAGTGATCCTCCCAATTCATTCGGAGTAGATCTAAAGGTTCTTTGACCTTGCGCCCTAGTAAAAGTTCAAAGGGACTGTACCCGGTACTCTCTTGTGGAATGTCTCTGTATGCGTACAAGAGGGGTTGTAATTGGCAGTCCCAGTCATTAGGGTTTTCTGCTACGTAGGCTTTGATCACACGGATCAAAGTTCCATTAAACTTCTCAACCAATCCATTAGTCTCTGGATGGTACGGTGTGGAAGTTATATGTGTGATGCCACACGCTTCCCACAATCTTTTCATGAGCCGGGATGTAAATGAGGTGCCTAGGTCCGTGACCAACTCACTTACAAACCCCAGGCGACTCATGTAATTAATCAACACATCTGCTACTGTCTCAGTTTCGATATTTCTTAATGGGATCGCTTCTGGATATTGGGTTGCAAAATCTATGATGGTCAGGATATATTTATTGCCCCGTTTCGTGGCTCTTGGCAATGGCCCTACTAGGTCAAGCCCCAACCTTTGAAATGGGGTAGAGATCACAGGTAAAGGACACAGTTTGGCCTTTGTCTTGTCCTGCCCTGTACCTCGTCTTTGGCAAATATCACATGCCTGGCAATATAGCTTGATTTGTTTCCCCATGCCTGGCCAGTAGAAGTTCTGCGCAACCCTTCGTTTAGTGCGCGTTATTCCCATGTGTGCACCAAAAATGCTATTATGGGCTTGTTGCAAAATCTTTTCTCTATAGGTGTGAGGGATTACCAGTTGTTTACGGATTCCTCCTCCCCCTCTATACGGTGTGGCAAGGAGTTCCCTATACAACAGCCCGTTTTCTTCACAGACTCTCTCTGGGCATTCGGGGTTAAAGGGGCGGCAGACTTAGCTGCCTCAAAACAACTGCTTAAGCCAACATCCCCTTTTTGCTCCTTAGCAAAACTAGCCTTATGGGTGTTTTTAAAAGGAACTATAACAGCTTCAGTTTCTGCTCCGCCCAAGCCTTCCAAGAGAGGTTTCCCAGCCGTGCCTCCACCGGCGACTGTTTCAGTTTCCTCAGTAGTGGGTGATTCTTGGCCCCCCTTTGAGCAAGTAACTACAAATGCACTCTTAACATGCTCTAGGAGATCCCAGCCGATAAGAACTGCTGCTGGAACTTCCTCAGAAATGGCTGCCTGCCACTTCCCAGACCAATCACAGACATTAATATCCACTTCAGCTACTTTTAGGATCACTGGTTCTTTGGCAATTCCTTTTAATTTTATTGGTTTCTCAGGTATTAATTTAGTGGTGGAAATTATGTCCGGATGGACGATTGTAATCTGTGATCTGGTGTCTCTTAACCCAAGATACTTTTTATCATCAACCCAGATGTTTTCCCCAGCATTTCTCAAGAGGAAACTATCCTGTTTAATCAACTAACATTGTACCACACGTGCCTCAAAATTTTCCTCAGGCTCAGGCCTAGCTTAAACCTCGGTTTCCCTGGCAACCTGCCTAGCCTCTTTGTTCTCCACTGAGTGGATATAATAAGTCTGTTTTTGAGAACCAAAATTCAGTTTTACCCTTTCCATCCCCGCAGTCCAAAGTCCTGTGGCCTAATTTACCAGACGTCCAGCACTTTATTTCCCTGTACCCAGTATAATTAGTTTTATTTCCTTTTCCCTCAGTGGGACCAATGTTAGTCAGGGCCTGGTCAGCTGGACTTTTAGTTCGTGGCATATTTCCCTTATTTGTCACTGAGGTAGGGCTTTCCTTGGCACATTGAAATTTGTTTTTTGGGGCACTCCCACACTTTCCCGCCAAATTTCGGACCATCAAATCCATGGTCTCTAATTTCATTAATTTGGTCAGCTAAAGTGGCTGCCTCCTGTATAGTTTTGGGATGTCGTTCTTTTATCAGATATTTCAATTTCTTGTTGATGGTTGTATAAAATTGTTCAAGTGCGATAATCTCCCTGATCTTCTGAACTGAATTGGCACCCTCCTGCTCTAGCCACTTTGTGAGGTAATTTGAAATTTTGGCTCTAAGTTGAGCAAACGTTTCTTCCCTCATTTTTGTCACACTCCTGAACTTCTTTCTTAACTGTTCTGAGGTTATTCCAAATCAGGTATAAATTAATTGTTTAATCAGTCAGAATTTCTAGACTGATCTTCTGGCATTTGCACATATATTTCGGCTAAGGTTCCACTAATTCTAGCCCTTAATATTATCATTTTTTCCTCATCTTTTACTTGGAAATCTTTGCATGCTCTTTCAAATGAGACGATAAAAGCCTCCGGATTATCCTTCTCTTTGAATTCGGGAAAACGCTTGAGGTCTATCTTAACCTGGCTTTGATCATTTGTGCTATTAGTATTATTTTGGTTTTCCCACAGATGCAAATTCCATTTTCTGCATTTCTAACTGAAATTGCATCTCTTTTTCCCTCAGACGGTACTGCTCCCTTTCTTGTTCAGCCTTAATTTTATCTCTTTCTTGTTCAGCTTTAAGTTTATCTCTTTCTTGTTCAGCCTTAATTTTATCTCTTTCTTGTTCAGCCTTATTTTTCTCTCTCTCTAATTTAAATTTGTATTCCTGTTCCAACTTTTTCAAATTCTAAAGAGAGTCTAGGCTCCTCTGCCTCAGAAGGAATTTCTGATATCTCCTCTAAACTCTGCCCTTCTCCCTCGGAGCTTTCATAGGTTGGTTCCCTCACAGGGTTTCTTGACTTTTTCGGTGGCATATTGAGCACTTGTGGTCTGAGAGCATAATAGAGTCAGTTGAGAGATCTCAACCAGTCTTATCTGACCTCGGTCTCCTTCCGTTCCTTTACATTCTTCTCTCTGTGTCCCGTCAGCAACTGGACATTAATAAAAGCAGGCAGCAAGCAGATCTTCAGCATGATTAATTCTACTAAGCACAAATAATTGATGTTTCCAGTTGATGTTCTAAACTTCCCTGGGGAGAGTCTACCCATTGCAGAAGGCGAGCCAGGAAAGGGTGGAAACAGGACCCTCTCCGCACCTTCCTCCTCTTCTTCCTTTCGGGTCGGCCTTCCGCTAGGCTGGGCCAGGCTGCGCCACTTCTCCCAATGCTTTCAGGTTGCCTTGCCAGCCTCCTTGCCAGCAGTGGCGGAGGAAGGGGGGCAGGGGGGTGGGTCGCCCCGGGTGTCATCCCTGAGGGGGGGGGGGTGACATTCGGTGCACCATTGCTCCCGACTGGAGGAGGCAGGCGAGCGAACAATGGAGGCGGGTGGGAAGGGGAGAGGAAGGAAGCGGGATCGGTGGGTGCGCCTTTCATTCGGCCTGGAAGATGAGCACCTACAGCTGGACTGTCAAGTGGATTTAAAGGGTCACTTTGGGGGCGGCGCTGCAAATGCAGTATGTTGACGCAGACCTACTGGATTTAATAACGCTCCTTAGTGAAGGCGTACCTATATCTGATGGAAGCCGCCTAAAGATTAATATTTTCTATATTCAAGGCAGATTAATTCCCTAAGCACAAAGGACACGTACTGAAAATTGGAATTTCATACTCCCTTGTAAGAAATTGTGGCACTACATAACCACGGCTGGCTGCACCATTGTAACATGCGATATCTCTCTCTCTCACACACACACACAGACACAAGACACCACTCCCGAGAATGCGGTTTATCGGGCAAGTCTAGACTTGTCTGCTCAAAAGGAAGTCCCATTGTGTTGGGGACCTGGAAGGAGAGGAGCAAAAGCTCCCTCAACTCAGGACCCAAACCCTGGAACACACAGGAGGAGAGTTGGGGTGTGTGGGAAGCGGCGCTTAAAAAGGGAAGAAAATGGTTGCTGCCTTTCTCTCTATCTGAGCTGGCTCCCTGCCTGTTACGTTACGTGCGGGGAAACCGTGTGGGGTTCCTCTCTGTGTCAAGTCTTCACGCTGTGCCTGTGTGCGCCTGCCTACATTCAGGTATTCATGGGTTTCTTTTCCTGAGTAATGGGCTGTGTTTTTGAAGTTGCAAACAAATCAACAGGGCGACTCTTTCCTCCTCCTCTCTAACTCTCTGCCCTTCCCCTCCTTCAATAATTTTCCTGTGAGCATAGAAGCAGGTCAGTTTTTAAAATAAACAACCCCAAAACCATGAATAATAATAATAATAACAACAATGATGAATTTTCTCCCTCTGTCCAGTCCTCGATATTCTCTACTGCTTCCCAAGTTTAGCTGATAAACCAGAAGAAAATGAGGAGAGAATAGCTACATTTTGTATTCAAGAAGTATACTGTAACCACCAATTCTGTACTTATATAGAACTTATTGCTTCGGGGAGGTGAGATATACAATAAATTGCTCTGTACTTATTTGATCATCATCATCATTATTAAAGTCGGAAGCTGCTATTTGCTCCGATAGCCCAATTTCTACATTCATGCCCTCATCCTGATGGCAGGGCATAACCCAAAGAAAGTTGAGCACATCTGAGATCTGAACAATGCCAGGCAGCTGCAAAAGGATATAATGGGACATGTGTTGTTGCATAAAACAATTTTGCAAACAGTGGGGAGGAGGAAGGCAAGAGGTAAGATGCCCAGACCCCAACTAAATTGTTGCAGAGTGACATTTGTAGCCTTACCAATGGATCAATATGATCTGTTTCAAAGAGAGAAATCCAAGATGTCGTTTTTAAAAAAACTGAAAGATGAAATCGTATTTTCCTGCCTGATGGCTCTTAGTAGTAGGACTGGTAGTATAAGGTCTTCCTCATTTTCTTCATTAGGTTCCTTATTTCCCATTCCAATGAAATCATTATTTTGCAAAACAAGCTTAAGTTGCATTCTTACTATATTTCTGTTTGGGGACTTGATAGCAAAACCCACAAATAACGGAAAAAAACTGAACTTTCATTTCTTTTATTTCTGAGCCAACATACAAATATGGCTCCTAGAAGTGGTGTTTGGTCAGTGGTTGCAAATTTGTGTCTGACAATCTGTTTAGCTCCAGAAGAATTTGTGCTTCCTTTTCGTACATCTGAAAAAGAGGTAAGGCAATGGTGATTGCATACATTTCCTTCCAAATAACACAACAATGTCATCTTACAAAATTTGAATCATAGAATAGAATTATAGAGTTGGAAGGGATCCTGACAGTCATCTAGTCCAACTTCCTGCAGTGCAGGAATCCTGACCGCAGCTGGGCTCAAACCACCAACCTTATTGTTAACAGCCAGATGCACGGATCTGTTGCGCTACAGACTCCCTTCATGAATTTGTCACTTACACTGCACATAGGGTACATAAAATTTATGTTTTCTCACCCAATTAATATGCTAGGGCATCTGCAGATGAATCAAGTTGATGAATCAAGTATTAATATTTTTATAGGATGGGGGATTGGTTTGGATAATGCCTATGGATCCCAATGAAACTTGTGGTTTTATATCTACAAAATAGAGGCCTCTGCAGGAAGGAGCCTGCTGAACTGGTCAAAACAGTTTGTCAAGTTGCTGGTCTTGTTTAACACCCTCATCTACGTGACTGAAGAGTCAGCTGTGTTACCATAGAGACAACTGGGTAATGCTGCTTTCCAAGAGAGGATAGGCTGTCCACACACTCTCACCTGGCTCGAGGCGGCATCTTTTTTAAAGTAGAAGAACAATAGTTGGGGCTGCTCTGTGTGAGTTTGGTTGAAGCTGGAAGCAGAGGAGACACAGAAGCTTGACTGCCACTGTGTGCAGAATTGAAAACTGGCTTTGGGATCTTCACCTTGGAAACTTAGTGGGGAGGCAATAGCTGTTGGAATGCTAACGCTAAGAGTCCTTCTATACTATCCTCGTTTTGTGTGTGTGTGTGTGTGTGTAAGTGTGTAAATAAAGCCATCCTAAAGACAGAGTCTCCGCTGACCTTTGTTCCAAACAATTAAACCCTGAGTCTCCCGCTGCTCAGATATTAGGGTGCATGCAGTGAAATTGCTCATCAAAAGGAAAACACTCACCTGCTGCCACTCTGCTTCTGTGCTGTGTTTATAGCCAAGTAAGTGGCACATGCCATGAGCAACTGTTACCTGTGCAAGGGGGAAAATATTTCAGAGTTTCACTTCTGCCCTCCGTGTTCAAGGATCACATTTTATTGGAAACAAACAAAATAATGAACAGATGACTTAGCTCATTATAATTCTCTTCCATGGTTTTAGGGCTAGGCTTTGCTACCAAGTTACTTGGAATTCATTTCATGGAAGTCACTGGCGCATGTCTCAAGAATAAGCAGGCTTGCTTTAGAAAGCAAAAGATATTTGTTCAGTCTTTTACTGAAATTCAGTTGTGTTTCTTCACTTGTCATGTGTCTTAATTGGAAACCAAGTGGAAGGCAAGGCTACAATATGCACACTAAAGAAATGTGTTGCAGAGGAGAGGAACGAGACAACCAGCCAAGATGTTTACTTTTCAGAGATCACCCATCTTATTTATTTATTTATTTATCATTACATTTATATCCCACCTTTGCTGCAAAGAGCTCAAGATAGCGTACTTCCCCCTCCATTTTTATCCTCACAACAACCCTGTGATAATACTGTGGTACAGAATCAGAGAATGGTAGAGTTGGAAGGGACCCTGGGGTCATGTAGTCCAACCCCCTGCGGTGCAGGAATCTCAACTAAAGCATCCATGACAGGTGGCCTTCCAACCTCTGCTTAAAAACTTTGAAGGAAGGAGAGTCCACCACCTCCAGAGGGAGACCGTTCCACTGCTGAACAGCTGTTACCATCAGAAATTTATTCCTGAAGTTTAGTTGGAATCTCCTTTCTTGTAACTTGAAGCCATTGGTTCAAGTCCTACCCTCCAGAGTAGGAGAAAACAAGCTTGCTTTATCTTCCATGTGACAGCCCTTTAGGTACTTGAAGATGCCTATCATATCCCCTCTCAGTCTCCTCTTTTCCAGGCTAAACATACCCAGCTCCTTCAAACATTTCTCACAAGGCTTGGTTTCCAGACCCTTGATCATCTTGGTCACCCTCCTCTGCACACCTTCCAGCTTGTCAACATCCTTCTTAAATTGTGGTGCCCACAATTGGACACAGAACTCCAGGAGTCCATTTGAGGGTGTGGGTAAGGAAGCAAGCTCTTAGCATTGGAGGCAGGGGCACAGTTGCCCTTGGTGCCCTGACTGATGCATTCCTTTGGTTCTGCAGTCCTAGGGCAACTGTGGCTAGCAGCTGTAGTTGTGCAGAGAGTCTTAGGGAGCAAAGTTTTCCTTCCCTTGACATTAAGATCATGAAGTAGCACAATGGCTTAGATGAAACAAAATATGCCTGCAATGTTTTTTTTGGGGGGTGAAAATCTAATAGTATACATAATGCTAGAATGAAGAGGGGAAATAAAAGAAGCTTCTTTTGTAAATTGAGAAGACCAAGCAAGTTTTAGGGTAACTTGTTAGAACTCTAAAGATAAAAACCAACTTAAGTAGCATGATAACTGAATTAGTAAACATATACTTACTGTAAGAATACTGTAGAAATCTTCCTTATTCTCCTCACACTCTTGATAGATATGTTCTACTCCAAGAAAAATGTCTCCCAAATTGTATTCACCTCGAGCACAAGGCTGAGGCAGCTCCCCTGCTGTCAGATTCTGTGAAGGGAACAGGCCCAAACTATGATCCAAAAGTTACAGATATATATTTTCAAAGTTCCATAACTTTTTTGAACGTTCACAATGGGTATTAATGCAGAGATGACATATGTTGAAACACAATATTGATTTCTAAGCTCCCTGCGACTAATGGAGGTCGTGTGATTGCCTCTGGGCCAGGAAACTGGAATGGTCTGTTTTTATCTACATTCTTATTGTGTGGGCCAGAAATTATCAGCTTTGCAGCACGATCCTAACCATGTTTATTCAAAAGTAAACTGATTTTAGTGCGGCTTCTAATTAAATATACTTAGGACTGAAGCACTGTATGCAAATGTACTTTATATTTTCTTTGTTGTTCTTACACTGTAAGCTATCCTGAGAGTTCCAAATGGATTCAGGGACAATATATTAAATTATGTACATAAATAAATAAGTGTACTTTGGAGCAGATCATGCTGAACAACACGTGATATGGTTGCATTGCTGCACTCTTAAACATACTTATTCCATGGGGTTTATTGAAATAAGAACATTTAGAACAGTGCTTTCTTAGCTGTAGAGCAGAATTAGTATCTTACATTGTAGGATTATTTGGATGAATTGTGGGAAAGTAAAGCTATAAGCATAACAAAGTACTATATGGAAGTACTTTCCAATGGTGGTTAAAAAGAATGATGAAGAATGGACCTGGTAATACAAATGATATATCACTTTATTCTTACAAATGAGCATTGCTTATACAGAAGCAGGCTATTTGTTTTAAAGAAGCCACAGGCCTTCATCTCCCCCAAATTTAAATATTTCTATGCAGCTTCTGTGTTGTCCTCAAGTCTTAACAAGTATGATTGGTCCATCAAAAGCCCCCAATTACCCACATGTACTTGAAGCCTTGACACGTTTTGTAATATGTCCTATTGTCTTGTTCCTGTTCAAGACAAGCCTCATAAGACTGTTGCTGAACTGGAGAATCGTAAGCAAAATGTTTACCTCATGAAAAGGAAAAGATAACACATCAGTAGGGCTATCCTTCCATCTGTAGTTTCTGTTGAGCAGCTGTATGTGTCTGTTATTAACACAGATAACACCAAGATCAAACTGCTGCACACCCAAAATGCGACGGATTTGTTCTATATTCTTGCGAAGCGGCACTCTCCTGATAGGGATGGCTCTCTGCAGGTTACGTATGAGCAGGCTCATATCTTTAAAAAGTGAAGACGATGCTCTGCAAAGTAGTGCTTTTCCAACATGATAGTGATAGTTCCAGCAGCTGAAATGGCAGAGATTAGAATCATTGCAGTAGGTTAAGTAACCATAGAACTGTAGAGTTGGAAGGGATTACGAAGGTCATGTAGTCCAACCCCCTGGATTGCAGGAATCGTTTGCCCAACATAGGGCTCAAACCCATAACCCCAAGATTAAAAGTCTCATGCTCATGAGAGACAAAAGATGAAGAAGTAAAATTAGCAATGATACATTGGGCAAAAGACGTGGGTCATAATATACAATTTGAGTCATGGGGAAAGTTACGGAAAGTGGATTTACGATTTACTACTTGCTGTTCGTTAAAAGAAAATTGTATGAAAATGATGTACCGATAGTACTTGGTGCTGACAAGACTTGCAAAAATGTATTTAAAAATGTCTAATGTATGTCTAATGTATTTTGGAAGTGCAAAGAGAATGAGGGTACATTTTATCATATGTGGTGGACCTGTAAGTCAGCAAAAGCCTTTTGGAAATGATTTATAATGAGATAAAAAAAATGTTTAAAATAACTTTTGTTAAAAAAACAGAGGCTTTCTTATTAAGTATAACAGGAGAAGAGATTATGGAAGGAAAAAAGGCCGTTTTTATGTATGCGACGACAGTAGCAAGAATGTTATATGCCCAGGGTTGGAAGGAAGAAAGAACCCCATTGAAAGAAGAATGGATATCAAAATTGATGGACTGTGCAGAAATGGCGAAATTGACTGGGAAGATCAGACATTAAGAAGATAAATTTTTTAGAAATGAATGGATTAATTTTATAGAATATATGAAGGAGCATTGCAAATATTTAAAAACGTCAGGATTGGATTAGCACTTGTAATATAATTGATAAAGAGTATTGAAAAAGGAGATTTAATAGATTGGATAAAAATATTTAGTTCCAGAAAAGAGAAGAGCTAAATATTTGAAACCGGGGAAAGGTTGGAGGGAAGTCGGGGTTGGAAGAACCCCTAAAAAAAATAGTGAAATTGTTATGGATGAATGCAATTAATATTCTATGCAAAAAACTTCTAAAATAAAAATAACCAGTCTCTTTTCCTGCAGGATCCCATCTAAGATGACATGCAGACTATCCCCCACCCCAATCTTATAACACTGTGTTCTAACAGTTGTGATTTTCTAGTGTCAGTCAATGTTTTGGGGATGTTTTGCTAAATGCGTGTTAGTGTGAGTTTCTAGAGTTGTCTTTCAGAATTTAGCTCCCTTTCCATTGTCAATGGAAGTTAAACCTACCAGCTGGGTGTACAAGTGCATCTTGCTTCTAATGTGCAAGCATATTTTGACCTGTGCAATTGCACATGCTCAGAGGATTAGATAGATAATTTATTACGGTCGTAGACCAGCTTACAAAACACACTTGGGGGTACAATCCCAGAAGGAAAGCAAACATTTAAAACAATGTACAACAATAAATTAAAATTTTATAAATGCAATCAGCGTATAGACACTTAAAAGTCTACCGCAGAGAGATGACCCAGAGTCACCCATGGAACCGAGTTTGGGGATTTTATTAACGAACTAGTTTGGGTTGTGGGATGGTCTGCGCCTACAGATCTGTACACAGAATCTGGCGACCATCTCGGTCGTCTTATGATCTTTGCCTAACAGGAAAAGGTCAAATTTTTGTTTTTCCGGGAGGTCAGCGAGCCTCACCAGCAGGGGATCAATGGTCTCACTAGGTGCCTCTTCATAAGAGGGACATCTAAAGAACAAGTGCTCTGGGCTTCCTATACCCCAACAATGAACAAGCACAAAGTCTCTGAGCATAAGGGACTTTTTTAAAGGATCCTTCCATGATCGGCGAGGGCAGAGCCGAGCTTCTGGCGGGTGTAAAAGCCCTTCTTGCATTTTTGGATGCGAGAAAGAAGAGAGATGCTGCCGGTGCGGCAATATATCTCTTGATTTCTCCAATTCAGAGGATTATGCTTTTCATCATCGAAACACTGCACAATCCTTGTCCTTTAAATCGGTAAGAGCAGAATATTGCAGAATAAATGGTTGCAACAAGGCACAGCCCTCCCGAGGCAAATGATGGCAGGGACAACTGTTTGGTGCCAAAATAACGGTTGCCTGGGTGCCCGTTTTATCTCAAGAAAGGGACACAAGGACGTGCAAAAGGCTGCTCTGGTTGCACCGCCTCAGCCAAGGCCCTTCCACCAGCAGCTGCCATATGGGGAAGATCTTCTATAATACCTATAACACAGAGAGAGCAACTATAACAACAGACACAAATCAAAAGAGAGCCATTTTATATATTGGTATTGTTCTGTTGCGTGTGTGTGTTAAACGTGTTTTCATGTTACAGTCATACCTCGGGTTGAATATACTTCATGTTGAGTGCGTTCGAGTTGCCCTCCGTGGCAACCCGGAAGTAACGGAGTGCGTTACTTCCGGGTTTCACCACTCATGCATACGCTCAAAATGACGTCACGCGCATGCGCAGAAGCAGCGAAAAGCGACGCGCGCGCAGACGTGCCGTTGCTAGTTACGTTTGCTTCTGGATGTGAACGGGGCTCCGGAACGGATCCCGTTCGCATCCCGAGGTACCACTGTACTTGTAAGTTGCTGTGGAAAGGTTTGTATCCTGAAAAGCAGGATGCAAGTAATTGCAATAAACGAATGTAGGACCAGTCTAGAAAGTTGGCCTTGGTGAAGATTTGACGTTTCCATCCCCAAAAAGTTTTTGATTTGAGTTTCTACTGAATTGAAGCTGCATTTTAATCTTGTATTTTAATCTTTTTTTATGTTGTATTTTAATCAATTGCTTTTATACCTGGTGTTAGCAGCTCTGAGTTGGCTGGGGAGGGCGGGGTATAAATAAAACTTATTATTACATGTATTATTATTAGAAATATAACAATAAATATAATTCTTCACCATCATCTTCGAACCGTTTTCTCGAAGGTGCAATAAAGCTACACAGCTTACCTTCCCCCGCCCCGTCGAGGGGAACCTCCGCCTCGCTCCGGTTTCCCGGGCAGAAGGGAAGGCGAGCCCCGGCTTCCCTCTCCGGAAGCTCGAGGGACTCTGCTTTCCTGTGTGGAGGCGCTTCCGCCATAGAGAAGCCGCAGGGAAAGAGCGCCGCCGACCCTTCCCTGCTCGGCCAAGCCCCGCGCTGCCTCCTCTCTGGCCGGCTGCGCGGGGCTGGCAGGGCTCTGCCTGCAACACCTTCGGGGCGGAGGCTCGCTCGCTTGGATGCCAGGGCGAAGCGACCCCTCCGATTGCCGCCCTTGCAAGAAGCCCACCCGGCCTGCAACTGCCCCCCGTAGCCCTAAAGCAGGACACCCGCCCCCTGCCCCGCTTGGATGCGTTTATTACCAATGCCATGTACTGTATTTTAATCTTGTTTTTATGTTGTATTTTAATCAATTGTTTTAATACCTGGTGTTAGCCGCCCTGAGCCCGGTCTTGGCTGGGAAGGGTGGGGTATAAATAAAACTTATTATTACAGTGCCAGGGCGAAGCGACCCCTCCAATTGCCCCCCTTGCAAGAAGCCCACCCGGCCTGCAACTGGCCCCCGTAGCTCTAAAGCAGGACACCCGCCCCCTGCCCCGCTTGGATGCGTTTATTACCAATGCCATGTAATTTAGGAGTTGCTGGCTTGTAGGGAGAGGAAACCCTCGAAGCAAAGGTTTACCAAAACAAACAGTAAAAGCACCGAAACATTTACCAGCCGTGCTTCTAACGGCCTGCCAAAGTAAAAGCACAACGGGAAAGACTAGATCATATAATAATAATAATAATAGTAATATTTTTTATTTATACCCCGCCCATCTGGCTGAGTTTCCCCAGCCACTCTGGGCGGCATCTAATCAAGTGTTAAAAACAATACAGCATAAAAATATGGAACGCTTCATCATGCCTAAACAAGGAGGTCTTCGGCAGGCGCCCAAAGGGCACCGCGATGGGGCTGCCAGCCAGGCGGGGTTGGGGGAGAGCGGGGCGCTCGGGCAAGCGGCCCACGCGCACCGGAGGGACCTCTGCCCCGAGGAGACTGCTCCCACGCCGCCCGGCAATCCGTAGGCAGGGCGTTCCAGCGGGTCTCCAGGAGCAGCGCCACTTGGGCCGGTCTCGCTGCAGGACCCTGGTGCCCGGGGCCCTTCGAGGGCGGCGACCCCCTCCCCGCGCCCCCGTCCTCCCGGGGGAGGGAGCAGCCAGCGGCTTCCCGCCTACCGGAGGTCGAGGGGCATCGCGGGCGCTGTGGAACTCCCTGCCTCTGGAGCTGCCCCGCCCGCAGGCGCCTTCGCGTTGCTCTTTTTGACAAAATCTGAATCCAGGTGAACGTCGCCCAGGCTCACTATTTTAACTTTGCCATATTTTAAACGGAGGGTCGTGATTCTTTTCGTCGATGTTGCCGTTTTATCTTTTTGCAAACCGCCCCGATGTTTCCTTGCAATTAAGCGGCGCCTAATTTGTTACGAAATAAACAGGCAAGCCAATAATAGGCTCAGCCTGCAAATCCCAGCAGCTGGACGGGCTTCCACGGCCCCTGAGACGCTGCAGAGGTATTGCACTTTTTGTATTGCTTTATGAAATTCGTACACCGTTCAGTTGTATCCATGATGATAATAACACCGCCTCGAAAGCGTTCCCTACTGCGCATGCTCTTTGGGAGGGGGCGGGGCCGGCCTCCGCTTCGCGAGCCCGTCCAGACGAGGAGGCGGGGCCCGGTTGCCGGGAGCGAAACGTCACTTCCGTCTCCTGCCCTGAAGAGGCGGAAGCTTCTGCCTGAGGGAGCCCGTCGTTCTGGGAGCGTCGCCGAAGCTTCTCTCGTGACGCGACGCTCGTGGGCGCCCAGCGGGGCAGAGGCGCTTCCGGGGCCCCGAGGCGGCTCTCCGCGGCGGCGGGTGAGGAGAAGTGGCTCTGCCCCCGGCGCCCTTCCTGCCCGCTTCCCGCGACAGTTCGAGGCCGGGGCGGGGGGTGGGGCTGTTATGGCGGGCGGCCTAGTTCGGATGTGCTCGTTTGCAGCCCGCCTTTTCCCTTGACAGGGACCCAAGGCGGCTTACGGATAGGAAAAAGGGCAGCTAAAAACATGGGGGGGGGAACAAAAACAACACGATCATTGGCGGGGGGGAAGGACAGAGTTGGAACTGCATAAAAAACATGTCCATAAGTTCCTAAGTGTATTGTGCTGGCCAAAGGCCATGACAGACTTGTAGCAGTAGCTTTCATAAGATAAAGCAGAGGATATGAGCCAACATCCAAGATGAAAGAGAAGGAAGATAACAGACACAAGCAAGAGTAAATCTAGCTTGATTTCGGATTAAACCCCCAAATCACCAAAATAATGTACAAGCTATTTTATCTAACGCCTTTTTCCTGATTCGTTTTGCAGCCAATGCATTGAGTTACAAAGGTATTTACCGTTACATATGCAAATAAAGGGTCCGAAAGCAATCTCCTTCATCTCTATGTAAGGGGTAGGCTAACCGATAAGGAGTGATGCCTGAGGTTGACCACAAATGCAAAGTCTACCTGCCTATGGGATCTTTTTCTAGCTGTCATCCAAGACTGCAGTGGGCTAAAAATGTGGATAATTACAACAAAAACAGCATGGTATCAGCCCTTCCATTTTTTATTTTATTTGACTCAATATTTCTATTCCGCTTTTCCAGCAACAACTGGAGGCTCAAAGTAGCTCACAGTAATTACAATGGGAGAAACCATTGTAAACACTATTAATATAAAACACAGCAGCGTATAAATAAAGCAAACAACAAGTTTCCTGGTGTGCACTGTAATCCAAAATGTTTGGAGGGCACCAGATTGGGGAAGGCTGGCTTGCACCCTTGTCGCTTCAGACAGCAGTGCCGCATATGACTACCGTAGATTCCAGCGTATTAGGCGACTGGGCGTATTAGACGACCCCCCCAAATTGGCAACTGCAATTTGGGGGTTCGTTTTATAAGCCCAGTCACGTAATACGCTGGGCAGCTCCGTGCCAGGAGAAAGCCGCCCTGCGCGGAGCAGAGCCCGCCGCCCGCTGCTGCTGCTGCTTCCGAAGCAGAAGGGGGTGGGCTCCGCACCAGGCGGCTTTCTCCTGGTGGAGCCTGCAACAGCAGCAGCGGGCTGCGCTTCACGCAGGGAGAAAGCTTTCGCTGTTAGTAATAAAACAGGACCTTCAGTAAATCTACAAATTATTTAGGCTAAGGTGTTTAAATATGTGTAATTTATTTATAATTGATGTCATGCTCAAACTGGTCTTGATGATGAGAGAACTGGTACTGACATTTTCAATGGGATCTCTTGATCAAGAGCTTATGAAGAAAAGCTGTTTTAATGAAAAGGCTATTAATAGAATAGGTTCTCATATTGTCATATTGTGATTAAATGTATTTATGATAGGTCCTTAATAATATGATTCAGCACCAGATGTAGCTAATGTGTTGCTAGAGCATATGTGAAATGTTTACATTTTCCTGAAACAATTTCTTAATTAAAAGAATTGTATTGATATTACAATATGTCCTACTTATTTTTTTTTGCAGATTATGAGAACAATGGGTTAGGAGCTGAAAGCTACCACATTCTAGGTGGGAGAATCTATTGCGTAGATGGCTGGTTGTGAAGATGAATCCCAATACACCATTTAGTGGACAGCCACCTGGAGTTTTCCAGACTCCACCTGGCACTTCAGCAGGAATATTTCCAGTTCAGCCACCGTTCCAGTTCAGTCAGCTTCCTGTCTTTGGGCAGAACAGTGGTGGACTGTTAAAGAATCCAGGGTTTGCACCCCACTCTGACTTCACCATAACTTCAGGACTGCAACCTTCAGGGCAAGGTTTAGGATTTGGGCAACCCCCAGGATTTACCCAGCCTTTTTCCCTTGGACAAACAACTTCCTTTGTGACTTCTCTGCCAACTAGCTCTTCCATTGCTGGCAAGCAAGGATTCAATTTTAATCCACCTACGAATCTTGGGGGTTCCCAGAATACTTCTAGCTTTGGAGCTACGTCTGGAGAAACTTCTGGCAGTAGTTTTGGGAGGCCACATTTCAGCTTCAAACCCCCCGAGAATGCTTTGTTTCAGCCTATCTTTGGCACTGGTTCAGAACAAGAGAAACTGCCAAATCAGATAACGCCAACTCCATTCACATTTTCCTTACCAGGTGCTAGTGGATCTGGAAGCGTAGCCCCCTTTGGTATTTCTCAAGAGAGCAGCAGTTCAAGTGTAAATACAAGCATCAGCTTTTCAAAACCAGCAAGCAGTAATACTTTAGTGCCTTCATTCAGTAGTCCTTTACCAAGCAAGATCACAGAGGATGATAAAAAAAGGCCAGTAAGTCTCTTTGGAAACCCTGGTAGTTTTACCTCTTTTTCTAACTCATCTGTTGGCTCTTTGGGTCAAGTTAATAAAATAAGCAAACCAGAACATGAAGAATTGCTACCTTCAGGTGAGTCACTTCCCATCCTTAGGAAGGGAAAAAAGAGGAAAGAAGAGCAGGAGCCTTCTCCAAGAAGACATGATTATGATGCTGTGGATGAGCCAGAGCTGCTGGCAAGGAGCGAACATTCTTCTGTTAAGCCCCCAGTCAAGCTGAATCGGCCCCGTGGAGGTGGCCTCTTTAACAGAACATTGCAAGATATGCTGAAAAGCAATAAGAAGGAGTCCAAAATGGAAAGAGTTTCTCTAGAATCTGGAGAAATTGAGCAGACGAGTATGGCAGGGGGAACTCAGTCTAGTTTTGCAATGGTTAGGTCATCAGCAACAAAGAAAAAGGAAGAAAATAAGGCAGCACTGAAGGAAGGTAAGCATCAACCCCACCCCCAGCAAGAATTAGTATAATGAGAACATGGCAGTCACTTTTGATTTAAAACACATGCCACATGCTTTTGCTCAGCTGGCATGTGTCTTTGGACTGCGTTGATGCCTTTTGCTTTCCTCCATAGAAGACAGAGAGGTTGTGTCCGTACATATGTCCTCCCTCCCTCCGACCTTCTTTTTTTTTTTTAATAAGATATTTATTAAGATTTTCAAAATATTACAAAATAAAAATACAAAAAAGAAAAAATACAAAAAAATTTAGTTAAAACCAAGTCAATCTTTCCATTACTTATTTTTCATTAGCTTGTTTCCCGGACCTCCTCACGCCTCCCTTTTTTGTATTCCAGTTCAGTTTGTTGGTTCAGCAAATCCTTCCCCTCTTTGTTTATCCTAATCTTTAATCTTAAAGTATTGTAACATTAAATTTTTACCTGTTAGTAATCCATTTTTCATATTCCCTTATAATATTTCAGCTAAAAACCATTTAATTTCTATCCAACATCATTCTAACATTCATTAATTTTACAATATTTCTGTAAATAGTCTTTAAATTTCTTCCAATCTTCTTCCACCGACTCTTCTCCCTGGTCTCGGATTCTGCCAGTCATTTCCGCCAGTTCCATATAGTCAATCACCTTCATCTGCCATTCTTCCAGAGTGGGTAGATCTTGTGTCTTCCAATACTTTGCAATGAGTATTCTTGCTGCTGTTGTGGCATACATAAAAAAAGTTCTATCCTTCTTTGGCACCAGTTGGCCGACTATGCCCAGGAGAAAGGCCTCTGGTTTCTTCAAGAAGGTATATTTAAATACTTTTTTCAATTCATTATAGATCATCTCCCAGAAAGCCTTAATCCTTGGGCATGTCCACCAAAGGTGGAAGAATGTACCTTCAGTTTCTTTACATTTCCAACATTTGTTATCGGGCAAATGGTAGATTTTTGCAAGCTTGACTGGAGTCATGTACCACCTGTATACCATTTTCATAATATTCTCTCTTAAGGCATTACATGCCGTAAACTTCATACCTGTGGTCCATAACTGTTCCCAGTCAGCCATCATTATGTTATGTCCAACATCTTGTGCCCATTTAATCATAGCAGATTTCACCGTTTCATCCTGAGTATTCCATTTCAACAGCAAGTTATACATCCTTGATAAAGTCTTAGTTTTGGGTTCTAACAGTTCTGTTTCTAATTTTGATTTTTCCACCTGGAAGCCAATTTTCTTGTCCGAATTATATGCCTCCATTATCTGATAATAATGAAGCCAATCTTGCACTTTGTCTTTTAGTTTCTCAAAACTCTGCAGTTTCAATCTGTCTCCCTCTTGTTCCAGAATTTCCCAATATTTCGGCCATTTGGCCTCCATATTGAGCTTTTTCAGTGCTTTCGCTTCCATCGGTGACAACCACCTTGGGGTTTTATTTTCCAATAAATCCTTATATCTTATCCAGACATTAAACAATGCTTTCCTGACAATATGATTCTTAAATGCTTTATGTGCTTTGACCTTATCATACCACAGATATGCATGCCATCCAAATACATTATTAAAACCTTCTAAATCCAAAATGTCTGTGTTTTCAAGAAGCAGCCATTCTTTCAACCAGCAAAAAGTTGCTGATTCATAGTAAAGTTTAAGGTCTGGCAGGGCAAATCCACCTCTTTCCTTTGCATCTGTTAGTATTTTAAATTTTATTCTAGGCTTCTTGCCCTGCCAGACAAATCTAGAAATATCTCTCTGCCACTTCTTGAAACAGTCCATTTTGTCCACAATTTGCAATGTTTGAAACAAAAACAACATTCTAGGCAATACATTCATTTTTATCGCAGCAATACGACCCAGCAGTGAAAGCTTCAAATTTGACCAAATTTCTAAATCTTTTTCACTTCGGCCCAGCATTTTTCATAGTTGTCTTTAAATAAATTCCCATTTGCTGTCATGTTAATCCCCAGGTATTTCACTTTCTTAACCACTGTTAAGCCTGTCTCATTCTGAAACCTCTCTCTCTCAATCGGTGTTAAATTTTTCTCTAAAACCTTGGTTTTTAACTTATTCAGTTTAAATCCTGCAACCTGACCAAATTCTTGAATCAGTTCTAAAACCCTTTTGGTACTAGATTCTGGCTCCTGTAACGTCAATACTAAGTCATCTGCAAATGCTCTCAATTTGTACTGTTTGGCTCCGACTTGTATACCTTTAACCAACTGGTCCCTTCTAATCATATTCAGCAAAACCTCCAGGACCGATATAAAAAGCAATGGGGAGATTGGGCAACCTTGTCGTGTCCCTTTTTCTATCTTAAATTCTTCCGTCACCACATTATTTACAATTAGTTTAGCCTTTTGTTCTGAATAAATTGCACTTATACCGTTTTCAAAGCCTTGGCCTACCCCCATCCCCTGTAGGTTCTTCTTCATAAAGCTCCAAGAGATATTATCAAAAGCTTTCTCCGCGTCCACAAATATCAAAACTGCTTTAGTATTTATGTTCACTTCTAATTTTTCCAAAATATTAATTATATTCCTCAAATTGTCAGACAAGTGTCTTCCCGGGAGAAAGCCCGCTTGGTCTTTATGAATCTCTTCCATCAACACTTTTTTCAATCTCTTGGCCAAAATATCTGCAAAAATTTTGTAATCCACATTAAGTAATGATATGGGGCGGTAGTTCTTAAGCTGAGTCTTTTCAGTCTCTGTTTTCGGTATAAGTGTAATATACGCTTCTTTCCACGACTCTGGTGCCCTTTTCCCTTCCAATATTTCATTGCAGACTTCCTTTAAAGGTTGTACTAACCACTCTTTCAAGGATCTATAGTATCTAGAAGTCAGCCCATCCGGTCCTGGAGATTTGCCTAGTTGCATGTTTTGAATGGCACCTTCTACTTCCTGTTCAGATATTTTATAGTTCAACATTAATTTGCTTTCTTGAGAGATTTTTTGTAATCCATTTATCTTCAAAAATCGATCTATATCCATTTCTTTCTGTGGCCCTTGTGTATATAATTGTTTAAAGTACCTCTGGAAACAGTTTCTAATCTCAGCTGGGTTGTGTATGTTCTTTCCTTCCACTTCTAAATTTGTAATAGTATTTAATTTTTGTCTTTTTTCATTTGCCAAGCCAGCAATTTCCCACATTTATTAGCTGATTCAAATGTTTTTTGTCTCATTTGTTTAATTTTCCATTCTATTTCCTGATTCATCATTTCCATATATTGTACTTGATATAACTTTATTTCTCTCAAAATCTCCTGCGACTTTGGTTTTGCTCTCAATTTCTTCTCACTTTCTTTTATTTTCTCCAAAATTTTATCTTTCTTCTCATTTTGGCTTCTCTTCTTTATTGCATTCTGTTGTATCAGGAACCCTCTCATAACCGCTTTGCTTGCGTCCCAGATTACTCTTTTCAACATTAGTGTTCATATTTATCTCAAAATAGTCTCTCAAAGTTTTTTGGGCCTTCTTAATCACATCTCCATCTCTAAATAAGGTGTCATTCATCCTCCATCTGAAGGAGCCAGTTGATATTAGTTTCATCTCCATCCTTACAGCATTATGGTCGGAGCAGGTTTTTGGACAAATTTCCACTTTCTTTATCTTTGGTGCCATTCCTCTAGTTACCCATATTTGGTCGATTCTAGTCCATGTCATCTTGGCTTCAGAAAAGAAAGTTCCCTCTCTTCCCAAGGGATTCTTTGTTCTCCAAATGTCGACTAAGTCCAAGTTGTCTGTCATCTCAAAAAAATGTTTTTGGTAGTCTACCATCCTTGGTGACTACCTGTCTTTGTGCCTTATCCATATTTGTAGATACTACTCCATTCATATCCCCCCATCAAGATCAAATTGTAATCCAAATAATCCATTAAGGTCTCATGCAACTTTTAAAGAATTCAGATTTCCCCTCATTCGGTGCATAAACTCCTACTATCAAAAATTTCTCTCCTTGAACTTGAATTTCAATTGCCACAAATCTTCCTTGATCGTCTTTAAAAATGAATTTCGGTGATAGTCTCTCCTTTGCATAGATCACTACTCCTCTTTTTTTAACTTTGTCAGATGAAATAAACTCCTGTCCCAATCTCTTGTTAATCAATACTTTCCTATGTAGCCTTATCACGTGTGTTTCCTGTAGGCAAATCAAGTCCAATTGTTCCTTTTTAGTAAATGAAACACACTTTTCCTTTTCCGAGGAGAGTTGAGGCCATTACAATTCCAACTTAATAGTTGCAGAGCCATGATGTTATTACTTTGCTTTACCTCCAACTGCACCAAGTGTTTGTTCTTGTTCTGTCGGTGGTGTCACTTTCTCTGAACCATGCAATCCAAAAGATAAATTTGCTATATCTAATATTCCTCTTTCCAGTGCTTTTGGCTCTTCTCCAGATTCCACTTCTTTCTGTAAGTCTTCTCCGTGGTCTTTCAAGAATCTATCTTTATCGTCGACTGATCTTATTTTTATCTTTCTTCCTTTATATTTAAAGGACAGGCCTTGGGGAAATTCCCACCTAAGGATGATTCTGTTACTTCTCAGCAGGGCAACCAGGTCTCCGTAGTTAAACCTTAAGTCCAAAAGATGTTTTGGAATGTCCTTAAATATCTCCACACTTGACTCATGTATTTCCAAAGTCTTTCGGAAGTGCAGATTCAAGATTTTGTCTCTCTCCTCTTTTGTTCGAAGGGTAATCAAACAGTCTCTCACCTTGTTCTTCTTTCCTCCTCTTCCAAGCCTAAATGCGTTCACTATCTTAAATTCTTCCTTCCCCAAATCCTGTTGCCAGAAATCTGCAAATTCCTGCGTAAGAAAGTCAGTCAAGTTATCTTTCTCAAGTTCCGGTACAGCCCTGATTCTCAAATTCGTTTGTTTCTCCTTCAATTCAATCATGGACAACGTCAACCCGTGGTCCTCAAGTTGCCTATATATCGGTGGTATCTTCTCTTGAGTAGCAGTTGCTATGTCCTTTGCTTCTTCAGCTGTCTTTCGGGTCAAAGCAGATTCCTGTAACAATTTCTCAATAGTCTCTGTATTGGTGTTCACCTTCTGTCCCAAATTATTAATACTTGTAGTATTTTGGTCAATTTTAACTGATGCTTCAGCTACTTGTTTATTTGTTTCAGCTACTTGTTTACTTAAATTTTCCAAAGATTCATTAATTTTTCCTAGTGCCAGAGCTAAAACGTCTTCAGACGACATTCCTTTTGGTTTAACTTGTAAGGGTGCAGCCCCTGATAATCCAGATGGTCCAGAAGGGCCAGATGTTGAAGCTCTTCGCTGCGACCCAGTATCTGTACGGAAAGATCTGCCAGACCTGGTAGTTTTTTCCTGAATCAACTCTAACTTTCCTCTTCCATCTGCCATAACACTCTCATAGAAGTCCAAGGTCAGTCCCACGGCTGGAATTTGTTTTGAAATGGAAAATTCCCCTAGCCCAGTTGTTATTGTAGCAATATCAAACCTCCTCTAGGGGGACACAGTAACAGTCAAAGCTTGCAACTTTAAGAAGAAAGTAATCTTTATAAATCCCCCAATTCACAAAAAAGCAACAGTTTCAATTGCACTTAATCAGTTACTTTAAAACCAGGTGAAGTCCAGAAACACTGTATCTCTCTTGCAGAGTTAGCTGTCAAAAGTACTCTATTTACCAATAGTGCTTTTCACAGAACGGCATTCCTTGTCCCAAGGCAGTCCGTTCCCAGGTTCTAAGCGGTGGATTTTAGCTTCCTTTCCCTCTTTTTTTTGCAGATAAATACAGTTCAAACCTTTCCCCCCTCTCCTGCAAACCGGAGGGGAGATCGCTTTTCTGATGTTAGGATTTGCGTCCTTTTTTCAAACGTCTTTCAAAGTTTCCGCTTACAGTCTCTTTGCTTTGATCTGTTTACAAGAAACGGAAGGCGGACTTCCTGTTTATGCCTCCCCGCTTCGGTTCCGAATTATTGTTTTTCTCCCTTTAAATCCAATTTTATCCTACTCACGGGTAGTTACTTTTGAAGTCGAATTGTCCCAGGAAAAAGTCAGCGCTCTCCGATAACGGCTGTGCGGCTTCACTCCGCGGAAGAAGCAGTCGACTCTCAGCACCGCGCCGCTCACCCCGTTTCGCTCCGGAGCCCAAAAATGGGTTCCTTCGCAGATTGGGGGGGGCGCAAAAGGTGCCCGCCGAGTCCCACGTTCACAGGCTTCACCCGCCTGTGACTTTTGGAGGGTCCCCGCTTCGCCGCAGCGGTGCAGACCCGATCCCACGGAGCTGGTCCCTCAGAAAGTCAGAGGGAATCCGCCATTACCGATGGCGCCAACCCGGAAGTCCCCTCCCTCCGACTTTCACATGGTTGGACGGTAGCCTGGTTTACCATGATCTGTCTTTTTCTCTTCCTCTGGCTCTGCTCATCCCGGGCAAGTGGGCAGTCCCTGGAAGGTTGCCCATTTTTTCTCTGTTTTGTTTGTTGTTTTACATTCATTATTCTGTGGTGTCTACTTAATAATAAATGCTTTTAAAAAAAATCTACATTAATGTTTGATATAATGAAAGGCTGTTTCTCCCCTAAAGAGTCTACCATCTCCAACCCTTTGCGTCGAAATCAGAACAGGGGGAGCACAGAGAGCCTTGGAGGCTTGTCATCAAGTGACCTTACAGTCATCCAGTACAAAAATATTCCGGACCATCTAAATAGCAGAAACGTTCTTGAGAATCACTTGAAGAAATTTATTCGATTTCAACGGATCCGTACCAATGTAAACAAAAAGCTGGCTATTGTACACTGTTTTGATCATGTGAGTTTTTAAATATTAATAGAAAATCAGAAGTGTTAAGCTTTTACATGCATAGTTTTTGTACAGATATGTGCTAATGTGGTGAAGCATGGGAAACAAATATAATAAATCATGATGATGATGATGATGATGATAATTTAGAATTATTCCCACTACAGCCTCTCGTTCTGGAAATTCATGGGTTGACAGATAGACCTTTATAATATGGAAAATGTTGGTAGTAGGGTAATGTTAGCTGCACTCTAACTTAGGGCACAAGTCTTGTTGAAAGCAGTAGGATTTCAGGGTCTGTGACGACGAGATGCAAATATTGTGGGAATGACCAGCTCAAACGTTTCCTGCAGTTGTTTATTGGCAAGTATTGTCTGTTGCTCTATATATTCATAGTAAAAATTGCAGCCTTCTCAATAGAAAAGTCCTGGGGAACAGTAACAGTAATTTTCAACAAATTAAGACAGGAAAGCCTTGACAATACTAGTGTTTCAGAATGAATTTAGTTATTTCTGCAGACGCAGCACCTTAGAGACAAGAAATTGCACACCTTGCATAGAATGCAGAGGATTTATATTGGATGCATTCCTGAGTCTTGGCACTTGACTATCCATCTGTTAAGGGTGGCAAGTAGGTTCACAGTGGGACACTGGTTTCAGGGATGCATTGGGATCACTTATCAGATGCAGTGGGAACTGGTTCAAAAAGGTAACACTGCACACTTAATGAGGGGAAGCATGCTTTCCTAATGCCTTCCTAAATAATATTTGGTAAAGTGGCAACGTGAACCTCGGTTTATACAAGGTGGACACATTTTGTGTCACTGAAGTGGCATTTGGACAGATGGTTCTTATAGAATTGTAGAGTTGGAAGGGACCCTGAGGAATAGCCTGGACACATAATATTGTTCTAAAAGGGCCATTGCAATACGCAACTTTTTAACATTCTTCTTCAAAATGTTCTCTGAAGGTTCCTTTTGTGAATGTTCCTCCTGTTCATTGTGAGGACATTTTTTCCACACAGTCATGGTTGGGTCTATTGCTTCTAACAAGAGGTGGTTTCTTGCATATTTGCAGTTCACCTTTACAGATTTTTGGCTATGTTTTATTCCTTGTGCGCTATTCTAATTGCTTTTCTGCTTAGTTGGCCCCTCCACTGGGTGCAGTGCTTTCTCTTAAGTGGGCATGTCAGCTATAGTTTATCTCGCACTGAGAGTGGGTCCTACCAGAGAAGAAGGTGGGAAGCTCTGTATAAGCCCTGCCTCCAAAGCCTATATGGGGGAATGGTCTTCACAAAGTTGTTATCCTGTCTCCAAAGAGAAAGGACACTCACGGTAGGTGCGGTGTTTAGTTGACGAAGTTATCAGGTATGTGATATACCATTCTAACCCCAACTGGCCCTTCTACTGAATACTGTTTTTCAGGCATCTGCAGTTTTGGCTAAGAAGAAGGCTAAGGAGTTACATAAAGAAATAGTGGCCTTTTGGCACAAGAAGAAAGCAAGTAAGTTACCTAATTATATACTTGTAAAATGCCTGCTAGTGGGTTGGGTTTATGTTTCAGAGGGAGGGTCCTCTGCAGTCATGCATTATACTGCTCTGAAGCGCAGCAGAGGCCACCATGGAGAGGGGCTGCTCCGGGGTGGCACCCTCCTTTTGGGGTGCTCTCTACCTCTTGCTTTGAGTGCCTTTTTGTTTCCCCAAACTTTCTGCCCTTTCACTTTGGTTGATGAGTTTTGCTTGGATCCTGCTTTCTCAGGGTCGCCCCCCCCCCCGAGCTTTAATGTATTAGACGAAAATCCAAGCCCTGCCTCTGGCACAGCAGTACTTTATGGAGCCACAGGGCCAGGCCACATCCATGGCTAGCGTGCAAAGTGTGTCATGGGGATGGGGGTGGCCACAGCAAGATCACTCCAGCAGCTTGGTCGAAATGAACCTTCCACTATAATTTATTCCATGGAAACTCATTGTTAGAACTGTGTAAGTTTCATAAAAAGGGACAAAGGGGGAATCCAGAAAAAAAGTGAAAATCTGATAGAAGCATGGCATAAAGGAGTGCCCCATATTTGGCTTAGATGTGACCGGGTAGATGCCAGTAAACTGATCAGTAAAATGCTTCAGAAGCAAAGTGGTACAATGCACTTCAGTGCCATTAAAATCAATAGGGCTGTGTTAGCGGCTTTTGATACCATCTACCATAACTTCCTTCTGGACCGTCTAGAGGAGTTGGGACCTGGAGGCACGGTCATACAGTGGTTCCGCTCCTTCCTCCTGGTCCATGTTCAGAAAGTGGTGTTGGGGGATGAGTGTTCAGACCCCTGGGCTCTCACTTGTGGGGTGCCTCAGGGTTCCGTCCTCTCCCCCATGATTTTTAACATCTACATGAAGCCACTGGGAAGGATCATCGGGGTTTGGGCTGGGTGTCCATCAGTATGCAGATGATACCCAGCTCTACCTCTCTTTCAAATCAGAACAAGTGAAGGTGATGAAGATCCTGTGTGAGTGTCGAGATGGTTGGAGGATGGATGGCGGCTAACAGATTGAGGCTGAATCCTGACAAGACAGAAGTACTGTTTTGTGGGGACAGGAGGCGGGCAGGTGTAGAGGACTCCCTGGTCCTCTGTGGGGTAACTGTGCCCTTGAATGACCAGGTGCGCAGCCTGGGAGTCATTCTGGACTCACAGCTGTCCATGGAGGTGCAGGTCAATTCTGTGTCCAGGGCAGCTGTTTACCAGCTCCATCTGGTACGCAGGCTGAGACCCTATCTGCTCACAGACTGTCTTGCCAGAGTGGTGCATGCTCTAGTTATCTCCCATTTGGACTACTGCAATGCACACTATGTGAGGCTACTTTGAAGGTGACCCGGAAACTACAACTAATCCAAAATGCGGCAGCTAGACTAGTGACTGGGAGCGGCTGCCGAGACCACAAAACACCGGTCTTGAAAGATCTACATTGGCTCCCAGTACATTTCCGAGCACAATTCAAAGTGTTGGTGCTGACCTTTAAAGCCGTAAATGGCCTTGGCCCAGTATACCTGAAGGAGCTTCTCCACCCCCCGAGGGCCTTCTGGCGGTTCCCTTACAGCGAGAAGTGAAGTTACAGGGAACCAGGCAGAGGGCCTTCCTGGTAGTGGCGCCCACCAAGTGGAACGCCTCCCACCAGATGTCAAAGGATAAAACAACTACCAGACTTTTAGAAGACATCTGAAGGCAACCCTGTTTAGGGAAGCTTTTAATATCTGAAGGACTATTGTATTTTAATATTTTGTTGGAAGCCGCCCATCTGGCTGGGTATTAGTATTATTTCTAGTAAGAGTTGGTTCATTGGTTGCGTATGAATAAAAGGTCCCATGTTTGATCACTTGGTTTAATCTCTAGTCTTCTATGTCATTCAATTTGCAAAGGTCCTAATAAGAAAGACTATTCCTCTAAGGAGCAGAAGGCAGACGAAAGTGAAGGGAGGCAGGCCAGTGAACAACTGAGTCATCAGCATTCTCCACTTAGCAAGTCCTTAATCCGTTCCACTGGTAGCGGAAACTTGTCAAACAAAAGGTATGTGTCCATCAGTAGAGTCTTTCTATAAAAATTAATGTACTGTAATGCATTGGTCGTAAGTACTGTTATTGTTAGATCAGAAATAGGGAATCTGTGGCCCTCCAGAGGTTGTTGGACTACAACTCCCATCAGCCCCAGCTGAAATGACCAGTGTTCTGGGATAATGGGAGTTGGGAGTCCCACAGCATCAGGAGGGCCACAGGTTCTTCATCTCTGATTTAGAGAGAGAGAGAGGTTTCAAACAGGAAAATCTAGTTCTGTTATGTAGTGGCAGTTTGAATATAAGGGCAATTCATGTAGAGTAGATTTTAGAATGGTGTCATTGAAGTCATTGCACTTGATGTGGTCCACTGCAGGCAGAAGGATCAGCAAAGGACATAACAAAACAAAGGATGTGGCAGTCAACATGGGTTCCAGGTTGACCCATGAGGCCGTTCCCCACAAACCACATCCACCTGCCACACACCTGACCTGTTCCTTTGCAAGTGAAGTCTCCTGTTAGCACTGAGCTTGCCTGTTCCATTTGGAAAAGGCTTGCATTCAAATCACCTCATTTTCAGAGTTGTTGGAAACAGAGCAAGCCTCTTGGAAGACATGGTCCAGGCACGAGTCAACTGACTGGTGCTGGGAGCACACCTTCAAAGGAGGTTGCTGTAACTGTCGCTTACAGCAAATCCCCTTTGAACTTTGGCAGTTGTCAAGTGCCTCATGTCATCATAATGTCAAGCGACAGGTGGGTGGTGTTGCCCCCCCAATCAAAGGTTGCCTGTGAAAGGATTACGATCTGAAGATCTGGTCTGCCAGCCAGATCCAGTTCCATGCCCCATACCCTTGTGTTCCGTGCAGTTTACATGCTCAACATGTCAGGCTGTTATGGGGAACTGGAGACTTCTGTGCGTCCTGAGTCCTGCCTAGCTCCTTCCTTTCCACTCAGTTGAGGAATGTGAACTTGTTTTAAAATGTCCTTCTTTTGGTTATAGTTCTCCAGCTAAGAAGCAAGGCCTTAAAAAGTCTCTGCAGTTTGAAGCCTATGCCTTTGACTCGGGTTCTGAAGGCCATGGTCCAGAGATTTTTGAAGCCTCGGCATCCTCTCTTAGCAGCCTTGTGGGCCTAGTGGCTGAGACCTCTGAGGACAAATATCGTGTTCTAGACCAGAGAGATAAAATCATGCGGCAAGGTAAGAGTTTATGAATTTGGATTGAAAAAATGTCTGGGATACATACAGGGCTGTCCAGGTGATTCACATCCACAATGTGAGTGGGTGTGAATGCATCACACAGCTGTGTAAATATCACCACAAAACAGTCATGGGGGAGTACGGGAAAACATTGAATTAATTCAGCCTGCACATAATCTAAATCTCCTGGGATCATATTTAGGATTTAATTGACAAATCAGTTAGTTGACTAATATAATTTAACTGACTAATTAGTTAACAATATTAAAGAAGTACTCCATGTTAGTCTTACATGCTGTATAAATATCAATTTTCCCCGAAGACTGAAGGTATGGAACTAAAATATTTCCTTTGGGGTGGGGTGGGGAGCAAAAAAATGAAGATACTGAAAACTGTTAACATAGTAACAACACAATCCTAACCATGCGTACTCAGAAACATGCCCTATTGAATATAATGGGACTTACTCCCATGTAAATGGGGTTAGGATTGTAGCCTAAATTAGAACGCCCAAAGATATTTAGCAATTTCCTATAAACCCTTTCCTCATGTTCTCTCCATACATTCCTTCAGCATGTGGAAGGTGTGTGTGTGTGTGTCCGTGTCCCCATTCTCCGCATGTTCAACAAGGTGAGAAGGCTCTCTGTGCTTACAACTAAATGCCCATAAGGAGTTTCTCCCAATCAAGGGAGTCGGCCTCCTTGGTCTGTGATGACCTGGAAGTCTTATGCCTGGAACAGTTATGCCTGGTAGGTGGGGGTGCAGTCAGTAGTGACAAATCTGCTCCACCTCAGGTGAATGGAATACTGGAAGAAGGCTACAGTCTCAGCTCAAGCAGCTGTGACAGATGACCATCCAACCTCTGCTGAAGAGCCTCCAAGGAAGGAGAGTCCACAACCTACTCAGGGAGTCGGTTCCATGTTCAACAGCTCTTACTGTCAGAAAGTTTTTCCTGATTTTGAGTTGGAATCTCCTTTCTTGTAACTTGAAGCCATTGGTTCGAGTCCTACCCACCAGAGCAGGAGAAAACAAGCTTGCTCCTTACAGTATTGAAGCTGTGCAGATCACCTGCATTCTGCTCAAGTATATTATTTGTTTAGTAAAAGAATGTGTTTTTTTGAAATGGAAAATTTTCCATGGGAAAACTTTTGGTGGGAGAAAGTTTTCCATCCCACAACATTATCATTCTTCCTGACAGTAAGAGCTGTTCGACAGTGGAATTTGCTGCCAAGGACTGTGGTGGAGTCTCCTTCTTTGGAGGTCTTTAAGCAGAGGCTTGACAACCATATGTCAGGAGTGCTCTGATGGTGTTTCCTGCTTGGCAGGGGGTTGGACTCGATGGCCCTTGTGGTCTCTTCCAACTCTATGATTCTATGATTCTATGATTCATAGAGAAGGGTCTCCCAGAGGGTTGCCTGTGCATGTAAATGGAGTGTCACTTTAAAAGAGGAAAACATAGCTAGATCCTGGCCGTTATAAAGGCTGGTTCATTCTTAGAAACTCTATAAAAAGGATTCCCCCCCTCCCCCCCCAGTTAGATGATCATTTGTACCAAGTTAACATTTTTTCATGATAAATGCAGAAGATCCCCCTGGGGCAGACTATTGAAACTTTGATTTCTTTCTTTTTAAGCTCGAGTAAAACAAATAGATCTTGGCAAAGCTAAAACATTTGTTGGCACATGCCCAGACATGTGTCCAGAAAAAGAGCGTTATATGAGAGAGACGAGGAACCAGCTTAGTATCTTTGAAGTGGTCCCAGGAACTGACAAGGTAGTATTGAACAAACACTTTTTGTATTAAGGTACTGCTACCAAGGCCAATACCGAGAACAACTTGGCCACTTATTTATTATAGTTCCATACTTAACGGAAATAAAACTTTGTAAATTACACCCCCCCCCCCATCAGCCTAACTTGGATTGAGGCCTAGAAGAGCATGGAAGCTAAGGACCGTTGATTGGAGGTGAAAAATGAGGGAGGGAAAATTGGCCTGATCAGTCCCATAGCGGCGGCTTGTATCCTGTGCTGTCTGCATGTATTCCCAGATGGATATAAGTAAAGTGGTGCAAACCAGCCATAGTTAAGTTTAACAAACCTTTGATTTCATGTTATCTGAAAATATTGACAGAAGTCATTTAACTTCCTTAGTGAAGATTGAGAGTGATTGGTTAAAAAGATTTAAACAATGGCAAAAATATTTTTCAGTCTCATCTTGCCTGGCGCATGGACCATGCCTGCAGAGGTGTTGCTGCTGCTGCTGCTGCTGTTGTTATTGTTGTCATCCTTAAGAATTTATTTTGTTTTCTCTCTGAGGTTGACCATGCAGCAGCAATAAAGGAGTACAGCAGGTCTTCAGCAGACCAGGAGGAACCTTTACCACATGAACTGAGGCCTTCAGAGGTGTTGAGTATGACCATGGACTACTTAGTGACGCAAATTATGGATAAAGGAGAAGGAAACTACCGGGAGTGGTACGATTTTGTATGGGATAGAACTCGTGGAATAAGGAAGGTAACCACTTTGGGATGAAGCCCTTAGATTTGACAGGATGCAAGCTAGACTCATCCAAATTATTGATTAGGCATCTGTGAATGAAAAAGGAATCCTGAAGTTGCCAACGGGGTGCTGTTTCATATTTCACTTTGGGTGGAGGGTGAAAGACTTGGGTGGCTAGGAGGGTACAGGGTTTAAAGGGCTGCTCTTTCATATGCACAGAATTGAATTGCAGGCAGAGGATCTTCAGATCATTTGTTGTGCTTCTTTTTTTTATCTCATGACGGTAGCAGTGTGGTTAGCACATCCCAGGCAAGCAGCTTTGTTTATTTAAAGAATATATTTGTATCTTTGGCATGTTTCCAACAGTTAGTTACTAAATTTGTAGCACTTAAGTTCGTTAGAGTTTTAGATGCTTCTGTGGCCATGTCATAAATGGTATGGTATGGAATGAAACAAATAGAACCAGCACAAACACCTGTAGGAGCAAAATGAAGCCACAAAAGTATGTAAATTCTTAGAGGACTTACAATAATAGCCTCCTGCATTTCTGCCATTTCCCTCTTGGACTTAGTGAGGCTGAAAAACAAAGTTTCCTCCTCTCAATCTAGAGAAGCTTGCCTTGTGCCTCCAGTAATGACATTTCAGCACCAGGCCTCTTAATAACTCTATCCATTAGCATTGTTGATGTTTTATTTTCGCCTCTGCAAAATAATGGTAACTTGGCCCGTTTTAGCCTGAATTTTCTTGGATTGATTGTTGGGGTTTTGATTTGAGCCTGTCTGTATTAGATTTTGTGGCTGAATTTTGTTGTGCTACTGGTGGATTGGGTTTATTGAGTCAATAAAACTCAGTAAAACCATGCGCATTTTTATTTTGTCTTACTTGGTGTTGCCTAGAGAGAATTCTTAGTAGGTGACTCATAAATGGACTACAAACAAATAAAACCCCCAAATATAGTATCTTTCATATGCTTAACTCTGCTATCTTGCATGCTGTGTATTCCCATTATAGAGTTTCCCCTCCACCTTTCCAGCATATGTCTCCCAGTGGGACTCATTTTGCCTGCCTTGCAGAGAATATTGAGGTCTCATTTTCTTGTATTTTATTCATTACATCTTTTATTTTGTTCATCACATCCATGCTGCTTCCACTTGTTTCCTTTATGCTTCTTCTCCCCGCCCCCCCCCCGTCATGTATGACCTGATGCTTCTAAACTTCTGTCACCAGATTAAAATAAGGTGAGCTCTCTAGGGCAGCCTTTCTCAATCTTGGGTCCCCAGATGTTCTTGAACCACAACTCCCATCTTCTCTGACCGCTGGTCATGCTGGCTAGGAACGATGGAAGCTATAGTTCAATAGCTTCTAGGGACCCAAGGTTGAGAAAGACTGCTCTAGGGTATGCCACCTAGCCTCATAAACTCTCAAGAGTTTTGGTCTAGGATCATAGCAGTTGTGCCAGGATGTCTACACATAGCTGTATATGACAAAGCATTGTCTTGGCTTTGAGACTTGTGCAGTCTTTAAAAGGTGCAACATGAAGCATATAAGTAGAATTGAATATCTGAGTTCTTGTGCTCTTACATTTTGCCAGGATATAACCCAACAACATCTCTGCTGCCCTGTAACTGTTTCCTTGATGGAGAAATGTACCCGTTTTCATATCCACTGTTCCCACCATTTATGTGAAGAGCCGATGTCTTCTTTTGATGCCAAAATCAACAATGAGAACATGACTAAATGCCTCCAGAGCCTGAAGGAAATGTATCAGGACCTTGCAATCAAGGGTATTTACTGCAAGAGTGAAGCAGAATTCAGAGGATATAATGTTCTCCTGAATCTCAACAAGGGGGATATTCTCAGGTAAGTCTTAAAATAGTTACAGGATTGATTTCACCTCTTCCCTTGCCATTATTTGTAGAATTGGTATATAAATGCAAAGGAACGTGAAGTACTCACTGTTAAGGTGTAAGACTATCATTCTGTGATAATTCTGTAAAATTGAAGTTGGAAAATAGCTAAGCCCACCCAATCTAATATTTGTCCAGAGCCAACTACCCACCAGTTATTTTACTTTTTGTCCTATGCAAGTATATTGTTTCTAGTCAAGTGTTAACAATGAATTATGGTCTGCCTCTGACAGGAATGGGGAACCCTTTTCCTCTAAAGGGCCTACTGACCAATAATAAAAGCCAATCAGAGCAGAGCCATGGGTGGATTGAGACACTACCTGTTGTCTCTTTCTGTAACCCCCTTCCAAAGCAGCCACTTCCTCTTCCATCTCCTGATTGTCTAGCTGTGTGTGCTGCATGTGCCATTGAAGTTTTCAGGAATTGGGCATTTGCTTGCATATTTACAAGTGGCTGAAAGATTTTCATTTGCCATGTTTCCTGAGGTATACAGCTGTCTGGGGAACTGTGCCAGAGTGCCTCATGCCCTTGGGAGTGCTCATGTTAGGCTCCCCACCCCCAAAAGGAAAAACCTTTGCCTAGGCAAGCACCCCATCCCTGAAAACTGCAATGGCAAAAAAGAAAGAGAGCTTTATAAGTGATCAGGTCAGGTTCATGATGCATTTGAAGAAAAATCTCTGTCAGCATTATTTCTTTCAATGCTTAAAAAGACAAGGACAACCTCCTCCCCTCCAGCTTACCTGTTTTTGTGCTTGGCTTCTCTCTAAATAGCTGTTCTTTATCCTCATATCTTGAGCCTCTTGTTCAGTGTGCTCTAAACACAGTGGCACTGATATTCTTCCTTCTTGGAAGAATCAAGGATTTTGCTTTCAGTTCATTCGAATAAATCAGATTTAGAAGTAAAGTCAGATCCATGTTCACAAACCTGCAGCTAGACTTTGGCAAGGATATGCTCTGCAAAGACGTGCAAAAAGCAGAACAAAACATAATGTATTTTGACTCCTGAACTTCCTTAAAGACTGACAGATGCATTAAAATACATGCCTTCATCAGTTTCAGCCCACTTCCTTAGATGGATATAGAATAAAAAGAGAATACTAAACCATGTGACCAAAAGGCTGAGAGAAGCCCTTGCACTTCAATCCCTCTTGGCCACGAGATTAACAATTATTCTCTTGATTCCTATGTGTGCTCCTGTCCCAACCAAGGATAGCTCTTCATGCTTCTGATTAAATGGACTGCATTGGTTTAGCTACCTCTAGTATTAGTTAAAATTAATAATATAAGTAAGTAGTTTTTTTCAGATACATAGATGTTGAAATAAATGTTTGAATACTTCATCTGCAGCAAGGGGGTCTTCAATTTAAATGCATGATACTATTCATGGATTTTAAGCCTAAGGCCCTGTGTGTTTTTACTTTCTGCATTTTTGTGTTCAACAGAGGTAGCTTCCATCATTAGCAGTAAAGTAAGAAAATCGTGTCCCTCTTTGTCTCAACAGAGAAGTGCAACAGTTTCGTCCAGATGTCCGAAACTCCACTGAAGTTAGATTTGCAGTTCAAGCCTTTGCGGCTTTGAACAGCAATAACTTTGTAAGGTTTTTCAAACTTGTGCAAACAGCTTCTTACCTGAATGCATGCTTGTTACACTGCTACTTCAGCCAGGTAAGAAATGGCATTTAACTAAGAAAATACTGAGGAAGGGAAAACCCATATTTTGCATTTCTTATCATCCTAAAATATGTTGTCAGTGGGTGTTTGGTGGTTTTTTGTTTTTGTTTTAACATTGCAAATACCCAAGATAGTATGGTGTTAGGCTTGTAAGTCACAGAATGTATCACTTTGGGGTACAATTCCAAGACCCAGGCTTCCCCGGGTGTGTGAGAGGGGGCCACTTCCATGACTCTGAGCACTTGAGGACACCTTGGCTGCCCCTTTGCTGTAAAACTGAAAATCTTGCATTGTTGAGGCCTTTGGCCAGAAGATTCTGCAACAGGTGATAACAGTGAATTTGTTCCCTTACCCTGCTGGCCAAGAATGGAAATTTGATTTACTTTGAGGGTTTTTTCTGCCAGGACAGCAGGCAAACCCTCTTCAGGCCTGTATTCATTATCTGAGGTGCAGTGTATTCTCTTGGTTTCCACAGTAATTTGCTCTGGTGTTGATAGGGACGCCACTGAAATATTTCCTGTCCTATTTTCTGTTTAGTTTTTCATTAAATGTAGCTTGTTCCCATTGGAATGGCTTACGTCTGCCTTCTACTGGAAGGTGAATCTACTGGAAGGTGAATCTACCGTATTTTTCGCCCTATAGGGCGCACTTTTTCCCCTTCAAAAATGAAGGGGAAATGTGTGTGCGTCATATGGGGCGAATACAGGCTTTCACTGAAGCCTGGAAAGCGAGAGGGGTCGGCGCGCACCGACCCCTCTTGCTCTCCAGGCTTCACGAAGCCCTGCGCAACCCTCGGGAGCCCGGCGCGGGAGGGAGATTGTTCCTTTTGGGGAGCCAAAATGCTTTGTTTGATGGAATGATTGCTTTAGTGCAATGCTGAATTCCTCCCATGGTGTTCCAAGGTTTAGTACTCCTGGGGGTTCAAAACATGTTGAAAGAATCACCTGCTGCAATTTGGGAAAAGTTGGTATGTTGGAGCCTCAGACAAAATTGGTTAAGGTATATAAAGTGAAAAGAAAAGCACCTATAAACGTAACCACCTCTTCCTTGTTATTGCGAAACATTTTATGTATCTTCATTAATTTTTTAATTTTTAATGGGAGCTTATAAAATATTTTTCAGATTCGTAGAGATGCTTTAAGGTCTCTCAATATTGCTTATACTGTGAGCACTCAGAGGTCCACCATCTTTCCTCTCGATAATGTGGTCCGCATGCTGCTGTTTAAAGACTTTGAAGAGGCAACTGATTTTATAAGTTACTATGGCTTGAGTGTTTCTGATGGGTAAGTGTTACCGTATTTTTCGTTCTATAGGACGCACCGGCCCATAGGACGCACCTCGTTTTTTTGGGGGGGGGGAATGAATAAAAAATTATTCCCCCCTACGGCTGCCGCCCAAAGCCTCGCGTGCTCGGGCTGCAGGCTGCCGCCCAAGCCTCGCGCGCTCGGCGGGACCTCCACCGGGCGCGCAAGGCTTGCAGACACTCGCCCGAGCACGGGAGCCCTCCGGAGGGCTCCCGTGCTTGGGCGACTAGCTGCCGCCCCAAGCCTTGCGCGCTCGGCGGGACCTCCTGCCGGGCGCGCAAGGCTTGCAGACACTGCGCCCGAAGCACGGGAGCCCTCCGGAGGGCCCCCGTGCTTCGGGCGACAGGCTGCCGCCCCAAGCCTCGCGCGCTCGGCGGGACCTCCTGCCGGGCGCGCAAGGCTTGCAGACACTCGCCCGAAGCACGGGAGCCCTCCGGAGGGCTCCCCATGCTTCGGGCGACAAGCTGCAGCCCCAAGCCTCGCGCGCTCGGCGGGACCTCCTGCCGGGCGCGCAAGGCTGCAGACACTCGCCCGAAGCACGGGAGCCCTCCGGAGGGCTCCCGTGCTTCGGGCGACAGCTGCCGCCCAAGCCTCGCGCGCTCGGCGGGACCTCCTGCCGGGCGCGCAAGGCTTGCAGACACTCGCCCGAAGCACGGGGGCCCTCCAGAGGGCTCCCGTGCTTCGGACGACAGGCTGCCGCCCAAGCCTCGCGCGCTCGGCGGGACCTCCTGCCGGGCGCGCAAGGCTTGCAGACACTCGCCCGAAGCACGGGAGCCCTCAGAGGGCTCCCCGTGCTCGGGCGACAGGCTGCCGCCCCAAGCCTCGCGCGCTCGGCGGGACCTCCTGCCGGGCGCGCAAGGCTTGCAGACACTCGCCCGAGCACGGGAGCCCTCCAGAGGGCTCCCGTGCTTCGGGCGACAGGCTGCTGCCCTAAGCCTCGCGCGCTCGGCGGGACCTCCTGCCGGGCGCGCAAGGCTGCGGACACTCGCCGGGGCTGCAGGCTGCTGCCTGCAAGCCTTGTGAGCCCGCGGGAACTCCCACCGGGCTTGCAAGGCTTGCGGATAGCTTCCTGAAGCCTGGAGAGCGAGAGGGGTCGGTGCGCACGGATGCCTCTCGCTCTCCAGGCTTCAGCGAAGCTGCATTCGCTCCATAGGACGCACACACATTTCCCCTTCATTTTTGGAGGGGAAAAAGTGCGTCCTATGGAGCGAAAAATACGGTACATAGAGTTCAAGGAGCCTTGGTTTATCCAGGAGCTTTTATGAAAACTGTGGTGCAAAGGCTTTAATAGAGAAAGATGGATTTTAGTGACTGAAGCCGGCATCTCCTTCAGAAGGGTCAGTTCCCTGCATTAACCTCCTGTGTCCCACACATATCACAGAGTGGAAAGAATAAAATCTTTACATTAGAAGTGTGGTCCTAACTTGACTTAGAGCTTCTCCCTTTTCCATTGTTAAACACCTCTCTAATAACCTATAAGTGTAACTGCTTTTACGGGTTGTATTAGAGGGTTCTTGGGCCTTTGACTCTAATCTTGACTGAAGTTGAACCAGAAAACAGTGGTAAGTAATGGCTGGAATCTGGGCATCACAATGGCATTCTCCTTTAATGGAGTTAAGATCCAGAACCGTCTGGTTTCATCTCTTTGCTCAAAAATAAGGAAGCTTGTGTCAAGCCTATGAACCATCTAGTTCAGGGGTAAGGAAACTTTTTAGCTCTGCGGACCAGTCTCCTGTCCAAATCCCGTGCACTTGCAAAGACCACCTGCTGCTGATCCGTTCAGGCCCCAATTTGGAGGTTGAAAGGATCAGTGCTGGCCGGGGTGGGGAGCTTTGCAATGTACAGGACGGCTTGGGAATCCAGTGGAGCTTCAAAAGGGGCACGGGGAAGCTCCTGGACCATGGAAGAATTCTGTGTCTGCCCACTTTCCTGCTGCCCCTGCTGCTAGGCTCAGCAACAGAAGAGAGCCTGGGTTTTAGCATTCTTCTCTTGCTTACAGTTGTAGCAGTGGCAGTAGTGGGAGGGGGCAAGGAATAGAAATAATTCTTTCTCCTCTTTGTTCTTCCCTGCTGCTACGGTGGTAAGCATGCTGGTAGAGAGAAGCTGTCCCCTTCTTGGGCAAGGGGCACTCCGACTGCCCATCCTCCAGCCCATCAGCTGATGGGCGTTTGGGAGCAAGCCTTGTTCCAGCACAAAGGAGCAATCAGAAGCCCACTTGTTCCTTTGAAGCCCCACCCTTACCTGCTGCACAGCTGATGTCATGCATTATGCCACGTGCAAGGGGGCGGGCAGGGCTTGGCTTTCCCAAAGTAGCCTCCCGAGTTTGTTCTGCAGGGCAGAGGTTCCCCACCCCTGATCTAGTTGTGCATGCTAGATATATTTGCAAACCTCCATGTAGAAATCTTTGGCCTCGGGATCATTTGGCATGTGTTTTGTATTTCATTTTACAGTTTCGTGGAGTTGAATCGGTCTGCTTTTCTGGAACCAGAAAGCTTGCCCAAGCCAAAGAAATCCCTTTTTGTTGGGCAGAAGCTAACTGCTTCCGTTGGGGAAATTGTCAGCGGGGGAGTTTTACCACCTGTGATTCGCCACATACCTTTGTGTAGCTTTAACGCACAGAACAAATACACCGGGGAGAGTGCGGCAGTGGACTCGGCCAGCAGTAGTCAGAAAGCCAGTGCTGAGGCGACAGGTAAGCCAGAACTCACACACCCAGGATAGGATGCGAAACTGTGCTCTTGAGTTGAAGGAGAATTATGTCATGGAAAAAAAGCATATATGTGTGTTTTAAATTTGGTTTATTTTTCAACTTTTCAGCTTTTGCATTTGGCAGAACAGTTTAAAGTAGTATTGAGTGATTAATAATAGAATTTGAAAATAGAACCTGAGCATTAAAATAGTTTATTTGTATCCTTGATTTAATTTGTTAAGTATTTGATGTCTGTAAAAATCCTATAGACACCAGAGCTTGAACAGGAAGGTTTCTGCATGCAGAGCATGTCCCCATTGAGTTCTGGGTCCTTCCATTCAGAATTGGCTCTTTTGAAGAAAAAAGTGGTTATCAGTGTTATTAAGATTGCGGTTTACCTTTCTAAGCAGCTCTTCCCTTTTAGCAGCTGGATATTGTATCTCTTGGTTTCACCCACAGAAACAAGAGCAGAAGACAGTAGTGGAGACCTGGAAGTCCTTCGAGTTCAGCCTCCGTTGTTGCTTTTACCGCTCGTACCGGCACCTTTGACTTCTGCTACAGGGTCCACTTTTCGGCCAATTTCACAACCTTCTCTTCCTCCTCCTCCTCCCAAGCTTCAGCCTGTTTACAGTGATATGGTGAGGAGCTTCAGAAAATACATTCTACTTCTGTTTTGCTGTCACACAGTTCTTAAAAATGAGGAACAATACTTTATAAAGTCTTCTATTTTAATGTAAGTGTTTGTGGTGTAATTTATAAAAGAGAAATGTGATGCAGGTACCACATAGGATGCTATAATTAACAATTTGGCAAGATAGATACAGATGGTGTTTGGTATAATGGGATTACAACAAAGGGCTGCGCTGACCAACAATGAAATTTATGGGAAGATCATCAAGGATAATATATAGTAATTTGAAAGAATGATGTTCAGTAGTATAAAAGTGTGTGTGGTCATTTCAATTTAATTTAAACTAGCAAGAAATAAATATGTATGGGGAAGGCCTTAGGGGGCTGACAGCCTCTAGTATAATGCAGCTACAATAGAGGCAAATGCAGTCTTGAATGTCTTAGGCAAGACCTTTCCTGTCAGAATGGGGAGTACTAATAAACTCACAATGCAGATTTGGAAATTTTGTGTGGCAACAGTCATTCAGATCCAGCAGCAACAAATTTAAGCTTGAGGAAGCCTAGCTTGGATCATTGCAGGGATTAAGAACGTCTTCTGTGAGTGGAGGTTGAAAGTGCAATTACCAGTTTGGGACTGAAGGCTGTGCAGCAGAATTTGGGGTAAATTACTTCGTTAAAGGATTTTGTCTAATAGACCCAACTGCTGTAATCTGAAGGTACCGTATTTTTCCGTCTATAAGATGCCTCCATGTATAAGATGCCCCCTGTTTTTGGGGACTCCAAATTAAGAAAATGGGGAGGATATATATAAAGAAATGCATAAGTAACATTTTTTTTAAAAAAAAGATTTTAGTTGTTTCACAGAAGGTCAAATTTAAGGCAATAATTGAACTAAATGACTCTGACACGCCTCCTAGTTCTGATCATGAGCCTAAAGTGTGATTAATACAACCTTTCCCTGTAGAGTGCATATTATTTGCTGTTCTGTTCACATTTCTGAAATTTAAGAATGACCTATCATGCAGTAATACCATTTGGTTTTGCTTTTCAGAATGGAATGTTTTGAGTGTCGGATGCTAATTGCCAGTTCTTTCTTGTTCCCAGGACATTGCCGAAGTGGTTGAAGACCTTGTGCATGATGTGCTAGAAGGCGAATGCAGAGAAATTGGCTCCACAGGAGCAGCCTATGTACAGACAGCAATATGGTAAATGCACTAATGCTGCACTCAGTGTTATTTGAAGACATTCCGAGGAAGCCATTGCTATATCCAATCCATCTCAGCATACAATAACATAAGAAGAGTCCTGCTAGATCAGGCCAGAGGCCCAACTAGTCCACTGGTCTTCAGCTTGTGGGCTCCAGCCTGGTCCAGAGTTGGGCACAACAGGAGTGCAACCACCATGCAGATATATGGTGAAAGATTCAGAAACGGGATCCCAAATGCACATTTGGGTTAAAAGTGGGTTCTGGGTCTGAAAAGGTTGAAGAGACCTCTTTTAGTCCAACATCCTATTCTCACAGTGGCCAACAGCTTGCAGAAATAGTTTGGATACTGTTTAGTCAGTGAAGGCCAACTGTCAAACTGGGCAGCTTTATTCATTTCACAAAAATTGATGATTGACAGCGGTGGCATGTTCTCCTCTCTCTCTCTCTCTCTCTCTCTCTCTCTCTCTCTCTCTCTTTTACGTGTAAACACATTACTTGCCAAAGCAGGTTGGCATACTTGCTGTTGCAAACAACTGTCAAGTATTACCTGGAGGTTGTTTAAAACCCAGCTTGGAACACCCAGAAATAAATGAACTGCCACATGGGGGAAATCACCGGTAACCATATTGCATTAATAATAATAATAAATTTTATTTATACTCTGCCCTCCCCAGCCAAGGCCGGGCTCAGGGCGGATAACAACTAATAATAAAAACAAGTTGAATTACTATAACTTAAAAACAAGATTAAAATACAACATTAAAACATTAAAATGCAGCCTCATCACAGGAGGAGAAAGGAAAAAAGAAAGAAGGGGAGGGAATAAAATTGACTCCAAGCCAAAGGCCATGTGGAACAACTCTGTCTTACAGGCCCTGTGGAAAGAAATCAGATCCCACAGGGCCCTGGTCTCATGAGACAGAGCGTTCCACCAGGCTGGAGCCAGTGTTGAAAAGCCCTGGCTCTGGTTGAGGCTAATCTGACTTCCTTAGGGCCCGGGACCTCTAGGGTGTTGCTATTTATGGACCTTAAGGTCCTCCGTGGGGCATAGTCTCTACTTTCTTGAAAACAGGACAGGAGAGCAGGCAGGGAAAGGTTAATCCATGCCTGACTGAGGGCAGGGCCTGCAAGTTTGATACACCTCCTGAAAAGGAAGCTCCTCTCATATTAAGCACATGACTTCAACCATATGAGGACACAACTCATGGCATGCAACAGTAAAGTTAATTCTGGAAGAACACTAATGAACAAACCATCTAAATGATGTGGGAGGGGTACATCCTGGAGAAGGGCCCTAGAGCTCCTGTACTGCATGCAGAAGGTCCTGTCTTCAGTGTCCAGCATCTGCAGGTGGTACTGGGAATGTCCCCTGTCTGAAGTTCTGTTGCTGAACAACTGTCAGCTTCAGCTCTCATGGCCAACAGCCGGGGGCAATGGGGGTTGTAGTTCATCAACATCTGGAGGGCCACAAGATGCCCATCCCTGGTTTAGACAATACTGATAAAGTTCCTGTGTTCCTACTTTCCACTTTGGGTTATGGTGCAGGAGAGGAGCAGGAAAGGAATATTCAAAAGCAGTGTCATCCCAGAAAGGGTCAGGAGAATGGCATATTTCAGTAACCGGATGAAGGATCCCCTTGACTAATATAGTTTTGTAACACTGCGTAACATTAAGTGGTAGAACAGGTGGCTGTGCCGAATGTGTCTTCTGATGGAGCATGGTGCTTCAAGCTGTGGAAACAGCAGATGTGGGCAGCAGTCAGTCATCTTGTGGAGATGAGAATGAGCCCTTGAGGACACATTTGTGCTGTTGGACCTTCTGTGCCTTCTAACCTACAAATAGAAACATGAAGAACCTCATGTTAGGGCTCTTTCTTGCGGTGAACTGGATTCAGGCAGTTTGGTAGGGCTCTCTTCCAACTCCTGTGAAAGTCCAAATTATTTTTTGGTACCAATTATGGATTGGTACAGAACACAATTCTTTCTTCTTGAAAAGAAATAAAGATCTCATTATATCCCACCACTATGATGGAAATAAACATGGCCCAAAACATTGACAAATTTGCATCCCATTAGCATTCCTGGTCATGTCTGGAGCACCCAAACTCAGATATGGCCTTTTATCAGGGTGAAAGTAAGCCATAATTGGGGGGGGGGCTCTTTAGATATCAAATCATGCCAGCTTTACTATTCCTGCATCCCAAATGCATGTTTACAGAAATAAACAATAGAAAAAAATTCACATTATCACACAACATTACATGTGAATAACAAACAGGCCTTTGTGGGGAGATTGGAAAAATTCTGCTGCATGTTTAGGCCTAGTTCTTTCTACTAACTCTTCACAATTGTTTCATTTATTTTATGCAGGATCTCCAGTGTTACTACAGATGAAATCATGACAGACGTGATGCTGGGAATCTTAAGGCAAATTGCATCAGATGTAATCAGTGCAGAAAAACTGAGACTTGAAGAGGAAAGACGCCGTGCTGAAGAAGAGAGGCAAACATTCTTTATACTTGTAGTAGAAACTTTGAGACAAGGAGATGTAGAGTGGAATACATTGTGGTACTTGTGTGGATAAGCCAGCCATAACACCCCAGCACCACAGCGGGAGCGGAGTCCTAGAGAGGCAAGGGTCAGCAACACCCAGTGGCCAGGCTTCCCCACCCATGCGCTCAGCCTGGGTGGGAATGGGCTCTACATGTGTACCAACACGTGTAGAACTCTACACAATGCTCCCCTTCCTCTCCCTCATTGTATGAAGGTGCTCTGTGATGCACATCCCTTTTACCTATTGGCCAAATGCATGGACCGTGAGGAGATATAAACCCCCCGCAAACATGCTGGCAGCAGGAGATGGATAACTTACACAGCCCCACCATCTTCATGCGCATTGTTTGAATGTGAATCTCTCAGGTCAGGTGGGCTTGGTTGGGAAGGGGTTGTAGCTCAGTGGTCGAGCATCTGCTTCAGTCTCTGGCATGTTCAGTCCCAGACAGGACTGGGAAAGATTCCTGTGTGGAATCTTGGCTAGTCAGTTTAGGCAAAATTGAGCTACCTAGTCTGATGGTCTGAGCTGGTACTAGGCAGCTCTGTTCCTCTGTTATCAGCTCTAAGAGGTATCTGTTTCCTTCCATATCATTAAGTTTCTCTCTTCTAAATATTTGTACTTTGGTTGATTATTCCCTAAACATTGTATTTGCATTCATCTTGAAAATGAATGAATCTGGGAGGGAGGGTTTGAAGGGGGGGAAAGGGAAAATAATGAATATGATATGTTTTGATAATTTGTTATGTTGAAATTGTTAATAAAACCATATTTTTAAAAAAGAGAATGAATTAGGATGACAGTAAATTGGCAGGACCTGGGCTTTACTGCTGTTTAATGCAATGTGCTAGGAATTTCAGCAATGAATGTAATCCGAATATGGTTAATGGTACCTGTATCCTTGTAATATTTTGATGCATTACACTTAATGCACTAGTTTTGACACTGCAGTTTTTAAAATATGGAGATACTTGGTCGCTTAAGATTTTACTTGTCTGTCATCTGCCTATAATGTGTGTGTGTTTTTCTCCTCTCCTTAGGCAGAAGCAGGAAATGGAGCAGTTAATAGAAATGTTGAGCGACTCGCTGCGTATGGCATTGACAGAAGAAGTGGTGAAGGAAATGGTGCAAGAGATTTCAGCAAAGGAGTTAAAGTAAGCGGTAAAACACGGGGATTTGCCTGTGAAATGGATGTCAGGACCAGCCCTATGCAGAATATGGGCTGGGTCAACACGAAGGAGCTTTGAGACCTAGATTTTAAAAAGCTCAAAATTTCAAATGTTGGCTTCCTAACTCTCTGTGCCCTGTGTTTTCACAGTCATCTAGAGGAGGGGAACAGCCCCTTCTCACTTTCTGTGATAAAGTCTACTCTTCTTCGGATCACACAATGTTTTATCTTGAAGTAAAACTACATAAAGTAATGCCAATCAAATGAGTTTTGTTTTTTCTTCCCACCACAGCAATAACTGGTACAGTAATCTAGTTGAAAGGGACGCAGGTGGCACTGTGGGTTAAACCACAGAGCCTAGGACTTGCCGATCAGAAGGTTGGCGGTTCGCATCCCCGTGATGGGGTGAGCTCCCGTTGCTCAGTCCCGGCTCCTGCCAACCTAGCAGTTCAAAAGCACATCAAAGTGCAAGTAGATAAATAGGTACCGCTCTGGCAGGAAGGTAAACGGCGTTTCCATGCGCTGCTCTGGTTCGCCAGAAGCAGCTTAGTCATGCGGAAGCTGTACGCCGGCTCCCTCGGCCAATAAAGCAAGATGAGCACCGCAACCCCAGAGTCGGCCACGACTGGACCTAACAGTCAGGGGTTCCTTTACCTTTACCTAATCTAGTTGAAGAGAAAGAGGAGAGTCGACTAGACACAGAATATCTAGGTGGTGATGTAGAAAAATGGATCAGTTCATGTCATATTACAAATTGGCACATATTTTTCAATTTCTTTGTTGAAAAAGTCTTGATGCATCTCTGTGTGCAGAAGACAAGAGTTCCTATTTAAGCTGTTTCTGCCGTTCTTATCACCATAACAACCGGGAAGTTTTTAATCTTTGATGTTTTACTATTTTTTATATATACTGTAAGCTGCCCAGAGTGGCTGGGGAAAGCCAACCCGATGAGCGGGGTATAAATATTATTATTATTATTTATTATTATTATTTTCAATTTAGTCTTTGAAAATTTTAAAGTGGCTTCGTTCATTGACAGAAATCCTGCATTTTTCATTTTCATTTTGCTTTGTTACTGTGCTCTGATGCTTAATTTTGACCTAGGTGTGCCCTGGAGAAAGACCAAAGAGCACGCGTTGCCCGCTGCTCCAAGGAAGTCTGTGCTGAAATAATGGGTGTATTTTTGGAAGATGAGATTTTCCAGAGTGCTAAGGAGACTCTACAAGAACTCCAGTGTTTCTGCAAATACTTACAACGGTGGGTTAAATAAAGTTTTTCTGCAGCCATTTGGCATAAAATGGACCCTTGTCTAGCATGTCAAGTTTATATTCTACTCTTTCACAAAATAGCTAAGAGCAGCACATGTTAAGTCTCATTTTTATCTTTATTTTGTTACAGGTTTAATCTATTGTAGGAAGATAGGTTAGGTTGAGAAATGATTAAGAGCTATAAGTAAAATGATTTCTGAATGATGAATGGCTATCCCAACAGTGCTTTTCCAGTAGTGGCCCAAGAAGGAAAGTTGCATTCCTTCTGCCCTCCAGTGATTTGAACTTCTTTGATGTCTGCTTGGCAGGCTTATCAGGGACGCCTTTTTTAAAATGGGCTTTGTAGATTGTAAATCAAATTTCAAAGAGAAACTGATGTTGAGTTGAACTGCTCATGGTAGGGCTCAGGGTCAGGGCTTTTATGTGATGACTCCTGATTGCAAAATAATTGAGTGGCTTTTCATTTATTTATTTTTTAAATATACACTGCTTGATTGGTTTTCTTTAAAATCCTCAAAGTGCTTTATTTTGTGTGTGTTTTGAAGACCTTTATTTTGTCTGAAATCTGCAAGCCTACAAGAAAATTACATGAGCACGTTAAGAATGAATTGTAACTTTTTTGGTGACATACCAAACCCGACTTAGCCAGCTTTCTGGTTGCAGTTTTGTCTGTGAATGAGAGCAGTTAAATGAGTAGGACCCTTCTTTTGTAGCAAGTGTTAATTGTTTATAGTTTTTATTATTATTGTAAAAGATACTGGATTCCACAGTGGCATAGATACTGTTGGATGTCTTTAGGCATTGTCCGCTTTTTATTTTACTGCTGTATGATTTGGTAATGGCCCTTGGCTAAGCAATAACTTTGATTTGAATAATTTTAATGAAATGCATTGATACTTTATCTTGCAGATGGAGGGAAGCTGTTGCAGCCCGAAAGAAATTGAAGCGTCAGATGAGATCTTTCCCAGCGGCTCCCTGTTGTGTAGATCCAAAACATAAATTGAAGGCTCTGTCTCCCAGCGCAGAATGTCCTATTGCCAGAGAGCACCTTGCTAAAACGATTGTAAACTTGGGACATGCAGGGAACCTTGGCATCTCCTGTCTTAGGTAAGTGCATCCTGGCCTGGTTCACACAATAGACTAAGACAAGCCTTGGCTGAAGCAAGAGCAGGAATGCAGATCTCTGGGGAGGAGTCTCTTCGGTGCTTTTTGCTGCTACGCTGTGCTGAGCTTGGCTAGACGTGCCACTCAGTTGGGGGCTCCTGGCTTAACCACAAGCTCGGTTTGGCTCAGCGCAGTGGTCCCCAAACTTTTCCAATAGAGAGCGCTTGAAAGCTGCTGAGGGCCTTGATGGACCACTTAACAGTTTTTCTACCTGTCATAGCTATTGTAATGGGTTGTGCTAGGTACTGTATAATTTTTTACAGACATGCCACAGATGACCTGAATGAACGGACCACAGTTTGGAAACTGCTAGCTTAGTGCATTGTGCAGACTGGGCCACTTTTTAATTGACCACTCTATAGGTTATAGAAATCAGTGGATATACAGTTTCTGCTAGTCACGTCCCCATGTGAAAAGAAAGAAAATGTGCTCCTTTTCATCATCCTCTGACCCCCGCCCCCCGTGCTTGTATTCTTTGTGTCTATTGCAGGGCCAGTCATGGTTTGCTGTGGTCCACATACACAGTTTACGTGGTTAAAAACAGATGCATTTTGTTTTTTCAATGTTGAAATCCAATGTGTCCCATCATGTTTATTATGTCATATTTTGGTCATGTTTATTATTTTTTCAGTGTTGTGTGGAGGAGCCCCAAGTGAGTAAATACAATAAGCCTACAACTTAAGCGCATTTTACTTGTGTGCTCATTCAAACGTTGAAAATGTTAAAAAAATTAAAAGGGGCAGAAAGGAAGTTCTAGGGAAAAATACTTTCTCAATATAATGCTGAGGCTATCAGTCCCTGAATTCTTTTACTCTTCAGTAATTCCCCATTAGACTTCTTTTTTTTCTCTGTAGACTTCTTTCTTCCCTCTGTATTAACAATTGTAGGTAAGGCACCTCTTAAAATTAATGTGCAACAGGCATCTCAATTGCAGCCATGTAGGTGATCACATCTGCAGCTAGATAGCTAGCTACTCCTTGAGGTAGCTTTGAAATCTCAGACAGACATAAATTCTTGTTAGTAACATTGGAATTCATGTCTTTGTACATGCTGGTCATATAAGAGGTTGTCATATACTTGCAAGATGGAAGGGGGAATGTGGACCAAATAAACACTTTGCTTATTTCTAGGCTCAGAAGTTTACAGAACAAGGCAATTCATCAAATGAAAGTGCAACATTTTTACCACCAGTTATTAAGGTATGTTAAAATTATTGAAGCTAAAGCACACATATGGCAAACTCCGGGATTGCCACCTGCAGTAACCCTAGAACAATTGTGAAGTGATAGATTCCAAAATGGATTTTGACTTGAATAAGTGCCTTTTAAAAAAGTACGTGTTCATGACCATCTATCAAACACTGAGTTAAAGACTGTTTTTCTTTATAAAGGAGAACTAAGGGGGCAATATCTGACTTCCTAGGTTAAACCTTATCATGTTAGTTGTAAAAAAATAAATTAAAAAAAAATCCTTCCAGTAGCACCTTAGAGACCAACTAAGTTTGTTATTGGTATGAGCTTTCGTGTGCATGCACAATTCTTCTTGTCTGTGGACTTCCCACGAGGCTCGGTGACTTGCAAGTTCCCACAGGCAGGGCCAGGGCTCTATGGAGGCAGCAGGACTGGAGTGGAGAATTGCTGCCACTGGGTGCCCTGCTGATTTCCTGTCTGCTTGCCCTGCTGTTCCTGCCACTGCTGGCCACTTACCCACCCACAAGGCCCTTTGCCACCCCCTTTGTCTTCTGCCTGCCTTGTTCAAAGGGAGCCCTTTCTCAGAGCACAGGGTTCTACACCAGGTGTCCAGGAAAGTACCTTCACCGCCAAGCCTAACAGCTTAAATTGCTATTTAAGCTTACTCCAAAGTAGCTAAACTTTTTCAAATTTTAAACTTTTCACTTTAATCAGCATTTGTAGCCACTGTGGCAGCAGAAGCGATCTGTCAGACACTGCTCCCAGACTACATCACTCTGTGGAAGGAGGGAGCCCCTTGGACTTTCCTCAGAGTGTGGCAAGATGGGGGCAGAGAACTTGCCAGCAGTGCTAGCACTAATGCAGTAGCAAAAGAGCAACAGAGGAAAAGAAATCTGGAAATGGGCTGTGGGGAGAGGAGGAGGAGGAGGAGGAGGAGGAGGAGGAGGAGGAGGAGGAAGAGGAAGAGGAGTATCTTGAGCTAGCCCTGATCCCAGATGCTAGGGTGATACTGCATAGATAAGCATGTATCTCTTGTTTTGTGTGCTTTGGCTATCTGAGCTCTGCTGTGCATCCCGTTCTGACTGTTTCCTGGTTTAAGAACTCTACCAGCCAACCAGCACAGACACTTACTTTCCATCTTGGAGAGAAGCACAACCAGCCCTTGTTCCTGAAGATTCTGTACACTTGTAACAATCTGTTCTTATGCAGTCTTAGCCTTCTGTGTATGAAGAGAGACAAATAGAAATTTGCTTTTGTCTGAAGCAGATGTAACTGTGCAATGTAAGAGTATATGAGTTGCACGCAGAGAGGGTTTGGATTGTGCTCCTATATCAAATCAAGGCTCTATTAGATTAACAGATCAATACAGCATTTATAATCTACAAAACAATATATAAAACAGTATTTAATCTATAAAACAATATTAACAACACAGGCAAAATAGCAACTGCAAAAAATAAACTAAGCATACACACACTCTCCAGACCCCCATCACTCGTAATCTTTCGCTCTGTTCAGTTCATTAAAATACGCATAAAATGCACACAATTCCTGTTGCTAAGGCAGCTTAGCCAGATGTTGCGCCTGCTGGACTCCTTGCGTAGTGGGCCATGGGGGAGACACTGGGGCTCTTGGGCCTGCCACCAGTGGTTAGGTGGACTCTGGGTAGCTTGCCCAGGCGCTGTTGAGGAGAAGCTCACCCTCCTTGCTCTTGATAATCTGGAGGCTCATTCCCACTCAAGGAAGCCCAAGGCAAGCCTGTCCCTCCAGAGTGATGAGTTGCGGCTGCACTTGGTGTTGTGGCCGGCCAGGAAATCCAGCTGTGCCTCCATACCCAGGACACTCTCTCTGCGCCATGGCCCATCCACCACCAGCTGCTCCCTGTCTGATCACAGAGATCATGGGGGAGTCTCTGTTAGTGGTCCCCCACGACTCAGAGGCACAGCTGTAACTCATAGGAGCCATGTATTCAGCCTTGTGGGCCCGATCCTGTGGAACTCCCTACCAACTGAGATCAGACAGGCCCCCTCCCTTCTGAACTTTAGGCCCTTGACACTCCTATTTCAGATGGCATTGCATGGTAGCTTTCTGTTTCTCTGTCAAATTTTAATTGTTCTTTGTGTTTTTAAACATATTCTGTGCACTGCCTAGAAATTCTGCATAATAGTAAGTGTTATATAAAATAAATAATAAGAAATAATTTTGTGTGTGTGTGTTCCTAAGGGATGCAGTGTGGACTCCACTGGATCTGCCATCACTGGTAGCTGAAAACATTCCAGTGAAAGAAAAAGAGGTTTTTTGGAAAGTACTTCTCGTGTTGCCAGGCTATGAGGAATGTCCAGTTGGGGATCCCAGAAGGTATTTTTTGCATTCAAACTATGCCGAGAAAGCCAGTAGCTGGTGGTGTTGCCTGCGTGGCCCTCAGGGCTGACCTGTTATCAGCAGTACTGCAACCTAGTAGATGCTAGCCATTCAGAAGACACAAAATAATTTGGTTTGCTACTTGCTTATGTTGGTATTCATAACTAGAGACTTGCATGAAAATGTTTGGTTTTGTTGTTTTTTACTCCCTCGCCCAGCCCCATGTTGCTGACTGAAACAGTCTTCTAGTCCCTGGAGCTCCTTTTCATTAAAAGAGACATTAAAAGTTCTCCAGCATTGCTGAGGCCCCGGGAATCTTGGTGTCGGTGCCTATTGAACTTTGAATCTGGGTTAACTTCAGCCAGTTTTTCCAGTGTGGAAGAATGCAAGCTAGCCATTGTGTTCTCCATGACTGTGCTATGCCTGCTATGTCCCTTGTGCCATTGTTCTTCCCTTTGCATAGAAGACGGGGAAAGTTGGGGTATTGGGTACTTGGAGTCCTGCCCTTAGAAGCTCCATTGCCTTGGCTCCTCCCATAATAGTAGTGGCTTTTAAAAACAGGATTAATGGTAGTAAGCAGTTAAGCAGAGAAAATAGGTATAGCCCAGGTGTGGAGAACCTGTAGCAATCCAGGTGTTGCTGAAGCACTATTTCTTTCAGCCCCAGCAAGCATGGTCAATGCTCAGGGATGATGGGAGTTGTAGTTCAGCAACATGTTCTGCATGTCTGGTGTAACCAAACCAGTGCAAGCCACTCATGGTGACTTGTTGGAATCACTCGCTGACTGGTAAGTATGAATGAGATGTTGTGGGCCTAATGCCAGATAGGTTTCGTGTCACTTCAGAATATGCCAGATATGTTTGTTTCAGTGGAGCCAGTTCACAGATTCAGCTGTGAGCAATCAAGTGATATACGTGCACCATAAACTTGCCCTTTCTTGCACTGTTGTTCCTATGCATATTTGTAGGATCAGGGTGTCAGGAAATCTCTTTGATAATAAGTGAATAAACCTGTTAATAATCTTCAAGCCAAGAATTTAGGAATATAGGTTTTCAGTATTTCAGTTAAGTTTCTAATGCTAACAATCTGTGCGCACTCACCTGGGAGAATTGCCCATTGAACAAAATGGGACTTGCTTCTGAGTAAACATGTATAGGATTGAGTCATATCCTTATCAACCTGTGTGACACTCCTTAAGATTTCTGAAAGGAATCTTAAGCGTTACAGTTAAGTAAAGGCATTGGCAAATAGGAAAATTACCATATTGTGGCTGTACAAATTATCATATATATTAATTATCAAATTAACAAATTATCATATATATTAATAGTGATCTCATTTCTCTGAGTGTTGGTCCTTATGTAGCCAAAGCAGCACCACTCACCCACAAGAGGGAGGAATAAGGAAGTTCAGGGGACCCTCAAGATTTGCCTAATTACAAAATATATTTAGAACCCCATGGCCTGGTGGCCCAACCTGAATATGTTGGGGGGCCATGGAATGCTGACTCTCTTGCTGGGGTGGAGTGTTTGTACATAGAACCAGGTGAATGAGAGATGTAATGGAATATGCTGAAGGAGGTCATGGTTGGCTATCTGAAAGAGGGAACAGGGTCGCTCTCCACTGCAACATTTTTGTGGTAGTCCTGCTTGTTTGCTTGTATAAAATGTTGACTATAGATAATAAATTCAAATATGATTCTTTTAGATACTATATTAACATGCAGATAGTTTGTGAATATTTAAATGAAGATGTCTGTTTCTTTCAACAAAGTAGCACACTCTGATAACAACACTATTATTTACAGGATCTAAATATTTGTCACTTTTTAAAGTGGTGGCAGAGTTTACAATTAATTTGTGATGCTATACTGAAAGTATATCTGGTCTTCTGTTCACAGAATTATAGCAGACTGGTTGAAAGCTAAGCTTATGATTGGTAAAAATTTGAAGGAAGATATGTCTGTGGTAAAAGGTGGAATCCAGACACTTGCATTGCATACTTCTCTTCATATGAAAAATGACTGGGCTGCTTGTATCAGTGTGTGTGTCAAGGTCAGTTCAAACATTGCTTGCTACATGTTAGTGTCATGAAAGGTACCGCAAAAGCTCTGCCTTTTGAAAGTTCAGAATTCAGTAGCCTGGTTAAGGCAGACTCACTGTATCAAACACATTCCTGTGCTTAAAGTTCTTTATTGGCTTTCATTTTGTCTCCTGGTGTTGCTTTATAAAGCCCTGCACCGTCTAGATAGGGAACCTTTTTCAGGCCCCAGGGCCCTGATGGAAGCCTCATTCCAGTAGCGAGGGATGCCTAACCCCAGCACAATCACAGATATTTAACACACCCACCCACAAAGCTATTTGCCATGGAGGCAGAGGCACATATTTAATTATTATTAAATTATGCAATTATATTTCATCTATTTTCTTCATAGACATTTTTCTTAATGCATTTTTTTGTTATTTTGATTTTTAAAAAGAAGCCTTCAGTATCGTTTAACTATGATTTGTAGTTTGTTCCAATTGTGGTTTGCTTGGAGCAAAACAGACCGCAATCCCACATTCAGACATAATGCTAAGTCAGGAAATTATTGTTTTGTTTTCTCTTCACCCGAGGTGGGAAAGGCAAAACTATTATAGATCTGCACATTAACAGTAACAGCCATTAATTTGTTTAACTTTTACTGCCCAATGTTGTTATACAGATTGGACTGTTTGGTCAGTATATTTATTCACGGAGAGTAGGTCAATTAGCGGCTGTTGGCCAGGACAGCGGACTGGCGTCTTCACGTCCAGGGGAGTCTGCCACCGAATGCCCGTTGCTTTGGAGCAAGCAGCAGGGAAGGGCTTCTGCCTTCTGTGGTGCTTGTGGCCAGCTTGTGGCTGTCTGCTGCTAAAACAGGATGCTGTGCTAGATGGACCCGTTGGTCTGATCCTGCAGGGATGCTTTTAGGTGTTGACATTTCCCCCTATTGGTTTGCTTTCCCTGTGTAGGTGACGGAGGGGACGCTCAGTCCCTCAGAGCTGAATGACCCAGAGACCCAGAAGGAGCTGCTTGGCACGAGGGGGCTGGTTCTCCTTCTGTCTCCTCGAGTGAGCAGTGAGGATGTTGTAGAGGAAGAGGTTTACTGGCTTTCAGCCTTGCTGCAGCTGAAACGGATCCTTCAGGCGAAACCTTTCCAACCAATCGTCCCTCTGGTGGTTCTTGTCCCAAGTCAGGGGGATGAAGCCATAGAAAAAGATGTAGAAGGAGGTATGAGAAGTTTCTGCACTTAGGGGTAATTGCTCTTTAAGTCAATTTTTTCATTTGGAAAATAGCCGTGTGGTTGTCTCTTCTTAATTCTGTGCCTTTTCAGGGGGATAATGGAGTAGTATCACTAAATTGGAATGTGGTTTCTTTTAAAGGACTGATGCTGCCAGATTTGATTTCGGCTAACCTTATTTCAGGTTACAACATAGTTGTCATTCCAGATTCTGTGAATGGGTTGCAAGGTACCAGCAAGGTAAGAACCATCTCCACAGAGAGGTTGTAATTTATACTCCTACCAGGTTTAATGATTTTTCGACACAGGGAGAGTATTATTATCAGTTGCATTTTAAAGCTGTAGGTTGGCAACTCAAAAACAAAGCAGAAACCAGTGTGCTGATTAGAGTGTCAAGACTACAGCCTGGGAGACCAGGGTTGAAATCCCCACTCAGCCATGAGGCTCACTGGATGACCTTGGGTCACTTGCTCTCAGTCTGACCCACCTCACAGGGCTGTTGACATGCCACGCTCAATGCAGGGAGGCTTTTCATCTGGCTACCTGATAACCAGATTCCCCATTGAAAGCCCCTGTAGATGCCTTCTAGCTCCCAGTCCTATCTCAGGCTTTTTCCATCACTGCAGAGATTTTGGGCAGTCCTCACAGGAGCAATTGGTTGTGAAGGATGGAGTACCATCTCTTAATACGATTACATGAGCCTTTTCTGTTATTCCATACTCAGTTGATCTTGTCTACTAGAACCCTGTCTAATAGGGAAGGTTGTCTAATATGGAAAGGCATCGTCAGCATAGGGTTTTCACCTTGGTTTAGTAGATCATGGGAGTGGAAGCCTGTTTTTAGTAAGTTTTTTTCAGCTTCATGTTCATGTTCAGTTGTGTTGGGGGAAGGACTGGGTTTGAGAGCAGGACTGAAAGCATTTATGTATCAACAGAACTGACTCCCTTAATGTGGTGATTGATACGGATTTTCACTTTATTGTCAACTAGTGAATTTGTCGTGTGTAATTCTGTCTACAGCTCTCTGAAGCTGTGCAGTGGCTGGTTGCTCAGTGCCCGAGCTCAGACAAGGTTCACTGCCAGACACTCATGCAGTATGTTGAAGACGGTGTGGACCGTGAGTTCAGTAAGCACTTCTACCAAGACATGAAGGAGAGATCCCTTGCTGGCTTGCCCTCTCAGGATCCAAGTGCCATAATAGAGCTGTACAATAGTGTGATACAGTTCCTGGCTGAAGTCGCCTCTTCAGAAGATCTCTGTGAACTCTCCTGGCCTGTTCCTGAATTTGCAGAGCCCGGGGGCAGCAAAGTGCTTCCGCATCTCCAGTGGAACACCCCCAGCCATCTGGGCTGGCTGAAGAAAGCCCTGCTCTCCTTCCAGATCCCTCACATGGATCTCCCTCCTTTGGGTGGTAAGAACTCCTAACCAGTACTGTTGCCTAGTAGCAGTTGAGAGACTGCTGTGTAACACACAAATAACATGCTAACACCCTAACAAATAACACCCTAACAGACCCAGTGTGGTGTAGTGGTTAAGAGCGGTAGTCTCGTAATCTGGGGAACTGGGTTCGTGTCTCCGCTCCTCCACATGCAGCTGCTGGGTGACCTTGGCCAGTCACACTTCTCTGAAGTCTCTCAGCCCCACTCACCTCACAGAGTGTTTGTTGTGGGGGAGGAAGGGAAAGGAGAATGTTAGCCTCTTTGAGACTCCTGAAGGGGAGTGAAAGGCGGGATATCAAATCCAAACTCCTCCTCCTCCTCTTCTTCTTCTTCTTCTTCTCCTCTGAATTATAATTGTCTTGCTTATCACAAAAGAAAATGTATTAGAAAGAAAATGTTTCTCATCATGAGAGTCTTTAAGTTACTCCTTTCTTCCATCATGTTTTCTGTATTTTGTTGCATGTCTGTTTATTGTTCTGGAATTAAATTTTGAATTGGGAAGCAGCCATTTCCCAGATGTGTACACACGTGTGTTTGTGTGCATAAGGACAGAGCTATCTTTCTGTTATGCCCACTTACCTGAAAGATTTCCTTATTCTTACTGTACCAGATCTTGATGCAAGAAGCTTTGGAACTCCCCCTATATTTTCTTGCTCTGCTTTGCAAAAATGGGCCTAACATTTCAACAGATATTTTAACAAATGTTGGCAGGACTCATTGGTTGAATCCTGGTTGTTATTTTTGTTGTTTCTGCTGTTGTTGTAATTATTATTAATTATGCTGTGCCCTGATACTTTGGGGGCAGAATGTTTCTGAATAGTTACCGGAAACCACAAGAGGGGAGAGGTGGGGGGGGGCCCTCTTGTGCTCAGGTCCTGCTTGTTTCCCACAGTTGGCCACTGGGAGGACAGGACGCTAGACTAGATGGGCTATTGGCCCCATTTGGGGGGCTTCTCTTGCCTGCTTTGGCTCAGCTAATACCGGAGCAAAACTGAGCTGTAACATTGGCCATAGTTCTTTTCTGTTGTTGTTAGGCAGAAACTTTAATGTATCTTCTCTTCCCTCTGCCCACCAGCTCCCTGGCGCCCTGTTTGTGCCATGATTTTCCAGTATTTGTCCCAGACTACCAGTTCTCTTCAGACCCAGGAGATACTTCAGTCTCAGGTAGAGAATTTGCTGAGCAGAACTTACTTCAAGTGGAAGAGTAGGAAATATGCCAGCTCAGAAGACAATGGCCCATCTGTGGAAGAGATCCCTTGGGATAGCATCTTGGCACTATGCATTAACCACAAATTGAGAGACTGGAAACCTCCACAAAAGCCAATAGCACCAGGTAGTAAATGTCTCTGGACAATCTCTTATCTACGTTTTTAATTTTTTACTGTGTTCTGTATTAAGTTGTGTTTAGCATATATTAACTTTGCCTCTAGCCCCAAGAGTCTTGCCTGTATCCCTTGCTAACAAACTTATTATGGCATAAGCTTTCATGGCTTACACTTCCTCGGATGTGTGAAGTGTTATCGTAACTTCTGGTCTATATACACATGGAGTGGGGTGTGTGTGTAGAAAGGTCAGGGGTGAACGAAATCTGGAAAAGTACAGTGCTAATTGCATACTTAGCTGTGATAATTCACAGAACAGTTCTTGATGACTCGGCCATTCTGGCATTGGTAAACCAATTAACACATATAAAGGTAAAGGGAACACCTGACTGTTAAGTCCAGTTGCGGACGACTCTGGAGTTGCGGCGCTCATCTTGCTTTAGTGGCTGAGGGAGCCAGCGTTTGTCTGCAGACAGTTTCCGGGTCATGTGGCCAGCATGACTAAGCTGCTTCTGGTGAACCAGAGCAGTGCACAAAAACGGCGTTTACCTTCCCCCCAGAGCGGTACCTATTTATCTACTTGCACTTTGACGTGATTTCGAACTGCTAGGTTGGCAGGAGCTGGGACCGAGCAAAGGGATTCAAACCCCATCGTGGGGATTCGAACCACCAACCTTCTGATCGCAAGCCGTAGGCTCTGTGGTTTAGACCACAGCACCACCTGCGTCCCATATTAGCACATATAATGTTCAAAAAATCCATTGCCTCCATTCAGTCCACAAGTTACACCATTGTATTTAATCTTTTTTTTTTTTAATAATTTTTTATTAAGGTTTTAAACAAACAAAAAAGAAAAACAACACACACAAAAAACAATACAAAACTTAACAATATAAACACAAAACAATTAATAACAAACTCTCTTTTCCATTTCCAATTTTAAGTTACTTATTTTCTGGACTTCCTCATACCTCCCTCTTTTGTATTCCAATCCACATTATTTATCCAGCAGTTTCTTTTCCACTTTTTAATCCCAATCTTTAATTTAATAAAACGTTAAAATATATAACTTCAACTTTTTAAACCTAATCCTTGATCTTAATATCCTGTAACTTTAAAGTTTTCCCTTTTAAAATCAAATTTCCATTTCTTTAAACTTCTTTAATCTTAATCTTTAATCTTAATCTATCCTTAACTTTAACCTGTGCAGCTGGAAACCACTTATTTTCAGTCCAACATCACTCTAACATTCCTTAATTTTGCAGTGTTTCTGAAGATAGTCTTTGAATTTCTTCCAGTCTTCCTCCATCGACTCTTCTCCCTGGTCACGGATTCTACCAGTCATTTCCGCCAATTCCATATAGTCCATAAGTTTCATCTGCCATTCCTCCAGCGTGGGAAGTTCTTGTGTCTTCCAATACTTTGCGATGAGTATTCTTGCTGCTGTTGTTGCATACATAAAGAAAGTTCTATCCTTTTTAACACCATTTGGCCTACTATGCCCAGGAGAAAGGCCTCTGGTTTCTTAGGGAAGGTATACTTAAATACCTTTTTTAATTCATTATATATCATTTCCCAGAAAGCCTTAATCTTTGGGCACGTCCACCAAAGGTGAAAAATGTACCTTCAATTTCTTTACATTTCCAACATTTGTTATCGGGCAAGTGATAGATTTTCGCAAGCTTGACTGGGGTTATGTACCACCTGTATATCATTTTCATAATATTCTCTCTTAAGGCATTACATGCCGTAAATTTCATACCTGTGGTCCATAACTGTTCCCAGTCAGCAAACATAATGTTATGACCAACGTCCTGTGCCCATTTAATCATAGCCGATTTTACCGTTTCATCTTGAGTATTCCATTTCAGCAGCAAGTTATACATTCTTGACAAATTCTTAGTCTTGGGTTCTAACAATTCTGTTTCTAATTTGGATCTTTCCACCTGGAAGCCAATTTTCCTGTCCAATTTAAATACCTCCATTATTTGATAATAATGAAGCCAGTCTCGCACTTTGTTTTTTAGTTTTTCAAAACTCTGCAATTTCAGTCTATCTCCGTCTTGTTCCAAAATTTCCCAATATTTCGGCCATTTGACCTCCATATTGACCTTTTTCAAGGCTTTCGCTTCCATTGGTGACAGCCACCTTGGGGTTTTATTTTCTAGCAAATCCTTATATCTTATCCAAACATTAAACAGCGCTTTCCTGACAATGTGGTTTTTAAATGCTTTATGTGCTTTGACCTTATCATACCATAAATATGCATGCCATCCAAATACATTATTAAAACCTTCTAGATCCAAAATGTCAGTGTTTTCAAGAAGTAGCCATTCTTTCAACCAGCAAAAGGCTGCTGATTCATAGTACAGTTTAAGGTCTGGCAGGGCAAATCCACCTCTTTCCTTTGCATCCGTTAATATTTTAAATTTTATTCTGGGTTTCTTGCCCTGCCAGACAAATTTAGAAATATCTTTCTGCCACCTCTTGAAACAATCCATTTTGTCCACGATCTGCAAAGTTTGAAACAAAAACAACATTCTGGGCAATACATTCATCTTTATCGCAGCAATACGGCCTAGCAGTGAAAGCTTCAAATTTGACCAAATTTCTAAATCTTTTTTCACTTCTGACCAACATTTTTCATAGTTATCTTTAAATAAATTCCCATTTTTTGCTGTCATGTTAATCCCCAAGTATTTAACTTTCTTAACCACTGTTAAACCTGTCTCATTCTGAAACCTCTCTCTTTCAAACGGTGTTAAATTTTTCTCTAGAACCTTGGTTTTTGACTTGTTCAATTTAAATCCTGCCACTTGACCAAATTCTTGAATCAGTTCTAAAACCCTTTTTGTACTAGATTCTGGCTCCTGTAACGTCAATACTAAGTCATCTGCAAATGCTCTCAATTTATAGTGTTTAATTCCGACCTGTATACCTTTAACCATCTGGTCCCTTCTAATCATATTCAGCAGAACCTCCAGGACCGAAATAAAAAGAAGTGGGGAAATTGGGCAACCTTGTCGTGTCCCTTTTTCAATTTTCAGTTCTTCCGTCACAACGTTATTTACAATTAGTTTAGCCTTTTGTTCTGAATAAATTGCACTTATACCATTCTCAAAACCTTGGCCTACCCCCATACCCTGAAGATTCTTCTTCATAAAATTCCAAGAAATATTGTCAAAGGCTTTCTCCGCGTCTACAAATATCAACACTGCTTTAGTGTTTATATTCACTTCTAATTTCTCCAAAATATCAATTATATTCCTCAAATTATCAGACAAATGTCTTCCTGGGAGAAAGCCCGCTTGGTCTTTATGAATCTCTTCCAACAGCACTTTTTAAATATCTTCGCCAAAATATCTGCAAAAATTTTGTAATCCACATTAAGTAATGATATAGGGCGGTAGTTCTTAAGTTGTGTCTTTTCAGTCTCTGTTTTTGGTACAAGTGTAATATATGCTTCTTTCCACGACTCTGGTGCCCTCTTCCCCTCCATAATTTCGTTGCAGACCTCTTTCAATGGTTGAATTAACCATTCTTTTAAAGATCTGTAGTATCTAGAGGTCAAACCGTCTGGTCCTGGAGATTTACCCAGTTGCATATTTTGAATGGCACCTTCTATTTCCTGTTCAGTTATTCTGTCATTCAAAATTAGTCTCTTTTCTTGAGATATTTTTGTAGTCCATTTGTTTTCAAAAATTGGTCTAAATCTGTTTCTTTCACTGGCCCTTGAGTATATAGTCTTTTAAAATACTTCTGGAAACAACTTCTAATCTCTGCAGGGTTCTGTATATTCCTTCCTTCCACTTCTAAATTCGTAATCGTATTTAGTTTTTGTCTCTTTTTCATTTGCCATGCCAACAATTTACCACATTTATTGGCCGATTCAAAAGTCTTTTGTCTCATTTGTTTAATTTTCCATTCTATTTCCTGATTCATTATTTTCATATATTGTACTTGATATAACTTTAACTCTCTCAGAATCTCTTGAGATTTGGGATTTACTCTCAGTCTTTTTTCACATTCATTCATTTTGTTCATAATTTTATCCTTCTTTTCATTTTGAGTTCTTTTCTTTATCGCATTCTGTTGTATTAAGAACCCTCTCATAACAGCTTTACTTGCGTCCCAGATTACTCTTTTCTCCACGTTGGAACTAAGATTTATCTCGAAGTAATCTCTTAGAGTTTTTTGGGCCTTCTTAAGAAATTCTTCATCTCTAAATAAGGTGTCATTCATCTTCCATCTGAAGGAGCCAGTTGGTGTTAGTCTCATTTCCATCTTAACAGCATTATGGTCGGAGCAAATTTTCGGGCAGATTTCCACCTTTCTTGTCTTTGGTGCCATTCCTCTAGTTATCCAAATTTGGTCAATTCTTGTCCAAGTCATTTTGGCTTCAGAAAAGAAAGTTCCCTCTTTTGCCAAGGGGTTTCTAATTCTCCAAATATCCACTAAGTCCAAGTTGTCTGTCATGTCAAAAAAGGTTTTCGGTAGTCTACCATCTTTGGTGACTACCTGTCTTTGTGCCTTGTCCATATAAGTAGATACCACTCCATTCATATCTCCCATCAAAATCATGTTGTAATCCATATGGTCCATCAAGGTCTCATGCAACTTCTTAAAAAAATCAGATTTCCCATCATTTGGTGCGTAAACTCCTACAATCAAAAATTTTTCTCCTTGTGTTTGAATTTCAATTGCCACAAATCTTCCTTGGTCATCTTTAAAAACAAATTTTGGTGATAAATTGTCTTTTGCGTAGATCACAACCCCTCTCTTTTTAACTTTATCTGACGAAATAAATTCCTGACCAAGTCTTTTATTTATCAACAATTTCCTGTGTAATCTTGTTATGTGTGTTTCTTGTAAACAAATTAGGTCCAATTGTTCCTTTTTTAATATATGAAATACTGACTTCCTCTTCTGAGGGGAATTCAAACCCCGACAGTTCCATGTTAAAAGTTGCAGGGCCATGATGTTATTGTTTTAGTTCTCCTCCTACTGCACCTAGTGCCTGTTCCTCATCCGTCGGTGGTATCCCTTCTTTCGAAAGGTCTTTTGGTTCCGGAGATAGTTCTTTTTGTAGGTCTTCTCCGTGGTCTCTACAAAATTTGTCTTTGTCGTCTTCCGATCTTATTTTCCTCTTCTTTCCTTTGTAGCTAAAAGACAGGCCTTGAGGGAGTTCCCACCTGAAATTGATATTGTTCCTTCTCAGCAGGGTAACCAAGTCTTTATATTTTGATCTGAGATCCAGAAGATATTTCGGAATATCTTTGAATATTTCCACCCTTGTCCGATGGATTTCCAGTGTCTTCTTGAAATGTAGGCCCAAAATCTTATCCCTCTCTTCTTTTGTTCGAAAAGTAATCAGACAGTCTCTCACCTTCTTCTCTCCTCTTCTCCCGAGTCTGAAGGCATTTACTATTCTGAAACTGTCTTTTACCAATTCTGGATCCCAAAAGTCCAAAAATTCCTGCGTGAGAAATTCAGCTAGATTGTCCTTTTCCACCTCAGGTACCGATCTGACCCGCAGATTCACTTGCTTTTCCTTCAAATCTATCATAGACAGGGTTAGTTTATGGTCTTCCAATTGTTTGTGCAGTGTTGGTAATTCCTCTTGAACCTCTTTAACTTCCGTAGCAGAAGTTGTAGCAATTTCTTTAGCCTCTTCAGCAATCTGGCGTATTGAGGCCGATTCCTCTAATAATTTCTGAATAGTCTCTGTGTTAGTATTTACTTTTTGGCCCAAATGATTTATACTTGCTGTATTCTGGTTAATACTTGCTGTATTCTGGTTAATACTTGCTGTATTCTGGTTAATACTTATTGTATTTTGATCAATCTTATCAGAAGCCTCTGCTACTTGTTGACTTATTCTATTCAAAGATTCATTAACTTTGGCCAAAACTTGAGCAAAGGCTTCCTCACTTGTCGTGCTTTTTACCTTTAATTGTGCCGATGAGGCTGTTGTTGAGGTTCCAGAAGGGCCTGAGGCCGAAGATCTCCTTTGTAATCCTTCTTCTGTGCAAAGAGGCCTCCCGATCTTGTGGTCGAAGCATCCGCCTTCTCTTTCCCATCTGCCATTCCTTAGATAATGCTCAAGGTCAGTCACGTATTTGAAATTGAACAGTGGAAATTTCCTGCCAAGCAGTGTGAGAACTCCTCAAGTCTGCTACAGTTTCAGTTGTAACAGTCATAAAAGTTCTTGGATACTTTAATTTCTTTTTTTTTTTTAAGCCCCCCTAGTTTATTCAGGACGAAAACAGTCTATTCACAATTTTTAACTTAGGACCAGGTGATATATATTCACATAAATTGTCCAAACTTTTATTTCTTGTGCAGGACTAGCTATCAAAATATATTACAAGACAGTACCTCTCTTTCTTTCCTGAGATCTGGAGATCCTTTCCCAGGGAATTGAGTGGTGGTTCGATCCCTTCTTTCCACTCTTTATGAAGAAATCACATCCACAATTCTCCCCCCTTTTCCCTCAATTTAGAAAGGGAAAAGTCCAGGTTGGATGATTGGATTAAAGTCCGCTAAAACGTACTTTTCAATTGCTTCCGCTTTCAAGTTCAATGCTTTATTTTATCTACAAATAAAGAGGCTGACTTCCTTTTTAAGCCTCTTTCCGTTTTCGGCCAGATTCCAGTTTTGTACAGTTCCAATTTAAATTGTATCCTACTCACGGATCGTTGATTTTCAGGTCCGGATTTTAAGGAAGAAAGGCAGCGCTCTCCGATCAACAGCTTGCGGCTTCACACCACGAACGAGCAGACAGCCCACAGCACAGCGCTCTCCCCGCTCCGCTTCTAAGCCCGTTGCCGGGCTTCTTACCGGGTTGGGGGGGGCGCCAAATGTGCCCGCTGGGTTCCAGGCTCACAGGCTTCTCCCGCCTGTGATTTTTGGGGGTCCCCCGCTACGCCGAAAGCGGGATCCGACCCTTAATTCGCGGTGAGATTTCCTCCGGTGGAGGAAATCCGCCATTAATTGCTGGCGCCGCCTCCGGAAGTCTATTACACCATTGTATTTAAAGCCAACGATTTCATGTTGTAGTCTCACTGTGAAGTTCCTTTGTTTCAAGTTGGCTATTTTAAGATCATTCACAGAGTGTCCTTGGAAGGTTGAAAAGTCCCCCCCACTGGCACTTTAATATTGCCATTTCTAAGGTCAGGCCCTGTTTGCCCTGTACATTTAAAGCAGTATTGTGCCATTCTAAACAGTCATGGTTTTCCCCTGGGAAAGTAGTATATTGAAGGTGCTGAGCATTGTTAGTAGGCCTCTGTTCCCCTCAGAGAGCTACAATTCCTAGAGTTCCCTGGGAAGATGGATTGGTAGTTGAACTATTTTGCGAATTGTAACTTTATGAGGGGAATAGAGGCCTACTAACAACTCTCAGCACCTCCAATATACTACAGTTCCCAGGATTCTTTGGTGAAAACCATGACTGTTTAAAATGGTATGATGGTGCTTTGAATACATAGTGCATATGGGGCTCAGTTTTATGTCCATTTACCCTTTTGCATAGAGACTGGACTGTTTGCCCTGTGTAAAATGTGTTGTTGGTAGATGATACCATGTATCACATTGGAAGATGAGCAGGTGAACGGAGACATAGTGCTGCCAGAGTCAATATGTGGTCAGAATTAACATCTGGGATTGCCACAACGGCTGGTCTTTGTTATGTGGCCTGTTGCTGCTAGCTTGAGGGTCTCTCTGTAAGCAAGTACAGCCTTTACACCCAACGAAGTGTCATTGTGCAGAAGGGACTATAGATCATCTAAGCTGCATTTGAGTACTTACAGCTGCAATGTGTGGCAACAAGTGGCCTTCTGTCATTTCCCCTTCCAAATCTTTTAGATTATGCCTTGGTACCAGTAATTTAATTACTGAATGAGTGTACTTATACTGAACGCATGGGCAGAAGGAAAAGATAGCAGTTTTGTTCAAACAAACATTTAGTGTTTGCATTCTAGAGCGACTGAGGCAGAGTTCCTCATTTCACGATAACTTCTGTTGAATCTGGAAAATCTATGTTACTTTTGATTTTATGTTGGGGTTCTGTGTGTCTTGCGTCTAACAGAAGCAGTGAGCAAAGATGGACAGACATATGTATATTTTTCTGAGGAGCAATTGAGAAAATTCACTCGTCCTGTTTTATGGGAAGAAGCCAGATTAAAAACTCAGAAAGAAGTCCAGCAAAGTGAAGGATGGTGAGATTGTCTAACTTTTCTTTGACTTTTAGCAGCCCTGCCCTTTCCTTTTTGACACTTTCGCCTCTCACAGCCTACCTCTGTTATTCTACCCCCTTAACTAACTAATTGGCACCAAGAGTGCTGGACTGAAGCCCAGTTTTGGAAATCAGTACTTGTGGCAATTATTTTAAGTTACTGCTTTTTGCTACCACTATCTTCCCCTGCAGGCTTCCTCTGCAGATCTTAGGATATTTCATTTCTGTAAATCAACAGGAATGTGTTTGAAACTTAGTGCTGCAAGAAGCTGAGGTTCTGAGGTGCAGAGAAATTTTCAGAAGGCGATTGGAAAGTATCTGCAGTACCTTTATATCATCAGATTGATCCATTTGATTAGATCTTGGGAAGGTTGTGAGAATAGCTGTATTTGGATATAACACTGGCCATAAAGCTGTGTTTGTTTATTGCAGGAGTTGCCAACCCTTTTGGAGTTGTGGGCACATTTCAAATTTTGAGAGTGTTCTGGAGGTGCCAGGGACAAGATGGCTGCCATGGAGGAGCACGGCATAGCACAAAATGAGAGAGAACCCCACCCCTGGCAATCTTATGCTTGCCATGGGAAGTCAGCTACATCCTGCTGGCCCCCATTTTGGATGCTGTTGTTGTCTAATAACAACAGGATGCATTCCTCAGTGCCAGGAAAAGACCAGAAGGTAGCCACAGCACTCTCATGTCACATAAATCACTAAGAAGTTACCTTAGTAACTACATTTTGCCCCATAACTTTCTAGGAGGGCTAGAGACTTACTTTTTTCCAAAAATGAAAGCTCACAGTCTGAGCACTTTCCCAGGGCAGCGCTGGAAGCCCAACCAGCCGGCTCCCTGGTGCCTGCAAGTGCCAGGTTGACAACATCTGATTTATTAGATAGGATCTCAGGTGAGATTACAGCCAGAACAAACTGCAACAAACATTGAGTGCTTAATCATAGTTTTTACTAAGCTAATCCTTCTGTGTTTGTTGCCTCAGAGGAATTGATGAGCAGAGCAGGGAGTGTTCAAGCCATAGGCACCCACATACAGTCCAGTTTGTTTAGTAATGTTTTGTGACCAGTGTTGCATCTGAATGTGGCTGTACTTAATAATGCATTGAATAATTATTGTTTGTCTTTCAAACAATAATTGAAAGGTTGTATGAGAGAGACGCCCTTGGTGTGGGATGACACCTTCATTTGAAAGCTTCGACCTTTTAAACATGTCTATTCCCCTTTTAAACACACTGAAACTTTGATTTGAAAATGGATCCTAAAAGATTATGCAGCTGAGATCGAAAAGCCCCCCCCCCCCCCCGTTGCATTTGCAATCATATTTTGAGCCAAGAGGCATGGTGGTAACTTCAGAGCCGTCAGATTGCAAGAGAAGCTAAGTAGGCAAAATTAACAAAGAAACACAGAATTGTAGAGTTGGAACGGACCCTGAGCGTCATCTAGCCCAACCCCCCGCAATGCAGGAATCTCAGCTAAAGCACCCATGACAGGTGGCCATCAAATTTCTGCTTAAAGACCTCCAAAGAAGGAGAGTCTACCACCCTCTAAGGGAGGCTAAGTTTTTAAGCAGAGGTTGGACGGCCATCTCATGGATGCTTTCCTGCAGGGGGCTGGACTCTGTCACCCTCCGGGCAACTTCCAACTCTGCCATTCTACCCTCTAAGAATGATCTGACAGCATACTTGAAAGCAGCACTGAAGCCATCAGAGGATGGGATAGACAAATAGGAAAAGTGGATATGGTGCAAACTGCCCGTGCAGACTAGAACCTCAGCATTGAGCAGACAGGAAAATGAAAGAGTCTTTAGAAGCACATTGTGGTTTTGCAGCTCTGGCTAGAATCTGAAAAAGACATTGTGGAACTAGGAAGGTATGGGGAAGCTGCAGCCCATGGGCTAAACTTGGCCTGCCAGGATCCCGAGTTGACCTGCAAGCCTGTTTTCCCCAAACCCACAGCCACTCAAGTTGCATTTGATGTAGAGACAAGACATCAGGTGTGGGGAAGGCAGAGATGGGGCTTCAAAGGAACAATTGGGAGCTTATAGTGAGCAAGGTTTGCTTCTACCATTCATCAGTTGATGGGAGGTGGGAAAGTATTCTGCTCCTGCAGCATTTTGCCAGCATCTGCTACATGAAGGAGAACTTCTCTGTGCAGTAGATGCCTGCAAAATGAGGGCTTCTTTCTCTCTCCCCTGCTCCCCCATCAGCTGGTGGGAAGGAGAAAAAAATGCTTTGCCAGCCCTATGCTCAGTGCTTCCCAAAATGTAGAGTAGGGCTGAAAACTCCCTTTGCGCTGCAGTTCCCAAGCAGCTAATAGGAAACAGTCATTCAGGTGCTTGGGAACCCCATGTGAGGGATTTTGCAGGACAACTCACCTGTCAATCATGCTGGCATAAGGATGTTATGAGTTGGCCAACAAGGATGGGGCAGATAAAGATCTGTCCTCCAGAGCTAAAGAGGACTCTCACCCCAACCTAAACAAATGAAGAATTGGACTATCTTCGCTGCAATGAAAGCTAAAATATTTAGATCTTTTTAGTTTTACAGACAACTAAGTGGCAGAGAGGATAGTGTTTTATATAACTATGTACAATGAGGAAAAACAGGTTTTTGTCTGCTGTTATTATACTAGATCTTGGCCATCTAGGGAAACTGGTTGACAGTAGATTCAGGAAAGTACTTCTTTACAGAAGTAAAAGGTAAAGGACCCCAGAACGGTTAAGTCTAGTCAAAGGCGACTATGGGATGCGGTGTTCATCTCGCTTCGGGCCGAGGGAGCCGGTGTTTGTCTGCAGACAGCTTTCTGGGTCATGTGGCCGGCATGACTAAACTGCTTCTGCTGCAGCGGGACACCGTGACAGAAGCCAGAGTGCACGGAAACATCGTTTACCTTCCAGCTGCAGCAGTACCTATTTATCTACTTGCACTGGTGTGCTTTTGAACTGCTAGGTTGGCAGAAGCTGGGATAGAGCAAAGAGAGCTCACCCCCGTAGTGCGGATTCAAACTTCTGACCTTCCAATCAGCAAGCCCAAGATGCTCAGTAATTTAGACCACAGTGCCACCTGTGCCCCACTTTACACAAGATGTGCTATTGGATATATGATTCATGTATTCATCTAAGATACAGCTAAATGGAACTTGTTAACACTGTTTTGATCACTTGTGCAAATAGCATGCTGGGCTAGATGGAAACTTGGGTCTAGTTCCAATAGAAGTGCTGTTATACTTACTGATATTTCATAATTCTGGTAAAAGCAAATAATTCCCTTTGCTTGATATTTTTCATTGCCTAGGTCCAAAATAAAAACTCAGTCTTTTGCTAAGCTATATTCTCATTCATTGTCTCCAATGGAATATTGTGCCAGCCAGCAAACTGTGAACAACAAAGAACTAAGTATTTCCAGTGGAGGAGATCTAACACAGGTCATTTCAGAAGCGGATCATCTCCCTGAGTACCTGTCTGCCAAGTTGCAACAGGAGAAAAGAGAGAGCAGGAGGTAAAAGTTTTTCTCCTTTTTGTAAGTTGTGGGACCCCACAAGTTAACATGATGGTGCTGAGTAATAGTTCACAATTCTTAATCTCTGTAAGTAGCCCCAAAGCTTTGAGAAAACCACTGTCATTCAGCCTCTTCCCCCACTCCCAACACACAGCCGCTCTGAGAGGATACCATGGTCTGTGGCTTGAGGTTTTTTAAGCCAGTTAGATGTACACGGTACGTAGCACAGCTTGTGAATACAGGCAATATCATAATTGGGTGTTTTTCATTCTTGGGAGTGTTTCATTTTGGCGCTGAGACATAGGTTTAGGTATCCTGTCCTGCAGTGCTTTATTTTTTCAAGAAAAATAGGTGCTGGAACTCACCATGAAGTTGTTAAGTAAGTCGTCAGGTGACTCAGGGCAGCCCTGAACAGATACTGGTTTGTCAACAGCCATGTTCACCTCCTACAAAGATGCTAAAAACTATGGCAAGCTGTCTCCGTAATTGGTTTGTTCCAGTGCAGGTCAAACAAATGCTCCCTGCCTCCCTTGTTCTCTTAGACTCAGGAGGGTGCCTAGGGCAGCTTGGAAGCGCCCTTGTGCAAATGTGCACGTGTGCAACTGTAGAAGGCTAGCTGGAAAGTTTAAAGGCTGCTGCCACTACACAGGAGATAGAGTGAAGAAAAGGAAATACAAATTGGCCCCATAGCTTGACCAATCATGGCTAGGAGCTAGATGGAGTCTTAGATCTTAAAAAACGGCCAACTTCCATTTTGACTTGAAATGTTGGTTTAGGGCTTCTCAGAAGTATGTAAAGGTCAGAAGCAGGTTGGGGTGAGCATTGACCTGTTTGGGGGTAATGGCGCCCACGTGAGAGGTGCCAGAACTTCATTCTGGTGCGCTCCAGCTGAAAAAAGCACTGCTGTCCTGTGAGTTGAAGGGTGAGCTGCCTCCAGGATCTTATTGGAACCAGCATTGCAAGCTTCATGTACCTCTGGAGAGTACAGATAGGAAACTTAACTGGAAAATACAAGTATTTGTTTCCCCTGAAAATTTAAAATGTACCGTTACACAAAGAAGAAAATGCTTGTTTCTTTGAACTTTCCTACCAACTCTTTGTTACTAAAAGTAATGACTGTACCACAATACGTTATATCAGAGTTTTAAAACAGGAAACATTTAAAACCAGCAAATAAATAGTCAGAGTCTGGCTAGACAAGGAGGAGTGGTGGGAGGCTACAGCTGGGGAACCCCTAAGGAAGCATCCGAGTGGCTCCAAGGCTCTGAACCAGGAGAAGTTGGTGGGATACAGAAGATAAGCCACAGGAAGAAGGTGAGGACAAATGGGTTGGAGGCTGAGCAAGCAAGAGGTTTAAGTAGAGTGAGGCAGCTGAGGAGGAAGGGGGAGGCTCAGATCCTCAGTTCTGGCAGCTGCTTCATTGGGTTAGTTCTGCCCATGGAGTTCCTGCTAGGTTTTGTCTCTCTGAACAAAAAATCAACCTTACTGCTCATCTCTGAGTTTTTGTGCTGAATCACAGTGGAACCAGCCCTGACATAAAGACACAGAATAATAGGCAATGAATATGTATAGCAGGCGGTCAAACTCGCCCAAAGTCCTGACTAGAAGCTGCTGCCAAAACATAATAAGGGTGAGTGCCAGCCATTTTGAGGGTGAGGGAATTCCACAATTATGCCTCTGCCGATAATACTTCTCCCCTCTTGTGGTGGCATGTAGAATCCCTGGCCGACAGGAGAGCGTTCCCCATCAGTCTTCGCATGTATCTAAATTCTGAGCTGTTAGTAGCTTTCTGCGTCTGTTCAAACACCTTGAACTTGTCTCAATAGCATATAAGCAGCCAGTGCATCTCCTTCAGTGGATAGAGTATGATCATTTACCCATTCTTTTTGTCCTTTGCCTTTGTTGGCCTAGGTTTGAGGAGCAGCTGCAGCAGTTGTTAGTGAAAGACTCTGAGACATTCCAGGATTTTCCCTCTCTTCCTCTGTACCTTCCTGAAACTCTGGTGGCTATGCCTCAGATTATCCATCCCCAAGCCAAAACACCAGTGCTGAGAAGCCCAGAGGTAAACTCTAGAAAAATAGAGTGGAATAAATCATATAGGGTTGCTATATTTACATGAAGTATCTGTAACTGATAGATTTTATAGTTTTGTGGGTGGGGGTGGTTGGAGAGGAGGGGCTGCTATGTATGGGTGTCAAATATGCCTGATTCTGGGCTTTCAGCTTCTATGGTGATTTAATTTTCTCTGACTTAGTACACTTAAGCTATAAAACTTGATTACTATAATCAGTTTTCCTGGAAAGCCCACATGTTTTGGGGTTGGATCTAAACATAGTTGAACTTCAGTCACTTTGGAATCAATGGAACTTTTGTCATAACCAGTTTATCCCATTGATTCTGGTGAGATTTAGGTTCCACTAACTTGGGTTGCATCCAGTGAAGTTGCCCCATGTATTGCGCAGGAGAGCTTCTCCTTCCTCTCTTTTCCCCATGTGCCACCGATAAAATCTGCTCCGGTGTGGGGGGGGGTAAGGAAAAGAGGGGGGAGGATAGTTTCATTTTACAAGGGGAAGTCTTTGCATGAATGGGATGGTCATTATAGATCAGGGTGGGGAATCTGTGGCCCTCCAGTTGTTGCTGGAGTGGAGCTGCCATCCCATTGGTTATGCTGACTGGGGCTGCTGGGAGTCCAGCAACGGTGAAGAGCCACAAGCTTCCCATCCCCACTGTAGAGAGTGTAAGCCACGGGTGCCACACGGTTGTGCCACTTCTGGAGAGGGGCAAGAGGGCAACCAGCCTCGACTTTGAGATGGGATCAAACCTACAATTCTTCCTGCCTCTTGGACACTCTTTCCCAGCCCAGGAGAACTAGAGGCAGAACCACTCCTTGGAGGGGGCCCTTGAATGACCCTGATGCCTCCCTTGAACTTCAATTGCAACACCCCCTCCCCCCAAAAGTAGGCACCGCTCTACTGAAGGAACATCTAAGCAGGGTTTAAATTTATAATTGTTTTCTATAGCCTTTTAGTGTCCCCAACAATTTGCCGTGTCCTACAGCAACGTGTGTGAATGAATGTGGTTATTCTAGGCTGTTAGATTAAGTGCTTCTGGTTAGGGGGCAGGTTGGGTGTGCTGCTAAACTGTTGGCTTTCTCAAAAAATATTTTATACTGTATTAACAATTTTCTCTTTTGCTCTTTAGGCTGCAAGTTGGACAGAACTGAGAGACACAGATACCCCTGTGTCGCAAAGATTTGCCTATTTAAAACAACTAATCAGGGCTAACAAAGAAGAAGAAATGACTTGTGAGCTCCACCTGTCAACATTGCTGGACATGATAGATGCTTGATCAGAGTTGACCCGAACGTGTGAGGCCAGAGAGCTCATAATGGATGATGAATACACATGATTAGCCTACAATTTCTGCGTAGAAAACAATGGAGGCTTTTGTGGATGAATAGTTCTTTCCCTTTTGTGGATGAATAGTTCTTTCCCTATCATACAGTACTTGTATATGTTTGCACAATAATGTTACATTTCCGTGAAGATGAATTGGTCCTTAGGTTTTACATTTTAATTTTAATTTTGCTCTTTTCCTGTACCCACTTCCTTGGAGTAAGCCTCCTTAAACGTAGTGTAAGCCTCATTGAACTCCTCCATTCTGTTGATGAAGCCAGCTGCTGGAGCCCACATAGACAAGAGTTGATTCTATGCATGGTGGGGAGAGAAAGAGGAGATTGCCTCTGATTCCATAATCAAATCTCAAATATTTGTTTGGGAACTGGTCTGATGCGTTTCTCGTTGCATATGCATAAGGCCCCATTCAAACACTGTGCTCCCACATGAATGGTTGCTGGTATTGGAGACAGGGCAAATGTGTTATTGGATGGGAAGATCAGGTCACTGTTGCTCATGCTCCCCACCATGTGTAGGGGAGACACTATTGACTCGCCTGGTCACTTCATCAACTTGGCTGCTGCTCTGAGAAAGTATGACAACCCTTTATCTGTGTTATTTGCTCTGCATGAACAAAATGAATTATGTGTCCCTGGTGGTGCATGTCACTGCTGTGCATCCCTGTGTGGAATTGACATCCATGGCGCAATTTCCATATGTGAAGTTGCCTTAGTAAGATTACTGCCTTGTCACAAAGGAGGCTCAGATTGGAGGCTTACACAATAAGACGCTTTAGGGACTTACGTTTTGGTACATGCGTTCAGAGGTGTGTTATCCGTGCTATTACAGATTTCTTGTCTTAAGCAGAGGCAAATTGGGAGGAACCAGAGATCTCTCTTGATAAAAACTGAAAGAAGTACTTGGTGTTGCAAAGGGCAGATACCTGTATATAGAGATCAATTTCAGCAGAAGCTCTCACCCAGAGGTTGCAGCTCATGTTGCAGATTTATTGATTATCTAAATATGATGAAACCAGTGTGTGCTCTAAAACAGAATGACCAAAGATGATTGGACGTCGTGTTGTTTCCATTTTACATCATGTAGTCCAAGGGCAGCTTGCTTTCACATGGCATTTAGGCACCAGAGTGCTGTGATAAGAATTCTCACCCAGGATGGTTTCAAATCCACCTGTTTGCAGTGCCAACGCAGGCTGCTGAAGCTCTTTCATGCATTTTTGGGATACTTACGCTGCCATTTTCATTAAGGAAGGGAAACAAGTAAATTGTAAGGTGGAAAGCGGGTGTAAAAAAATACTGGAAAATTTTGCAGCACCTTGAGAACACTAGACTGCTTTTGTTAAATTACCATGGACAATCTGGTTTGTGTATGTGTTTTAGAAATGGTCTGTCCTGCATTTTGCTTAGATTTTCATATTAGGAAATAATTTCTTAAGTCTGTATCTTTATCAAGAGGAAAGCAACTACCTGGGGGAAAAAAAATCTGATATGCAGAGCTTGTAAAGTTGGCAAGAGCTTCCTTTCCCAAGAATCAGTAACTTCATATTCTGCATATTTATTTTAAATTTTGTGTTGCTTTCTGTTTTAAGTTGTGCTATTTTACAGCGTCCTTTCTAGTTAAGTATGTGTGATTTTCATACGTACATTTATACTGTATTAGGCTAACTTCCAAGGCCCTGATGCTTTCTTTCCAATATTTCAGATATTATATTTAGGTTTAGGGTCTACTGTAGCTATTGTCTAATAAATAAAAACTATTCTGACACTTTTGAAGTGTTGCTTAAAATTATTGCTTAGTGTCATCTATGTACATGGTGCTTTTCCAGGATGCCTGTTTGGCAGGTCCACAAGAGGCTTGCAATTAAAAAATATGTAAACAGAAGGAAAATCACAAAGGAAGTGGAGGAGATTGAGGCAGAGGTAAACAGAAATCATATGTGATTCTTTCAAATACAGGGACTTTGGCTCAGTGAAACATGGTACTGAGACTAAGAGGGAGGGTTCCAAAAGCTTCCTGGGGAAAGTAGTTTTCAGGAGGGCTTTGAAAGACTTGAGAGCGCTCAAGGACTCTCTTCCCCTGTTACTCACTGCTAGATTAACAATGGCAAAGCACTAGAAGACATCCCATTTGAATCGAGTGGGCGTAACAGCATCAAGAAATCTGGAAATGGAGAGCATTGAAGAAAGGAAAGTAGGCAAATGTGCAGAAACATCGCGCTGCTGTATTGAACGCACTGTTTAAAAAGAACTCGCCGCCTCAATCATATGGGGAAATGACTTTGGTCGCTGGTAGGCGCGACAGAACAGAAGCAACTCGGGGCGCGCCGGCTCTTCGGCTTTGCCCAATGCAAGCGGCGCAGCTGCGCCAAGTTCGCCGCCTGCCTTTCCTCCAGCTGCTGCCGCCGCCGCCGCCGCTTTGCCTCGCCTCTCCTGGCCCCGCCCACCCGCGCGAGCCGGGCTCCGCCGTTCCCCGCCCTCCGCCTGCCGTCGAGGCCTCCCGATTGGCTGGGCCCGGCATGGGCTCATGTCAGTCCAGATCGGATGTTGCGCCGCGCGCTTCGGGACTTGTAGTTCCCTCCGCCGAAGCGCCGCCGCCGCCGCCGCCCGCCTGGACTTCCCTTCCCGGCATGCCGCGGGGCGGGGCTCCCCGGCTCCAGCTCGCCGCCGAAAGATGCGGCGCCGGAGTGTGGGCTCGGGCGGCGTAGTGGCAAGATGGAGGGGGCGTGAGTATGGCGCGGAGGAGCCGGGGCTGCCCCGGGAGGGCTGCCAGGCTGCGGGGGGCCAACTGTGCTTTCTTTCTCGGGGCGCGCTGTGCTGCTTTTTCGCACCAGCGTCGTTTCTGGCGCCGCGCTCGCGGTCGCCCAGGGGTTGCAAAAGTAGCATCACCTTGTGCTCCGTTGAGAAAAGGGAACGACAAAAAGGAGCAGGCTTGAAACCCTTCCCACGGGAGAACCTTGAACTCCCTGCAAGCGCAGAAAAGTTCTTACACTGCCTCAACTTTGCCTGAGCCCAGTCCTGATGCTGACCTGCAACCCTTTACAGTGGTACCTCGAGTTACATACGCTTCAGGTTACAGACTCTGCTAACCCAGAAATAGTACCTCGGGTAAAGAACTTTACCTCAGGATGAGAACAGAAATCGTGCGGCAGCAGCGGGAGGCCCCGTTAGCTAAAGTGGTACCTCAGGTTAAGAATAGTTTCAGGTTAAGAACGGACCTCCGGAACGAATCAGGTTCTTAACCTGAGGTACCATTGCACTGTAGTTTGAAGATGGAAGTCCTTTGGGGACACTTCTTTTTCTGAACCAAAAAAACATCCTAGTGCTCCGTTATTTTTAATCTGAACTATCCTAAGATTCGACTCTCCTCTGGAATTCACCTGTTCCCTGTACCTCCCCTGCTAGATGTCTGCGGAGAAGAAGAGGCGGTCCCTATAAGACAGAGCCGGCCACGGACTTGACCCGCTGGCGCTTGAGCAACGAAGAAGGGCGGCAGCAGTGGCGATTCCTGGCGGATGGCGAGGATGGTGGTCGGGAGCAAACGGCGCTGGAAGCTCACTCGCTAGGGCTCAGCACGGTAGGTAGGCAGCTGAGGCAACCCCTCGCTTGCTACCAGGTTTTGAGGAGAACATGCCAGTTGCATTAGGACCGCTTGGTTCTTTGGGGATAGTTCCGTTGGAAGTTTGATTTTCAAACTTCATTTTGTCTGAATGCACATTGACTTGTCTGCTGAAGAAATCCTGTAATGCTTATTCTTTGGCGATCCCTAACAGCCGAGTAAGAGTGTCTTCCATGAACACGGTCTTAACAGTGAGTCTATAAGTGACTATGGAGGCCAATTCTGGATCCACACGTCCTTCCACAGTGGGGACATAGGTTTCCAGGAGGGAGTTGATCACAGCGAGGGTTTGCTAAACGTACCTTCCTCTTGGCACATTTCTCCCTTTCGTCCTGCGTTTGAGTGTTTGAAGGCATATCCTAGGGTACAGGCAATGTTCATGTGGGGCTTCCCTAGTGCCCCATGTGCCCAGAAAATGGGTCCTAAAGCTTTGGCGGTGCTTCCTGGCATCAGCGTGTTGAAGGGAAAGAGCAGGAGTGGCAGAAGAGGGTGCCTTGCAGGAGAGGTTATGAGTTTCTTGTTGAGGAATTCCTGATGAGATTCCAGGGAATCCCAACTCATCTGAGGCTGCAGTTTAATTTCCTAAAAGTTACAAAGTGGTCCTAGAAGTCTGTGTTTTTCCAGTGCCAACTGGGAAGTGAGAACTGCCCATATCTCTGCTCCGGAGAAAGTAAGCAGGACTGGCTTGTTGCTTTTAGTCTTCATGTATTGGGAAGGTTCTTTACTAGCTTGTTTATTCTTGTTGGAAAAAATGCGTCGCAAAAAAACTGAATTGATCTGGCGGCAGCCCCTATGCTGCATTTATGGCCCCTTTCTCCCTTGCCCACACCTTCTGGCTGTTCCTTCAGCCTCCCTTGTGATACCCTCCTGAAAACTGGCTGGTCCTAATAAAATTGACTTGCTTTTTTGGCTCCAGAGGCAAATATTCAGCCCTCAGATTCCCGGTGTGTGGAGGGGTATGCCACCCTAAGGAAGCCTGGGAATATACTGAGAGGAGGCCCTGTGGTCCTTCCTGATAGATGCCAGAGTCTTTGATTCCCTTTCTGTTTACCTGTTTTGCTAGTCCAGTCTCCTGCTTTTCCTTGCTTTGTTGTTCCTCCCTTGCCCTCTCCCTTTTCCTTGTGGAATTGGTCTCCTGCCCTACAAGGTGCTCGCTGGAGACATTCATTCATTCATTCTATTTCCCTGTCTGTTGTGAACCTAAGCTTCTGCTATAGAATTCACCTGTGTCTCTTTCCTCTTTCTTCTTCACTGTAATTGGCAGAGCAAATTTTTCCCGGACTTGCCAAAGGCCTGTACAGCACAGGAAGGAGCAGTGAATGGAATGAAGTTTTACTCAGGCCTGCAAGCAGAAGATGGCCACTGGGCTGGGGACTACGGAGGGCCTCTCTTTCTGATGCCAGGTAGAGTTACCATGACAACTCAGCAAACTTTTTCTCCAACCAGACAAGCAGTGTTCCAGCAAGGGGTGATGCGTAACAAATCCGAAAGCGAACGCTTTGGGTGCGGCCTAATCCCCAACATCCCCGAGAGGGAGAGGGAGTGGCTGGGCCTTGCTTCTCCTGCTTGAAGGTGCCCGTGGAGTTGACACAGTTGAGAGAAGTGTCAGCTGGAGAAGTGCTGCATGTGTGCAGGAGAAGGAATCATAGTGTCATAGAATTGGAAGGCACCCAAGGGTCACCTAGTTGCATCTGTCAGCAACCAACTTAGATAAGAAAGTTAATTTTTAAGTAAAGGGAGGCTAAAATAACATGTGCCTCATCTTATGGAATCCTGTCGCTGGAACATTTAAGGAGGCAAAGAACCTTGCTTGTTTCACGACAGAGCTGTGTAAATTCATGATCAGGATTTTGTGAGTTTTCCTTTTTGACCCCCCCCCACCTGATGAGATCAGGAAGGAGAGCAACAAAGGTAGCTGCCTTATATGGAGCCAGACCATTAGACTATTGAGCTTAGTATTGTCTACGTTGACTGGCAGCCACTCTCTGGGATGTCAGGGAGGTGCTTTCCTCAGCCCTGCCTGGAGATGCCAGGATTGAATGAGGGAGCTTCTGTGTGCAAGCCAGGCCCTTCCCCACTGTGCGCACCCATCCCTACAATCTTGGATCTCACGCAGGTGTATCCGCCTGGGTCATCCTCAGTGGGTGTGAGGCTGGTGGTTGCCCCTTCTCTGCAGCCTGTGGCTGGACCAGGCGGCTTCCTGCCTATGTCAAGACATTGCTCTCAGCACCTTTGATTGTAGCATAAGTGATCCTGTCTATCTCTCCTCCTAAACATTAATGTTCTTTTTAGCGGACTAAGAGAATCAGCAACTTTGGTGCTTCTGAGGACTGATTGTGTAACACACTGATCTCCCTAAAACAGGGCTCTTAATCACATGCTACGTTGCCAAGATCCCACTGCCAGAAGAGAGCAAGAAGGAAATGGTGAGGTACTTGCGTTCAGTTCAGCTCCCAGATGGAGGATGGGGCCTGTGAGTAAACTATAAAATTTGGTGCTTTAGAAACTGCCCACCTGCCAAGCTTGGTCCGTGAGGGGGTCGGGGTAGGAGGGATCTGACCCAGCCGCTGGATCCAGTTCCCCAGCCCTTGTTGAACAATATGTTATGTTCCAGGTTGTGGAGACTAAAAAGTGAGTTTGCCTTCTCCACTGCTCAGTGCTAGAAACTGGAAACTGGTGGACTAGAAAGGAAAATGGAGAAAATGACTCCCCCACAGCCAAAGGTTAAAGTAAATGTTGGGTGATAAAGTTGACTGTCCCCAGTGAGAGTGATGATAGATACAACGCGCCAAAAACATTAGCACATAGATAATTGAGTAACGAAAATGCTCATAACAAAAGGGCTCTGAAAAAACAGACAGAAGTTGTGGGAGAGTTACAGATTAGCTGGTGTGTCATGTGCAGAGCCCATTTGCAGCAGTAGTGGAAAAAACCCCCTTGTGCATTTGGCCCTTAGATTAGCCAGTTTGCATGAAGAGCATGGAAACAGTGGAAGAGGCAAGGCTCATTCTTGTAATATTAAACTATGGATTATGTATTTAATCCAAATTGGTCTAGTGTGGAAACAAAACCCTGTCCAGCAGAACCAGACCTGCTGGGAAATGAAACACCACATGACATTTCTATAATCTACATTTAAAACAGATGACATAATGTTCCCATGGAAGTGGATCAAGCTCTTTCTGTTGCTCAAATTGCCTTAGCCAGCTTGCAGTAATCTTGATCTACCTGAAGTCAATCAGGACAGATCGAGTAACTGCCTGCGGGCAAGGCACATATTCTTAACAGTTCTGATGTTTTTGTCCGGTAGGCATGTTGAGGACGTATCCAAGGTATTTTGTACTGCTCTCAACTACACAGCCATGCGAATCCTTGGGGTCAGTCCTGATGACCCAGATCTGTTGCGGGCTCGGAACAACCTCCACAGTAAAGGTGACTAACCAGGAGGCCACCTCACATGAAGGTGGCTTTGTTTTTCAGTCTTGTTATCCTGTGGAAAGGGAACTCTCCTTATTCCTAGAGTGAGTGTCTAGTTCTTCCAACATCCTATCACATCCATGGACTGTCTCCTTTCAGGAGAGTTGGAATCTCTTTTGAATTTAATATTGGCTGCCTTGAGTGCATCTGCTTAAAGCACTGGGCATGAGGATGCCGTGATAGAGCTCCATGCTGTTGTGCACAGGAGGCCAGAGTTCCCTGTTTGGGTCTTCTCTCACCACCAATGCAGCATGATTGGCGGCACAGTAAGGAGGACTCTTTGGAGAAGGCTGAGAGGAGGAGGGATGAGGAAATAATCAGGGGTCATCCTCTGGCTCCAGTGGGAGTGTTTTGTTTATACTATCCCTTTTGCAGACAAAAAAGTCAAACAGTAAGCATTTGTTTCTTACAGAAGAGTCCATTTTACTGCAGCGATCTCTGGTTTTATAGATATCTGTATGAGTTCTTGTATATTTGGCTCTTCAGGTGGTGCTACAGGAATCGCTTCCTGGGGTAAATTTTGGCTGGCTGTTTTGAATGTCTACAGCTGGGAAGGACTGAATACACTTTTCCCTGAGATGTGGTACGTGCAGTTTTAGAGTATTACAGTGCAAGCCTAACCATGTCTTCTCTGAAGAAAGTGCTGTTGAATTCAATGAGACCTGCAGGTATATGGCAGTAAAAAAAAATAATACATAATAATGTGGCTTGCTCCCTGGTAAGTGGGAATAGGATGGCAGCTTTAGCTACCATAATTTATATCTATACCTCCTCATAGAAACAACTGGAAGTTACTATCAGTTTGTCAATAGGTTGGCATGTTTGCTAAGTCTCTAGTTCAACTTGTCACATCAATTCGAAGAGCCAAAAAAGACCTAAGTTTCAGGAGGCCCCAGAGACTGGCCACCGGAAATCTAAATGTCAATTAACATTTTAGCTCATACTGGTGAAAATTTGGCCTTCAGAAACCTTTTTGGGTAGGAAACCCTAGCTTTACGCAGGCTGTGGTACAAAGGTGAGACTCACCGCCATTGCTCCGCCCACTTTTGTCTCCGGCCACGCCTACTTTTCTGCCTGCTCATGCTCATTATGGACATGCGTCTCTGAAAGGTTGCCCATGAGTGAACACAGACCTCAGCCAAAAACCGGCTTCCCAAGCCCCAGTTTAGCATGTTGTCTGAATCCTAAATTCTGGTCAGTGTTAACTATGGTTTGTCTAAACAAACCAGCTTGATGAACTTTGGCTTGCAGTTAGCCTGTTTCAGTAATTAAAATTTATTAGAGTTTGTCAGGTTTAGGCAGCAGAGCAAGCTGTGTATGATGGAAATCAGAAGGGAAAGCTTGTCGCACCTCCTTGGGGCTCAGCCAACCAGGACGGCGTGTGAGCTCCTTCTGGTCCCATTCAGGTGGGCCATGGCCTCAGGGCTCATGGAAAAGGAAGGCTCAGCCAGTTTAGTCCTGAGTCTGCTCTGGAGTCCCTGCTGCTATCCAGGTAGCTTGCCATGGGATGGATTCTCTGTGGGAATCTCCTTAGGGCCACAGATACATGGCTACTGGCTGCCATTTCTAGAGTTCTGCCCATCGTTTACCGCAGGCTTCCCTTTTGATTTCTGATAGGCTGTTTCCTCGCTGGATGCCAGCCCACCCTTCTACTCTTTGGTGTCACTGCCGTCAAGTTTACCTGCCCATGGCCTACTGCTATGCTACGCGACTCACTGCAGAAGAAGATGAGCTGGTTCTGAGCCTCCGGGAGGTAGTTCAAAAGGGCCTTTTTTCCTTCCTCCATCTGTCTGTTTCTCTCTCTCATAGAACCATAAAATTGTAGAGTTGGAAGGGACCCAAGGGTCATCTAGTCCAGCCCCCTGCAATGCAGGAATCTCAGCTCAAGCATCCCTGACAGATGGCCTTCCAACTTCTGCTTAAAAACCTCCAAGGAAGGAGAATCCACCATCTCCTGAGGGAGACCATTCACTGTCAGACAGCTCTTACTGTCAGAAAGTTTTTCCTGCTGTTTAGTCGGAATCTCCTTTCTTGTAATTTGAAGCCATTGGTTTGAGTCCTACCCTCCAGAGCAGGAGAAACAAGCTTGCTCCACCTTCCATATGACAGCCCTTAAGATATTTGAAGATGACTATCCTATCTCCTCTCAGTCTTCTCTTTTCCAGGCTAAACATACCCAGCTCCTTCAACCATTCCTCATAAGGCTTGGTTTCCAGCCCCTTGATCATCTTGGTTGCCCTCCTCTGCACTCGCTCCAGCTTGTCAACATCTTCCTTAAATTGTGGTGCCCAGAATTGGACACAGGACTCCAGGTGTGGTCTGACCAAGGCAGAATAGAGTGGTACTATTACTTACCTTGATCTGGACACTGTGAAATGCTTTAGAAAAGTGTTTTTGCTGTAATTCCTCTGGAGGCACCACAGATGTTCTCCTGGAACCCCAGTGAAAGCGTGGCTTACAAATTATATTGACTTCTTTAAGGCTTTATATCTCTTTAAGGTCATACAGAAATCAAGGTGTGTGATGCATTGGGAGGCGGAACATACAGCAGATACATAATTTAAGCATTTGCTTAGATGGCATAAACAGAATGAAATTCTGTGGTCAAAGAAGACGCTCCGCCTGGTCTTATAGCAGGTCGGAGGCTGAGAAGGCGCCTAGGCAGCCTGTTTCCAGCTTTCTCTTCTCTTGCCAATTCTGCTTGGTGTTGTGTGACCCTTCTTTGCATCTAGGAGCTCTACACCCAGGACTATTCCCTCATTGACTGGCCGGCGCAGAGGAACAACGTCGCTGCGGGTGATGTGTACACGCCACACAGTTGGCTGCTCTCCATCATCTATGGTGAGCAGAGTGTGACCTCTGGGCTTGGAAGGTAGTCATGCTTGTTTGCAGACCTGTTTGCCGTCGCCAGGCCTCTTGTGCTGTTCACTAGCTGAGATGGTACTGCTGGTCAGCAGAAGGAAAAGCGGATGGTTCACAGAGAGGCATCGCTGTATTGCCCCAGGTGGAGAATTGGGCGGTAGTGCATACACCGTTAGAGGAAAGTGTAATGTGCGGATCAGGGCTGCCTGTGTATACCTGGAAGTAAATCCCACCATGTTAGTGGGTCTTCCTTCACTGGGGAAATGTAAGGTTGCCTGCCTGCTCCCCTTGATGCTTTTTTGCTTTTCCTTTCTGGCACATAGTGGATAAATGCAATGGAAGACTCTGTAGAGGAAGGTTCTGCCCTGTGAAGAGGCCTCACCTGTATGCATGCACTGTATGTAGTTGGCCTAAATGCCTCTCTGGCAACGGCACATCTCCTGGCATCCGATGCCTTTCCTTCAGATATAAAAGCTGCATAGGCCTGGCACGGGGTAGGCTTGGCCTGATCAGGGCAATGCTTGTGTGAGTCTTCTGCAGAGAGTCCTCTGCCTCTCTTGGTCAAGGGAGCCCTCAAAGCTTTTCTTCAGCCTGCCTTTTCCTTTTTAATCTTGCTGGCCGTGGCTGGCTTCATTGCTCAGTGCTGCAGGGATAATCAGAACTTGGATTAGCAGCCTACTCGACATTATTCTCCTTTTCTACAACTCCACTTACTGGTGTATCACCTGCTGATTTCACAAGCCATTGCTTTGTTGTGATTCAGAGATTTCATCCAACAGTAGACAGAAGTGGTTTGCTTTGTTTACCTGACAGGCCCACTCACTTTGCAGGGTTGCTGCAAGCGCTCTGCACATGTTGAACAGGACTTGTCTGTTCAGAGCATACAGCATTTATCTTTCAGCCCTCTAGTCTCTGTGTTTTCATCCCTCAACCCTTGCTTGGCTATCAGCTGAATCCAGACTCCAGAGACACAGTAATGCCACAGCAGCTGATTCTGGGTGATTCCACTACTTCAGCGCAGTTTGTGCTGGTACAGGGACACGAAGGAAAAGAGTGAACATGCTTCTCATGTGCACAGGGATTGTTTGCAAATGTGGCTTTGCCATTTTCCAGTGACAGTATTGATAATTCACAAATGAAGTTTGATTAGCTCTGAACTGCCATGGAAACCTAAGTTAGGGATTTGCTAAGTGTATGTGGCTCAATTCCTGCCTGTATTACTCTTCAGTGCTCATATTCAGCAGATAAATATGAAACCTCTTTCTCTCTGCTTCCATTCCAGCAATTATCAACACCTACGAGAGATTCCACAGCACAGCTCTGAGACAACGAGCAATTGAGCAGCTGTACGACCACATTAAAGCTGATGACCGATTCACCAAATCCATCAGCATTGGCCCTGTAGGTCACTTTGAGTGGCACTTACAGCTGAATAGCTCTGGAATGGAACTTGATTTGCAGATTCCAAAATGCTTGTTCAGTGCATCTGTTCCTGGTAGCACAGTACCTAATGAGCACAGGCAGATGGCTGCAAAATTTGTCACCCCATTGATCACCAGGGTTGATTTGGCTGCCCTGACTGGCTGGTCAGGCACCCCCAACCTCCCCCCCTCCATGTGCACTTGGTGGAGCACAGCCATCCCGGATGGAAGATGTGTGCCTCCTGCTCTTCAGTGGAAAGCAAATGGTCGTTGATGAGCCCAGGCTCAAAGCTGTACACACCTGGAAGGTTCCTTCCATAGAGCTGAGTGGAAATCTCAGCGGCAGGGCACATGTTCTGCAAGCAGAAGGTCCTGGATTCCACCTTTGGCATCTCCCAGTTGAAAAGGAGCCATGAAAGAGCTCAGAAATAGCCCCGGTCTCCACTGACCCCCTGACCCCCTTCAGCCATTCTGCAGTGGGGAGAAGCATTTTGGCTCCACCCCACCTCTGTTCCAGGCAGGGGAGGACGGTTGGGGCAGAGCTCAGCACACTTGTCCCAGCTGCAGTTAATGCTGGAGGCAGCTACTGTTGATGAGTCTTCTTTTTGACCGCATCCTTATGAGGATTGATGTAGGAGCTGAGTTTATAAAGAGGCACAAATATTAGGGGCTGTTTGCTCTGTCTTTCTTAGGAGAAATGACTTTGCCTTTCTCTGCCCATTTAGATATCTAAAACAATTAACATGCTTGTGCGCTGGTATGTGGAGGGAGACAAGTCTGCTGCCTTCCAAGAACATGTTTCCAGAATCCCCGACTACCTCTGGTAAGGCTTTGTTGAAACTCAGACTTGTACATCCTTACAGCTGCTTTGTGCATAATGCTCTTAAGGACTCCTGAGTACTCACGGTTCATCAGGAGAGACTGGAGGACACTTGGAAAGTAGCTGCTGAACTCCCCTGATGAGAGCAGGATTGCCTCGTGTTGGTGTTGCCGTTCACCATTTGGACGGCATATTAAGCTCCCAAGCAGAGGACCATCCTCTTCTCTTCCCAGGAGACCAGTAGTATTTGAACAATAAGGTTGAGAGTCGGCAACTTGCCCAAGGCCTCCCTGTTGGCTTAAGAGCTGAACAGGGATTTGAACCTGAGTTCTCTTCAGCCCCTGTCAAGTGGGGACTCCCTTAGGGTAAAGTTTATGAGGAGCTCATTAGTGCTGGTGGGAAGATAATTCATCTTGCACCCCCCTTTGCCCATTTGTTCACCCAGGGTACAGGAAACATAATTGAGGTGCAGGACTCTGTTTAGCCAGTCTACAACACTGAGTGCTTTCTGTCTCCTTGCAGGCTGGGACTGGATGGCTTGAAGATGCAGGTAATAATCCCTGGCATGGATGAAAGGGATTTATTTTTTCTCTGTCTCGTTGAGGGTCAGACTTGTGCTTCACAAGATGGTGTGACATTGCATCAGTCACCCTGTTCAAACTGGAAAAGCTGCTTCCAGAGTGGCTTCAGGATCAGAGAAGCCGCAGGGTTAGCTGACATATTCCTGCTCCAAATTGCCCTTTCTCCTGCACCCCACAGCCACCCTCTGGTTTCAGAAATGTGGGGGGAAATGCATTATAAACTTGGAGCAACAAAGCAGTTTGGGAGACGTCTAGGACACAGGTGGCAGAAAGCTTGCCATGAATCCAACTTAACGCAAGTTGAGAGCCACTTGGTGTCAGTGGTTGAGGAGTGAAAACAGAGCTTCTCCTTGACAGTTGCATCTTCAGAAGGTTGTCTCATGAAGCATTTTGAGACCTCCTCCATTCTGGCCCAAATGATTTAGTATAAGTGCCCCCAGAGGACTCCTGCGACATGTTTACTTAATACTTTAGGGATGTTGTTGTTGTTGTTTAGTCGTTTAGTCGTGTCCGACTCTTCGTGACCCCATGGACCAGAGCACGCCAGGCACTTCTGTCCTCCACTGCCTCCCGCAGTTTGATCAAACTCATGCTGTTAGCTTCAAGAACACCATCCAACCATCTCATCCTCTGTCGTCCCCTTCTCCTTGTGCCCTCCATCTTTCCCAACATCAGGGTCTTTCCCAGGTAGTCTTCTCTTCTCATGAGGTGGCCAAAGTATTGGAGCCTCAGCTTCAGGATCTGTCCTTCCAGTGAGCACTCAGGGCTGATTTCCTTCAGAATGGATATGTTTGATCTTCTTGCAGTCCATGGGACTCTCAAGAGTCTCCTCCAGCACCAGAATTCAAAAGCATCAATTCTTTGGCATTCAGCCTTCTTTATGGTCCAGCTCTCACTTCCATACATCACTACTGGGAAAACCATAGCTTTTACTTTAGGGATAAAAGCCCCCAAATCCACCACATTCAGATATCACAGTTGCAACAGTTTAGCCCATGGATGGATCCAGAGCACCATTTAGTTTTGGGTTTTGGGGGGTGATTTTCAGCTGTTGCAGCCAAAGGAGACAAACACAGTTTTTGGAGGGGTGCAGTTGACCACTTGCCCTTCTTGGCTCGAGGCATCTAGCAAGAGGGTATTATTGAATGACTCAGCCCAGTAGGTGATTTATGTCCCCTCGCAAGAGGAGTTTTTGAGCACTGCAATAACTATTGTCCGGTTGCTTTTAGTTTATTTTTATATTTAAAAAATCTGTCCTGCTCTTCTGGTGCTCATGTGCCACTCAGGATGGCTTACAACAAATTAAAATCACAATACCATTCAATGTAGTAAAATTGAAATGAAAATAAAAACACGCATCAGACGAACTACACAACATTAAAATCAATTTTGAAGCAACTTTGGCCGAGATCCCACGTGAAAACCCCACTAGCCAACTTCACTTTGCATGGCCAGCACCAGAGGGAGTCCTGGGTGGCACTTGCCCATGAAACATTAGTTCTTTGGGCATATTGCTGCAGGTGGATTTTTAAAATGCATAGGTTGAAAGAAAACATTTATCCATGTTATAGATAAATTCTTGAGTTTGTAAAACGGTTACATTGGTTACATCCTCTAAAATACAATAAAAAGAAAGCATATAAACTACTTGCTGTATACTTCTTAATTATTTTTGCAGGGATGATCAGACCAGTTAACAAATAGTTTAATGTTAATGAGAATTCAAATAATATTAACTAAAACACAAAATATTACGTAAAGTAGATTACAAATGTTTCGTTGGTCACTACGGAGTTCCCCCCTCCCAGCTATTTTGATGGCTAGCACTTGGTATACGAGTGGAGAAGGTTGTAATAAGGACTACCTTGGTGACAGTAGGCTTTTCCTTTTTAACCCATTGCCAATTGTAGGGGAAATTGCTTTTGGGGAACAGTTGAGCACCTTCTGTTGGCCGCAAGGGAGACAAGTCAGGTGGGAGGTGAGTGTTTCTTACTGCACCTTCCTTCTCTTTCAGGGCACTAATGGGTCACAGCTTTGGGACACGGCATTTGCTATCCAAGCTTTCCTGGAGGTAATTATTTTTCTTTGTTTTGACCTAGGAAACATGGCTGTTCCTCTGTAATTTTGGGGAGAATTAGCCTGTAGGTCCAACACACATGAATCAAAATCAAATGACTGAAGAAACAGTCTGGGATATAGAGCATATCTAGTTCACACAACACAGAAAAGTATTACAAATGGTGACATGTGACTAGTAGAGATGCAGTCAGGCAGACAGCCAGTAAATTTCTGTTAAGAATGTCTTTTGATTGCTATTGCAAGGGAATGCAAAGCAGCAAAGTTTTAAATAGCCTAGGATGTTTAATTAATGTTACTCAAAGGGTATTCCTCAGCACATAATAGCATGAAGACAGTTTTGTTTTGTACATAGGAACCACAAGGAAGTCTGAGCAGCTTTAGGACTTTGGGGGTGAGCCGGGGAGTTCAACTTTTTCCCTGCTCCAGTTCTGATATAGTGATTTATTGGAGGCTTCCATTTACATTTCAAGGAAAGCATATTCCTTGTGCTCATGGGAGTTTCCTTCAAATGCAGATGACAGTTCTGAGAGGTCATTTTTGCCAAGACTGTGGGAGGGAAAGAGTTAAATTCCCTTCCGGTCCCATCCCTGCAGTCCCAAAAGTCACTGCTTACGTTAACTACACTCATGCAATTATCACAACTCAATTACTGCTTGGCCCTGAATTCTAGTGAGATTTGTGGGCCTGGCCCCCCCAGGTAAGTATAGGATAAGATTGTAGCCTTAATTCATCAAATTTTAATGAAATTAATCTTAACAAAATATTATTAAGATTGATTACTGCTCCTGGATTCAGTTTTTAAAAATCACATTATGTCAAATGAAACACCTTTTTCTTTTTTTTAAAGGCAGGTGCCCATAAAAGGCCTGAATTTAACTCCTGCCTGCTACGTGCACATGAGTTTTTAAGAATCAGCCAGGTAAGAACCAGGCATATACGTATCCATGATCCAGTTCTGCTGTAATACTGCCCACATTCTAAAAATATGTAGGTTTTGATTTTGCAGTGTGCCTCATAGTTCTGTCCAAGAACCACACCCACAGCCACACCCACCTATGCTTTGCTCCCGGGAATGTGTCCCTTTGTTGTAAGCCAAAAATAGCGTATCTTCTGAGTTTATGCCAATAAAAACTCCGAAACGTGAGGAGTTAGGAGTCCAGCGTTTATGCAAGAATGTGAATTTCGGCCTCTCCAAACTCACGTCTTGGGGGGAAGTGTTCCACCAGGTGAACCAAATTTAACTACTACATCTGGAGGGCTTTATTCCTTTTCTCTATGCAGAGAATTTCTTGATTTCTTCTCTGTAGTTCTCAAGGCACTGCAACATCAAGGATTCCTTGTTGAGGTCAAAATTTGCTGGCATTGAATTGCTGAATTGTGTGCGTTTGTTTATAGTTGCAAATATCTATACCCATACAAAATGTTTTTATGTCTATAACACCTTCAGGCCCAAACTTGAAATTACAAAGACCGCTGTGGCTTGTGCTTGTATTTCAGACTTTTTATATCACTTTCTCCCTTGCGTCTAGCATTTTTAATAGCGTAGTTCTTAAAATAGTGTTCCTTTTATGTCAATTGCACTTGCCTTCTTTGTCTGAGTGTAGCTTGTATCTCCTCCAGATTCCAGATAATCCACCTGATTATGAGAAGTACTACCGTCAGATGAACAAGGTATAATCACAAAAAGAGCTCCCTTTCTGAAAGCATCAATGCCAGATGCTAAGTTAACTTGGGAAGATATCTGTCCAAAAATCTTTCTCTGAATTTTTTCCAGGAGAAAGTTGCTCATGAAGTTAGGATTGTTTTCCTCGCTCTTTAACCTAAATCTTCCTGCAGGGCTCCCTACGCTGCGGATAGCAGCCTGCCGCCCGGCACGCAGGGCGCCCTGAAGCAGAGCGCCCCTCGCGCCACACAGACATCCGCAGCGTGGGGAGCCCCGCGGGAGTTCCTGCAGGGCTGCCTACGCTGCGGATAGCAGCCTTCCACCCGGCACGCAGGGTGCCCTGAAGCAGAGCGCCCCGTGCGCCGAACAGACATTGGCCAGCCCCACAAGCTCGGGGGACAGCGGGGAGGCGCAGCGCCGCCATCCCGCTGTTCCTCGACCTGGTTTGGTTTCCCTGACCTGGTTTTCGGGGGGGGGAAATAAAGGGAAATTTCCCCCCCCCCAAAATTAGGTGCGTCCTATGGGACGGAGCGTCCTATGGGACAAAAAATACGGTATCTAAAAGAGTAAGTTTTTCTGTACTCAAATGCTGGAAGAAAGGTCAGCTGGGCAGCAGTGTTATTGGCAATATATGTGGTCCTGCAAGAATTCTCTGCTCTGCATTGCCTAATGCTCTCAATTGTCTAATGCTCTCCAGGGTGGATTTCCTTTCAGCACGCGGGACTGTGGCTGGATTGTAGCTGACTGCACTGCGGAGGGGCTGAAGTCAGTGATCCTTCTGCAGAACAATTGCTCTTTTATAAAGGAGCAAATCCCACCGAACCGTCTCTTTGATGCTGTGAACGTGGTGAGTGGCTTGGAAGGAGAAGCAGCCCCTGGGTCAGAGTCCAATCTGCCTCCCAGACGATGTTGCCTTTGGCTAGTTGGTGGTCATAAGCTGGAGGTGGGGATTTCTGGGTGAAGCGTGGAGCTTGTGGGAGTATTTCTGATTTCCACTGGGCCACTGCTTAAGGCTGTGGGGCCACTCCACTGAGCTCCATCTTTGCCATGCCCTTGTCCAGACGCTCTCTCTCTCTTCCTCTCTGTCTGACTTCAGTTGCTGAACATGCAAAATGTGGACGGTGGCTTTTCCACATATGAAACGAAGCGTGGCGGCTGGCTGCTGGAGCTCCTGAACCCTTCCGAGGTGTTTGGTAAGAGAAGGGACTTGCTTTGCATCCATGCTAGCATAGTTAGTAAGAGGTTTGTGTGTCAGTGGAAGTCCTCTTGGGCAAGCATGGGGAATGGGGCATCGTTGTCTCAGTAGAAGAACTGAAGCCATTCCACACCCACCCACCCTGCCTGCCCCGGCAATGTGATTTGGCTCCTGCTGGCCCCTCTTAATCTTCTTCTTTTTTAAAAAAAATAATAATTTTTATTAACCGACCAATCAAATCAAATCACATCACATATATTCCAAATTACAAAGCCGAATTTTAAATTTTTGTTGGGGGTTCCCATATTTCAAGTTCCGAAGGGGATTCCAATCATCTTCTTGCTGCTGTATTAATGTCCACAAATCTGTCCAAATAATATTCACAATTCTATCCAGTCCTATCTTGCTCCCACATCTCATCTTGTTATTTTCATATATTTTTCATTTTTCTTTGTGATCTCTTCTGATAATCTCCTTAAGCAGGTAAACACAAATTGTAATCCTGTGTGAGTTTTTCCGTTCGTCCAATAACCATATCGAGATGGTTTCCATATATCATCAGTTCCATAAATAAAAGCACTCTTTCCATCATTAATCTTCACAAATCTGTCGCCTTCTTTAGTCCTCTGATGAGGTTCGCCCGCAGTATGAAAACAGATGCATTCCTCCTCCCAGACATAAATCTTTCGACAGAACTTGCCAAAATGGCGACGCTGTTTTTTACTGCGTCATCCCAAAGCTCTTGTACTTTCCACGATCTCCTTAAAACATGCTTTTTGTTAAAAATTATCTCCACACAGTCTTAAATCATCCTGCTTAGGTCATTTAAGCGGCATTTCTGACTTGTGGGGGGGGGGATTATTGGTTAATCACATAGAAGAAAGAAAGGAAAGTCCCCCCCCATCCAGTCCCGTTGCCGACATACCGAGCCTTGGTGTGTCTTCTCATGATATATTCCTGTTTATCCGACCCGTCTTCTTTCTCAGAGATCCCTTCAATTAGCAGTCTTTACTCCCCCTTCTTCCTTGAAATATGTGCATTAGCTTCATCCTAATTGTTTCTTTTGAAGTTGCTGCAGCTAGTGGCGCGAATCAGAGACAGCGTCCAGGAGCGCCAAAGTCCGCACAAGGGCTTTCTGCCTAGTGCCCCCACCCCCTCAAATTCGGGGGTGGTATAGGGCACAGCAGGCAAGGGTAGTCCCCCCATTCCCTTGGGGGGGCAGGGAGGCTGCATACTCCCATCACAGCCACTTAATTACGTCGTGTGGGTCGGAGAGATGTTATTGTCGGCCATCTTCCAATGTGCCCCTAGTGGCCCCCCGGCCCCTCTTAATCTTCAATCAAACTCTGATATTAAAAAGTTGACAACAACTGTACCCGAAAGGAAAAGACAAATTATTTTAAGTTTCAAGAAACAGAGGCATGCCACACAGGAATCTCACATCTCTCTCTAGAATCTGTCTTACTGATTTTCAATATATAGCCTTTAATGATATTTCTGCTGCATTTCAATCTATTAATCAAAATAGACTCTGGGAGAAATCTGAAATTGCCAACCTTGACTGCATTCTTTGGCTTTAATCCAAGAACATTACAGCAACACAGGAATGAAGGTCAGAGTAGGTTTAAATGGTGATACGACTAAGGCTTTTAAAAGTCACAAGGAATGAAGGAAGGTTGCATTCTGACTCCCACGCTGGAAGCTGGCTCCTATTACGGATCTATCATCTGTATTGTTTTATTGGTTCTGGAGCTGTGGATTTGTCATGGCCTTTCGCTGTATCAGCAAACTTGTATTTTTTGTGGTTTGCAGGGGATATCATGGTGGACTACACTTACGTAGAATGCACCTCGGCGGTCATGCAGGGGCTGAAGCATTTCCAAGAGCGCTTCCCTGAGCACAGGGCAGAGGAGATCAGGTAAAAGGAGGGAAGGAAAGGAGCGGAGCAATGGAAAAACAGGATGTGAAACCTTCGTTTCAGAGTTGACATGGGAAAATAAATTCCCTCCTGTCATTGGGCACCTGACCCTTCTGTGGGGTGGGAGTGAATAGCATTTTTTCCCCTTCCAGTCTGGGCTAGAGAGAGTGGTGCTGGGAATCGTGGGTATTCACAGGGTTGAAAGGGTTCCCCACTCTTTCCTTTTTGCTCAGAGAGACGCTGCAAAGGGGCCTCCGCTACTGTCAGAAACTTCAGAGAGCTGATGGTTCCTGGGAAGGGTGAGTGTCCTCATAAAGCCAAGGGCCGCTTCAATAATTGGTTGGGCTTTCCAGCTGCTTGCCAGGGTATTTAAAAATATAAAGGAAGGTGCCTGCTTTGGGGCAATTTTAAGAATCAGAGGTAAAAAATCCCACTTTTCAGCACCAGTTTGAGACCTTTGGGTGGTTCTAGTAGGAGAAGCCAATAGCACCTTTTTATTAGCAGTTTAATTTGTCTGAGAGACCAGTGTGGCATCTGACCCTACAAGTCCCGGGTTCAAATCCTGTTTCAGTCGTGCTCCCACTGGATAGCCTTAGGCAACCCGCCCTCCTGCTTTGTCACAGTCACTCAGAGAGTTAATATTCATATCTTGTCCATATGAAACACCTTGAAACGGCCCAGCGCTATATAAATGCTCAGCATTAACATTTATCTTTTACTAAGTCTTAAACCATCAAAGTTAGAAAAGAAAATGTTCATGCCTTTATTTAAAAAGTAATTGTACAAATGTAATACATAAGCTTGACGTATTACAAGAATTTAAAATTTGTTGTAGAATATTGTATGGAACATGGCTGGGGAATCTGTAACCCTCCAGCTGCTGTTGAACTGCAACTTCCATAATTCCTGGCCATTTGCCACTCTGACTGGAGCTGATCTCCCCTTCATCCCAGTCAAGAAAGAGCATGCCAACGTCCTCGGGGGCAATGGGTTGGGGGGCTGGTAGTGATAGAACTAAGTCACCAGGTGTAGGGAGAGAGGGGCTGGGGGAATATCTAGGGTCAGCCAATATTCTAAAGTTGCACTTCCATACTCACCTAGGAGTAAGCGCCACTGAACTTAGCTCTCTTTAGACAAATACAGAATTGTGCTGTTGGTGCAAGCTTGCTTCTCCCCACCGCCAGCCTCCAAACCAGGTCGGGGAATAGCGGGATGGCGGCGCTCCGCCTCCCCGCTGTCTCCCGAGCTTGTGGGGCTGCCCGATATCTGCCCGAAGCCCAGGGTGCGCTCTGGAGCGTGCCCCATGCTTCGGGCTGCAGGCTGCCGCCCGCAAGCCTTGCGAGCCCGCGGGAACTCCTGCCGGGCTCGCAAGGCTTGCGGATAGCTTCCTGAAGCCTGGAGAGCGAGAGGGGTTGGTGCGCACCGATCCCTCTCGCTCTCCAGGCTTCAGCGAAAGCCTGCATTCGCCCCATAGGACGCACACACATTTTCCCTTCATTTTTGGAGGGGAAAAAGTGCGTTCTATAGGGCGAAAAATACGGTAGTTACGTCAAAGGAACCAGCTTTAATTTCCTCCCAATATATCTCATGTGTTAAAAATGATTACAACATTTGTGTTGCTATGGGCAGCAGCCAGGCTGAATGTATATGTTCCAGACATATACATTGAATCATGTTGGCTTAATAGATATTTGAAAGATAAGGAAAATAATTTATACTGTTGGTTTTGCTTCTGCAAGTAAACTTCAGGCTCATTGCCTTGATTTGGGATTGTTTGGCACAGCAAGGAGGAAGGAACTGGCTCTCCTCCCGGCTCGGTTCTGTTTGCTGACTGACTTCTCCCTCCTAGGTGCTGGGGGGTGTGCATCACCTACGGCACGTGGTTTGCTCTGGAAGCCTTTGCTTGTATGCAACACACCTACCAGGATGGGTGAGTGAAGACCTTCACCAGGTTTTATAATGGAAGCTCCTCTGATCAGAAGAGCTTGCTGGCAGTGAGTGGCCTTTCATTCAGCATGAAGAATTGCGCTGTCTTATTGCCCTCTATGGGATGGGGAGAAGGAGGGCACCATCTCCCTACACTGAGCCTAGAGGCAAACCGCTCTGGGATTCAGCTGGGAGCCAGCCTCACCTGAAGAGCCGAGTCAGCAAAGGTGGCCGCTCTCTCAGGCTCACCTGCGCAGGGGAGGGACTGGAGAGACCGGCACTACTGGGCCAGACAGACCCATTGTTCTCACCCACAACTTACGGCGGTTTCAGCAGCTGAGGACAGGCCTCCTGGTCAGCACTGGTTTGCAGTGGTGACATCCGCTCTTCTCTCCATAAGTTTCTTCCCCCGTATATATTATCCTGGCCCCATCAGAATGCAGAAAGACCATCCCATCAGGCATCAGGTGGGCCTCCTGCAGATGCTTCTCCCTTGACATTTCCAGATTCATCTTGTAGCTCTCAGCCAGCTGATGGGTGCTGTGTCTATGGGTGCACATGCACTCTGGGGACCATTGAGCCTGTGCTTTCCCTTGATATCCTGTCTCCTTTTCATTTGTCTCTGCCTGGCGTGATAAAATTCCTTGCCTTGTCCTTGCTAACCACCATATGTTCCTCCGCTGAGGACATGGAGCCACTCTGTGAGTTCCCGTTCTCCTGCCCTTTCTCTTCCAGAGTGGCCTGTGGGGAGGTGACCCGCGCTTGTGAGTTCTTGGTCTCCAAGCAGATGGAGGACGGTGGATGGGGAGAAGACTTTGAATCTTGTGAGCAGCGCAGATACATCCAGAGCACCACATCCCAAATACACAACACTTGCTGGGCTCTTCTGGGGCTCATGGCTGTTAGGTAAAAGTTTGTGCTTGGAAGTGACATTGACCCTTGGCCTCTGCACGGGGATGAGGGCAGATAGAAACAGCCACCAGTCTTGAATTGCATCTTTGGGGGACCCCCATTGGCTAGTAGAGGCTACCACCAAGCATGCCCAAACAGCAGTTTCCTGGGTCTGTGCCGCAGCCTTGGGAAAATGCAGGCCTCCCTTTCTCCTGGAATGCCCTTGTGTAGAAATTCAACTTTTGGCAGCTGCAATGAAAAGATCACAGCTGCCTTGTCTGGCAAATGTATCTGCCTGAGCATAGCCTGCTGTCACTGCGCATCTCTCCTTGTTAGCCATGCACCCTGGCATCATGCTCCTCTGCCTTGCAGGGACCAGAAATGCTCAGTTGCTGCATCCAGTCCTTGAGGCCGTCCCTTTAGCTGCTCGCTTTCTTTGTGGGAACAGTTAACAAGTCTCTGACCGAGGCCATGCTAACCTGGTGGCATTTGATCTTCCTGCCTAGGATATTACATCACTTGCAAGAATCTTTCCGATATTTGTGAATTACCTGAGCCTTAGCTTTTCCTCTCTAAACCTACTTGAGCAGTGAACTTGGGTCAAAACAACTCTTCTTGCTTTGCAGGTATCCAGACGTTAGAGTCCTGGAAAGAGGGATCAAAGTTTTGATTGACAAACAGCTGCCTAATGGAGACTGGCCTCAGGTGAAGTGTGCCTCGAGTGCATTCCATATAAAGGAAGGGCACAAGCAACTTGCACATCTTTGCAAATCACAGCATTGCCATTTGCATACATTCTCTCTCCCACTAATACACCTACAAGCACACCTTTCTTCTTAGCTTCTCAGAATTCCTCTTCCACCTGGGTTGCGGATTTTCCTTCAAGCACCAGAATCTCTTTTGTGTTCCTTGTTTCAGTATGATTCCCACCACCCACGTTTTAGCTCCTGTTTGTACCAATCCCAATCAAACACAGCCTTTCCTTGGCTGGGAGGGAATTCCCTCTTGACTATTCAGCAGCTCATGAAAAAAGCAGCCCTGGCTATTGCTACTTCTTGGAAGGGCTGGTTCTCAAAGTGCCCATTAAGCCGCCTGAAGTTTTAAATGTTTAAGCATGGATCAGGAACAGTGGAAGTAGGAAAGCTGGCGCAAGCCAGACTATCAAGATCACTGTGCATTGTCTGGTTTATCCTGGAATGCCTGCACATTGGAATCGGAGCCTTTGGTCCAGCTCATTCTCAGGGCAGTGAAGGTGTCATTTATTTAATTTTAAAATGTAAACATTTCAAAAAGTATCAGCTGCCTTTTCACCATGGATAGTCAAAGCAGGTCACACCTGTCATATGGTACCTCCATGTATGAGGAGGTTTGTGCAGCTCAAGGCCGCTTTTCAGGTGCTGATGCCCTTATAGGTCGCTCATCTTTCCGTGCTTCTTACTGTGTTGGAAAGATGAGAGGATGGATGAGATGGAATTTCTGTGTTTCTTTCCCTTGCAGGAGAACATTTCTGGAGTATTCAACAAGACCTGTGCGATCAGCTATACCTCCTACCGAAACGTCTTCCCCATCTGGACCCTGGGGCGCTTTTCTCGCCTGCATCCTGCCCGCCCACTGGCTGGCAAGCGCTTGACGGAGGCATTAAGAAATGGAGAGAAGGGCCTGGCTGGCAGGATGGCAAACGGACATGGAGAAGCACCACTCCCCTCTTCCTGAGTTTGGGTCTGGTACCAACATTGCAGGCGTGGACTGCCAATCTCTGCTTATTTTTCTAAACTCTTGGGAAGCTGGTGAGGAGGGAGAATTGAAGGGGAAACACGGAAGGCTTCTCTGGATGGTTTGCCGTCCTCTTGCTTCTCGTACTTCTACATGCTGGACAGAAAGGAGTTGGCCCAGGAGAAGTGATGAGTGGCAGACTCTGGGTCTGTGCTGTGGTTGACTCGCATTTGCTGCTCAGAATGACACTTTAACACAAAACCCCATGATTCTGTGCCCTTTACTGGGCATTAACATTTATTTAACTTTCTGTACATGCATACCAAACATTATGGTGGCTGCGTGTATCCCTGCTGTTTCACTGTTATACTTGCGGTATTTGCAGTGGAAGCAGAAGAGTGTAACCTTTAGAGTAATTGAGGTAAATTAACACATAACTTAATCAGTGTTGATGCCTTATTTTTCTCTTACCTTAAAGATAAGCTTAAATTGTTCTTTAGGATATGGGTGGGGAACCCTAGTGCCTCATCCCCCCTCATGGCCAACCTGCTGGGGTGCATAGGTGGCACAACAATGGAATAGTGTGCGCTAGTTGCATAGACCCCACGTGCATATCCCAGGGAACAGACATTCTGGGACTTGGGTCTACCCAACTGCCACTGAGAGCCAGCCCACATCCAAGGTAGTGGGGAGGCTACAGCTGACCACATTGCCTAAGTAACTCGTGGTCCTTGACGTCTGCCAGCATTGGCCAGCATTTTGGAGCTTACATAGCCTGGAGTGCAAGTCCCTTCTTATCATTTGATCTACTTACCCCAAGCAGAACATAATTCTCTTACCAGAGAAGATTCAATACATGTTTTGTGTAGATGGACACAGTGACACACACGCAAGCCTTGGCCTGTGCACATCTGGCTCTGATCTTGCTGTGTTGCAGGGGAAAGGTTTGCACAAGGCCTTAACTTGTGGTTGCTGGAAGGCAAGTAAAACCCTCCATGCAATCTGAAGGCTTTACTGAAATTTGGTACTTTTCTCCTGAAAGTCAGGCATACCTCATGCTGGAGGGCCTTCTGCAAACAGGGAACCACCGCTGATAAGACCCTGTCATGGTAAACACTAAGCAGCCAGAAGTGGGATCTCCAACAGGACCCGGGTTGCTCCTTTAGGCTCTGGGATGCCAAGCCATGTAGGGCTTTGCATGCTGGTACTCACACCTTGATTTGGGCTTGGTAGCTCACTGACAGGCAGTGCAGAGCTTTCTGGACTTGTGACCCTTGGTTCTACCAGGCTGTCCCATTTACCAATCTAGCAGCTGCATTCTGTGTGAGCTGCAGCCTCCAGACTGTTCAAGGGTAGCCCCGGGTGGAGTGCATTGTAGTAATCTATATGGAAGGTCAGTAGAACATGGGCAACTGAGGCCAGGATATCCTGGTCCTGGGATGACTGTGACTGGAATATCAGCCTTCCTGGCTTAGCACTCCAATGACAATTTGGAATCTAGGAATCTTTCTTCCAGGAGAAGTGCAACCCTTCCCAGAACAGGTCATGCATCTCATTCCTGGATATGGGAACCACCACCCACAGGATTCGGCCTCAGTTCTCCAAGGACCCCACAGCCCCAAAGCCAGGGAGCCAAGCAACCATCTCCTGGAACTACCTCCTGCTGATGACCCTGTAGGTAGGAAGAGAACGGCAATGCTGCCTCCAACTCCTATTCCAGAAGTTCCCAGAGCTGCTGAGAAATCAAGAAGATGCCACAGGGTTACAGTCCACCCCCCCACTCCACCCCAATAAAGGGCATCTGTCAGGGCAACACAAGTGCTGAAACGGGGCCTGGAGCCAGATTGAAATGGCTCCAGATAATCTGCTTCCTCCAAGAACACTCTGCAGCTGCTGCCCCCCATCACCTTGCCCAAGAAGTAAATGATAAGAGGCGGGACTAAACTTCTGGATCCAGGGACAGTCTCTTCAAGAGAGGTTTATCGCCACCCCTTTGAAGGCAGAGAACATAACTCACTCTCACAACAAGGCACCAGCTGCTCCTAGACCCATCCAGTCAGTCTTGCTAGTGTTTGTCAGCCTTGATGGGCAGGGAGCAAGAGCATAGGTGTGCAATTGGCCTCAGCACCACAAGGGTGCTGTCTGTCACCAGGCTGCAACAATGGAAACTGACCCCACAGGTTGGAATCTTAACAGTTCTCCCAGGACTCCTAATGAGCCTGGACTCAATGAGCGTGGATCCAATGAATTTCCCCCTCAAAGTGCTTTTGCAGCAGGCTAATAATGGAGGCGCACTGGTCAGCATCAGCCCATTTGCCAGCTCTGCTGCTGGAGACGGTCAGAAATTATTTAGAGGATGGGTCTGCCTTCTGAATGTGCTTAAACTTCTACTGAAAAAGAGCTAGCATGTTCAGAACAATTGGGCTTACTGGGGAAATGGGGAGGCTAAACTTGGAGTGAATTGTGCATTAGACCCGTGGCATCTTTCTGCTCAGGAATTCCCGGAGTCTAGATTCCAATATAGGGGTTTGTGACATTGGAGGCTCCCCATCATTGAAACGTGGCCTTCTCCATGTCCCAGAAGTTATTGCAGTGGGGCTGCTGCATGTAGGAACCAGACCCATGTGCTGAATAGATGCACAAGAAGTTTGTCATCTGGCAGAGGGTTCATGGGAAAACCATTTCCTACCCGGGCAGCTTGTATCTGTAACTACATTTACCATTAACCGCCACCTCCCCCCCGCCAAGCTACTGAAAAACTGGCTGGAGCATTCAAAGGCACGATGGTAAGTAGAAACTGGGTTGTGAGATGGGTGCATGACAGAGCAATGATGTGCCTGCATGTGCCTTGCCTTTTGTGACCAACAGTGAGCCATGCAGCCGTCAGGGCTGGGAGCAGCTGCTGCTTCATCCCCTCTGACCAGCAGACCTTGCGCAGGCAGCTCTTGGCTCATCCTGACACACAGGACTGGCGATGGAAGCAGCGGGGAGGCAGAAAGCACCTTAAGATGCAACCGGGGAGAGAGAAAAGCAAAGCATTCAAAAGGCGGCCTCAAATTAGTGCTGGAATTTAATAAAGTTGTAGAACACCCGACACATATATAAGTGAAAATCTTCAGAGGTTTCCCAGTACCATTTTACTGATAAGTTTACTTTAAAATATATATATATATACTGCTTAATATAGCAGCAAAAACAACTTAATAAAAACCATTAAGTGGCTTACATAAAAACAACAATTCACCAACAGCATCCAATAGCATTTGAAAAAACAAAACTACACAAATAAAAATTAAGAGCCAGAATCCAGGAAAAATTGGGTAAGCCTGCATATTTTAAGGAAACATTTAAAGCTAATTGCCACCTCCACATCACAAATTACCTGAGGGAGGTCACTCCAGGGGGTAGCCTGCTGTTCCTGAAGAGGCCCCCTTATGTGCTGTTGCCAAGGGACAATGGCGTGTTCTCAGTAAACCCATCTTCTGACCTGGTGGTCATAAGCAGGTGGAGGTGGATGCTTAGGATGGCTGGTCCATCCAGTAGGTAAGCTGTGCCATTTTGGTCACATCTATCCTATACATTTAAAATGCATGGCTTCCCCCAAAGAATCCTGGGAACTGTAGTTTTTAAGGATGCTGGGAGTTGTTAGCTCCGTGCAGGGCAAACTACAGTTCCCAGGATTCTTTGTGAGAAGCCATGTGCTTCAAATGTGGTATGGCTGTGATCTAATTCGGCTGCCCACAGGCCTAGCCAAAATAAATGATTTCAGTGGAGCAACAGGGCGTACTGTTAAGAGGTGGCGACATCATAATGCCGTAGAAACATTCTAAACCTGTTGAGCTTCCTGTGAGCCTTTCAAAGCACTGGGACAAGTGACCTGTCCAGCCAAGGCTGTTCCTTACCAATTAATCCTTCCTCACCAAGGAGGAAGAAGAGGATGACCGAGGAGAGAGAGTGGATGAAAAGGATTCAAGATGAAAATGCGCACCTGAAAAATCAGATTCGGCTGCTCAGGGAAAACTATGAACTCCGTGCTATGTTGGGTCAACAGTGTGACAACGGCAGCCAAGTCCAGTTCTTAACGTCTCCAATTTCTCCTGCATATACTGATGCTGGTTTATTGGTAAAAGGAGGTAAGGAGCAAGCTCTACAAATTTACTTACAAAACATTTTAGAAATAAACAAGTGATAAGCATATTCCTGCCTATGTGTGCATTTGAATTTATATGTGCAGCTCAGGCAGACATGGCCTAGTCTGCCCATCTGCGTAAAATGCTCATTAGAGGAAGAGGCATTTGTAATAGAAACCTGCCTTGGCCGTTGGACGACCCCGTGATCCCAAGGAGAGCTGAGTCTCCTCAGCACCTTCCTGTTTCAGCTTTTGAGCAGAACTGGATGAAACTACGTAGGCTTAGCAAGCCCATTAATTTCATTTGTATGAAATTTCGTTTCATTTTACTTTTTATTTGTATACCACCTTTCTATGTTGCTATGCACAAGCTGAAGAAACAACAGAATAGACAGCAAAGAGTACACACAAAATAGAATCTGATCCAATACAAAAAGTCATAATAAAAACATAAGTTTAAAATAAACAATTTATATCAAATAAAACAATATTAAATAATCCATTAGAAATAAAGTATATACATTCATCAGTGCCATTCATAGCTTTAGCAGCGGCGTAGCGTGGGTTGTCAGCACCCGGGGCAAGGCAAGTAATTTGTGCCCCCTAACCCGGGGCAAGGCAAGTAATTTGCGCCCCCTAACCCGGGGCAAGGCAAGTAATTTGCGCCCCCTAACCCCTAACCTGCAGCCACTGCCAGCTTCTTCTTGCTGCTGCCTGGTCTGGTCTGGTGTGGTGTGGTTCTCTCCCGCGCTCAGCGCTGCGCTGGGCGGCCGCTGCACTGTCCCTCCCCCAGATAGTCCCTCGCTCTCTCTCCGCACCGCACGCCTGGCACCCACCCCCTCCACAGTGGGCGGCGACCCAGCGGCTCGGATCGGATTCGCACAGCCAGCACTGCAGTGAGAGAGAGTGAGTGAGCCAGGTAGGGGCAGAGAGCTGCGAGTGTGAGCGCGCCCCCCCAGATGTTGCGCCCGGTGCGGCCGGCCCCCCCTGCACCCCCCACGCTACGCCACTGAGCTTTAGGCAAAAGTAGACAGGTCTCTGTCTTGGAGAGCTGACAATGTCCTTTCCTGAAATCATGAAAGTGGAGCAAATTCCAGGCCTGCAACAGTTCCTGACCAGATGATGGCCCCTGTCATCTGGTTTAGGTACTTAAATATTCAATTACACCTCTACCCGTGTTTAAGGTGGCTAACAGCAAAGAGTTTAGCACAAAAAATGCAATGATAACAATAAAACTAGGTAATAATTCTTTGGAAAATTAAAAGTTTCCAGGTTTGTGTCTTAACATGCTATTCACTCAGTATAAAATTGGGATTTGTTTTTTAAAAACTTGAGCTGGAGGCTGATGTGGCTGAAATTTGGGATCTATTCTGAGGAAGAACTTAAACACGTGTAGTTGGAGTGGGGGAATGGTTGCAAGTCAGAGGAATCGACACTTACCCTGAAGGAACTGGTGCAGGACAGGATGTTATGTCTGCTACACCTCTGGGGTCTCTCCCCCCCCCCCCACCTGTCCAGGCATCCATCATTCTCCCCTGCTGCTGCTGCTATAGCAAAAAGGTGCAACTTACTTGTTGCAAAAAAGGGTGCAACTTAGTTCAAGAGATGGGGAAGAAAGATGGCCCCAGAAAAGACAGAATCAGTGCTGAGAATTGCTTCTGCTGAGTCAGTACTATTTAAAGGTAAGGGTAGGTATGGTGTCTGTGTGTATTTGAGGGGGTAGAAAGAGGAGGGTCTAAGACATTTTGCTGCATGTGGCGCTGTAGCAACCCCCCCTCTACAGCCACCCCCTCCTCACCACCAAGGTGCGTCACAGCCAAGGTTGGTCAAGTTGTTTTGATACCTGAGGCAGAAAAATCCCTCAATTGCCTGTTCTGGGGAAGTAAAAATTCAGCAATAATAAAGGCTGCTTTAATGAAATTCTCTTCCTCCCCCCGCAGATAAGATCCTCCTTGGTGCAGAGGAGGCAATCTATCTCCCTGTCTTTACAATAAGCCTGCATATTGGGCTGTTGCCATATATTTGGCGGCAATTGTGATTTTCCTCTTCCATATTCTCTCAAGAGGAGTGGTTTGCCTGTTCTATAAAATAACATCTCATCCTCAGACACATAGGACAAATATTTGGGTACCTTCCAAGCTGCATAGCTTGTCTCTTTAAGGGTTTACGGCACTTCTGGAACTTTAATCTCAAGTTAATTTTCTTCTCTGGAACAGAGACTCTGACACAGATGTCAGTCAACTACAAATACACAAACTGCATTCCTTGCTGTAGTTAACAAAACTGTATGTGTTGTTGTTGTAGCTCAGTATATCGGAAGAGAAGATTTTGGTTACTGCTCACACGTCATCTCCAAGGAGCCCACTGTCCTGCCCAACCCCAGTGCCCAGTCTCCGCTGAAGCAGCTCCAAAATGAGCCTCCCCCTTTTCAGCCTAGAAGTGGAGAAAAGAAACCTGGACATTTGTCAAGCATGTCGTGCTCCACCATTGGAGGAAAACAGCTGGAGGAACCCACAGAACTGATGGGACTCAAGAAAGCGTGGCTGATGGACGGCCCTTTCCCTGGCGGCGATAAGGCTCAGACCCCCCTAGCACTAAGCATGGGTAAGAAATGGTCACTAGATATCCACTCTGGGGAGGGGAAGACGGTGTGGCAGTTTATTTTATGGATAATTTAAACAGGTTCCAATTTCAACCCATCAGATCAGACATAGCATTGGTTAGTAGCAGCTATTGCATGTGATAAAGTCCTATCTCTGGGCCTATTTAAATGATAGCCAGCTTCATGTGAGATGCTTTCCTCCCTGCTGCCACCAGACACTGGTGTTAGCCCTGTGCCTCCCTGCGTGTGACTTGTAGGTCATGTCACTGGTTTGCTAGCTGCAGAAGTGGACATTTCTGAATGTCACAGCTATTGGCATGGTTTGTAGTGGTGTACAAAACTACATAAATTGTGTTGCCTTCCTGGTTAGGCTTTTAACAGAAATCCATTGGCAGTTGGTCTGAAGAAGAAGGGAGGGGAAGGGGCACATGACGCAGCTCATAGTGCTGTCAGTTGGTGAAGGCAAGGGAGACGCAGCAGGAGGGAAGCCATATTGTACTGGGGTTGGAAGGGGCCATCAAAGTGTGTAGCATCCAGACCTATTGGACAGGGAAGAGCATGGGAGACTCTCAAGCATCAGCGTTTTGTCTTGATGTTTCTTTGAATTTGGAACAAACCTTTTGCTAAATGTGCTTTGTTGTAGCTCACTACAAGGCTGCAAGACTACTCAGTTCAAAAGACACAGCAAGTCATTCACCATCATGGACAGAAGAATTAGCTTCCTCAAACCCTACACGCTTAGTGAGCAAGGAGGAAGCTCAGACCACATTTTCAGATGACCTCAAAATACGCAAAGGAAGTTCTTCCTTGGGGATTTCTGAAAGGCAGTCCTATCACCTTTTGGGCAGTGCCCAGGACTCAAGCACAGGCAAAGCACAGCTTGAAGAGATGCCCAGGAAGAAGAGAGTCTGGTTTTCTGATGCACCAGACACAGACAAGTTAAGGAAGTCCCATACGTTCTACTTGAATGGTAATACTGAGACATGGCATGGGGCTAGTGTAAAAGACTGGTGTACCCCCTAGTGTACCCCTTTCCCCTTCCTACTTCAGATGTCTTCTAAAAATCTGGTAGTTGTTTTTTCCTTTGACATCTGGTGGCAGGGTGTTCCACAGGGCAGGTGCCACTACTGAGAAGGCCCTCTGCCTGGTTCCCTGTAATTTCGCTTCTCGTAGTGAGGGAACTGCCAGAAGGCCCTCGGCACTGGGCCTCAGAGTCCGGGCTGAATGATGGGGGTGGAGACGCTCCTTCAGATATACTGGGCTGAGGCTGTTTAGGGCTTTAAAGGTCAACACCAACATTTGAATTGTGCTCGGAAACGTACTGGGAGCCAGTGTAGGTCTTTCAAGACTGGTGTTATGTAGTCTTGGCGGCCGCCCCCAGTCACCAGTCTAGCTGCCACATTCTGGATTAGTTGTAGTTTCCGGGTCACCTTCAAAGGTAGCCTCACGTAGAGAACAGTGCAGTAGTCCAAGCAGGAGATAACTAGAGCATGCACCACCTTGGTGAGACAGTCCGCAGGTAGGGTCTCAGCCTGCGTACCAGATGGAGCTGGTAGACAGCTGCCCTGGACACAGAATTGACCTGCGCCTCCATGGACAGCTTTGAGTCCAAAATGACTCCCAGGCTGCGCACCTGGTCCTTCAGGGGCACAGTTACCCCATTCAGGACCAGGGAGTCCTCCACACCTGCCCGCCTCCTGTCCCCCCAAATCAGTACTTCTGTCTTGTCAGGATTCAATGTCAATCTGTTAGCCGCCATCCATCCTCCAACCGCCTTTGTTCCGATTCAGCAGCAAACAGCGGGGTTTCCCCAGGGAAAGCGGCAGGTCCAAAAACAAAACAAAACAAAATAAAATAAAACAAAACACCCTGCTCAGACCTTAACGTGGAAAGCATGGACGCTTTTCAAGAAAGCCTGGTGCAAAAGGAAGTCTGGATGAATATAGATGGATGAAAGTGTGATTGGCATCTCAACTACCAAGGAGATATATACATTTCAGACAAGCCTGTTTTTAATATAAGCTCTGGCCTCTTATAGCAAAGGCCCAGTATATCTACGAAGTAGCCTCTTTCTTTCACTTGTAGATCTAGAGATTACTCAGAACAGCAAGAGGAATGGGCGCATCGTGGGAGAGATTGCCTTCCAGTTAGACAGGCGCATTCTTGCGCATGTGTTTCCTGGCATCACAAGGCTCTACGGGTTCACAGTGTCCAATATTCCTGAGAAAATCAAACAGGTGAGACCCAGCACTTTGAGGTAAATTTGTCTTTTTGTCAAAACATTAGTCACTTAGGTCTCAGAAATTTAGTGCAAAGCCTGCTTGGCCATAAAACAACTTCCTAAAGACGTCTATCTATTGGTATCACTCATTATCACTCCATACCCAGTTGTTAAAAACACAACAGTATCACATCCTGTTGAAGAAGCAACCATACCTTGTATTACCAGGGTATACCTTAGTAGTTTCAGTTAACTCTAATGCAGCTGAAAATGACAGAGCAGATTTGTTCATAGGTCTGGAAAAGATTTACATTTCTGCTAAATTCAGCTAAGCTCCTCCTTAGTTTCTACTAAGTGCAGATAAGAGCCATATTTAAATTGTTTTAACTGGAATGCATATGAGAATGAGAGGGAAATTATTGGTCCATATGGTGCCTCCAAATTTATTAGATCCTTATGGGCAGGGCTGGCCCAAAACATTTTGGCACCTGAGGCAAACCACAAAATGGTGTCCCAAAGTGAAGATCTGCCTTGTTAGGAACAAGGTGGGCAGGAGACCACCAGCCCCCTATTAGCCAAGAGGCAACTGTAGAGGCACTGGCAAGAGGCTGTCCAGGCAAAGGCCTCCAAGGAATGTGCCACAACGTTTGCTTATCTACACTTCCACTTGTCCTGCTGCTTTCCCCCAAGGAAAACCTGCTCTTTACCACTGAATCGGGGCAAACGTCAGTTGGGTTTTCTGTACATTGATGCTTGCAAAGAGCTGGTTTTCCTGGGGAAAGTGGAGGGGCAAACAGAAAGGGTGGACGAGCCTTTTGTAACGGAGGCATTGCTCTGACACGGTGATAGGGGGATTCCAGATGGGGGCTTAATCCTGCAGATGGGCCATAGAATTTATTTTGAACCTTATCAGATTTTTTTCCTGGGAACAGCAAATCCTAATGGGGGGGGGGGATACAGGCGAGTATTTTGACATCAATGGCATGTGAATCCTGCAAAAAAACTTGCTTTCACTGAAGCAACCATTCCATAATACAAACCAGTCTGGAAGCAGCCATAATATCAGTAAACCCTTCCTTGTTTAGTTTTTGCATAGCGAAATTCTGCCCAGCAATTATCACTTCATTATATTGTTTATCTTTGATTTGCTCTCTTGTCTCCTAAAAGCCGGCAGTAATTAAGTCCATGTTGCCCTGCATCTCTCTGTATCTTTTTAAAAAGCTATTTCAAGAGTCTCAGAGGGAATTCTGGCCGGTTCCACTTAACCATAAATATAATACTGCAATCATTCATAGGCAACTAATATTCCCACAGTGACTTCTTACTTACTTGGTGTGTTTATCTTGTTTTTGCAGCAGTTATTGCTTGGGATGTGTCTGCTATGGTTGCTAGAAGTCATCAGATTTCAGTAGAATTATTGCTCCTAACTCAAACTGTGATGCATTATCTGAAATTTGGATAGCACAACATTGTCTGAGGTGTAAACAACCCCAGTGCAATATTTTAAATAAATTGTTTTTCTTTGAGCTGCTGCTTTGGTGGACACTTTCAGTTTAAATTTCCTCAGCTAATTTACTATTCCCAGAAAAATTCTGAATATCTTGTGTGGATTGTGTGGATTCAATGGGCAGAGCTCACGTCTTGTCAGATTCTGGAGACAATTTCTCACTGAGAGAACTCTGTTTCCCAAAATACACACTTACTGTTAATATGTCCACAAATCCATGCCCACTTTGGTCTTCTTTGGTGGGACCCAAGATAATGATATAATCCATTAATGTGTTTGCACTGGTAAAATGCTTGTGTATCATGGCCACAATCCAACATCAAATTAAGCACTCGTAGGTTTCTTGATTTTAGCAACTGAACTTTCGAAGCACAGACCTTTTTGCTTCCTGTTTTGTTAATAAATTCCATTTCTGCATCCATTACTTTACTCTTTCCCCTCTTTCTCCCCCCCCCCCCAAATATTCAGACCTTGCCCAAATTGCACTGAGCTTCATAGTTTGCCCTATGGCAGGCAGAAACTTGTTACAAACGTCTAAAATTTCTTCCCTTACAAAAGAATGCAACAAAACTTTTGATTTAACTTGACCCTATTTCTCCTCTGCTCCTATTGATGCTAAATTAACATTAGGATCTTTAGCCCTTCCATAAAGTGCTAGCGATAGCTTTTTAAAATGTATATATGTATGTGTATATGTGTGTGTATATCTAATGAAAATACCTAGGTCTCCATGAAATCCCTAGATGGCTCTGTGGACGAGAAGAAGTACCGAGCCATGACCCAGCGCTACCTGGACCTGACTGCTCGCCTGGAGAAGATGGGCTACCACGTGGACGTCCACCCGGTGTTCAGTGAATTCCTCATCAACACGTACGGCATCCTGAAGCAAAGGCCAGACCTCAGTTCCAACCCCTTGCACAACAGCCCCGCGGACCTCAGGAAGATGGTGATTGACATTGTCCCATCCAAGTTCCTTGGAGATACCTTGCTGCTCTTGAACTGTTTGTGTGAACTTTCTAAAGAAGACAACAAGGCCCTGTTTGCCTGGTAGTAGTGCACCTGCTGCAGCTCTTGCCCTCAAATCTCTACGGAAAGAACACACAAACAAACATAGCATATATGTAATAAAAGGATATCTGCTGAAAGTGGGCATGGAGTCGTGTGGATGCTTTTTGTATCAGGCTCCTGCTGACTTGAGTTGCTCCCTATGGAAGGGTTTGTTCATTTGCTTTCGGTTAACTGTTACTCTCTTGTTTTTTTATCAACTCTGTACTTTATATCTGACTTGTTCATAGCTGCTATGAGAGCCACATTTGGGCTAGATGGCGCATAATAAAGTTTAGTAAAAATAAACTATATAAGAAAATAAATGTAGTTGTTAGCACTCAGTTCACAAATGCCAAATTAAAGTGCTGCACTGTTTGTTACATAAGGAAAGACATGCCTGCCAGCTCTATTTTTTCCTCACATTCTGCTTGAGATGCAGCCCTTGGGACAGCCTGAATGAGCTTCTGAAAGGCATCTGTTCCTCATACTCTAGGATTTTGCTTATGACTATTTATCTCCTATATCTGACTAAAGAGCCTTCCCTTGTCTGAATTCTAGCTCCATGTGGTCACTGCAAGGGGATCAGGGGTAAAAATTGTACATGTTGTTCTAAAGGGCCTCTTCCCCCTTGTCAGTTACATGCTGTCTGGGTATGTGGACATCTGCCACGATCCTAATGAATGATTCTAGTAAAAATGGTGAAGATGCATGTATTTGCCTCCAGGTAGAGAGTTGCCAGCCCTGCTCTGGCCTCCCTTGGTCTGCTGATCCATCTGCCATGGATGCTTTAGCTGAGAATCCTGCATTGCAGGGACTAGATTACCACTGAGGTCCCTTCCAACTCAACAGTTCTATGATTCTGTGATAATTGCAGTTTCAGCTGTTTATAGTTACAATGAAGAGTTCTTTGGCTTTGTATGCTCCTTGCAATTCTGCTTGTTCCTTTAAACCACTTCCTGCCAAAACATTCTGTGCTGATGACATTCCCAAGGTAAGCAAAGTCTACTTTCCTACAGAAATTCTAGAACTCGCTGTGAGAAAGAGCATATTCTCTAACAGTCTTCCAATCGCTTCTGGATGGAACAGCAAAACCACAAACAATTATAATGAAAAATATTTCGGATGCTATAAATAAACTTAGACAACTTCATCTCAGCGAATGTCGTTTCTTATGAACATATATATCCCACAATATCCCACAACCACACATCAGCTTTTCCATCTCTGCTTGCTTCATGGGCAAGAAAATGTGAAACAACTTTCTTTTGATCCATAGATCTTAAGATGTTTAGCAACACTAGTTGTTTCAATAGCTGTGGAGTTGTGTAGATCTATTTGTCTCCAAACTAGATTTATAGATTCTACACGTGATATTAAATGTGTGATCATATTTGCACATGTGGTTTGTTAAAAACCAAGAACTGTCATATTACAACACCTGCACCTGAAACCCAATCTGGATCAGGATGGTTGGGGTGTTAAACTTTTTATTTCCCTCCCCCACTTTCATTCAGATTCACTTTGGGGGGGGACACACAAAAAACCTCCATTGTTAAAATAAACTTGTTGCCCAATTGTGATTATCTAGATAAGCTCCACCTGGAAGACCCCTTAGCCTGTAAAAGAAAAACAACAACATCATACAAGTATTGTGGCCCCTGGTAGGGAAGGAGACTCATTCAGGTATGAGGTTTCAGAGAATAGTGCCCACCTTGTTAGATGCATGAAAGCAAAATTAGCAGCAACTTTCATGCAGTTTTTATAACTGTGGGGTGAATTCTTGTGAGAATAGTTTGACTGTTTTCGAGGTAGCATTTTCCTTTAAGGGACAATGTGCTGCTGTGGGATGATGACCAATGATGAAGACAGGCTTCAGAAGCAGAGAGGACAGTCCAAAGTGCCATGGAGGGCTGTTTGGAATAGTTAATGAGAAATCCCGGAGGTAGAGGAAGGCCATTGGCTTTAAGCCAGAGAGTTTCCTGATCCCATAGTTCCATTTTGTCACCCAGAGCAGAAGAGGGGGAAATCATCCAGGACTCCCCACAAGTCTAAGAAAGAAAACATAAACAGAGCAATGTCAAAATTAGTGGAGTGTGTCCCCAATTTTTCTGAAGGCAACAACAAAGAGGTAAGTTCAGAACTGGTTTTTGTATAAAGACAGTTCCTTGTGTGGCAATATGGTGGCAATATAATACTGGTGAAACCACAAAATCTATTTTTCCCCTGTCTAAATTAGTTTTGCAAGTCTGAGTTCAAAGCATATTTGAATCACCTGTCCATGAGAAATTAATTTTGAAAACAGTTTTACAGGTGTACTGAAATTCTAACCCCACACATATCAGCTTAAATATACAGAAGAAAACTTCAATCTTCTATTAATAAAACCTAAGTTTAATATAACCAACAGCAAAAATAAAATTAAAAGGGAGAGGAGGGGGAAATACTTCTAAGTGTAAATGTTGTAAAAATTGAAAATACAATGTTTGGGGTAAACTTAATGATTTGACATGCAAATGCAATGCTTTTGGAGGGAGCTTTCTTCTCAGGGTTTACCTGCATTTTTAAAAAATGAAGTGAATGCATATTACTTTTACATGTTACTTTACTAGATTATAAGCCCATCTGCTCTTGGCTGGGTGTGTGGTGGAGAAGCTTCTTAGCAGCTTTGTTTCACTGAAACTCTCTTGCTTTATTCAGAAAAAACACATGATCACACAGAGAAGGAAGAAAAAAAGGAAATGTCTCCTCTCTCACTGTGTCCTTCCAACCTTCTGCATAACATCACCACCATTAACCTGTTGGTTTCTCTTGCTACCCAACGTAGATAGCACACAAAACCTGTCCTGCCTCTATTATGTAGGGTAGAAAGGGTTGGACTGGATACAATCAGACGCCATACTGAATGCCAGACAGTGGACTGAACCTTTCAAAACTGCACTGACTTCAAAACTGCATGGATTTTTTTATTGGTTTCTTAGAATTCCCATGCAATACCAAGTACAAGGCTGCTGGTCAGTTATAAAATAGTACAAAAATATACAATTTTTTTACGTGCAGAGAATAATATGTGCTGAGAAACCAGAGAGAGGAGCTGAGGGAAGTCTGGGGTGGTGGTGGGAGGATGGGTTTTTCTTTTTTGCGGGGAGAGGGGGAAAATGGGGGGAGGGAAATGTGGATGATATATTTTTGATAAATTGTTATGTTGAAATCCCTAATAAAAATATTTAATAAAATAAAATAGTACAAAAATAGTACAAAGGTGATATAAAATTAACTAACACACCCAATAAACCCACTAAATATACCGGTACCTTCATATCAGGCAGACCCACTTAAGCTTACAGGACTTTTTTGATTCAGCAGCACCATCCCTTGACAGTGCCAGCCCCCCAGTAAGGTAGCCCACTAGCAATAGGTGCCCAGTCTGATTTCCTTTTCTCGGCCTGCTCCCACCGATGTGTCTGTCAACTAGGATAAGGGGTATGGGATTCCCACTGCCTCATGGTGGTCTACTTGGAAACAGGGAAACCGCTGGATTCCAAGTGCCTTCAGCCCCTCCCCCTCCCCCTGCTCTCCCAAGCAGGTATGCATGTGCCAAATGAAAATAATGCACCTAATCCCACACAAAGCAAAACTAGCAGAACCAAACAGCAAAGAGATCTTTGGATTGTAATGGATATCTCATTTGATGTTGATGTGAACAATACATCAATTTAATATGAAGCAGGAAAAGGCAAAATCCACGTTAGGGATCACTAGGAATGGGTTTCCTCTTTTTATTTTTTTTAATGTGACATGAGCATTTATTCACTTAAAAGAGTTGTCACTTTAAAAGCAAAATCCATTCTGAAAGACCTGCAAATAATAATAATAATAATAATAATAATAATAATAATAATAATAATTTATTATTTATACCCCGCCCATCTGGCTGGGTTTCCCCAGCCACTCTGGGTGGCTTCCAACTGAATATTAAAAACAGTACAGCATCAAACATTAAAAACTTCCCTAAAGAGGGCTGCCTTCAGATGACTTTTAGAAGTAAAATAGTTGTTTATAGCTTTGACATCTGCTGGGAGGGCGTTCCACAGGGCAGGCGCCACTACCGAGAAGGCCCTCTGCCTGGTTCCCTGTAACCTTACTTCTCGCAATGAGGGAACCAGCAGAAGGCCCTCGGCGCTGGATCTCAGTGTCCGGGCTGAACGATGGGGGTGGAGACGCTCCTGCAAAGCTGCTTTAAGTTGCTTGTGATCCCACAACCAGCAGCCAGTCCAAAGAGCACAAATGGCAGAGCTGCTTTTCCCTGAGCTCATTGGCAGGGGTGTGTGTGCGCTTCAGCCATTATGTATTTTGTGGTTCTTATATTGTAATTTTATGTTGTGAACCACACTGAGGTCTACGGATAACAACCCTGACTTGACCACTTGCACAATATGCACACGCATGGACTGCACTCTTTGATCAGTGGATTTGCTTGCTCCCTGAATAGTCTGAAGCCATGAGCATGAGGTCCATGCGCTCTAACAGGCTCTGCTCTGCACAGGTGATAGATGAGATTGCCAAGGCCATCTCTCAGACCGAGGGCTGCATACTCCTGGATGTGGATGCAGGCCCTTCCACCAATCGGACCGTTTACACCTTCGTAGGAAGTCCTGAAGATATAATTGAAGGTGCACTGAATGCGGCCAGAACAGCTTTTCAACATATCGACATGGCAAAACATAAAGGTAATCAGAGTGAGATAAGTGTTAATCATAGAGAGTAAGACAGCCAAACAAGTTTTTATTGATGGCGCCGTGTTCAACTACTTTGCAGCCTTTCTCATACTCTGAGCAGCTTGTTTTGTCCTAGATCCGGAAGAAACTAGAAATAACCTGTGAGAGGCAACGTGTACCTATAAAGGAATGGAATTTGGGATCCCACAGCGCTAGGCATTTCTACATGCTAACTCTCTGGATTCTGATAGTTAAGGTGGGGCCTATGGAACCAGGTTGAAAGATCAGCCAGAAAAACCAGGTGGCCTTGGACAAGTTCGTCCTTTTCTCCTTTCAGCATAACCTACCTTGTGAAGTTGCTGTAAGGATACAATTTTCAGAAGCCGGAGTCAGTAGTAGGTCAGCATAAAAACACCAGTGTCAGGGAAGTTAACTCTGTGCAATGAAACCAGAACAGCTCAAACCCAGTGAGCCCAATAATTCTCCCCAGTAGATCTTGCTCCAATGAGTCGGTTGCAAGGGCTGAAGGGCCCTGTCTTCCCACAGCTCCCTAAGATTCCACCTCCACCACGTCCTTCCCAAACAGCCTGAGACTTCTCTGCCTTGTCTGTCTTCGTTCTGCCCTCTTCATACTGGGAGACCATGGGGGAGGAGAACTAGTTGTTCTCTTCTGCCTCTGAATCGAGACTTATCTCTGCCACAGCCTCTCTCTGCTCACTAAACCCTGTTGCCTCTTCAGCTTCCAGCACCTCCTCCTCCCAGTCTGCTCCCTCTTCTCCCTCTGACCAGGCATCCCACTCCCTGGCTCTGAGCCTTCTCCCCCTGGGGGTTCCCTTGGAGGTTCCCTGGCTGGTGCCTCCCACCAATCCTCTGCACCCAGCCAGTCCATGACAACAATGCAATTACTCTCATGTGTGTTAGCCTGAGCTCCTTGAGTAAGTAACAAATAAACAAATGCAGTCAACAAATGCAATCAATAAATAAGTATTCACCTCTGAGCCTCATGGGAATCGTTTCCAATTTATTCCAAGTTACACAACCTTACAACAGTCTTACTTACCCAACTGTGGATTCAGGAGGAGAGGTCATGTGTCCCTGAAAGCCTGTCACTGAATCCCATAAATAGGAATCTTTAGGAGGAAAATGTAACACAAGTCCACAACAGGTCTCAATACAAATAACTCATCATTAGGTTGCTTTTGAGACACAAATTGCTTTACAATTTACCATACACCTCCTGAATCATAGAATTGTAGAATTGGAAGGGAACCCAATGGTCATCTAGACTAACCCCCTGTAATGCAAAAATCTCAGCTAAAGCATCCATGACAGATGACTATCCAACCTCCCTTGCCTCAGTATCATGAAACCAAAGCGGACACGATCACTTATTCCCAAGTTTCTGAGTACTTCTACTTCGTCGATCAGTTCTTCCCTGTTGGTGAGGACCAGGTCCAAGATAGATGACCCCCTTGTTGCTTCTTCCACCTTCTGGGAAATGAAAGTGTCAGTGAGGCAATGGAGGAATTTGTTGGACCTTACATTCTAGGCTGAGTTTGAGTTCCAACAGATAATTGGGTAATTTTAGTCTCCCATGACTACCATATCTCTCCATTTTGAATGTCTGGTAATCTGCTCTCGGAAAGCATCATCCAAGTCTTCAGTCTGGCTTGGAGGTCTATAGCAGACACTCACAGGAAGGTCACTGTTGTTTCTCTCTCCTACAATTTTTACCCATATACTGCTTTTGATGTTCCAGGTCATGGATTTCTTCACAAGTGTACACATCCTTTACATATAATGTTCTTCCTCCTCCTCCCTTCCTGTTTGGTCTATTGCTTTTGAGCAAGTTATACCCCTCAATTCCTACCTTCCAGTCATGAGTCTCATCCATCAGGTTTCAGTAACGCCTGTTAGTTCATATTTGCCATCCTGTATTAAGAGTTCCAATTCATCTTGCTTGTTTCCCATACTCTGTGAATTAGTATACAGATGAAACTATGAGTCATTCCCTCCATCTGCTTCCTTCTAGTAGTTTCCTGTCCTTTAGCAGGTTTCTGTAGCACCACCTCAGTTTCCTGTGCACCAGTGAAGCTATTATCCCCAGTACCAGGTGTTCTTCTGTCTTCTGTAATGTTGTCTCCCTCAGGATTTAGTTTAAAGCTCTCCCGATCAGGTTCTTGCCAACCACCATGAGAAGTCCTTCCTCAAGGAAGTGGAGACCATGGTCCAAGAAGCAAACCTTTTTCAGATGACACCACCTGCTGAAGGGTCTTGGGGCACCGCCCGTTTTTCCTGTTGAAGGTTGGGGCTTGTGTATGTGAAAATGGCAAGCATGGGAACAATGTAGCTGACCCCAAGTCACTCCTGTGTACTTACTAAACTTTTGTCCTCTTTAGTAACAAGATGATGTTACTAAAATACTGTACCAAACACTAGTATATAGGACAAATATCTGTGATGTATTTCTAATGGATTGTTTTGAGGCATAGGCTTGAATTTGTGGTGAGTAGGGGGGCCCCACTAGGGGCGCATTGGAAGATGGCTGACAATAACATCTCTTCGACCCACACGAGGTAATTAAGAGGCTGTGATGGGAGTAAACAGCCCCCTGCCCCCCCCAAGCATGTGGGGGGGAATGCCCTTGCCTGCTGTGCCCTATACCACCCCTGAACTTGAGGGGGTGGGGGCACTAGGCAGAAAGCCCTTGTGCGGATCTCGGCGCTCCTGGACGCTGTCTCTGATTCGCGCCACTAGCTGCAGCAACTTCAAAAGAAACAATTAGGAGGAAGCTAATGCACATATTTCAAGGAAGAATGGGGAGTAAAGACTGCTAACCGAAGAGATCGCTGAGAAACAAGACGGGTCGGAGGAACAGGAATAAATCATGAGAAGACACACCAAGGCTCGGTATGTTCGGCAACGGGACTGGATGGGGGAAAAAAAAACTTTCCTTTCTTTTCTCTACGTGATTAACCAAGAATCCCCCCCCCCACAAGTCACAAGTCAGAAATGCCGTTTAAATGACTTAAGCTGAGGATTTAAGACTGTGTGGAGATAATTTTCTAACCAAAGCATGTTTTAAGGAGACCGTGGAAAGTATAAGAGCTTTGGAATGACGCAGCAAAAAATAGCGTCGCCATTTTGGCAAGTTCTGTCGAAAGACTTATGTCTGGGAGGAGGAAAAGATTTGTTTTCATATTGTGGGTGAGCCTCCTCAGAGGGACTAAAGAAGGCGACAGATTTGCGAGACTGATGATAGAAAGAGTGCTTTTATTTATGAAAGTGATGATATATGGAAACCATCTCGATATGATGATTGGACGAACGGAAAATTCACACAGGATTATAACTGGTGTTTACCTGCTTAAGGAGATTATCAGAAGAGATCATAAAGAAAAAAAGAAAAATATACGAACAAGATGAGATGTGAGAACAGCAAGATAGGACTGGATAGAATTATGAACATTATTTGGACAGATTTGTGGATATTAACGCAGCAGCAAGAAGATGATTGGAATCCCCTTCGGAACTTGAAATATGGGTCCCCCCAACAAAAAATTTAAAATTCGGCTTTGTAATTCGGAATTTATGTGATGTGATTTGATTTGATTGCTCGGTTAATAAAAATTATTTAAAAAAAAAAGAATTTGTGGTGAGTAACTTTTTATCCTAAAATATATTCCACTTAACCAGTTACTCTGTCCATGAGGTTCAATGACTCTTTGTATTCAAATGCAGCTTCTTGTAAAGTCCAGGTTTCTCTGTATTTTATATTCTCTTTCCCAAAATTGCTGTTGTGGCGATCACACAGGGCCCCCGGACGTTTCACGGTCTATTGACCCTGTGCCACCACCCCGCTTCTCACGGGGACACACGGAGTCCAGACAGTTGTTAACATCAATAATCAAGTTTATTTTTAAGTGCAGGAATAAGCATATACAATACAACTCTGCCAACCCACACCTAAGCCTCCCTCTTCCTTCTCCAACACCCAAGCCTCAACTCCCAACTGACAACCCTCAACTCCCAAACCTCAACTGTCAACTCCCAGACCTCAACTGTCTTTTCAAATCCTCCCACTCTATCTTTTACTCCCCCCTCGCATTCTCACTGGCCAATCACATCACACCCATTTTTAACTCTTTCCTTGACACATCCTAGGGGCAAACGCCACACTGTTTTCCTTCCTTCCGGTTTCCTGCATGTTTCTGAAGGACTGCCTTCCTCTCCTAGGTGAACATCCTCGGATGGGAGCCCTGGATGTTTGCCCCTTCATCCCAGTGAGGAATGTTACTATGGAAGAATGTGTCCAGTGTGCCAATCTGTTTGGGAAGCATTTAGCAGGTGAACTGCATGTGCCAGGTGAGTTGGGTTTGGAAGACAGCACCTGGTCACTCCAGGCCACCAAGTGAAATTCCTTCAAAAATCTCTGTTGGCCACTGTAATGTATGCCTTATCAACTAAATATCTGGCATGTGGCACCTTTAAGGTAAACAGCTGTGACCCATGTGGTCAGCTCCTGGAGAGCTGATTAAGAAGGGTGGTCAACTCTGGAGGCTCCCAGTCCTTGTGAAGAATAATGTTTGATTTGCAATTAACCCAGCTTGTGGTGAATGAATGAATGAATGAATGAACTTTATTACGGTCACAGACCGTATTGTGTGGCGTGTTCCTATATGAACATCAGAAGACAAAATAGCCACCTCTCTCCTCATTTAGTTCTCCCTTCTTCTTGTGGGCAGGTTTGTACCCTACATTGCCTTGATGTTTTGGCACATACAATGTGCACAGACATTCCAGATAAAGTGTGCTGGGGAGGTTGGATGGTGTCCACTGGACCTGGTCTCCATGGAGATATCTGCCCAGGGAGCCTATGCACACAGACTCTATATGTGCCATTGGTAGGGAATGTGTGTTATAAACCTATGCATGCTGGTCAATATGTGTGTTGGTTCCCTGTGCTATCACCTTTTCTGGGTAGTCTAACATCACGGCACAATGGAAATATCAGATTCTATCTGTCTGGCGTTACCCTGGAAGTAACTGCAAGGGCGGCAAAGTTTTTATTGCATGGACAGGCGGAGTCCCCCAAACCCTGGGCAGCCCCCCGTGTGGAATAACGACTCAAGACAATGTGCTATAGGATTAAAATTGGCCACAACTTTAATATATTTCAGATGTGGGTAGACCTTGGCTCAGGCATTGGGCGTTTATCCCTCCCAGTCCCCCGCCAGAGATCTGGGGAACATCTGGGTTATCCAGTGTGTGTGTGTGGGGGGGAATGGGCTGGCTCTGGAGAACATATGTTCAAGCAGAGAGATCCTGCCCCCGTTACACCGCCGTCGCAGGGGAGAGCAATGACGACCTCTAGGCGTACGGCCAAAGCCTCCCCTCAAACAACCTATTTAACGGGGAACCCTGGTATCGCCGCCACTGCTGCATGCCCCCCCATTCAGGGAAGATAGACTAAAGGATTCCGCCCAAGGCCTGATACCGCCAAAGTTGTGACGTTTTGCTACGGGAAAGGCAAACCCGCCAATGCAGGGGAATTCCTTTCCGGCCCTTCAACAGCGACCTTGACGTAGCAGTACCCGCATACTTGTGGAGAAAAGGTTAACCTGCAAAAGAAGTCTTAACTGAGGGTGGGTAGGGCGATTCCCAGGTAAGATCCTTCCCCTATTGTGTGGGCAGGTAGTCCCTCCCCCCTACCTGGCCTGATCACCTTGGCAATGCCTCCCCAGGCGGGATTGGACAACTTACTGAGGTAGGCGGAGACCTCCAGGTATCCCACCTGGGGGAAGGTCATTAATAGTAGTGTCTCTTAGTGGTGAATGGCACTATTTAGCGGGAAGAAACTGCAATGAAAATCCTTGTTATTACATATTTTTACATGGCTACTTATTTGTATATATTTTAAAATTTTATATGACTGTTTTATGATGGCCTATATTTGTAATGCCTAATAAAGGTTTCCTGTGCAGTTAGGCACTCTGTTCCCCGGAGGCCAGGGGCAGGGAAGGGGCAGGAGATGTGATCCAAGCCGCCGCTGCCGCCACACAATGACCTCCTGCATTTGCTGAGTGGTGTGAGGTGCTCTGGAAAGCAGTGAGTCCCATGCACCGTTGTGCGGCTGGAAGCTTCTTGAAATAAATCTGTTGCAAGCCAGCTCCTGGCCAGTGGCCATCTGGCTGTGAGTAGCTTGTGTGGATGCAGCGTTTTTTGAATTACACCACAAGCCAGCATTCTCAGTAGGCATGTCTGGCTTATTTGTGTACCCCTAACGGCAATCACACAAAGACCCAGCTAACCCCTGGGATGCAGTACACAACTCACAAGTTTCCCAGCATTCCCTGATTTGTCCCAGCACCATGGGGCAGTGTTATGTACTGAAGTTCTCACTCCAGCAGGGGGATACTGTAGATAGTTTTCACTCAGGTCCACATATGCAAATAAGGGATCGAAAGTGACGTTCAGTGATTGGATAGTTACAGAAAGTTGTACGGTTACGTTGTACTTGAGCTCTATATAAGCAGGCTGGCTGAACCCTTCAGTTCAGTTCTGTTCTGACCTGTGAATAAACAAGAGCTGTTTGGAGAATCGCTGTGTCGTCTGATGTGTTCACCCACAACTTAACAGGCAGCAAGTTGGTTGCACCACAGAGTTCAAGAGGTGGGGCTGTCCATGGAAGGGAGCCCCCTGCAGTCTCCTTTCCCCAGGGCCTCCTCAAACCTGGAACCAGGCCTCCTGCTCCCTCCTCTCCTCTGACTCTTGAGTCCTACAAAACCAGCTTCTTTAGGTTGCAGCCTGGCAACTCCCTGACTGGATCCATGTGCTTTCTCAGTAAATCTGCCCCTCTTTTGCAGTGTATCTCTATGGCAAAGCAGCTCTGAAGGAGAGCAGAATATCCTTGCCAGCCATCCGAGCAGGAGAATATGAAGCCCTCCCTGAGAAAGTAAGACTACGTGTTGCTTGCAACAACAGCTGTACTGCCAAACCTTAGATCAGCGGTCAGTGCCCTAGTCTGGGTAGCAATGGAGGCATTTTAAGAAGGGATGCTCAGATTTTATTGGATGGAGCTGGTTTATGGTTACAGCACAGCTGGCATAATGGAACTACCACAGCTGCTGCTTCAAGCTCCTGCTTACTGTTGTACTAGTTGCTAAAGTGTGAGCAAGTCTCTCCCAATACTTGTGTGTGCACAGGGTGGAGATGCCCTCTCATTCCTGCAATGGTCCATGTGGATTCTGCAATCCAGCTTCATTGTTAGGTGTATTTATCCATGGCATTTGCATCAGATTTGACTTACAGATTCCTTTTAATACAAATGAGAAGAACATTCAAAATACACATGGCCACTTGGGCAAATTTCTTTGAGCACATTAACTCAAAATATAAGTTTCTACAGTGGTAGATCGGGTTACAGATGCTTCAGGTTGCAGACGCTTCAGGTTACAGACTCCACTAACCCAGAAATAGTACCTCAGGTTAAGAACTTTGCTTCAGGATGAGAACAGAAATCATGCTCTGGTGGCGCGGCGGCAGCTGGAGGCCCCATTAGCTAAAGTGGTACCTCAGGTTAAGAACAGTTTCAGGTTAAGAACGGACCTCTAGAACGAATTAAGTTCTTAACCCGAGGTACCACTGTATTTTAAAGAGCTACTGTAAATATAAAACTGTGTTGATTTAATCTCAAGAAAAAAGTTGCATGAATAAATTCCAATGCAGGAATCCCCAGGTGAAAGTGTTCCAAATGATTTTTCTGAGGAGACTGAGGACCATGCTGCTTTCTCTTTCACAGTCCTCACCACGGAGCCCATGCTCTCCTGTGCATGCTTAGTCTGTGATAGGGCCCACTGACAAACCTAGAGCAGACAGTAAATACGATAATCATTTGCATTCATCATCACACATCACAGTTCTCAAGGTAACAAATATCTCTGGAGTGTGACACTGCCCAGCAAGTCCACTATCTGGCTCTGGGTCTATCTAACGGTGAAATTGTTATTATTACTGGAATATTACAACCCACTCTTTTTCTTTGTTTTTTGTTTTTTTAGCTAAAAAAACCAGAATGGGCTCCTGATTTTGGATCTGCAACCTTTGTTCCAAGATGGGGAGCCACAGTAACAGGCGCACGGACATTCCTCATAGCCTACAACATCAATTTGCTGTGTACAAAGGAGCTGGCGCACCGGATAGCACTGAACATTCGGGAGCAAGGACGTGGAAAGGACCAGGTATTCCTGTGTCCAGGGAAGAATTGGCTTGCAGATTCCCTCCTCCCACAATTCAGAAAAGGGCAAGGAAAGGAGAGATCTCCCCAATTTCCTCCCGTAATCGCTAACCCTGTATTACTCTTCATTTTTATCACACTACACGCATAGAGTTGTGCCTCTCTGCAGGCCACAGATGATGGAAGGGGAACATATGAATTCACTCATTGCTCATTGAAACTGGCAGCTTGCGCCAGAGCTGCCAGGAATCAAGGTCTGACTAGAAGCCTGAGGGATTTGAATCTTCTTTTCAGGGTCTCCTGGGAAAAGACAAAAGTCCTAGGCTGGGAAGATGGAACCAAAGGAGTGAACTATATTCTCCTAAGACTGGTTAGACTTTTGCTGTGGTCTTTTGGCCCCTACAATTTACAGCTCTTTCCTCTGCTTCCTTAAGGGTAGCTGATGAAGCAGACTCCAGTCCATCAGCCCTCATGCTATAATAATCTTTAAAGTGCCACAGGATTCCTTGTTGTCATTTGGATATGTGATGAAGCAAATGTATGAAGAGTCGCAAAAAAGAAATATTTTGGGAATGGGGTAGGAACTTTAAAATCTGGTAGGAATATGATAGGAATGTTAGCTTTTGGCTGCTGGGGTTAAGAAGACAGGAAGTGCTTGGCTCCTGTTTGCCAGCTTTCCACCTTATTCTGTAGATGGTTGAAATTCTTGCTCCTGTTTGTGCTTTGTAGCCTGGGCGATTGAAGCAGGTGCAAGGCATGGGCTGGTACTTGGACGAGGAAAATATTGCTCAGGTTTCTGCAAATTTGCTGGACTTTGAGACCACGCCCCTTCACACCGTCTATGAGGAGGTCTGCAAGGATGCCCAGGTGAGATGGACAAGGAGCTAAGACCTTTGGGGTGAAATGTGTCGGGAGCAAGGAGTTGCAGCCCAAAGCTCTTGCGGCTGTGCCTTTGGCTCACTTTTATGGAGCTGCTCTCTGGTTACAGAAGAACTGATTGCAGCACAGCACACAAAGAGAGAGAGAGCTTCCAGTTTGCGTAGGCATTGGCAGCTGGGCTAAGAGCAGGGGATTGGGGGCTCCCTGGCCCTTTAGCTCACTTCCTGCCCTCTGCTGCAAACGCTGCAGAACAGCAGGGGAAGAGAGGGAAGGGACTGCTGCTCAATTGCATATGTAAGCCAAATATTCCCCAATATGGCACCAGAAGAAAGGGACGTCTCCCCTTTTCACCTGCATGGGGGTTACCCTCCCTTCCCTGTGCCCCAAACACAGTGGGCGAGCTTTGCCTGTCCTCAAAGAGCCCTCACGCAGCAATGACCACCTACGAGTCTGTAAGGGTTAGGGCTGGTGTTTCTGCTCGGCACTAAAGATACCAGACAAATGATCCCACTACCAGCCATGCAAACCTTTCAAAACATGCTTGGCTTCCTATGAACTGGAAAAGCATCGCTTGCAGGCTGAGATTGCATTGGTTATACCTTCTTCTCTGAGTGTTATTTGAGAACATTTCTGTATTGAGAGTCTTGGGTTATTTGGATTATTTTCTAGTCTATGCAGTAGTGGGAACTTGTGGTGGTAGAAACTTAAGCGTCATTTGAAGAGACTTGTTGCCTTGAGCGTGTTTCTGGATCCCTGGGGTTGTGCTGGACTGCTGTCAAATTCCTGTTCTTGTTTCTAGGATCTCAATCTGCCAGTGGTGGGATCTCAGCTGGTGGGTCTTGTCCCCAAAAAGGCCATGCTGGATGCAGCAGAATATTATATTAACAAAGAAAATCTATTCATCCTTGAGGAGGAGCATAAAATCAGACTGGTAACCTGCATCTTCAAAAGAGAAAGGAGTGAAATACTTGAGTATCCTATGAAATGTATTACTGTACAGTGGTACCTCGGGTTACATACGCTTCAGGTTACAGACTCCGCTAACCCAGAAATAGTACCTCAGGTTAAGAACTTTGCTTCAGGATGAGAACAGAAATTGCGCGGTCCTTGCAGAACCTCACTGCGCAGGGGAGGGGTGAGACACTGCAGGTGGACTGAGGCTCTGGCCAGCAAGCCACTGCTGCGAGGGACCAGGAGGTGGCAGCAGCCAAGTAAGCTGGCGAGGTTCTGCATGTGACTCCAGCTGCCCCCTTCCTTTCTTCCCCTTAATGGCCCACCACCCAGGCTATCATCTCACCAGGAAACTAGCCTGGCACTTCCAAGAATTAGAAGGGGGCATTCAGCCTGCCCCTGGCAAAAAACCCCATAACTATATGTATGGTATATTTTAATGTAGTTGTTATTTTTATATTGAAGTGTGGTGTGAACCTAGAAGCCTTTGAGTTGAAGGGCAGATGCAAACGAACAAATAAATAGTTTTTGAAGTCAAAGAAAGAATGTGGGATTCTGAACAAATCTGAGAATGATTTCATCTGTTCTGCAGGAAGCACATTATGAATTTTGATAGACACTCAGACTCTTGGGATTGGAAAAGGTGGACATCTAAATAAATAAAAAAAGGGGTGGGGCAAGAGTATGCCTGAGAAGTGGAACAGTTTGAAAGTTCTGTTTAGATTCATGGTGCGGGATGTTACGCTTTTTAAAAGGAGGTACAAACACTTGTACAAAATAAATAGATCACACACATTCTCAAAATGGAGAGACAGTTTGTGGGATGTGGGGTGAACTGCACTGTTTTATCAAGTAATTTTCTTGAAGATCTGAAACCCCTCCCCAACAATTCTGTATTCCCCAGATTATTTCAGTTTATGTTTAGTGCAGTGAATCTTTATTCATTTTCCATTCTCAGGTAATCAACCGACTGGGGCTGGACTCTTTATCTCCTTTCAATCCCAAGGAGCGCATCATTGAGTACGGATGTTTTCATTGTCCTCCTTCCGTTTTTTGTTTGTTTGCTGGGCACCGTACATTTGGCAGGCTTGGCTGGGTTGGGTGCAGGCCTGCACCACAGGATGCTCCTGGAAGTCCACTAGCTTGTCTTACATCAGTTTCCATTGCAAACAGGACCATGGGAAGAGCTGGGAAGCTGTGGGCAAGCGAGTCTGGGGTTGGGGTGACCCATGTGCTAGCTTGAAAGGGAGGAAGCAATGGGCCACTGGCTTCCCTACATTTCCTTATTTGTGTCAGGTAAAATTCTGGCACCTGTGTGTTGCTCTTTGCTTCCAGAGCTGCTCACTGGCAGTTTGAGGGTCACATGCATACCCAGCCCTAATCTGGGGGAGGTTTGTGAGGTTTTGAGTCAGATTTGACAGTTGTTTGCCCCACCTGCTTGAGATGTAATTAAACGGTTTCATGTGCCATCACATTTTCAAGGGAGTGAGTTTTGCTTAGAGAATGCAAGACCAATTCCTAGAAAGAGACAAAGCAATCCTCCCTGCTCTTGGTTCACCAGGGACAATGCTAGCGAAAAGCATCTGGTCATTGGGCTGTATTCTGCTAATATTGTAAGTCCTACTTTGAATCTTTGCAAAAGAGTTACCATCATACACATGGCAGAGAGATGCGTTCTCCTTCCTTGACATTAGTTCATTCTGTCCTTTTGATGTACGTGAATGTGCTTTTCCTATGTCCTTCTTGTCTTCTGAAGGGATATGGTGCAGGATGGCAAAGAGAGCGGCTGCCTGATATCCTTGCCTCTTCACACTTTTGTGCAGAAAGTTGGTGCCAGGTCAGCTGCTCCTGGAGGAGGATCCGTAGCAGCAGCAATGTCTTCTTTGGTACATTAGCCACTTGTTTTTATTATGTTATATAGATTGCTTGTGCACCTTACACATAAATCGGACAGGGCTGGCTTCCAAGTCCAGATCGGAGACTTGAATTTAGTCAAAAGTAGAGTGTAATCTGCATTGAGAGTATTGATATAAATCAGGGCGTCATTGGACAGTGCCAGTTCTTCTTGCCCTATTCCCATTAAAGTTTCTCATAGCCTCTGGGTTGGGAGGACTGGAAAAATCATTGTGTTTATTAATATTGCACATATGGAAACAGTAAGATGAATTAAAATGGACTCTTATTGAAATAAAAATTGTGCAGTCCAAAAATATGGTTCCAAAGCTTAACTTACAGAATTTGTTCCAAAACAGACACTCCAAATAATAATGTTCCCTAGAGTGGCAGGGGAAACCCAGCCAGATGGATGTGGTATTAATAATAATAATAATAATAATAATAATAATAATAATGATAGTTACATCCAAATAGTTGCATAGAATCATGTGCTTGTCTAAGCACAGGTACAGCCTCTTAGAAATATGAAATTACTTCAAACAGAGCAGAACACAGAGCTCTGACTCTCCCACAGCTTTCATTACAGCCAGAGAGAGAGAGAGAGAGAGAGAGAGAGAGAGAGACCGACCATTAGCACATGTCCTTTCTTCTCTGGTGCTTGAGAACAAAGATCCAACTCCCACAAAATGGAGATTTGCAGCTGAAAACTTATCATGTGATCTAAAGTTAAACACCTCGTCACAGAGTTGCAGAGATACATTTTAAGTTAATTATCAACCCTTTAGGCTCTCTGCAACTCCTTTGTTTAACTACAGTGGAAGTTTACATGATATGCAGTTAGCAGTACACATACAGAGTTATTTTCCATTTCAATTATACTTTACAAAAAATCCATGAAGCTGAAGTTGGTTACTGTTTCCAGTTCCTTATTTACACAAAAGCGCAGCTCATTCAGAAATGGGGAAGGGGAGAGCCACATAAATGCAATAATAAGCAAACAATCAATATATGTTTACTGAGAAGTAAGTTGCATTTGGCAAAGGTCCCACCTCTCCTGGCTTATACAAACCCGTTCATTGTACTGATTAAGGGTGTAAATCTGTTCTTAATTGTTTCATTTATTTTACTTCTAGGGGGCAGCGCTGGGCTGCATGGTGGGGCTGATGACCTACGGGAAGCGTCAGTTTGAGGATCTGGACCCAGTCATGAGGCGGTTGATCCCTCCATTCCATCAGGCCATGAAGGAGCTGCTAGTCCTGGTGGACACAGACTCTCTGGCTTTCAGCAGCTACATGGTGAGTGAGAGCCAGTGTGGTGTAGTGGGTAAGAGCGGTGGACTCGTAATCTGGTGAACCGGGTTCGCTTCCCCGCTCCTCCACATGCAGCTGCTGGATGACCTTGGGCTAGTCACACTTCTCTGAAGTCTCTCAGCCCCACTCACCTCACAGAGTGTTTGTTGTGGGGCAGGAAGGGAAAAAAGAGATTGTTAGCTGCTTTGAGACTCCTTAGGGTAGTGATAAAGCGGGATATCAAATCCAAATCCAAACTCCTCTTTTTGACAGCGGAATTCCTCCTGCATTCTTTACCCCCTTGTTATCTTCCGCAACACGTCTCTCCCTCTCTGCATTGAACAGGAAAGGTAATAGTTTGAGGATCGGGAACAATTTTTAATTATTATTGGTGATGTGATTTCATTTCAGTCACCTGGAATGGTGATTGGAATGACAAATGTAGAGAGGTAAATTCCGGGACAGGGAGGGATGGAAATGTGCTGCCGCAAAGAGCAGCCTGGTCTTTACCAGAAGAAAATAACAAATGCAGACAACTGCTGGAGATGTGGGAGTACAAATGCGAACCTAGTACATATGATGATTAACTGCCCGATGATAAGATCATTTTGGTGCGAGGTGAAGATATATATAGCAAGAGTAATAAAAAGAAATTGTTATTTAGAGGAATTGAATTGAATTCTAAATTATATACCGGAAACGTGGGAAATTACAAGGGGTCAAAAAAAATGGATGTACCGTGCAAAAAAACTTGTTTTGATGAATTGGAAGAGCCGCAAAAAGATTCCATTGAGCACATGGATTGATAATAAGGACAGACTAGCGACATACGAATGAATTGCATGTCAATGCAAATTAAGAATGGATAAATGTGAAGAAATCTGGAAGGAATATTTAAGTGATAAGGCGGACAGTGGTGGGAAGTAGGGGGAGGAGAGGTGAGGAAATATTGTTAAAAAGGTATATCATAGGTATATCAGTACTCAAATCTGAAATGTTAAATTGTGTTATTAGTGCTATTGTGGTTTTTGTTGTATGTGTTTTTTGTGGCTGTTGTTTGTATTGAAAAAAATGGTTAAATAAATTAAAAAAGAAAAGAGCAGCCTTGTCTGTCTGGGTGCAGCTTGGGCCTTGTTCTGTAAACAGGTGGTTCTACGATGGGCAAAGTGGAAGATAATGGGAAGCAGTTCTTATAGCCTGAATAACTACTGGACACAGTTAACTAAATATATTTTTCTCCCTTCACCTTAGGCTGCTATGAAGCTCCCTAAGAACACACCTGAGGAGAAAGAAAGGTATGTATCAATAACTCACTTTCCATCTGTTTAACAATTATGGCTACTAAATAATCTTTTGTATGTACCTGGTTGCTGAATTTCCCTTAGCTCCTCTCATACATCTACAGATACCTGGAATAAGCAATGACTTCTACACCTGTTCAGAGTGATATAGCCACTGTTAGTCATGCTCAGAAATCAATGGACAATCAATAAAGTCTATATATCACTTAAAGCGTGTGATATATGGACATGTTGGCCTAAATGCTATGAAGAGATTCCTGCAAGTTCTTGCAGTTATTGAAAGAGAGGGTGGAATGTGGATGCAGCTAAATGGACTCATGGCAGCTCATTTTTGATTAAATATTACTTGAATGAGATCAGACAGTTTTCATTGATTCTCCGTTCCCTGTGCACACAGCCTGCACCCCCTCTCTCCAAAGGATTTGAGGGAACCTCTGGAACAGTTTGTGAGGTGACACGCAATGGTGGCTGCAGGAAAAAGGAGAAAGCCGCCCAGATGGTGGGGTACAAATGACAAAATCATTATTGTTATTGAAATGTTAACCTCCTCTCTCCCCTCCTTTCTGCTCATGGATCAGAGAGCCTTCCATGCTAACCTTGTGGGGCCTTAATTTAGGGTGGCATTAGCTTAGGGGGCCCAGAGTCCATTGCCTTCTGAGCAACTGTCACCAAAAGGCTTGTCCAAATGTGTCGGTTAATTTTTAAGGTGTTGGAAGACTGCCGCTGTTCCCCTCTGCAATGTGTCTTTTAGGTATCATTTCCTTGTTTGTGATTTCCAGTTGAATTTACTAGAAATATATTTGGTATATACCTACTTTTGTCTATTTATTCTCTTGCAGGCGGACAGCAGCCATGCAGCTGGGCCTGAAAAGTGCGGTTGGTGTTCCCTTTTCACTGGCAGAAAAAGTTCATTCTTTGTGGCCCCTTTTAAAAGAAATGGCTCAGCAGGGAAATATAGCCTGCAAATCAGATATACAGGTATAGTAAGTATTTGGTGGATGAGAAGCATTCCTTTAAAAGGGCTGTGTACCTGTTTTCTCTTTTTAATAGATCTTTTAGATATATGTGAGTAGTTTTCATTCTATTACTGCTTAGTTGTTTTTTAATCCCCCCTCCCATTTTTAAACTGTTCTTATTTTATCTGTAAGCCGCCTTGAGTCCCTGTGAGGAGAAAAAGTGGGGAATAAATGAATGAATGAATAAAATAATCAAATAATGTCTGTGTTCTGTTTTTTTAAAAAAAATAATTTTAATTATATTTAGTCTAAAATTTATATTTAGTCAGGTTTTAATTTTATTTGTTAAAACCTGCCTGGGATTCTGTCAATGAAGGGCAGTTTAAGCTTTTAAATAAATAAATAAATATGATACACTGATTACAAATTTTCTAAAGAAATAATTGTAGATTTTATAAGAATTGCAAAGCATTTTGTATGCTAAAAGGTGCCTTAGACATGGCAGATAATTAAATTTTATCACTGCTGTTTTGAAATTAGTGGTTTAAAACCGCGGTTTTGAAAGGTAAGGTTCAGTCCACCATCTTGATTCAAAATTGAATCCCATTTTGTCCAAACATAGATGAAAATCTGCTCATTGATTTAAGGAACCATCATGCAAAATTTGGTTACAATATCTTTAAGAGGTGTCCAAACGTAAAGAGAACAAACAAATTTCAAATATATATATATTGTATTGTCAGTTATACTGTGTGTGTAGATTTTATGTAGACCTAAAAAGGAGTCCTTGAGCTGAAATGTGCTACAAGGAGATAGGATCTTCAGGCTACAGATGAAAGTAGTAATGTCTCAGCAAACCATAAAATAGATAAATTACTATTTTTATCTTGTGAATCACCCTTACAAAAGGGTTGTATATAAATGTTAATACATAAATACCTACAAACATGGACTTGGGTAGCGCAGAGCATAATAGAAGCCTAGCCTTTTAAGTGCTTCCGCATGAGCTCCAGAATGCTCTTACCAGTTGCTGGTTTGGGTGGTTTTCAGTGGTTCATAGTGACCTGAATCTTTTAGTGATGGTGTTTGAAGTCGCAGGCCTCCTCTGTGTGCTTTGTCTACAGGTGGCAGCTAAAGCTTTAGAGGCTGGTGTGTTTGGTGCCTATTTCAATGTTGTCACCAACCTGAAAGATATAACAGATGAAGGCTTTAAGCAAGAGGTAAGAAATGCTCAGGTTTTCTGCTCCAGGCACTATGTTAACCTCTAGTTAAGTGCTGTGTCTCTGGCATTGTTCATACAGGCAAATCAAATATATTGATTTCAGTTCTATTTTTTCCAGTCTTAAATTTGCTTTTCCATATTTCCACCAATAGCTTACAATTTATTTCTCCCCCTCCCCCAAAAAAAATCCTCATGGAAATTCTTTAGAATTTTAGGACAATTTTATCTGAATATACACATTTTTCAAAAGCAATTTCCCCTAACATATAATGTCTGTGTGTACGTTATTTTTACTAATACACACATACTTTACCCTAATATATGCATTTTGTGCATGCTACTTGACTGGAAAGCTGCATTGCAAAATTCAGAGAGCTGCAAATATCAGAGGGTAACTGGCGTTGGTCTGATGTACTCCCTCCCCTGTAATCAGCTGCAAACAGGCGCTAAACCAGGCATGGCCAAACTTGGCCTTTCAGCTGTTTTGGCACTACAACTCCCATCATCCCTAGCTAACAGGAGCAGTGGTCAGGGATGATGGGAACTGTAGTCCCAAAACAGCTGGAGGGCCAAGTTTGGCCATGCCTGCGCTAAGGGAATTGTCACAAAAGGTCCATCTGACCCTCCTATTCTTCAAGCCCTGAACATGGGTAGAAGTGGCAAGGCAACCTAACTAGCTACACATGGCCTTAAATGTGTTTCTTTTTTTTTCTTTTTTAATGATATTTATTAAAATTTCAAAGAATACAAGAATTACACAAAAACAAAAAGTAAAAATACAAAAAGTAAAAATACAAAAAGGAAAAATACAAGAAAATACAAGATACAGAAAAAAGAATAAAAGAAAACAAAACAAATTCATTATTTTCAGACTCTTAACTGTCATTGCCTTCTTTCTTAGACCTCCTCCTCCTCCCTTCCTTTGTATTCTAGTTATTAATTATCCCAGCAAATCCTTTCCTTTCCATGTTTCATAAAATTCTATCATTACATTACCCTAGACTATTTTAATCCTATCTTTCTATAATAAAATAAACCTTAAAATTTAAAACTTAAGTCTTAACCTTACCAGCTTCTTATAATCATAATATTCTTTCATAATTCTTTATGCATCTTTACTAAAGCCAGATAATTTCTTCCAACATTTTTCTATCATTCATCAACTTTGTGAAACATTCTAATAATAAAGAAAGAGAAAAAGAAAGATATAGACAAGTCCAATCTTTATCCAACGTCCCTTCCTCCTGGTTCCGGGATTTGTCAGTCCTTATTCCAAATGTGTTTCTTGTGTGTCGTGTGGGGCTGTTAAATGTAATATTAAGCTTGGACGGGGTGGGGGCAGGCATTTTGAATTGGGACCACAGCTTGTGGGGAGAGGAGATTTAACTCTTCCTTTCCTTCCCCCAATCCTGATGAAAATCCTGAGGTCTCTTCCAACTCTATGACTGTGGTCAGGGCCTGCCTGCCAATGGGGCAGGGTGAAGCAACTGCCTCAGGCAGTAGGATCCACAGGGGCAGAAGATCAGGCCCCAAGGACATGCTGCCTCCTCTGCAGCGCACAAGGTGCCACCACACAGGGGCACACCAGCACTACAGTGGCTGGAGTCCCATGCCCCTTCCTGGCAGCAAGTTTCTTTTTTTTTTATAATATTTATTGGTTTTACAGAAAAAAAATTCCAAAAGATGCAAAAATACAAAAATTCGACAAAGAGAAAACAACAATAACAATAACCAAAAGCAAACAGAGATAAGTTTCTGCCAGGGTTTTTCCTTGAGAAGAAGTCCTTGTGGAGTGTCACCTTGTTGCAGGGGGCCCTTATGGAGTCCCCTCTCCCTGCACAGTTCCAAAGAGAAGCCACAGCAGGGGCACTTCAGAGGCTGGATCTGTGGGGCAGCAGAGGGGGATGTTTGGCCTCAGGTGCCCAAGGGTCTTGGGCTGGCTCTGTCTGTGCCACGAATGAGGTCAGGGACCAGAGTCCCTCGAGTCACATGGCCCACCCCTTGTTTGTACAGGCTTGGGTAATCCAAGGCTGAGCCTGGGGATTGTAGTCCTTACATGGGAAGGTTGGGTTATGGCTAGAAGACTCTGTCCCCTGCACACATACTTCTCCCCAGGGCTGCTTCATGCATTTGTGCTTCACACAATTTTAACTCTCCTGTTCCGTGTAGGTGCAAGGGAAACTTTCCCACTTTTTAGAGGAAGCCAAGAAAAGTACTGCGTTTGTGCTACATCAGCTGGAGAAGCGGACAATGTGAATGATTCTTCATATCAGGAACTGCTTATCTATGGATGTATAAGAACCAATTGTAGTATTGCCAGGTTGTATGTAGATAGACATGCAGACGTGCTTGTGATTTCTGTTCTACAACTGCAAATGCAAAGTTCCATGTGCCCCAATTCTAGTCTTGCACATTGCTTCCTTGGTGGCAGCGTGGGGCTTGTTGTTCTTGGTCACCCCCTTGAACCAAAGTAGCCCCACCCACACCACCAGGATAACAGGAGAATGCATTTCAAATTGCTCTGTGTTCTAGTAAATGCTTGTTATACAAAAAATGTCCAATGTATCAGAGCCCAACTTCATTGCATTGTGCTTGCTCTAACTCAGAAGTCGGTAGTATCTGTGTGTTGTATTGATCAGTCTAACGATTGGTTTTGCCTGGATTTACTCACAATGATTTCCTTTCACAATAAAGCTATAAAGAACTGTGTTATATGCCGTGCCTAAAGTGAGTCATTAATAGATCCAGCTAGCACACTGATTTCTGAGCTCTGAAAGGTTGCAAGCAGGACTTTCTTTCAGCTGGAACCTCTCAGGTGGGCCCCAATGCCATTCTGAAAGAACGAGGGAGGCGTCCAGGATGAGTTCGGGCACCCCTCTTTCCAGAAAAATAGCACTAGTTGCAAGCCAATATGTTTCCTTGTCCTGTATGTGCAGCAAGGCAGCTGCTCTTCTGATGAGTGGCAGCCATGAGGGGCAGCTTCATGTATTTATCACACCCAATATCTACTTTTATTTATTACCCCTCTAATTACAGCAATTAATCTACATTGCATTTATCAAGTATCTGTGCTCAAACTATTGTACTTTGCTCCAGTTGAAGAGCACACAAAGTGGCATGTGAAAGGACCCTGCTCAGTCCAACATCGAATAACCTCCACGTCGTCTCTTGTTGAAATTTTCAGCCCACTCCCTGCTGGGGTGCGTTACAGTGTCAGAAGCTTGCTCTCTCCCTGTGTGAGGGCTCAGCAGTTATGCCCTTTGGCCTGACTTGCGTCACTGTGTAAAAAGGGTGGAAACAAAGATAAGCTCCTTTATCGAGGCAATTTGACTCCAGCTCTTGCTTCTGCTCCAAACTCTGGATAATTCTGCTTATAGAGCTCGCCAACCTAGAATAAGTTCCTCCTCCTGTATTTCATGTATGATTCCTGTATCATGTGCTTACAGGGAAACTTTAATTCACTCTGCATAAGTAATAAGAATATATTGGCAGTCATCTGCAATATATCTCTAACTGGGCTGAGTTCAAGGTGCTGCTTTTGGTGTCTAAAGCCCTATACAGCCATGGTGCCAAACAGAAATCAAACTTTGCTGTTTGGTTTCCGGCACACATCAGTGCAACTCAGCTCTAAACTCTGGCTTTGTCCTTCTAACTAACCATAAACTGGTGGGGGGGGGGCACCCATTTGCTGTCTCATGCAGAGTCCCTTTCCTTTGTCTCCCATAATAATAATAATAATAATAATAATAATAATAATAATAATAATAAATAATAATATCTTTATTGTCATTGCCCCCTTCGGGGACAACGAAATTACTAGACTGCTCCATAAAAACACTAATTAAACAATACAGTATAATACAGCAAGGGAGATTAGATGACTTTCAAAGTCCGGGCTTCCCATTCAGGGCCGAGATCGCTCTGGAGAAGAAGCTGTTCTTAAGACGGCTCGTTCTTGTCTTCATCGTCCTGTATCTCCGTCCCGACGGCAAAAGCTCGAAGAGACAGTGACCAGGATGCGATGGATCTTTACTATGTCCAGTGCCTTCCTATGGCACCTTGTGGCATAAATCTGCTCTAAGGTGGAGAGTGGGCAGCCAACAATGCTCTCTGCTGCCTTAACAACCCTGCACAACCCCATCCTGTCCTGGGTAGTACAGCTTCCGTACCACACACATAAGCCATAAGTGAGCACGCTCTCAATGGCACAGTGATAGAAGGCAAGCAGCAGTTTCTGCGGAAGATGGTTTTTCCTTAGTATTCTCAAAAAGTGGCCCATCACCCAGGTGATCACTTCAACATAGGAAGCGAGCCTGTCTTAAATGTTAACACTTGCTGGATCACAGTGTTTGTCAACCTTGGGTCCCCAGATGTTGTTGGGACTACAACTCCCATCATCCCTGAGCTCTGGCCTTGCTAGCGAGGGATGATGGGAGTTGTAGGCCAAAAACATCTGGGGACCCAAGGTTGAGAAAGGCTGGAGGATCTCACATACAGCCTACTTCTCCACAAATTCCTAGCATTACCTGCTCAAGAACAAGACATCTGTCCCTAGATCTACAAAGAAACAGCAAGAAGCAGTTTCCCTGTAGGAAAAAAACAGGCAAGTTAGCAAAGGAATTGGGGGGTACAAATTGCTTTACCTTGTGCAGAAATGACTTCAAAACAATCCATTACAATGGCACACACGGCTTACACTGCTTTATTCAATGAAAAAACAACAACAAAAGCACTATGATTTACAACCGTAAGAAAACTATTGCATATTACATGCATAGCTGGGCTTTGTAATGCTAACTGGTTTGACACAAACCAGCATGAAACATAACAACATCTTTGTTTCTGTGGAAAGGGCCAGTCAGCAAGCCCCTCTGTTTTGAGACAGTGGTCTCTCTCTCTCTCTCTCCTTTTTTTTTTTTTTTAAATGATATTTATTAAAGTTTCACAAAAATACAGAAAACAAAGAAAAAAGTGTAAATTACAGCAAAAAAGCAAAAGTAAGAAAAAACATACAAAATAAAACAGTTAAAAACACAATAATGTTCCATAACCTATCTTCCTTACTCTTATTTCCCCAGACCTCCTCATACCTCCCTTCTTTGTATTCCAATTCAGTTTGTTGGTTCAGCAAATCCTTACCATTAATCTTTTACCCAATTGTTAACCTTTTTTTTTCCCATGTCTCTTAAAGCATTACAGCTAAAAACCTCTTAATTTCTATCCAGCATCCTTCTATCTCTCTCTCTCTCCTTCACCTTCCATGACTACTTTCTGTCACTCCTTGCTGCATTAAGCAGTTGTTTGCCTTCAAATAGAATGGGGAATGGGGTTGGGATTTTGCTACAAGGCAGGGGGAAATACATATAAGCTAAACAAGCTATAGCTTAGGGCCCCACTCTCTTGCCCCCCCCATTTAAAGGATGTACATTTCCAAAATATAAGATAAAAAACAAAATAAAACCTACATACAGCAAAAGTGTTTTGTGTTCTGTAGGCTCCTATTTGTTGTGTGCAAATGGCTTCAGATACCTATTAGGTCCATAATTATAAATATAATTAGCACATAAAAAAGGTAAAGGGAGCCCTGACCGTTAGGTCCAGTTGCGGACGACTCTGGGGTTGCGGCACTCATCTCGCTTTACTGGCCGAGGGAGCCGGCGTATATATTCAACACAAAAAACAGTGACAATTGTTGTTGACAAAGGACAGCTGGACGTATAAAGGGCCCCATTACCTTCAGTAGTTTAGGGCCTCATCAAACCTAAATCTGGCCCTGATCACATTGCACATTACATGTCTAGGCATAGCATAGGTGGGCTTTGTAAACCTATTTGCAAGGAATTTCACAGCTATACCTGCAAGCCTTCTCAAAACATTAAAGTAACAATGCAAAATTAACATCTTCCCATCCATCTGCTTGAGAAGCTGGGCTTTCACAGACCTTTTCAATGTCTCTGAAGGTGATCTTGCCATCTTGGAGGGAGAGGAGCCGCAGGAAGGAAAGCCAGTTGCTGTTGAAAAAACCAAACCATTTTTCAATGTACCGTATTTTCCGCTCTATAACACGCACCCGACCATAACACGCACGTAGTTTTTAGAGGAGGAAGATCCGTAGGCATGCCACCCATAGGCATTCCCTCCATAACACGCACAGACATTTCCCCTTACTTTCTAGGAGGAAAAAAGTGAGTGTTATGGTGCAAAAAATATGGTACCTAATGGCAGTGTCAATGAATGCAATGAATTCTCTCGTTTTTCCAGGGATGGGTGGCAGTCCAACTCCCAACATCTCTGGAGCACTTCATGGGCCAAACAAAGGCAGATAACCCTCCCAGTGGCTCTTACTCCTGAAACTCATGGGACCCTTGCTGCTGGGGCCTCTTTAAGGGCTTCACACAGAACGATTGGCCCCCACTCCGCAAGGCCATCTTGGGGTGTTGTAAACAAATAATCTCCCTTTTTCCCTTATCCAAGAGCCCATATAGAGTCCTTATGCAGGTTCCCTATTGGTAGGAGAAAATAACAGAGGCCCACCAGAGAATATTGAGAAGCAAAGCAGCTAGTAAGCCTGATCTTTATTGATCTGTTGCAACCGGGTGCTCCCCTCACACGCAGGAAAAGAGGAGGAAACCAGAACCAAAGTGTTCCTGCCCTTATATAACATTTTAAATTCCCTGCCCTGGAGCTCAAGACCACCCCTCTATACATCATACATACATCACAGAAGGGGTGTAACCTAAGACCACCCCCCAGATACATCATACCTACATCACAGAAAAGGTGGTCTACAGCAGAAATCTGAGTGCGTTGTTTATCTCGTCTGACAGGTTACCTGTTAATGCTCACTTGATTGGATACCCTGTGGAGCCTGGCCAGTCTTTTGTAATGATAAATACTTAGTTCCTGAGCCAGGTCACAGGCTCGCACTATTCAAACACAGGCATACCCTTAAGACAGGATTTGTGAAGGAAAAAGACAATGGGGAGGCTTTTCCATTTTCCTTGACCTTGCAGAGAAATCATTTGGTCAGTTTGGGGGTCAAAAATGTTTTCCTGTGCTGCTTCAGACATGTGGTTTATATATTTATGTACGTGTTTGCTTGGTACATTTATGAACATTTAATATATATCTAAGACCTTAAAATTCTTATCACAGGGGCACCCAGGGGGCAAAATCACTGGAGTTTTTTTTTAAAAAAAATCTCACTCAGTTCCGCTGGCCTCGGCTGCTCCTCCTGCACATTCACACGCACCTCCAATTCCTGCTGCCCATGCATGCAAAATGTATTTCCCTCTTATCATTGGGCCAGAATAAATATAGCTCACTGAATCAAGGTATTCCCTTTCCATACCACACCTCAGGCAGGTTTGCATTGTCATTGTGTACCTAGTCTCCAACACAAGCAGGTGACCTTAGTGCTGGGGGGTGGAGTTTGCATTAAAAAGAATGTGTGCAAACTGGAAATAATGGAAGGGAAAGTTGAAAAGTGAATATATTGACCTTTTACTAAGCTTGTTCTCCGACGGTGACACTGGTTCACCGTGCTCTCTGATTGGTAGGGAAGTCTTTAATTGCTGAAGGTGTGGTTATATAAGTGAAGGACGCTTATTGTAGGAAAGACTCCGCCAGGACCTCAGGCGTCACTTTGGTATTGTATGCAGTTTCAGTATTGAGCTGGGGGAGAAGGCGGTGGAAGACTTCCCTCTTCTCCCAGGCATTTGAGGGAATATTATTGCACTTGTAGCTGCTTTTGTGTTGTAGTCTGGGGGGAGGTATTCTTGTTTTATTGTTAAAACTTTGTGCTTTGAGTTTGTATGCCAGTCCCCTAGAAATGCTTTGTAATAGGTGAAAAATAAATCAAATAAATTTTCAGTTGCATGCCTTCTATTTAGGAGAACCAGATATATAAAGATATCTAAACCTTTATTTTTTATTCAGCTTAAGTTTGTTGGTGTTACACATATAATTCAAAATCCAGCATACCCCTAAAGACCTAGTTAAGCTAGCACCAACTTTTATATTTGGCTCTCCTGACTGGGGAAGATACAGCAACTACTTTGCTTGTCAAAGCAACAATACCTATTTTAACAAAAGGTGAAAAGTTGGGCCTCACTCACTGGATAGTTTTCATACGGTGCTGTTGTTCTTGGACAGGACTTGTCAATGGATGATTCAAGGTTACGAGGTTTCTCAGAGTTTGCCCCATAAAAAGCATTGTCAATCTCAACGCTTGTCTAGAGCTGATTCTTAGAGCTGTTTCATGTGACATTTTCTGTTTCTTTCTCACTGCCTTCCCAGCCGCCCTCGTCCATTTCTGCGTCACTCCTCATAGTTGTGATCCGTGCAGGTTGTGACTCAGAAAGTCGAGGGAGTTACGTTGCGTAAAGGAAGCCCTGAAACACTTGCTGAGAAAATGCAGTAACTTCCTTTCCCTTTTAACGCCAATTTTGTTGCTTGCTAAATCTTCACAGCCAAGCAACAAAGTCTACTTTAAAAAACAAAAACAGATGCCCTGTCACATTTTATTGTCAAATTAATAAAGACGGTGGTTCACCACAGATGTAAAAACAGGGATTGCTGGGTAATGGCAGTTTTGTGAGAGGTGGGTTGGGGAACACGGGCTCTCCTGCAGTAAATTGTCAGTAATTACAGTTCCTTCCCATTGAATATGTGAATGTTGCCAACTAAATTAACTGTGATATTGCACATTGAAGTTCATCCCACAGATCACTGTGGTTGCAAGATCCACTTGAAAATTGCTTAGGGACTTCAGTAGACAGCCTGGTGATTTTTCTGCCTGTTGTAGCAATCATAATGAGCTAGGTGCTCTACAATTTTTAATTGTATTCGTATTGCTTCTTTTGTTTCTTATATATTGTATTTTAATTATCCTAATACAATTAAATATAAAAGAAGGAATAAAAGAAACAATAAAATATAATTAAAAATCAATATACTTCATGTGATGGATGTGCTGTATGCAAGCACAAAAACACTGTCGGCCACCTGGATGAAGCTTGTGCGTGGACCATTTTGGGGCCCCCTGTGACAGATGTGGTACAGAATTCAGTTTGCCTGGGAGATGTCAAAGCACACTTGCCATTTCCCTTTGTGTTAACTTGTTGTTAGGGATGCTTGCTGACTGTGCTTCCTTAAGCTGATCTTTTGACAGAAATGATAGGGTAGCCCAAGATTTAACAAAAGAATGACTCTCCATCTCTCGGAACGCGGCAGAAGTGCATGCACTCCCAGTTCTCTCAGCTGCGAGAGGTTCCTTCCTGGGCTTCTCTTGCTTAGGTTTTGTTCTCTTTGGAATGAGATCACTGGCGTCTGACTGGTGTTTGTAATATTTGATCTGAAGTGGAGCAAAGCAAAGCAAAGGTGAAGGCATGGCGTAAGCATCTTAACAAATTGCCGAAATCTTCCACAACGGTTCTTGAGGGAAACAGTACCCCTCAGACAAGACACCACGAGCTTTTCAGAACCTAAAACTTCAGGCATCCGACCTGTCTCAAAACTTTGGTCTTTCTTGTTGGTGTCTTACTCATAGCCCTAGGTTGTCTCCCCTGCCAAAAAGTGGGGGAGGGGAGTGTAGGGTTGCCATAGTTCAAAAAATAAAAACTAGGACACCCCGAAAGTTGTTGAGCTTTTATTTAGGAAGATCCCAAAATTGTTGCACTTTTTTTTAGGGAAACCCCAAAGCGTTGCTTCCTCCCCCCATCAGTTCCACCTTTGAAATCCCGGTCATGTCTGGGAAAATCCGGACTTCTTGCAGCCCTAGTAGGGATGGGAGAGTAATAAGGATGAGTCATCTCTGGCCGTCACCTTTGGCCTCTTGGGCCGTTTTAGCTCCCATGGCAACATATCACCAGCCTATTTATCTCACCAGATAATATACGGGGCCAGCCCTGGCCATCTAGTTTGACCACTTTAGCAGCCCTGGCCTTGCTCAGACCACAGAGTTGGAAGCAAAGTCCAGCCACCCCACTCCCTTTCCTAAGAGAAACCTAAAGCTAACAGTTAGTAGAAGGGCACAGAGAAACAGTTCTGAGCTATATTGGCAGTTTTGGAGACAATTTTCTAGCTGGAGTTAGCTGGATCTGGGGGGCAGCCTTGTGGATTTATTACATCTGATCTCTGGGAATCTGATGCAGAGTTGGTAGCTGTGCTGGGGGTGTTGATAGGTACCAACTCTTCATTGCTTGTGTAGCATATACAACACCTTTTTCAAAAGAGCTGCAAGTCCAGAAGCCTCTTGTTCAAATGCTACTTCTGCTATGAACTGGCAGAGGGGCTTCAGGTAATCCACTCTCGGCTTCATCCCCACATCCACAATAAGGGAATGCATGTTCTAACTTACCTTACCAAAGCACCATAAGGATGACCAGTTAATGCATGTGAACCACTGTGAAAATTTGAAAGCAGTATACAAATGCTAAGTGCTCTTATTAAATAAAATAAACAGTATAAAAACTGTGTAAGTTTCCATCTCATCCAATGAAAATGAGCCTGCAACATCCTATAAAAATCCTCTGGGAACAAATGTCATTGAACTGACTGGGCTCATGTCTGAATGGACTTCCCATATGACTGCAACAATTGATGGCCTGAACAACTCCCATCACTGTGGAAAATAGAGAACCCTTCATGATCTGAAGCCTGTTGAACTTCACTCATTATAAATGTGCAGCCTAAAATGATGCAAAGTTAGTGATATGTAAGTCATAAAATCACAGAATTGTAGAGTTGGAACAAAAGCCTTTAATAAAAGTAATGCAAGTACCATTTGAATAAATGATAAATGGACACTGCAAGGGCAAACAGCTTGGATTCACTGAATACATTCTCCTTTTGGAGCTACTGAAGGCATAGCGCTGCCAGAACAGGGTTGGAAGCCTTGGGAGAGAGAGAGAGAGAGAGAGAGAGAAGAGAAGAGAAGACCAGATGGGGACAGGACAGGACTTTTCAAATAACTAAACAGTATGACTTCATTGCAGGTCGAGACTTTCTCTTCTGACATGTGGAACCCCAATTCAGGTAAACTTTGCCTTGTCAATATATCTGGTGGAGGCAGTTATTGGGCTCTGGCTTCAGTGGCAAGTTGATTCACCACATTGTAGCATATTTAAATGACCTAGACCAGTGCAGACAAACAGCCCACACATGAGATTGTGGCCTACACACACACACACACACACACACACACACACACACGGATGGGGGAGCTCTTTTATTTGAAAATAAATCTGGTATATTATTTATAGCACTATAGATATGTAACAAAATGGACCCTGAAGAAAGTTTACTTTTTGTTCACAAATAAGCACTGACCTTTGCAGTTACCCAGCTGGGAACCAGCTGCAACTAAGACATCTGCAGGGTCTGATACTGACTTACCTTGCAGGTTTGGTGTGAGGAGAAATGGCAAACGGGGCATGAAAAATGATCAGAAAAAACCCCCAGGGAGGCAGAGAGTGGGTCATGGTTTCCTGAGAGAAGACCTTCCCAATTTCTGGCTCCAATGCATCAGCTTGATCAAACCTGTTAGTCGACGAAGGCAGTAACTATACATGGCCCCCAATCCTATGATTTTTGTTTTACTCTCTGGCAGGAATGCCTGGTGGGATGCCGCCGCAGCAGCCTTACCCTCCTGCTCCTCCATACTCTGGACCAGGCATGCAGCCCTGCCCACCCCCAGGGTACCCTGGCCAGCTGCCTCCCCAGTCTGGATTCCCTGGGCCCTGTGCGCCCCCTCATCATGGACCACCCCACCACGGACACCATCCTCCACCTGGAATGGTCCCTGGAGGCTGCCCTCCCCCACCGCCTGGTTGCCATCCTCCTGGAAGCCACCATGGGCATCACAAAAAGCCAAAGCACCACAAGCACGGCCATGAGCACCACGGGCACCATGGGCACCACGGCAAAAAGGTAAGGAGGAGTGACTTGAAGGGGTCTCTCTGAGTCAAGCTGCAGAAGAAAGGCAGCTTCAGTAGCCATGGGCCTACAGGGCTCCAGTGCAAGGACGACCAGGGAGTCAGTTAAGGCGTGGGAAATGTGAAGTTAAGTCTAAGGAGAAAGTGGATGCCAGAGTTTATCTTTCCATGTAATGCCCCATTAATTACTCAAAATCTTCATCATAACAAGCAGGCAGAAATAAAACTAAAGAGGTGAACTTAGAGTGGGTTGAAAATGCAGGAGGGGAAGAAAACACAACATAAATCAATAAATATGAGCTGAGATAGCAGCAGTGATGGCATCTGTTTCTCTTTCAGCACCATGGCAGTTCCAGCAGCAGCTCCGATTCAGACTGAGAAAGGTGTCCGCTCCCAGCTGCATACTTGCAATCGATCGAGACCTGTTCTGACATTCCTCCATTGTCTTTCACATGGTCCAGTAATCATGCAATACTTTGTTTAGTTTGTAGCAATTCCAAAAGAAATGTTTAAAAAGCCACGTGATATCAAGTTTCCCTTCCATTTTCCATATCCATTCCTATATATCCATTCCTATCCGTTTCCATCTTACCCGTGAAATAAAGGCATAATTTAGATACCCACCTTGACAAAGGCTGAAATCCTTGCATTTTGCAGGAGTAAAACTCCTAGTCACATCTGGAACATGCTTCACACGAATGTTTACATCAAATGCATGTTTGTCCACTGACTCTTCTAGCAGTTTGCTGAATCTTGGGACTGGCTCGTAAAGGGTATTCTATGCTGGCTAACATGAAAGTGTGTTCTACTGCAATGATAAACGACAATATTTTTAAGCTAGTGTGAAAATGAGTTTATTTACCAAGAGTGCAATTTTGGCTCAAGTAAGGATGTTATTGCAGAAACAGCAATCCCAAGAATACACTGAAGTTGCAATTTCATTGCACATCCATCAACATGTTTTGCATGATGTCTGACTTGATGATTCACACTGTGTTTCCAAGGAGGAGGTGCTTTGTGATTAATGCGGGAGAAAGGGTGGTAACAGCAGTTAGAAGGAGGAGAGACAGACTTTCCACAGGAAGGTTGGGTACGTAAGAAAGGCACTCAGAAAGACAAAGTCTAATGCCATCTCATGCCAGCAGTGCTACTCATTGTGATTGGGGAAAGGGAAAGGGAAACCTGAGGCAAGGCAAGGCAGGTGGCTTTTGGCTTCTCCTTAAGCATGGTGTGAAAACTCATGCTGCAGTAGGGGGAGCCAGATTGTCATGCCAGAGACAATCCAAAGCGATCCCCATAAAAGGTCTCAATGGCTGTCACCTGGACTGGAACAGGACGGTGTCAGCACAGGATGAGGACCCTCCACGGCTCTTCACCCTTTCCCTGGCTCTTGGTGTTACAAAGCGGACATAGTTAAGCTTGCAAAGTACATTTAATGGATGCAAAGTACATTTAAGTGCCAGAAAATTCTTTTGCTGCAACCATTAAGCAATCGCATGAAAAGCAAGGAAGAAAGTCCAGGCATTCACTAATGGAGTGGCCCAAAGCCCAGGACTCAGTGCTGATAATTTCCTGCAGCTGCTTTCACCTGTGAAAAAGGGTGGGATGCGACACAGCTGCATAGGAAACACTGGCAGGGTTTCCTTGAAAAGAGAATAAGGAGGTTTTAGCACCAGGATCAGGACAAGATTCAAATTATCCCCACCTCCCAGTAAAGGAACCAGTTTCTAGAAACAGATGATTGGGACGTGAGGTGCTGATGTGCAGGGTGGGGATGGAAGGACAGTTTACTGGAGACCCTTGTTGGAGATGATTATTCTTTGTGCTGAATGTGAACACTTTGCTGTTCTTCTGTTTAGCACCTACATGATTACACAGCATAAAAAATTCTGTTTAAACAAAGTTGTAAGACATGACAGATTACACTGTGTAGTTTTGGATCCTTCCTCCACCTTGGTTTTAATTAGCACCATAAAATTGAGTTGAGTTTCATCATGAAATTTAAAATGAGCCTACAGGTTTTGGCTATAAAAATAAATCCACCATTTGCTAAAAACCATATAACAATTTTAGGACATTAATAACTTTGGTGTGTGATGAGAGACTGCACTTCCCTGCAGCTAACAGATCCACCTAATGAATCTATCAAAGAAGCCAGGCTGGGAGAGGCTGGCATAGTCCTTCTCCCGGAAAATGGCTGCCTGGTCCCCCAGACCAATCTTCAGCAGAACATCCATGTCCACATCGCTCCCTAAGGCCACCACGGTGGGCATCACATTCTGCTTCTTCATGGAGTCAACAGCCTCAACCAGGTTTTTGCTGCCTGTAATGCCATCTGTGATGAAGACAAATGACAGCTCGGCGTTGCGCCTGGCTGCTCTCTGCCTGTCTCTTGGGTTGATGACAATGTTGTTGACGGCATGGATGATGCCAGACCCAATGTTGGAAGAAGAGTCCAAGTATTTGATCTGATCTAAGGCATCCGAGATGATAGTGAGATTGTGTGTCAATTCAAAAGCCACCCTATGTTCGTTCTCACTTCCGTACTGCACAAGGGCAATGCGCGCATTCATATTGTCATTGTTACTTCTGGCCAGGGTTAGACGTTGGGCCACATCTTCAACAAAACGGTAGGCCCTCTGGAAGTTCAGTTCGCCAATTCTTTCAGAGCCATCCAGGAGGAAGACAATGTCCACAGGGCGCTGTGTGCACTGGGCAACAGCAAGCTCTGTAGGGGGAAAAGAAAACAGACCGTCATCCCTCTGGGGCTACTGATGAGGGCATGGCTTTCATAGACTCATAGAACTGAAGAGTTGGAAGGGACCCCAAGGGTCACCCAAGCCCTGCGATGTAGGGGACGCGGCTGTTTTTCTAGACTGTAAGGTCTGAAAACCTATTGACCTATCAGGTTGAGGGAATGTTTCCTCTGCTATAGCCCAAGAAACAGACGAGGGCCTGGGGTTGAAACCCCTATTCAGCCATAAAGCCCATTGGGGGTTGTTAAGCAAATGACTCAACCTAAAAGGTAAAGGGTAAAGGGACCCCTGACCATTAGGTCCAGTCATGGCTGACTCTGGGGTTGCGGCGCTCATCTCGCCGAGGGAGCCGGCGTGCAGCTTCCGGGTCATGTGGCCAGCAGGACTAAGCCGCTTCTGGCGAACCAGAGCAGCGCACGGAAATGCCGTTTACCTTCCCGCTGGAGCGGTACCTGTTTATCTACTTGCACTTTGACGTGCTTTCGAACTGCTAGGTTGGCAGGAGCTGGGACCAAGCAACGGGAGCTCACCCCGTCGTGGGGATTCGAACCGCCAAACTTCTGATCGGCAAGTCCTAGGCTCTGTGGTTTAACCAATAGCGCCACCTGCGTCTCACCTCAAAGGGCTGTTGTGAGGATAAAAGGGTGTGAGAGGGAGAACCACGTATGCTGCCTTGAGCTACTTGGAGAAAAGGTGGGATAGAAACGGGATGCAAAATTTTAAAATACCCAGCATACTTCAAAGGAACACTGACAGTGGCAGATGAGACAAGCAGCTAGTCCTGTGAATCAGTAAATAATCTAAATCAAATAAACCTCTTTTTCTGAACCCACATCTCTCTATTAACAAGTGAGTTCTTTCCCCACCAAAGAAAGAGTGAACAATACAAAACCTTTCAATGTTTCACATTCACATAACTGATTCATTTCCTCCCCTTGAATCTGGCACCAATATTTTCTACCTGAATGTTTGTAGAAAGTAAGGTTGTCATCTGAGATTGTTAAACACTGGACATGATATTTTGAGCAAAGAAGAGTAATTTATACAATGATCCAGACTTGAAAGAAAACCTGCCATGCATTCAGCAAGGCAACTCAAAGTCAAACACAAAATGCTTAAAGCAGCTCACAAGAACTCCAGACAATAATGACCGAAGAGCCCACAATAAAGAAATATGTTATAATATTTGTTGCTCCCAAATTATACAATGAAGGAAAAGAAGGCTGCATACAAAGCCGAACCCCTGTCCATTTCTGCCCCAGGTGTGGTATTGCTTAGTACTTCAGACATCTTAGTTAGCTGAAGGAAGAAAACATACGTTTCAAAGAGGCTGCATCTACAAACTGAGTTGAATAGGATCTAAACTGCAGCAGTCTGATTGGTCCTAGAACAATAGGATTCAGAATGCAGCAGTCTGATTGGTCCTAGAACAATGCAGCAGTATGATTGGTTGGCAGGAACCACCCAATCATGCTCCAGATAGAAGTGAATCCACAACCTGATTGGCTTACAGTAGAATTCCGGAATTAGCCAATCATGTGCAGCCCATTGTGTAAATAATGTATATAAAGCAGATACTGTGAAGGGACTTTCATTCATTCCTCCTTACCACTATGAGCTGAATAAAGAGCATGAAATCACTTTGCGACTCTGAGTATATTTCAAACTTCATGTCAGATATTTGTGGACTACAGTTCTTCAGCATTCTGAGGAGGCTTTTCTCTTACATCTAAAAAATGATAACACCCCACCCCGACTCCTGCAATTGAGGGGTATTTCATGCAGTAATTGGAAAAGTGTAATAATAAACTATTTTTGGCGTGGAAAGGGAGGAATGGTGCATCTGATGGTCTCGGTGTTGGCCATCTGCTTCACAACCTCTGTGCCTGGGGAAGAACTTGCCCCACAGCAAGGCAATACCTGGGCACAGAAATCTGTGGTTTTCTACACATATCCCCCCCCCCCACCTCAGTGACTTATTCAAAATTTAACCAAGCCAACCTGGGGCAACAGCACTTTGGGCTTATCCATACTTCCAGCTGCCCCATTCTTTCTAGCCCTGGCCCTGAGAGGCTCTTCTTTTATCTGTGGGAAAATCTGCTGTTTACTGCTGAATCAGAACAAACACCGATGGGGGTTTCTGTGGATTGGCATTTGTCAGAGCAATCCACAATTCAGCGGTAAAAAGCGTGGAGCGAACAGAAGAAAAGCTGGACCAAATGGAAAAGCCCTGGCAGTTTGTAAACTAACCCAATTACACGCCCCCCTACTTTTGAGTTATGAATACTCTACTTTTAAGGATACCTGTAGATGTTATTGCTAGCTCCTTTTCAGTTGTATAGCTTGCGCTGTTAAAAAAACCAAAACGGACCTAGCAGTTCTTGCCCCACGAAAAGAGGCTGCAAATGTGAAAAAACTCTTCAAATTAAGAGTCAAAAGCTCCAGTCTTGCCTGGTGCCTGCTATGAACTGAGAGTTTACTTACCTGTATTATTTATGCCCGAGAAAGGTTCACATTCTCAGAACTTCCGAAAACTTCCTTGCCAGTGAGGGATATTGGAACAACAACTTTGTATATGCCTAAGTGCAGAGCGCCAGGAGGACCCTGGAAAAGGCCTTCCTTCCTTCCTTCCTTCCTTCCTTCCTTCCTTCCTTCCTTCCAACGGCCACTTTGCTCACTGTCCCACCACGGCCACAAATGCAGCCACAACCCTCACCTGTTGACCATGCTCCTCAAGGGATGCCCTCTGGGCTGCAGGACCAGCCCTGTTACCTGAAAGAACACTCAGTCAGCTGTCCCTGAGGACCAGCCCAGATCCTTTCATTTATTTGGTAAATTTCTATAACACCCTTCGTCCAAGGATCACAGGGTAGATTACAGTAAACCTAGCAACACTAGGCATTACAGTGGTACCTCTGGATGCGAACGGGATTCGTTCCGAAAACCCATTCGCATCCTGAATAGAACATAAGACGTGACTGCTCATCTGTGCATGCGCGGGTCGCGTTTTGCCTCTTCCGCGCATGCACGTGACATCATTTTGAGCGTCTGTGCATGCGCGAGCGGTGAAACCCGGAAGTAACGTGCTCCGTTACTTCCGGGTCGCCTCGGAGCGTAACTTGAAAATGCTCAACCTGAAGCACATTTAACCCGAGGTATGACTGTATATTAAAAAACCCCTCTGCCTTCAGAGCTAACTTGTGAACCTGGAGCACCTTGTCTCACTCATGAGAACCTTGCCTGGTGATGCTTCTGCTTCTTTTAATGATTGGCTCTGCCCCCCCCCCCCCGGGATTACATTTTCTGTCACTTTAATTGGATTACTGTTTTCTCTCATGTTACTTTATAGAACACAAGGTGTGGGGTTCACTGTCTGCCCTGTCCTTGACAAGCCCACAGCTTTTCACATAATTTATATGATCTACAACAGATCTGCTCAAAGCATAGCCGATTGCATCCTGCCAGCCAGCTCAGCAACGAGCCACAGAAGCAGTTACAACCATTTTTAAAAAGAAAATGCAGTCGGGGCCCATGTGGGTCTTAGGGGTGGTTCCACAGGTGGAGGCAATATCAGATGAGCAAATTTCATGTATTAGGACAAAATCTGGATTGGCCTGTGATCACATGTCAGACTACAGTCACAAGATGTACACAGTTCATATGGGTCAACCTTGCAAAATTAAAATTAAAATTAAGGGGGTATGTAAAATGTGTGTGAAGTCTGTCTTTATGATAAACCTCTGTTTGCCTCATGAAGTTGGAATAGCGGAAGGGGGACTTGCACAAAGGTTGAACTGCATTCAGCATTCAGTTGTGCTTGGCTAGGTGTATACTATCAATAGTTACTTGGGATTTAGCCAGTCATTACTGAAGTTTGCAGTGGTGGGAGTCGGGTGAAATTAGATTGCTTAAAAGTGTCTAGCAAGCAAGCAATCCCTCCCTCACTGAACCCCTTCAGACAGTCTAGTTCCACCTGCTTTCTAATGCTTAGTCACAACTAATAATGATAAAACACAAATACTGAATGGAATAATTGTTCAGAGTCTTTTAAAAACAGGCCAATATATTTGTAGTTTTCCCAAATGTGTATTATAAATGCATTATTTCTTCATGCAGAGGCTGTTTTTGCTACAGTGTTGGAAATACAACAATAGCTTAAATGGATTACTTCTGTGTTGGATGCCTTATCCAGTTCTCTTATTGACTATCTATGGCATTTTGGGCTCAATCATGGGCCCTCATGTATCACAGACATTCGCCCACGCAAAAGGTGGCAGGACAGTCATCTCAGAGTCTCAAGATGTAGAATCTTCATACTCACAAACCTAAATTTTCATTTTGCATTACTTTTTACAGTAATAGAATATCCTTCTTAATTTCCATCAGTAATTTTGATGACAGTAGCTCACTAAGGAGGGCAAAAGATGTGCAAAATGGAGAAACACATATATACAAAAACAAACAAATAGACCAGGAATGAAACAAAGCCCACAGAGACCAAGTTCTACCAAGGACAATCCTCAGGTTTCCCTAGGAAGGACCTCTGTTGTTTGCTCCATACCAGTTTTGACCAGTGGCTACTGAGCTGGGCAACTGATCTGGCAGACTAAATTATTTCTAGGTGGGAGCATCCAAGGCTTTAGGGTGAAGACAGAGACAAGGGCTGCAGTTTGAATACACATTCCAAGCTGTGAAAACAAATGCTCTGGGAATGCTGTGAATGTGTGTTCAAAACACTTCGGCCACAGTTCAGAATATCTGGCTGCACCCTGAGAATTCAAGAGAGAAAATATATGGGATCAATGTTTCCTTCCGTTACCTAGAAAAGTCCTTTCAGTAAAAAGACAGACAACAATTTATAGACAGACAATAGGGAGAGGAACACATATAGCTTTACAACACAGGATCAAAATTCCAGCTCATAAGTTTCTGCCATACTGATAGGCTGGCAATGCTATGTTTTTGAGGACAGAAACAGACAACTTCCAACCACTGAGAAATGATCCATGTTTGTAATGGTGTGAAGAAGCAGTCATCTGTAAGTGTGTTGGTAAACTGAGGATTCCTACGCTCCAAAAATCACTTCATAATTAAGGGAAGTGGGGAATAGGAAAGGTAGAGATGCAAGTGTGTAGTTCATATTTTGCGGCTTTTAGCATGCTCAGAGGCTGCCATCATGTGGTTGGCAAGAGGACTGTTCTTAGGCTCCCCACCCAAAAAGTCCACGCTGGAATGTTTCAGGAATATGTGAGTTTATCAGCACAGTGTGGTTTTTCAAGTGAGAAACTCAGGAAAGTCTGTTTTGGGGCCATCCTGCCTTGTTTGCTTTGTTCTCTACATGATAGCTCCATTTCTCCTCTGGCAAGGGCCAAATGAGCTGGTCTGGCAGTGAAGCTGCGTATAAGCCTTAAGAGCAGCTGAGACTGACTTTTTCAGAAGTTCCTATTTCTAGAAGTTTCTCTTGTTGCAATCGCCTAGCACTAATGAGAGCTCCAGCAAGATTTCTACAGATAAAGTGACATTTCTGACTAGCTTTGTGTTTCATAGGTAGAATGAAGTCCTATTCTTTTGACAGAGGCAGAGCACAGTCTCAGCAAAGGCCTATTACAGTATCTGGATCCCCAACAATCTCGCTGTGCACCATTTTAAAGGTGTCAATGAACAGGTCCATCCACTCCTGCCGCTCATGTCCAGTGGAAAACTTGGCTTTTTCGGCGGTATAGGCCAAGGTGGCCACGAGCTGGGTGTACATGCTGGGGTCCTGGATCTCCCTCGTGGAGTTCAGGAACTGGGCGATCATAGGTTTGGTGCTGGGGAAAGGTATCTTGTCTCCCTTTTCCATAGGGCGGAAAATAACTGGGTTTTCGATCCCAGGGTTCCTCCCATCTGCAAGTGAGTGTCAAAAGAATATTTTCAGGGCTTTCTGGTATGGCATGGACCTCTGGTTTCTATTCACTTTGATTCTGTATACCACACAGGTGTTGGGTTCTTAAAAGGGTGCTCACCTGGGTGGAGTTAGGGGTTCCAGACTTCAAGCTACCTGACCAAAATGGTTCTCCTAGTTTTAAACTGAGGTGGTAACAACTACAGTTCTATGTTCCCTCTCATCCTCAAACAGAATTTTAGGTTCAGAAAGGATTTCTCTTCTACTGCATCATAGGAATGTCAACAGTCTATCAAGCGAAAGACCAGCACCAGTGCCAGCACCAATGCACAAGAAGCAACGGAAAAGGATCCTACTGCATCAAACAAGTTCATTGACAGAGTTACAACAGGAAAATAAGAAGGATGAAAATGCAATTCACTTTAATTAAATAAAGCCAATGTTAAAGCTAATCAAGAGTGAAGCCACATTTGACAAGTGAAGAGGGTGTCATTCCTTAGCCTTCTCCTTCCTGAACCATAGCCACTCCAAAATCCATATCAGAGACTGGCAAACGAAAATATTAGAAAACAGTGCGGGAGCCATTCAGTCCGCATCTGACAAGAGTCTTAAGATGGGATGTGGGAAGAGGTATAAAACTCTTGTCGGTTCTGTGCAGGTTTCAGGTAAGGCATTTCAGGAAAAAGAAACATACAATGGCTGATTCATCTCCCCTGATAATACAAAAACCAGCTTTCACATAACCTAAAACCTGCACAATACCCATCACAGTCTCCTTTGGAGGCCTGCTGCCTCCTCCCATGTTCCATCTTCAGACCATTACCAGGTACAGACTGGATGGTTGCAACACCAGCCAAGTCCTCACTCTCATTTGTTTGCCATCTGAACCAATTATTTGGAACAATATGATTGGCCTAACAAAATCCCTACTATGGATTTTGGAATGATTAAAAAAGTCATTATTTTTATATAGGATACTTACTCAAGACATTCTCAAATCATACTTTTTATTGTGTATTTCTATGGATAATGGGTGGTATACAAATTTAATAAATAGAAAAAATGAAATACTGTAATGAAAAAAACCTCTTCTACATGCTTCAACCTTACGGAAAGAATGGAGTGGCTTGTTTTGTTTCGCCACTTTCCCTGGGAAAAGCCACATTTTACCACTGAATCAGAGCAAGTGGCAATCTGCAGAAAACCTGATTGCTGTTGCTCCAATTCAATGGTAAAAAACAGGTTTTCCTGGGGAAAGTGCAGGGACAGAAAAGACCTGCTTGGACACAGAACTTTAAAGCCAGACCTGTGTCCAGAAACATGGCTCCTGACAGACAGAGACTACTCAACAATTTGTCCAAGAAGTTTGGTTCCAATGAATTCACGCAGCTGAGAAACTCAAAGCAAACCTGCTCTGAAGCTGATGGCCTGATCAGAAGAGGCTGCACAGTCATATCACTGTGGTGAACACTACCTGTTCTATGTTCTAGGAGTTTAACTTTCTTTCACACTCATTCCTTCCTTCCTTTCCACTCAATTTATACAACTACCAAGAACAAAAAAATACAACATGAAATTACGGGAGAAGGTCCTTCCATCAAACCACACAGAGCAAGCGTAAGCTTTACCATTAAAAAACTCTATTTTTATCAATATACAGGTGGCAACCATTAACCATTTTAGGCCTGCCCCATTGATGCACAATTGCCAATGTCTGCAGAAAAGGACAAAATGGGGGGGGGGTAAGGGGGGCGCTTATGCATGCTCCACTGACATGAGCAGGGACAAGAACAGAAACCCCACCCTAATGAAAACTACAACCAAATCTAAATAATAGTAGGACTTACAGAACAGCACTAGAAATACTACGCATTGATCAATTCCCTTTATCTCTTTTAACTTAAGCAGGCTTTTGCCCTGATCTGGTTCCTCTGTTCTCTGTCAGTTATAGAAAGGGTCTTGCCTGATGTTCATTTGTGGGCTAGGATCAGCTTCTAACAAGCCTTGACTGCGCAGTGCTGAACGTATCCCTCTGATCCAGATTTAAAGGGTTGTGCTCTTTGGAAAAGCATAGCTCAAAGAGCATTTGGTTTTGTCCTAAACCTGCAGGCCAGCAGTGCCTTAGCATGAGTGTCCATCACACTATGAGGTTTTATCAAGAGCTCATTACACATATGGCCTTGCGCACTAAAACTGGTCTTCCTCACGACTCTGCAAATGTGGAGCATTTCACATTCTTCCTGTCATAAACCTGTCTACTTGTTGTCTGGCTGGAGGACTGGAGCAGAAATCCCCACAAATTGAGTGTTTCTATCCTCTGACAGACTGTTTCAGAGAAGGCTCCGGAATGGCCACAATATTGGCACACATTCTCAAGGCGTAAATGGCTATTCCCAGGATGTAAACTAGCTGTAATGCAAAAATACATTTACTTGGAGATATAGATGATTAAGTATAATGGAATAATGTTGAAAAGGAGACGTATTGACATTCTGGTCAACATAAGCTCTCCCTCCCCCACCTTCTGTTTCCTGGACTAGAACTTTCCATTATTTCTCCAAATCAGGTGATACAGTGAACAGGGAGGGGGTGGCAGGGACACAATGACAAATGCTTTTACCTGTTTGGCAGGGTAGTTCAGGGCAGACAATCTGAGGATCTGAAATAAGAATGAAAATGTTTGATTGAAACCATGCAGAACACTACTGGTCTAATAATGGTCAGGCACACAGAAGTCAGAGGTTTCTGCAACCCAACCTCCCACGCCCCTCTCTATCCAGACGAGCAAGAGCTCAAGGACACAAATGCGCTTGAGAAGGAAACAGAGTCAGTCCCACGGGCTGCATCCAGCAGATTCCCAAGAGCACAGGGTTCAGCACCACCTATGGGGCAGTTTCCCCAACCACTGGAGGTAAAAAGAGGGCCTTACACTTGGAAGTAAATCCTATAGATCTAGGATTTCAGTCTCAACCAAGAGGCTACAGGGCATGTTAGGGGCCTCCAGTTGAATACCTGGGGACTGGCAAATATGCCGACAGACTCTCCACGTTTGACTCCTATGATGTGTCCTCCAACAGTCCGGCTTTGAAATTTATTCAGAGGTTTCTAGTTGGCTCAAAATACGGTGACTGTACAAGATCAGCAGGACTGGCTTGCATCAGGGCTGCACTACTATTTTCAGGGTCTGGGATATACAGTATTAATAATACTGGGATTGTGTGGATTTCTCCCAATACAGTTGTACACAATTTATTTATTTTTTTACTTTTCAGTTTTAGTCCTTTTTGAAACATGTTGTGACCAGTCTGACACCCCTTGGGAAAGGATGGGCCCTAGACCCCATCAGAATGATGTAATGTAGCCTGCTATTGGCTTTGATGTAGCCCATTATGGCCCACTTTGAACATATAGTGCCAGGACAGAGAGAGAGAGAGAGAGATAGAGATAGATAGTTAGATAGAGATATATATATAGAGAGAGAGAGGCTGCTTTAAATTGCAGAGGCTGTGACCATAAACCTCAAAGCAAAAGCTGAGGGAGTTAGGATCACATTCCCACTACTTCGTTCCATCCCCAGTTGGGGCAGGACTGACAGACCTGGACAAAGTTCATGCTCCATGCTGTCGATGAACTCATCAGCCACTAGCTCCGAAAACAACTTCATTCTCTGAACTCTCTTGTCGTCATCACAGGCAATCGAGCTCAGGGTCTCGTCTTCCTCCTTCTTGTTGAACATGTCACCAATCCCAATGGCATGGACTGTGACCCCCTTGCTGCAGAGAGCCGGTAAGTTGGACTCACTATCCCGGGGATCGTGGCGCCCATCTGTAATCACCACAGCAAACACCCGGGCTTTGTCTCTCCGGCTCTCCTTGATGAGGGTGTTGTAGGCGAACTGAAGAGCAGAGGGGGTCCACGTGCCCCCGGCAATCCACTCCAGCTTCTTCACTGCCTCTTTGAAACTGGAGAGGGAGTCAATGCGGTCATCGTTCAGCTGGATGGCTTCGAATGTCCCTTCGTGGCTGTATTGCACCACCCCAACACGGGCACCTGGCAGAGAAAGAAACCATCAGCTCCACCTCCCTGAACCAAGAGAGACCTCATTTCCCCTTAAGGCAGACATCACATTGCCCTGCAGCCAGAGAGCCTTCTGAAAACCAAAGGCTCTGTATATTGGGCTAGTGGTTTAAAATCCTTTGCATTTAGGAGAACAGTTAGGAAAAAGCTGCCCAGATGTAGTACAGACTTATGTAAGGAATACAGGTGCCTGTTCTCTTCTGCCATGTCTCAAACACTTCCAGAGAGTGTCCCACTCAAAGCAGTTCTAATCAAAGGCATTTCTACACACACACAAGCTTTCCTGTGACAAATGCAGCACTTGCAGGACACAAAGTCAAAGTTGGATGTCCACAAGTCCTTTCGCTAGGGTCCTCCAAGGGGGAGGTGGCCCAGTAAGGATGGCTGCCCATGCTATTGTTTGCACTGCAATTTGGAACAGGTAAGAAACAAGAAAAGCCTCTCCTGTGTGTCCGATCTTCTCCACAAAAGAGTTAAGTCCCAGCTCTGCCATTAGACCTTCTGACACACCTAGAACCATGGATTTCTCTCATTTGTGCTGCTATTTGGAGAAGGAAAGAAACAGCAGAGAGATTCCTGCCATGATTCTCTTCTCCGTTCTTTGCACATGCCTCTTTCCCCAGGCTTCTGCACTTGCCACATGGCCCAGTGAGGGAAGGAAGGGAGCCAGGAGTTGGTGGCAAGCGCAGTTAGATGGCACACACAACACATGCTCAACATGATCAAGGCAAATGGAACACTTCTAGAAACCAAGAGATATTTTAGTTCCCAATATTGGGTTAGGCAATGCACAAGCATCTCATCATCACATTTAATGTTCAGCAATAAAATCAGATTCTCAGCCATACCACTAACCTGTCTCAGATTTTGGATCCTTGGCTATGGAACCAAGTCTGCTCACCACATTTATGACAAAGTTCTTCTCCAGGGTGAAATTGGTGTAGCCAATACTTTCTGAGCTGTCTATAACAAAGACTAAGTCCAAGGGGCCACACCGCTTCTCACAGTCTATGGAAAGCAGAGACAGAGCAGTCAGAAGCTTTGCATCCAAACACCATAAAACCAGCCGACCACAGCACCAACCTAGAGGACCCTGGAACAGATGGCATGCTGTGTTATAAAGCCACATATCTGAGGGACAACAAGCAGGCTATTAACAGTCCTTCCTTGTGTTTCCCAATGACTGCAGTGTTCTTTCCTAGAGAGAGGCAGGGCGAGGTACGGCTATTTCCAGCTCTTGCCTCCAGGATCAGCAGTGGATACAGAGGAACAGTACCAAAGGGGTTGCTCCCGGCCTGGTTTCTGTATCTGGGCAGCACTGGAAAATGCAGTGGTGCCATTGCAGCTGAAAGGTCTGCATACGAAGCACCTGTTCTTCAAGCCTTCTTGTAAGTGCAACCCCATGTAACCCAAATTTATACTTTGATTAGCACTGCGATTTAGAAGTTTAAATGAGGAATGGGCATTTTTGCATATTCACAAAATGGTGGGCCTGAGTCCGAAGGACGTATGTTCTACCATACCACATCTAAGATTCTATGATAAAGCACCAAGTACTTTTAAATCATGGAGTGTACGAGGCATGCTTGAGGCATCGCATCCCAAACCCAAAGCATGGTGCAACATTAATTCTCTCTCTCTGTACAAATTCCCCTCTTTCTCAACTTCTGGAGACAGTATTTCCTTTTCTTATATGTGATTAAACATTTCTTGGGAGTACCAAAGGCACAGTAAGATGTCTCTGCCAAACTCATGAAACCTATTTAGTCTCTGACCAAGTAAGGCTCCCACAGAAGGACAGAGGGAAATCACTGCATGACTACGATCTTTGTTTGGGAATAAAATGCATCCTCCTGGGAGAGGCATCCTACTCTAAAGCAAGATTATGCAAACTAATTATTCTTATAAGTCCTCAAGGAGAAGACTCTGAACTAACCACAACAGCCACAGGTCTCTCTGATGTATGCCATCACATCACAGTCCTATCAAGAAAAAGAAAGAATATAATGAATGTAAGGTCCTAAATTGTTTGATAGCATGACAAGATCTGGTAGGAAATCAGTCAGTGCAGTTTGAGGGACGATTCTGCTAGTGTTCATTTGCATCTTGTCATTGTGAAAACTTGACTGAATAATACACAAGCTTTTCTCCCTTTACTGTGCACAAGAGGACATCACTCAAGATTTCATCAGGAATATCTTCCACATGGTGGGAAGCAACCATTTTAATGTTCCTGCTATATTCCACAGTAAACTGGAACTGACACTAGATAGGTATCCAGCTCCACAGGTGGAAGAATAAATATAGGTTTTTCTTTATCCACTTACAGTCAGGCCAGGATCTCCAGCAGGGCCAGGGCCACCCTATAAAAAAATGGAGAAGAAGACTTCAGGGGTGTTTCATCTCTCTCTCTCTTACACACATTCAGCTATGCTCCATCCATACTACTGGGCTTGACTTGGCCACAGGAGCAGGGAAAGGATAATTTACAGGGCACACCATTTCCCGCAGCTGGAGACCAAGTTCCTTCTTCCCTCACAGAGGCCTCAGAACCAATTGCCTGGTGAGGAAGACGAGCAGCAGCCACAGGGGTGAAATAACGTCATCATCATCATCACTACTGTTTTAAATAGGCTACCTACAGACCATTTTTACCATCTTAATCATTTGTGAATATTTGTACTGCTTTTACACAAGTCACCCTGGGAGCACTGGCAGCTCAAGAGCATAAGTGGAAAAGTGGATGAGCCTTAAATTGCTATCACTATCCATAGCTTAACTGTGCTGTCTGAAGAAGGACTTCCTTTTGCCTGTCCCTCACCCTCCAACATTCAGCTTTGTTGGCTGTCCATGACTTATGAGAGAGGGATTGCCCCCCCCTTCTCTATGGCATGCTGGATTTTATAAACTTCCGCTGCCACCTTTCTTCCTAGGGGAGTTGCTCCACCCCCTTGGATCACTTTGGTTTCCCCTTTCTGAAACTTTTCCAGCTCCACAATATCCCTTTTGAGGTGAGCTGACCACTGAATTCAGATTCAGAATGCTCATCAAGTATAATACATATTTATTTTTTTAAAATCAAAATTCTGAATTCAAGACATATCTGTTTTCTCTTCCTTAAAATGGAAATCTGTATTCAGCAGGCTCAGGTTGTTCATTTCATTTTTTGTGCCTGGTGGCTGCTCATGTTGTGCAACATACAACTGCCCAGGGTCCTGTGATCCAGCTCCAGAATATCAAAGCTGGCAAGATCTAGGGCCCAAGGCAACACTCAGCTGCAGTACCTCAGGGCCTCCTTCGCCTGGAGGTCCTCTGGGTCCAGGCTCACCGGGTGGGCCAGGATCAGCCTAGAAAAAGAGAGAGGGAAAGAATTGCATGCTTATAAGTTAAGCAACACGAATGGGAAAAAAGTATTTCAATTAACATGAATTCAGTGTCCTAGAGACCAGGAGAAACTCTATTTGCTTACCCATCCTATCTACCCATTACAATATCTCAAATATTTTTTTACCAATAATTTCTATAGCACACAAAGTGTTTACTTATTCTGAGTACTTTTATCCTCATTGACAGTTGTGAAAAATATATATTTCCTTTCTCTCTGCTATGAGAAGCAAAACATCTCTCAAACCAGTTTCAACCCAGCTTGAGTATTGCCTGTCTCCAGCCTATCACATCATCTTTTTTAATAGACACCAGCAACCTGAAAAGCAGGTGGGAATTACCAGATAGACAGACTGAGAAACCTAAAACCCTTCTTCCTCTCCATAGAGGACAAACCCAGGGGCTAGCTAGGTATGGCAGGAGCCTCCACATTTGTTTAGCCATGTGATTGAGAGAATTTATGCAGCACCAGGGATCACCAGTATGGGATACACCAGTGGACACCAGAATTTCTCACAACAAAGATGTAGAGATCAAACCTGCACACATTCATCTACAGACATCAGTGTAAACAGGTCTGGGAAACATAGTACTATCCACATTCCCAGACACATGAATGTTCAGAAGAACACGTGAGGCTCAAACTGTGTGCAGATGGATGTGCCGGCCCTGCCTGCCTTTTGTGCACTGAGCAGAAAGGTCTGCAGGGGGGTTCATGCTGTGTGCAGCAGAACATGGCGAGAATTTTCCAGGCAACTAGTAATCAGGTTCTGGATCAAAGGGAGAATTTAAACTGCATTCAGCTCAGCATGATTAGAATATCCAAAGAGACTTTTGTGTTCAACGCTGTGGGCAGGGGCTGCTCGTGTGCCCCTATGCAGTTTGTGCGTTCTTCTGAACAACTGAAGGGGGCTATGTTCACTGGCATTTAAAGATGTCTACACAGCATCAGCTATTTAGAAGTGTGGCGTCCTATATTCAGCTGGTGGTCCTAGAGTATAATTTAAAATTTATCAGGGAGCTCAAAGTTTACGAAAGACAGGCATTATCCCATTGTATCCTAGACTTATCACCCCAAACCCTGACAGGTGAAAGGGCAACACAAATTGAAATTTAGCTCCAATATCTTTTGTGTCCAGCAAATCCACATTGTGAATCAAACTAACTAACTAACTGTTTATGTTCCATACATTTGTTAGTAATAGGAGTCTACTTACAGGTTCACCTCTTTCTCCTTTGCTTCCTGGGGGGCCTTTTAGTCCAAAGTCACCTCTTGCACCCTGTTCCAAAAAAATGTTAGAAGTGTCACGGCTAAAATGGCCGCTGTTTCTTTAATGCGAATAAAGCTGGGTCAGCATGGCTCAGCGGCCTGCAGCAGGTTGTATATATAAAGTGAGAAATGTTAGTTTGTGCTGAGGCTGGTGTTTGGGTTGGTTGGTTGGTTAGTGCTGGTGTGTATAGTTATTCAGTCGTGTTTTGCACAAAGACTTTTAAGAATAAAACTCTGCAAGGATATTCTCGTGGACTCTTTTATGCAGACAAGGGTCCGAGGACCAGGCTGAAGAGACAAAGGGAGGTCAGAACCCTTTCCTTCTTTTTTTTTGCTTTTTACAAACACTGACAAGAAGAATAAAGATTTTTCTTTTCTCTACTGCCCCCCTTTTCAACCCCCCATTTATCTTTTATCATTCCTTTAAGGGCACCTCTATTATTCCTTTAAAGCAGTTCTCTGTGCTGATGCCTGAAGGCTTAGAGCTAAGCTGGAAGCACAGAGGAAAAGTAACTGAGAGCAGAATGCATTTTTTCAGACAAAAAGCCTGGCTGTACAGAGAAAATAATCCACATCAACACTAGTTAAGCCTTGTACTGTATACAGTCGTGCCTTGGTTGTCGAATGCCCTGGAACTCGTACGTTTTGACTTCCGAACACCGCAAACCCGGAAGTGACTGTTCCGGTTTGCGAATGTTCTTTTGGATCCCGAACGTCCGCCAGGGCTTCCACAGTTTCTGTTTGGCTGCAGGAGCTTCCTGCAACTAATCAGAAGCCGCGATTTGGTTTTCTAAAGTTTTGGAAGTCGAATGGACTTCTGGAACAGATTCCGTTCTTCTTCCAAGGCACAACTGTACTTCATAATGGCACCAGGAGTCACAGCACTGAGCCACTTGAGAATTATTTAATTGGACAGAGCTCAACGAGTGCTTTGGTGTTCCACTGATATGAAAAACAAGCCACACAACAGCTTCTGTGTGGACACAGCCTGAGAAGTGGCCCTCCATATCCTCATATCCTCATAAGCATTTCAAAGAAAGAACAGGATCACTAGCTTTGTTGGCAGAATAAGGTGGCAAGTGTGATCATACTATACCTCTGGTCCTGGAAGCCCCTTCTCACCTTTCTCACCCTGGAAACAGAGAAGAGCCAGTCAGCTTTCAGTTTCATGGGCTTACCCAGACATAGCAAGGATGGACAAATTCTAAAGTAAATGACAGTTGTGGCCAACTAGGCATCTAGAGTTGCCGAGCACAGGAATTTTCCAGTGGGTCCAACAGAAAACAGGGGCTCTTAGAACATCTGATTAGCAGCCTCTTGAAGTGACCTCAGTTGATTCCGGACTGGGCAGAAATGGACGACTTGTTCCTCCACCTGGTCTATCCTTCTCCTGAGAGAGTGAGGTGTGCAGCGCCCTCACTAAGGGCAAGGCATATTTTCTTAACTTATTTTATTTCACAAAATTTATGTACTGCTTACTCTACAGCAGGGCTTCCCAAACTTGGGTCTCCAGCTGTTTTTGGACTACAACTCCTATCATCCCTAGCTAGCAGGACCAGCGGTCAGGGATGATGGGATTTGTAGTCCAAAAACAGCTGGAGACCCAAGTTTGGGAAACCCTGCTCTACAGAAAACCTCTAGGTGTTTTACATGTCATAATCTAGAATATGCATTAAAAAGCACCAGTAAAAGGAAATCAGGACTGATTTGCTCCCAGATTTCTTAGACGTGTCAAGGGGTTCAAAATGAAAAATGAAACTGTAGTGATCTCTTGCAAAGATGTCTTTTTCAATATTTTGCTGTGCACTGGCATAATCTAATGGACTCAGAAAAATACCCTCTTCCTATTGTATGCTTTAAATAATGTGTAATATAACTAAAGCAGTTTTGATTCAGATTTCACCATTTTCCTTCCTTCCTTCCTTTTTTATTTTTAATAGATTCCTATTTCTAGAGGACACTTAAAACAGCAAACTGATTCTGGAGTAGCTTTCACCATAATGATGATGTACATCAAACACATAAGGAAAATAATATTTACTTTTAATAATTTAATTATTAGTTATTTGCTCATTTGTCCATATCAAGCACCTTATTTTGCCCAATCCTAAAAGCTTAAAAACAGTTTAAAATAACAACATCAAGCCCCATTCATATCTCTGGAATGATATTAAAAATGAAACCCTATTTTAATAACATTCAGTAAGTCTAGAAAATGACAGCATTAAACTCACGGCCCCAAATGGCTTGTTGCCAGAGCCGAGTGGCCTACTCCGAAGGAGGCTGGAGACGAAGAATTTCTATAGCAATTTGTGAAGCCTCCTTTCCAACTGAGGCATTTCAATGTGTGAATACTTTACGTGAACAAAACATACCGCAGCTCCTCTTGGACCGGGATAGTTAAAGCCAGGTCTTCCTCTGTCACCCTAGAATGTTGTTTTAAAAAGAGAGAATGATTCTTCAAAGATTCTATATTTGCAGAAATGGCCACATCTCCCTTCCTTTGGAGTACAGTATGTTATGTCTTGGGGTTAAAAGGTCCGGCAAGCGGATGCGCATTGAGATGCACACTGAGCTGCCGCAGAACTCCAGTTCCTAATTTAGTCAGCAAGAATCCCCCAACAATAATGGCAACAAGTCCTTTATTACATTGAATTACAGATACGAAAAATCTGGAGCTTGGACTGCTTAAGGAAAAAGAGACTTTCTGTGGCTAGAAAATTACCAGCATTAAAAGAGGCCAGTGATGAGGCCTGTGGGATCAGACCAACATTACAATATCAAATGTAAACACAATCCTGTGTTGGCTTACCTTTGGACCTGGCACCCCGGGGTCGCCCCTGACACCAGAATCACCGGGATCCCCTCGTGAGCCCTGCAAAAGAGTGTTGCATAAAGCACATGGTGAGTTGGGGTGTGTGCTGCTGTTAATCTGTACGAGGGGCAGAGATGCTACTACAGTTGTGATTTTCAACACGACAATGATTCCGTATGACAGGAGGGAAGTCTCAGAGGAAACTCTTCTTGCTCACACACAAATGGGGGACAATGTTTCTGATATTAAATCCTGATTGACATGAAATTAATCTGTGACCTCAGAAAAGCTGAGACAAAATATTCCTAAAGCCTCCGCAGACTGGATTTTTTTTTGCAGGTATGTCATTGATGCTATAATAGTCCATCAATGGAAGATTTATACTAGATTGTCTGCACTCCATTCCACTTTATCAGTTGTTCTGTGAAGCTTCCCAGTGTTTCTGCTTTATTGTCATTTGGCAGGGAACTCCTGCACTATGGAGCACAAGGAAAGCAGGACAAAAAAATTAGGTAGAACATTTGTGATACAAGGAGTTATGGGATCTCAGCGGAAGGTTAAGGGACATGCACTGATCGGAAATGATGAAGGCTCAAACAGTACTGAAAGTAAGACTGTGTATCACCTCCCCAATACTGCCATGAGCACAAATCGTCATGAATGCACAACGAAAAGGATGTTTGCTGGGGGCGGATGGCAGACGGGGCTTCTCTTGCCAGCTGCATGGAGAGCAAGCCAATGCCCACAGGTGGAAGAGGCATGTGAATGAAACTTACAGGCTTTCCTGGTTCTCCCAAACCACCTTGAATACCTCGTGGGCCAGGCATTCCTCGCTCTCCCTGTGAAACACAGAAATGAGAGGGAGAGTCAGACCTTGCATGAAGTAAACATTTCAGACTGTTCAAGGGAAGAAATATCTAATTAGTTAACAGTTGGCAGCTGAGATGAGGCAACTCTTTCCCTCCCCCACTGTTTTCTTGCTTTTGTCCTCAGGAGTGGAGCAGAGGATGTCTCCCCCCCCCCGATAAGATGTGCTCAACACTCAACATCATTTTGAGCCCCATTTTGCCGGATTCAAATTTGGCACTCCAATCTCATCAGTCCTTGATGGACAAGTATCTTCAAATATGCTTTCAAATAAGCTGCTTGGGGAGCCCCTGTTGCCTCCTGTGCATGGAGGGAAAATGTTCTGCCATTTTGTCATTCTTTCATACCCTGCCTCCCCTGTTTCCAACTTCTCCTGGTAGCCCTCTCTGGCCCTCAGAACCAGGGTCTCCCTGTGAAAGAAGAAACAAGGCATTAGAGAGCCAATCTGTTCAGTCCAAGTTCAGCAAGTTCCTAGACCTTCTCTGGTGACAAGAAGTCTCACAGAAGCTGCAGCCATAGCTATAGCTACGACCACCATCTCCCTGATGCTTGAGGTCATGGTGCTTTTAGGCGGAATCTGCTACGGAATGAGTGCTTACTTATGCATACAAGTTCGCATCATCCACACCACCAATGATTTCCTCAAAATGCCAGCCTGGAGTTTTTCTTCATTTAATCTGGATTTACCCACAGAAAAATCAGATAGCCTGCTATGGACCTGCAAGCCAATGCTCATTATCATTTTTTCTTTGGATGGGTGGTTTGTCACCTGCGTGCTGTTTCAGTGGGTGGCCATGTGCTCCTCCTAGGAGGGCGACCAGTGGAGTGTCTCTTCCTCCATCTTAAGAAAGCAGATCTGAACTTAGGCAACCCAATTCAGAGGAGCTGCTCTCTCAAGACCTTGCAAGAGAGTGCATGTGGGGGTTACTTCTTGGAGGCTAATCACATAGAAGATACAGCAGGGTTTAGTCAGCTTTAGTCAGTCTTGTGCAATAGCTTGGTTTTAAAAATTAAGCAACAATAACCTTGCATTGCAGGGGGTTGGACTAGATGACCCTTGGGGTCCCTTCCAACTCCACAATTCTATGATTCTATGAAAAACAACAAATGTGCTTTTGTTGTTTTGCAGGCTTATTTTACAATCATTATGACTGGAATAAAAATTAATAAAGAATCTCTCTCTCTCTCTCTCTCTCTCTCTCTCCCCGCCCCCACCCCCCAGTTAATTAGGGGTGGATTTCCTTCCATTACTTTGGAAACCTGATGAACTTACTCTCCCGCCTGGGGGTCCAGCACCTCCAGGTCCCCCCTTGGTTCCAGGATCACCACGACGGCCCTTAAAAAAAAGGAACAATGAAAGCAAACAAAACAAAATGATCTTGAGCAAATGCTCTTCAAGCACAACCCTTGTGCCTTATTTGAGCTGAAAGAACTAGGCGTGTCTGAAGGATGGCTCCAACCTCTGTAGAAAGAGGGGCCCACTTCTCCCATTGCCATGACGCCCCCTTTCATGCAATGCTCTTGCCAGAGACGGAGCAGCGTCCGTAGCATTCAGACCCCACCTTGCACCCTTGATGTCATTAGGGATGCAAAAAGGTTCCTGAAAGTTACCCAGATAAATTGAACTATTTTTTGAGTCACCTGGCAAAATAGCTCACTTCTTCAAGCTTAATTGCAAATCAAGTCGGGGGGCTCCTCCTAGCGTGATCAGGTGGGGAAAGGTTGCGTAACTTCTCCTCTGTTACTTTTCTAGCTTAAAATAGTCCTTCCCAAGCTGCCTTTTCATCCACAGGGGATGCTATGGGGACTCAGTATCTTTCTTCCCATACATAGGTGAAAAATAGGCTTAGAGAGGAGGAGCTGTAAAAGGACCAAGTAGGAGAGTAGCCTTTCTCGGCTTCTCCTCTCTCCTTCTGCTTCCACACAGCTAGGTTAAAAGAGTAAAGCAAACCTGAAGGACATAATTCTGTGCAACGTGTGGATTGACACTTATTGCAAGAAAGATAAAGATAAAGTAAAAGCAAGAAACAATGCTTTCAATATTGTGAATATAATCCCATAAGTGGGGTGTGGCGTTTGTGGGAAAGGGAGACATAAATTCCTATACTAGCTTTGTGTCTGGTCCAGCCAAAGTTAAGCTCTTTCTAAAGCACAATTATTTCAATGAGAGAAATTTCAGGTTAAATTTAACTCTCCAACTGAAACCAAAGCATCTTAAAAGTGCTTTATGCGGGCTGGATCATGCCCTCTGTTAAAAGGACAATCAAATTAAATGTCAGCACATATCCAACTTCCTACTGGATGACATTTGGTTGCTTGCATACTGGAATGCACAGATCTGGCATGAATCTCAATCGCTGATTGTGAACAAATCCAATTTTAATATTGCTCTGGAAGATGGAGTAAGAACCAATGTCACTGAAATCTGTGTCTTGGTTATGCATTTATGAGTGTAGTCAAGCAGTGGCAGCCTAGAATACTTGCCTGTATGCAAATCTTGCTATTGCGATAGATGATAGATAGATAGATGATAGATAGATAGATAGACAGACAGACAGATGAAGTAAGTGGGGTTAGAATCTTACAGGTTCTCCTTTGGGTCCAATAGTTCCAGGGCTCCCTTTGGCTCCCTTTGTGCCAGGAGTGCCAGGAGATCCATTGGTGCCTGTTGGTCCCTTTGAAAAATAAAAGGAAACGGCATTAGAAGACCTTTGGGGAGAAGGGAAGGGCAAGGAAGGGAGGTGTCAGAGCACAGCCTACGTATAATGGGGCACAGACAGTACAAAGAGTCACATCTTATGCAGGATGGTGAGATCCATCTTAATCTTAGGCCCACTTTTGGCACAGAAACTGCTCTGGTCACACTGTATGTTGATGACCTCTGTCAGCAGTGGAAGTGCTGGGCCGCTTCTTGCATTGCTGTTACCACTCTGAAAGAGTGGGTGCACAGCTTGGGGGTCCTCCTGGATCCTTTGTTGTCACTTGAGGCTCAGGTGGCCTCAGTGTCCCAGAGTGCCTTCCATCAGCTTCAGCTGGTGGTCCAGCTACGCCCCTATCTGGACAAGGATAGCCTGACTACTGCTGCTTATGCTACGATAACCTCAAGGTTAGATTACTGCAATGTGTTATATGTAGGGCTGCCTATGAAGATGCTTTGGAAACCTCAACTGGTGCAGAATTTGAACGCCAGTCTGCTCACTAGGACAAGACAGTTTGAGCATCTTACACTGATCCTGGCCAAACTGCATTGACTGCCAACTAGTTTCCAGGCCCAATTCAAAGTGCTGGTTTTGACCTATAAAGCCTTCAATGACTTGGGACCACAATACCTCAAGGACTGCCTCTCCCCATATAATCTGACCTGGACTCTGTGATCATCCTCTGAGGACCTTTCTCGTGTGTCACAAGAGGTCTGGAGGGTGGCAACATGAGGATGGGCCTTTTTCTGCCATGGCTCCCTGTCTGTGGAATGCTCTCCCCAGGAAAGTTAGTCTGATGCCTTCATTATACATTTTAGGTGCCAAGCAAAAACGTTCCTCTTCTTCCAGACCTTGGGCTGATTAACATTTGATGCCCTTTTAAATGTGTTCATGTGTGTGGGGTGGGTGGGGGTGGGGGTGGAACTAGCCAAGTTCAGCTTATTCAACGCCTAGCATATTGCAGTTGCTATAAATGGAACAGAATCAGATCACTGCATGGAGAGTTTAATGCAATGCTGCCAATTTTCTCAATTCTTGTTCTGACAACTATGATAACAACAGGATAACTTCTGACTGTGGCCCAGAACTTCAAAGAGATCTAGCAGTTTTATAACATGCAGTGGTGGACCTACGTTTTGGGGGGCCCTGAAGCTTGAACTGTTATGGCGGTCTCTTCACAACCAGCAATGAGGTCTGGGTAACCCCTGTTATTTTCTTCAACGGGATCACCACTGATGGGTTTTTCCACAACAGATCACAAAACCTTTACAACATTTGTGCTACTGACTCTCAAACTTTGGGATTGTTGAAATACATAGAACAAAAAAGCAATCATTTTAAGTCATGTGACTCAAATTGAGTCTACTAGCAATGTGGACTAAAATTGCTTCTGGGGCCCCTCCAGGAGTTTAAGCTTCATTAATTTCATAGTAGATCTGCCCCTGAGAGCATGTCTAAAATTTTAGGGGTACATACCGGATTTCCTTGCTCTCCAGCCAACCCAGGCGGTCCGCTGCGACCAGGACGGCCAGGATCACCCTGATACAGAAGGAGTAAGCAGAAACAGAAGTAGTAAGAAATGGTCACACCAGCTCTACATCCACGTAGATCAAAACTGAATTGTATGTGCAGCAGTATAAGCAGTCTGAAATTTTCCCCAAACCAATTTTGGGGGAATTCTGGTGTAAAATAGATGGCAACTACTATATATTCAGTGTTTGGTATTTGACAATTGACATTAAATAGCTGATATGTTACACAGCTCCATTCTTACGGGTTCAAGAATTATGCATATACACTAGAAACACACCAAACAGCCACAATAAATACCTGGGCAATTTTTAATAAAGCCTTCCAATCCGTTTGTAGCACTTTAAATGCTGTTATGCTGATCTGCCCACAATACCATCTACTTCTGAGTCATTTTCTTCTGAGGGCCAAACCACACCTTTATGCTGGGTGTGTGGTTTTTGTTTCATGTTGACATTTTAGATGGGGGGGGTAGGGGTTGAATCAGGAACACCATGGAGCTGTTTTCAGGGCCGAAGGAAGACTAACCAGCACCTGGTGCGGGGCGTCGAAGGGCAGGGCAAACCGCCCTGTGCCGCCACACATGCGCTGCCAGGAGGTTTGCCAATGGCGCCACTCTAGCACCGTATGGACGGTGTCAAGATCCTCCGCACATGGCTGTGGTGGCACGATGGAGGCAGCTTGCGTCGCTGCACCTGGAAGTGGCGGGGCGAGCCCCCCGCAGGGTGCCTTCTTGTCACCCCCCCTCAGAGATGGCACCCAAGTTGGACCGCCCCCCTGCCCCCTTCCTCCACCACTGGCTCTTTTGAAAAATGCTTTCTCCCTGCAACATTTTCTCAATGACTCCTCTGCTTCCTCTGATTTTTTTTGTTTTGCCTTGAGGGAGAAAACATAGGTACTTTTGTACCTGGTTTTTTTGCACCTACAGAGTTTCTGCTTTTTGTGTGTAAAACATTGTGTGTGTGTTTGTGCACATATACACAAAACACTGCCTGAATGCCCCGGTGCCTGCTCTAGTCCTCAATGACACCTAGAGATTGGCAGTAATGATAGCAGTTCTGTAACAGAACAGGATTTTCAATTCAAAATCAGAATTGGAAGTCAAATGCATGATTTTCAAGCAGTTATAAGACTTATCAATGCAGCCTTTGTTGAGCATTTACATTCTGCACAGAAATGCCAAAACGCTTTGTAATAGCACTATTTTATTTTATTTTTTACAAAAGCTGTGTCCATTCCAAAAAGCCAGGATTCAATAAAAGAAGAAGAGTTCCACCGGATTAGGCCGAAGCTCATCTGCCTAGTCCAGCTCTTGGCTAAAGAGATGTTGCGGGGAAGACCTCCTCTGCTGTGTGCTTGCCGTGACTGGCGCACCTGAATGTAGCTATCATGGCTGGTAGCCACTGACAAACCTCTTCCCCGGGGGGGGGGGGGCTTTTCAAACCCCCCTTTAGAGCCACCTAAGACCATGGTCGTCACCACATCCACGGGTTATGTGAAATAGTGCCTTTTTCAAACTGGCTGACCCAGAGTTGTACTGCTTAAAGAGGGAGTGGGGAAACCCCTCTTTACCCACCACCAATGTCTAAGTCTTTATCATGTCTCCCCAACCACAGCCTCAAGGCCACCTTCCCCCAAAACTAAAGAAACCCAGACACAAGATTTTCCTTGTGAGGAAGGAGCTCCTAACCAATCCTTCCGCCCCTCATTTTGATTGCCCCTTTCTGCCCCTTTCCCATGTCCTTTTGTGATGGGGTGGCCAAATATTCATAGCACAGCACGATTGCCCTGGCTGCATATTGGGTGCACTTTTGCAACACCTTCAGCTTATTCTCAGTGAGTCTGTGTCACTGCTGCCTTGAGTGACTTTGAGGAAGGGTACAGACCTTGATCCCTTGGTCCCCAGGCAACCCTTGCTCTCCAGCACCTCCAGGATAACCATCAGGGCCCTAGAAAGAAAGGCAAAGGTGAGCTGCTTCTTTTCTGAAAGCTCTGGCTTTTGGTGACATCTGCACATGGAAAGCAATGGGCCACCTTTCGACAAAGAGGCAATCTGATCGCCTCTTCCCTCCCTGATGCCCACCTGCGTGGGAACCTCCCTGTCAGCTCCAGGAATGCATTCAGATGCAAATTAAAATACAGTGGTGCCCCGCAAGACGAATGCCTCGCAAGATGAAAAACTCGCTAGACGAAAGGGTTTTTTGGTTTTTGCGTTGCTTCGCTAGACGAATTTCCCTATGGGCTTGCTTCGCAAGACGAAAACGTCTTGCGAGTTTGTTCGCTTTTTTCTTAAAGCCGCTTGAAGTGGCGCAGTTGCGACGGACCATGCTTCGCAAAACGAAAAACATCGCAAGACGAAAAGACTCACGGAACGAATTAATTTCGTCTTGCGAGGCACCACTGTAGGATCTACAGGTCTTCCTCCATTTATTTATTTCATAAAATTTATACACCACTTGATTGTAAAACAAACAAACAAACAAAAAAACCCCTCAAAGCGGTTTACAAAAAGATAAAACAACAGATTCAAGAAAAATTCACAACCCTGTTTTTCGGTTAAAATACTAAAACAGATTAAAATTCACCTCAGCGTTTCTAAGCATCTGGGTTGACCTGTCTAAACAAGAATGTTTTTAGCAAGGGCCAAAACCAAAGTGCAGTGTTTCCACACTAAACGATCAATTTCTTACATCTGCAAAATGAGTATTATGTGGCACGTGTAGTAGTGCCAATTCTGCCGATCAGAGTGGTCATACAGAATCACAGAATCTTAAGACTTGGAGGGGACCCCGAGGGTCATCTAGTCCAACCCCTGCAATGCAGGAATCTCAGTTAAATCACCCATGCCAGATGGCCACCCAACCTCTGCTTAGAAACCTGCAAGGAAGGAAAGTCTGCCAAGTGGGGCACATGTGGCGTGAGGCAATAAAAAAACGCCCTTTTATTACCATTATTTATTTTATATTTGTTACTTGTGTGTTAACTGCCATGTTACTTTATGCAGCATGCTCCAAGAAACACTGCGCCCCCCACCCCACTGCTGGAATGCACAAAGCCAAGATGAGAAAACATTCCTACCCTGTTGCCTGGGTCTCCTTTACAGCCAGGAGGTCCAATGCGCCCCAGTTTGCCCTGGAAAGATCACATGCAAAAACAAAGAAGTGAGAGACTGTGAACAGTAGAGAGAACTCTATAGACGGTTCATTCTCCTTGGGAAAGATGCAGCCTCTTGACATCCACTGGCTCGGGCAAGATGTAGCCCTGGGGGGTGGGCTTTCAATTTCTCCCCCCCCCCTTTGTCTGAAATAGGAGGGAATTAGCTACCATGGGATGTGTCTGGCTTGTTTGGGGTGTTTTGAGGGAACTTAGGATCTTGCAGGTCTTGGGTTCCTATCACATGCCCCCCTCAGAATCCCAGAATGCCATGTCTTAAACCACAGAGCCTAGGACTTGCCGATCAGAAGGTCGGCGGTTCAAATCCCCGCGACGGGGTGAGCTCCTGTTGCTCGGTCCCTGCTCCTGCCAACCTAGCAGTTCAAAAGCACGTCAAAGTGCAAGTAGATAAATAGGTACTACTCTGGTGGGAAGGTAAATGGTGTTTCTGTGCGCTGCTCTGGTTCGCCAGAAGCGGCTTAGTCATGCTGGCCACATGACCCAGAAGCTGTATGCCGGCTCCCTTGGCCAATAAAGCGAGATGGGCGCCCCAACCCCAGAGTCGGCCACAACTGGACCTAATGGTCAGGGGTCCCTTTACCTTTAGGATCTTGCAGGTCTTGGGTTCCTATCACATGCCCCCCATAGAATCCCAGAATGCCATGTCTTGGTCCACATGGCCACATGGGGAAGGATGCCAGCAGTCCACCAGCACCCATCAGAGCTTTTGGCAGGTGAACCAAGGGGTCTTTTGGTGGGACAAGCCTGTTGGCAGGCTTTACTCTCCATTGGCAGAGCAGCTCTTGTGAGCTGTGGGGTGGCACCCATAGCGGTTTCCTTTTAAAGGACATAAGCAACCTGTTGACTGTGTCTGATCCTTGAGTTGCCTTACCTTTTGCCCACTTGTGCCGTTCCGTCCAAACAAGCCAAAAGCCCCCTAAAAGAAAAGAAGCAGAGCGTGAGAAAGCTGCTCTCATCAGGAAAGCGGAGCTGGAATAATAGGTAGCAATCCAGGATTTGCCTTTACCTTTCGTCCATCTCCTCCAAACTCTCCCTGCAAACACAAGAAGGGGGGGGGGGAAGCAAACAATGTTGAGTCAAGCCTATTAAAATCAACCACGCTGGCAGAACAGAATGGAATATATATATATATAATTCTTTGTTACTGAATTGATTATGATCCAAAAGCTAGCAAACAAGATTACATGCAAAGACCTCCCTAGATATTTAAGCAATCTGAACAAGCAGTTTCCCCTCACAGAATGCATTTTGTATACTGTTTACACGAATATATTATACACTAATAATTATGGACACTTTCCCCCAGGAAAGCATTGTTTTGTTGGAAAACGGCATCACAGAATTCAGATAAGTGTGAATTTTAAAGGATAGCTGTGTTCCAGTTCACATATAGTTTCAGAAAGTGCAAATCTGACAGAATTTAAATTTCTCCACCATCCTTTGCGGAGATTTAATCTGTCTACAATTTCCACCTTGGAACGGAGGCTGCAGCTGGGCCTCCTGGCTCCGGGCTCCAGCTGGGAGGTCCAATCTCTGGGCTTTTCTTATTTTCCCCCTCCCCTCCTCTTTTGTAAAACATCTCACTAGATGAAGAGTTCTGGAGCACTTGAAAGCTTGCCACTGATCTTGTGACATTTTGGCTGGTTTGAATAAAATCACAATATGCGTCCCATAATTTTCTGAATGTAGTATATAAAATAGCTTACCTTTTCTCCTTTTAGACCATGAATACCCTATAGAAGGAACAAAAAATGTACATTGTGTTAATGTCTGTTGATACGTGTGACATCGATTTAGAGTTCTGGCTTTGATATAGTATCATATATTTCATGTATATATGATCATATATTTCCTGAAAAAGTTCTAAGTGGTTTCTAGAGATAAATAAATAAATAAATAAATAAATAAATAAGACATATTTGTTTGCAATGAAGCAGAGCTTTTATTACCCAGAAGCACCATCAAAAGCCTCTAGTCATGGAGGCCCATGTCCCTTTTGCCCGACAGAATTTACAGAAAGAATTTATTTTAGGGACTCTCTGCAAACTGTAAGGGCATTAAGCCATCATCAGTTACTTGGAAAACTATGCATCCAAAACATTTTAGACAAGGGCCGGTAGTGACTGGGCAGAATAGTGTTTCACATTAATACAGACACCAAATGCCCATGCTGACAGCCTCAATATTCATAATTTAAATAATAACACACAACCTATTGGCCTTATTATATTATATTGGATTATATATAACTATATGCTAGCTATATATATAATCCAACAGACAAACAGCCCCAACCAGTGCAGCTATGGCTAGCCCTGCTTTCCCCAGCCAAGCCAGGCAAGTTGCTTCTGCTTCCGGCACTCGTCCGCGGCAGTCAGCCTCGTGGTCTGGATGCTTCATCAATGCTGCAGGTGTGCAGTTATCACCACATGGCATTTTCTACCACTAGTCCTTCACACTAGTAGCCGGTTGCCTTCCCCCTGTCCTCTGAGTGCCTCTGGGTTAAACATTGTGGCCCCAGATGAAGGGTTAATCAGGGAACTGGTGAGCCGCTAAAATGGAAAAAAAAATATGGCAGAAGGATAAACAGACACAAATCTTTTACCTTGGGACCTGGATATCCAATTGGACCTTCAATTCCTGGGTCACCCTATATTTAAAAAGACAAACAGCATTATTAGTTGCAATAATTTAAACAGTATATTAAGACTGCCATCCTATACACATTTATCCAGGAGTTAAGTCCCGCTGAGCTTTGGAAAGGACATGTACAGGATTGCCCTGTTAGAAATTTTCAAATCATTATGTCCTTCATTACTGCAAGAGGCAACACTGAAGTTTCACTGCTTCTGTTTTATAATGGTGAAATGAAACCACTAAGATACTTGGAAATTGTTTTAAAGAGAGGTTTCAATATGCTGCTTTAGCAGTTTCAAGGATCACAGTCTGATTTGGTTAAATATCAACCCCTAAACAGGTGTTCAAATTGGAATATTACTCCATATGATCCTGAACATTTGAATATTCAATATCAAAACTCACCCCTGTGGCTAATGGAGTGGGAAGGGAGTCCTCCTATTTTTTCCAGCTACTCACCTGTCGTCCTTTTAGCCCAGGAACACCTGGCACCCCCATGTTGCCCTTTGCACCCTAAAAGCAAATAAAACAATAAAACAAATTAGAGCACCATGTCTTGCATTTTCCCCACTGTAATAGAAGGGCAATTTCAGCAGTTTTCAGGGACAAAAATGTTTCTGCTAGGCAATCCCTCACAGAAATTTGGAAGGAAATAACAATGTCTCTTTAGCTTTTTCCATCCCAAAGGGTATCAGGTTTTTTTTTGTTCTTCCCCAACTTGCAGTGTGTGTGTGGGGGGGGGGGAGTCAAGATTAGGACTGCACTAAGAGTGGAGAGTATAGTTAATACTTTGATCCCCACAAAAATAAATAAAGCTGTATTCTGTTTAATTTGGTTGATTAATTGGGTTGTTGATCACTGGATAAACTGGGGAAATGAATAAATATATTTGTAATTATAATTGAAGTGTATATTTCATACCTTTTTGAGCTGATTAATTGGGCTGATCAGTGGGTATATTGGGGAAATGAATGAATGAATATTTAATACTTTTGGAATTAATAACTTACGGGGGGCCACTAGGGGGCGCATCGGAAGATGGCTGACAATAACATCTCTCCGACCCACATGAGGTAATTTGGAGGCTATGATGGGGGTAATTAGCCTCCTTAACCCCTCCAGGATTGTGGGGGGGACGGCCCTTGCCTGCTGTGCCCTATACCACCCCCGAATTTGTGGGGATGGGGGCACTAGGCACAAAGCCCTCCTGTGGGATTCCGGCACTCCTCGATGCCGTCTCTGATCCGCGCCACTAGTTTGCAAGACTCTTCAAAAGAAACAATTTGGACGAGATAAATTGCACATACTTCAAGGAAAGAGGGGGAGTAAAGACTGCTGACAGAAGAGATCTCTGATAAAACAAGACAAGGATAAGATATGAGAAGATACGTCAAGATACGGTACGGCAAATGACTGAGGGGGGAGGAGGGAAAAACCCTCTTTTATTTCTCTAAGTGATTAAACAAGAATCCCCTCCCCTAATGAGTCAGAAATGTCGTTTTAAGGACTTAAGTTGTGGATTTAAGGCTGTGTGGAGATAAATTTTCGAACCAAAGCAATGTTCCAAGACGAAGCTGGAAAGTTAAGAGTTTTGGAATGATGCAGTTAAAAATGCCGTCGCCATTTTGGGAGGCACTGTCGGAGCTCTTGAGTCTGGGAGGAGAAAGAGAGAAACAGAGTTGTTTACATATCGTGGATTAACTCCTCAGTGGGACTTAAAAGTGAGAACTGCCTAATTTATGATGGAAAGAGCGATGTTATCTACGAAGGAGATGATATATGGAAACCATCTGGACTTAGATTGGAAGAATGGGAAATTCACACAGGATTATTATATTTGCTTATCGGCTTAAGGAGACTAACAGAAGAGATCGTAAAGGAAAAAGAGAAATTATATGAACAAGATATGATGTGGAAACACCAAGATAAGATTGGATAGAACTATGAACTCTGTTTGGACTGATTGGGACTGATTTGGACATTAATGCAGTAATAAGAAGATGATTTGAATCCCCTTTGGATCTTGAAGTATGGGTTCCCCCAACAAAATTTAAAAATTTGGCTTTGTAATTTGGAATTTATGTGATGTGATTTAATTTGATGTGATTGGCCAGTTAATAAAAATTATTTAAAAAATAATAATAATAATAACTTACACGGGGGAAATAAATGAATTTTTGCAGCCTTCTTTGATTTTGGCACATTTGCAGATTCATTTAAAAGCATTGCTGGGTTCATAAGCATTTCCCCCCTCCCCACCGCATCATGTATTTTCTTAATTAACAGAGACTTAAATTATAACAATTAGCATGTAGGAATCTTCAGAAATATTTGAGGTTAAAAGGAGGTTCCTCACACTTGTAAAGGCACACAATTCTGTCAGTATATGCATATTTCGTATAGGCTATTGGAAATTATGCATACTAGCTGGGAAATGTACAAAATTCCCTGTTCATGGAAGGATTATGGGCACATTCTCCATAAGGCCTAGTGAATGTGCACAATGGCTAGTTATTACAGACCTCCCTATTTTCCAGGGACGTCTTTGATTTAGAGAAGCCATCCCGGTTTCTGATTTGATCCCAATTTGTCCCGTTTTTCCTTAGGATGTCCCTATTTTCATCAGAGAAATGTTGGAGAGTATGTGATTATACACATTGACCAGTCAAAGAACAATTGGTCTAATCATTTAACACTCTGCAGCCCAGTAGTAGTCAACTGCACTTTGTCCAAAAGTGGAGTTTTGTCCAGGGGGATTTTATTTGTCGGAGGAGCCCCTGCCTACCTGCTACAAGAGGGAGGAAGCCTGCTTCAAAGGAAGCTTTTGCTAAGTGCTGGAAGACAGTTTCTGCATTCCTGTCAGGAGTGGGGAGGGGAGAGACTGTTTCTGCCAAGACCCCTTAGGACAGCGGTGGTGAACCTTTTAGAGACCGAGTGCCCAAACTGCAACCCAAAACCTGCAACTGATTTATCGCATAGTGCCAATCTGGGGGATAATGCGGGGAGAGTTGTTGAGTTTTTTTTGGGAGGCGTATCCTGGCATTAGGGACGCGGGTGGCGCTGTGGGTTAAACCACAGAGCCTAGGGCTTGCCGATCAGAAGGTCGACGGTTCGAATCCCCGCGACGGGGTGAGCTCCCGTTGTTCGGTCCCTGCTCCTGCCAACCTAGCAGTTCAAAAGCACGTCAAAGTGCAAGTAGATAAATAGGGACCGCTCCGGCGGGAAGGTAAACGGCGTTTCCGTGTGCTGCTCTGGTTTGCCAGAAGCGGCTTAGTCATGCTGGCCACATGACCCGGAAGCTGTACGCCGGCTCCCTCGGCCAATAAAGTGAGATGAGCGCTGCAACCCCAGAGTCAGTCAAGACTGGACCTAATGGTCAGGGGTCCTTTTACCTTTACCTTTTACCCCGGCCTTGTTGAGCTTATTTCTGCACTTTATGTATAATATTTTCAAAATAAATAGTTACCTTTCTTAAATTACGGATTTACTAAAGTTCAAGAAAACACAAATTGCCTCCAGAAAATGTAGAGTTATATACATGCTACTTAAGAGGCAATTCAAAGGCTTGAATAACTTTCGGAAACTTGGAGAGGTTTTAAAAAGTGGTCTTTGCTCTCCGTCGTAGTGCTGAAAGGAAGAATCCTATATTTGCATTATTGGGAGGCGGGGAGTAAGAAATACGGTTTTGTGAAACCACTGATGAATCTTGCGTGTTGCTAGGAGGGACGGCCGCAACAGCGTTACATCCAGCAATTGGCCTACTTTTCCCCAATCTTGACTATGGCAGGTATCTGAATTTTCTTATGCTCTTCACAACTTCAGTCTCGCAGCACAACATAGCATTCTGGGCACAAGGTTCCCCTCTCCTCGGGGTGTTTTAATTTTATTTTTTGCGAAGGCCAAGAGAAGCAACGAAGGCTTACACAGTCACAACAGCAACCTGGTTGGGCGCTTGGCTGAGCAGCAGAAAAGGGGAGTTCAAACCCCACCAAGCCGGGAGGGCGGGGGAGCGCCACTGCTCACCACCTGCAGGGGGTTTCGCAACAGGAACCAAAGGAGGGCGACTGCTGGGACTCAAGCCCCCACCTGGCTTGTCCTCAAGACAGGAGGGCTTATCATCTTCCCGGAGCATGGGCAGCTTAGCGCCGCCCCAGGAAAGGTTTGCTCAGCTGCGCGGAATTCAAGCGCACGTGAGGGAGCAGGTCCTGGAAGAAGAACTGTGAGGGGAGAGACTCCACCAAGCAAGGCCTCTTTCCACCTGTTGAATGTTACTTTTTTGATGTCGGTTGCCTATTTTAAAGTTTTATTATCACATTTTTGTATTGCATTAGATTGTTATAAGAGGTACATTTTTTGTTTCTTCAGCTTGTAAACCGCCTTGAGTATTGTAAGATAGAAAGACGGTATACAAATTAAAAAATGATGATGATTACAATGATGATGACGTGTTTCTGTGTCTCATGCTGTGCAACTTTGTGCGGAAACGTCCCCAGAGAAAGGAGTGAAAGCACCGCTGGGCACTTCGAAGGCGCCTTTTCCACCCTCCCCGCCCTGTTTGCTGCTTTGTTTCCCCTGGGGACAAGAGAGGGGCGCAACCACCCCACACTCTCTCCCCTCAGGCTCCACTTTCTTGGGAAAGGAGCAACTGCCCCCTTTTCTCTCACTCTTCCCTACACAAAACTTTGTCCTCTGGCAACTGCGCGGGCAGCGCCTCTTCCTCTCCCTGCAGGCCAGCCCACGGTGGGCGAGAAAAGAATAGGGTGGAGTGGGGGGGAGTGGCTGTCACCTTTGCAAACCACAAAAAACGGACCTGATGGATCAATGGCGCAAGTGTCCACAGAGAGGGCTCTGCGTGCCATAGGTTCGCCAGCACTGCCTTAGGATAACTCTGGACCCCACCAGTGGTTTGTGGCCCCTGGGTTAGGAATCTCTACCAGATTGAACTATGCCATTCAACTTACCTTTTGTCCCCGAAACCCCTTTGGGCCAGGTGGGCCTGCAATTTCTAGGCAGCTCATTTTGTAGCACTGAAATAAATCCAAACAAAAAATGAAATGAACTTTCATAGCTGAGAAGTTGATTAACTTTCTACACTGTGATAAAAATAAAGAGACCCCCCACCCCAAATCTAATGAATCCCAGCGGTCTACTGAATGACTCTGGGGACTCTGCCCCATTTCACAGAGGGAAGTCTAAGATCTGCTACCAGAACTTTGTGGTCTCTTGCTAGGTAGGCAAAATGTGTTTCATTCCCCTAGGATTTTGCAATACGAACTGGCTGCCTGCTGAATTTTGGCTTGTGTAATCCTCTCTTTCTCATTCACAGAATAATTTGTTAAGAAGTCTGTAGCAGCAGTTAAAGCACACAATATGTGCCAGGTATTGTTGTGCTCAAAGAGAACATAACTAACCCTCCCTCCAGGCCCCTCACGTGGTAACAGGGAACATCTGTAGCAGGAGCTTTTCGTATCCACAGAGGCTTCCTGTGCAACTCAGAGGCCTGGGAGCCTCCATGGCCACAAAAACCCAACACCTCCCACTGCAGTTCAGGTGAGGGACTGGGAGAATTCACACCACCTTAAGGTAGTCTAGGCAGCCTGCTCTCCCCTTGTGCATCATAAATGCCTGACGAGGGCTATGGAATTAGGCAAATTTGCGGCCCACTCCTGTAGATGTTTTATTTAAAATAACTCCCACTAAGTTAAATAGAATTTGCTCCAGTCCTAAGTAAAAAAAACAACTCTATTTTTGTCAACAACTGAAACGCTGTTATTCGGGAAAGAACCTGTACTTACCTCTCCATAGGCTTCGTGTTTCTGTTGGGAGGAAAAAGATTTTTAAAAATTAACTGAGTTAAATCTAGGAAGAAGAAAACTGAGATAGCTCTTTCCTCTGGATATTCTCTCTGTGTCCTCTGGGCAAACATGGATTTTGGCACCTCACCTGGGCATCATTCATGAGGCACCTCAGCCCCTCCCTTGTTGAAAGCAACTCTCCAGTTTTTAGCATTGCAAATAAATGCTTGTGGGCCAGAAATCAGGGAGGGACATTTCAGTGATTACGGATGGCTCTCCTTTACCTCCTTGCTCCTTTACCTCCTTGCTTCTGCCTTCTCTTGCTTGCCCCTAGAGGTTGTCTTCGCATCTTTTCCTCACTTTGCCTGCGGCCATTGTGTTTTGAAAGCAAATCCCACACACTCAAAATGTGAATTCTGAAGGCAGAATAAGCTATACAAAGTAGAAGGAAAGACTTGGTGGTGGAGTCACAGCTCAGTGGCAGAGACCATGATTTGCCTGTAAAAGGCCCAGGTTCAATCCCAGGAAAAAGTAATCAGGCAGCAGGGCCAGAGACCTTGGGGAGCCACTGCCAACAGCCTCAGAATAAAACAGGATACATGCAAATCTATTCAGTTTGCACGGCCTGTGCAGAATTTGATTTTTTGGAGATTGGCTCCAAACCCGTGAGTGGGTAGGGCCGGGTTGTGGACAGGTCGCCTAGCCTCCTGCCTCAGCGTGGGGGCGGCGTCCCGCATCACACTAGGGGAGACCCCAGCCATGTCAGGTTGCCAGGCGGCCAATCAGGTTGCTTGGGGGTGTGGCCAGGGCCAATGTAAGCCGTGGTGCGACTCTGAGGCTTCCCTTTCAGTCTCGCACTGAGGATCTCCCACCCTTTTCCAGGTTGCGTCATTGGCCTTGCTATGGACTTTGGTTGGTTGCTGCTGAGGGGCCTGGTAGGACTTTTTCCACTTGGCAAATTGGCACCAGCCACTTGGTTTTCGCCTACCTCATAGCAATTGTCACACCTTTGTAAGGTTTGGCGGGTAGGCATTGGAATAGCAATGTGTGGAGGAGGAAAGGTGAGGCCATCACCTGCCCCTCCATGAATAAGGGTATTCCATTAAAGGAATCTGGGGGTGTGGATCTCCTCCGAAGCCGGTCAGGAACCCAGGGGTCCTCGAGTCGATCTGCATCGGTGGGGCTCCCCCTACTGGTAGTTTACCCTTATCAGACTTCCCCCGAATAATATGAGACGGGAAATAAAGGTGGGCTCCTCCTCACCCCTGCCTGTCATTTCAGCAGCACCACTCTAACCCAGAGGCAGGAGGCTTGGCTCATTCCCCAGCCACTGCAGCCAAGGGGGACACCAGGCTGGTAGGGACAGGGACACCCCGATGGATGTACAGATCGTGCAACCCCCAAGTGAGGACAGCAGCCTAGAACTCTGGCCGAATGTGGGGCTGTGGAAATCCAGTGATGGTTTTTGCTCCAATTGTGGTTGGCATGGCTTCCAGCTAAAGGACTTGAGCTGAATAATTTTATCACACTACAGGTTTTAAGAAGGCTGCATGCTTGGTATTATGCTTAAATTACTGATGGAGCAAGCCCATAAATCCAGGAAGCCTCAATGACCGCTGGCTCTTAGTTGGTTACTGGGTGCTTGGAAGGGCATTCCTTGTACTTTGGAGGAGCTAGGCTCCTTTGGGTGGGAGGGCAGGACAGAAATTTAATAAAATCTATAAAGCTTCTGCTTTGATATTCAGCCCGGACAAAGCAAACTGCCTGAAGCTAAATAGTATTTCAAGAAATTGCATTATTCCCCCCACCCCCATCTGAGAGAGATCCATTCTTACCATAACTTGGATGATCCTATCAATGGTATTGGTATCTATCTCGGTGGTTGATTCTTTTCTGATAGGATCCATCTTTGTGATGGCGTAATTGCTCCGGTAAAGCTCCAGCGGGGGGTTGGCAATCTCTCGCAGCCCTTGCTCAAAGATGTTGTGGCTGGGGGCCACTGCAAAGAGCCTGATCCCTGCGTCTCGGGCTCTTTCAGCTTGCAGCTTCATCCCTCCACAGGGACTCCCTGTCACATGGCCATCAGTGATCACAATGGCGTAATTGACAGCCCCAGGGGATGGATTGGACAGGATCTGTGCTGTCATGTTGGAGATAGCACAATCTGTGAAGGTGCCCCGACCAATGTACTGAACACTCTCCAACCGATCACGGTAGATCGTCTTGCTGTTAGTGAACTCGCTGTATATTTTCACCACATCTGAAAAATGGAGTCCTGCAAATTGCCAGTTGATGGACACTTGGCTCTGGTAGAGCTCATTCTCCAGCTTTGTGATGAATTCAGGGATGAAGCTCTTCATATGGGTCACTATACTCCCCAAAGGTGCAGTCTGCAGTGCAATACTCTCAGATGTGTCAATCACAAAATACACCCTGATGGGACAGTCAGTTTGATCTGTATAGAAACAGCAGAGAAAAGTGTGCTGATGCAACCACATCAGTCATACCAAGGCTTCTCAGAGGTCTCTATGAGGCCTGAACACTTTGGACTTGTGCCCTTAAAAACAATCACATCCTCAGGGCATAGGATGGGAAATACCTGGCTTGGAGCTCAACCTTGAATTCAACTTGGGATCAGGGCTTTTTCCCCAGTCAGAACTTGCTGGAACACAGTCCCAGCCCCTCTCAGGTGGGCGCCATTGCCATCACAAGAGAAGAAGGGAGGTGTTCTTGGAGAGCTCCGACATCTCTTTTTCGAGAAAAATAGCACTGCGTGGGATTATAGTCAGTCACAAACTGAATGTGGCTACAAAAGAGGGCCTGCATTGATTAATTAATAGTTTACAAGTCACAGGAAGTGGCTTCATTCTGCCATCAGAAGGAGACTCCCTGGACTCAGCTATACAGCTGTGAATAAACATTTTAAATGTGTTGAAAAGTGCAATATGCAAATGTGGCACTAGATGGCGACAGTGAACTATGCAAAAATTCAATGTATTTTTCAAAACGGTTTTTGAAAAAGCATTTTCACAGTGTTTTTTATATGTGTGTAAAGTCCACCACTATCTCTCAGTGAAGCTCCAAATCGAATAAATGGGTGACAACGTGGAAAATGAGGTTCCAAGTAAGTAATAGTGGTGGTCAGTGAGGTGAGATGGAAAGGAATAAGTTAGCCAATGTGAGCCAAGCAAAGAAGAAAAGTCAGCAAGTAATTTTCCACAGGGATAGGAAACAGGAGGCCAAAAGAAAAGACAAGGGATAAGGCGGAGTTTTAAAGATTGTGCTTTTACCTGTACAGGACGAAGCTGCAGCAACATCATCATCATCATTTTGAGCATGGAGTGGAGCCAGCGTTGTGCACAGCAGAACAGCTAAAAAGGCTTCTGGGAACATCTTGGCCACTTTATCATACACCTGGAGTCCTGTCAGGACAGAGCCAACATAACAGTCTTAGATTATGAGCTGATTAAGGCACTAGACATGAACAGTGTGGCGTTTCAAATATTCTTTTTTCTATCTCCAAGGCAATAGTATTCAGTGCCATGGAGGGGCAACCATAACGTGAGGTGATTGAGATTTAGCTTGGCTGGAGCGGGTGAGCCTTTTATTTAATTTAAGTCTGGCAGTGCAACTTTTGCCAGGAAGAAACTACTCAAGCGGCTTGTCCTGGGCGGTGCTTGTTCCATTAGCTGACTGGAGTCCTTCCCGGGGAAAGGTCAGCAAGTTTAAAACATCCAGGTAAGTGGATGAATATGGTGGCAGAGAATGGCACTGCCCAGTATTGGGGGGAGAAACCAAACAGGGGGAGGAGTTTGGGAGTTCAGCAGCCTCTGGGATAACCTGAAGTACCCTCTAGCACCCAAGTGCAATTGAATTCACTATCTGTAGCCTGCCCTGTAATTTTAAATGTGTTGTTATTGTTTTTTCCTTAATTATCTAATCACCCTACAGAAGTGTTCCTGCAGAACACTGGTCCTTGAGTGCCTGCCTTACTAGTTTCAAAGAAACTACTCCAGATTCCATTCTGTTTATTAAAAACTAGTACAAACGTACCTCGGAAGTCGAATGGAATCTTTTCCAGAAGTCCATTCAACTTCCAAAACACTTGGAAACCAAAGCGCGGCTTCTGATTGGCTGCAAGAAGCTCCTGCAGCCAATGGGAAGTCACAGGAGTTCTGTTGGATGTTCGGCTTCCAAAAATAGTTCGCAAACCGTAACACTCACTTTCGGTTTTGCAGCATTCGGGAGCCAAAAGATTTGAGAACTAAGCTGGTGGAAAACCACAGTATGGCTGTATACAGTATATTTCCTTTACAAAGGACTTTAGTGATGTGAATATATTTTGCTGGCTATAAGAGAGAAATACTGGAGGAATTACACTGCAAGCCCAGGGAGAAAATGACTATACGTGTGCAGGATTGCACCACTAGTGAAAACTACCAGATATTCAGCCTTGATCCTAAGCATGTTTCTGCTCACAATAAATGTAGATAAATCTTAACGATTTTAGTGACCTGATCAAGATGCATTTTAAACTTCCAGGTTTATATCAGCTGCCTGATTCAGCCCGTCCCCTCCTCCCTGGGGCTGTATAGCTCTGGCCATCTTTGCTGACAGCCGGGTTCCCTGGCATTGGAGAATTTGCAGGCCTGAATACTGAAGGCCCACAGTTCTTTGCTTTATCTCCCTAAAATCACAGTAGCCTTGTCACACCAGGTTCCCAGAAGTGCACTGTTTCTGTGTTCTAGGTTTTATTTAAGTTACACCATCTTAACAGTGTGACAGAGCAGATTTCAAAGAAATGTGGGTCTTAAAACACGCACTCTCTCTCTCACACACAAACACACACACCTGGCAGGCAAACCTAACTAATGCTAATGTAATACATTTCTCTGGTCGATGAAATGTGCATAAAGGCCAACCTTAAACAACTTAGCAAAGTTATTATAAGTGATGGGAAGGGGGGAAAGGCTTTGTTTAATGATGTAGTTAGAAACACGAGAGAGTTTTCTCACACACCTATTCCATACCCTCCAACGTTTCTCTGATGAAAATAGGGGCATCCCAGACCCGCTCTGGGGGAGACAGGTACCAGTGGGAGATGCTCAGACTACAAGGTGGCCAGTTCAGACACAGAAAGATGCAAAAAGTGAGTTACGGTGGTTGCCTAAAATGGAGATCCTTCACCTGACTTTTCCAGCGAAGATGTCTTTTTCCTTATTACAGAACTGCGCTCTCGAGTGTTTTCTCCAACATTGTACATTAATGGATATTGTACATGAAGATTCAAGTTCCCTTTTAGCTTCCCTCCAATTTTGCTTTCTGTATGAATGCTGCCTCAGAAAATGCTGCACTCTGATTTAACTGAAAGTTCTGGGGCATTTTTTCCTCTGGCTCCCAGTTTACTTGGTTGTGTGCTCCCAAAACTTGGCAAAGCATCATCTGTTGCAGCACTGGAAGAGTCCAGGCCACAAATCCAGGTAAGGAAGAGAAAACCAAAAGCAGCCAGTGCCTCCCTTTCCCCAGACTTGGCTCATGGTCTGTGCATGGAAGAGAAGAGTCACGACTTCATAGCCTCATCTAAGAGTAAAATTCCCAGACACACAACCAACACAAACTCCTGCCCCTCCTTCCTACAACTTTGGGGTGCTGCTCATGTCTCTAAATTACACATCCTACTGAGGAACACAACAGTTCACAATTAGGCTGCAATCCGAGTAAGTCCTAGTTGACCAAAAAAGGACTTACTGTTGAGTAGACATCTATAGGATAGCACTGTAAGTTCGAGAGAGATGTCAAGAGTCTCTTGCAGCAACGAAGGAGAAAAGTCATTCTTTTCATTAGCAAAGAGTCTTAATTGCCTCCAATCTAGACATGCCATAGACAACAGAAGGAATGCTGTTGCTACTTTCTGCTAAATCTGCCTAATATCTCTGGAGAACAAAATATGCCTGTTAGAAAGTTACTGCGGTGCTCAAGTTCTGGAAAAACACGCCCTGCAATCCGCTGGCCAAAGGCACCAGATCTAAAGTAAAACCAGGGAAGCCACGAAAGCCAATTTGTGAATTCCGCCTTATGGGTGCAAAACTATGGAAGCAGATAACCTTGCCGTGCCAATGTTGGAAGGAGAAAAGTTTCTGCGCTTTGAAGAGCAACGGCTGTTTTCTAGCCACGTAGAAATCAAAGACCAGCACAAGCATTTCATGACATTCATCGCCTATTGTTACTTGAGGTGACAGCACCTCATCCTTCACAGGTGCCTTTGGTCCTGCGCTTGCTGTGCTGGGGCTGCTTCGATCAGTGCAACCTCCCTAGATCTGCCCGCTATTCCTGGCGCGGCTGCCTCCTCCTTTCCCTCGCGCTCCCTCGCCGCCCCAGCCCCGCCGAGCTTCGCCCGCTCTCCCCCGCGCTTCCCGAGCCAGAGCCGCGGGCGAAGCTGCCGTCCGCTTACCTGGGGAACCGACTCGCGGCAGCTCCGTGGGCGCGGACGAAGGGCTTGCGCGCGTTTCACGAGGGGCGCTGCATCTTGGACGCCCGGGGCTCCTTGCCTTCGCTGGACTTGGGAGTGGAGAGAGGGAGCCCTCCGGGCGGGGCGCGGGCGCCCGGCTCCGTCCTGCCTCTTTCTCCTCCCCCCGGAGCGGGCCAGCCAGCGCCACCCGAGGCAGCGGCCACCCGGCGGCGCTGTGGCTCCACCATCCGCGCTCGGGGGCGCGGACCGTTCCCGGGCGAGCGAGCTCCTGCTCGGGCTGCCTCTTGCGCAAGCCAAGCTTCCGCCCGGAGCCCCTTCTCGCGCCTCTCCAGGGCGCCCTTCGCCAACGCGGTGCCCGCCAGGGGCTTGGGACCCCGACGGCTCTCCCAGCAGCGTTTAGAAAACTCACGGAAAGGGGGAAGACCAAAGGTTTTCAAACCCGTCACTTGTTCAAAGTACAATCTGTGCCACTGTAAACTAGCAGCCCGCCGCCCCCTTCCCAAGGCCAGCCGGCATCACGGGCCATCGCGGACGGAAGGGGGCGAAGTGGGCTTTGGTGATCCTGCTGAGGAACTTGGTATCCAGGTCACCAGTTATTCTAAATTTCTCACTTTTCACGGTGTCTGGAATTGATACTGATTGTATTTTTGAATCAGTTACATAGATTTTCCTCTAGTCCAGATTCTCTTTACAAGGATGTTTGGTGACTCTAGAAAAGGGTGAAATCGGAATATTTTGATAGGTTTTGCTTTCTCCCTCCCTGCTGCTTGGTTTTCAAATAAGGACGGTTGGCTGAACCATTTCTGAGATTTCCCCTTTTCTCACCCAAAGAGGAGGAGGCCGCTTTGCATAAATTTCTCCAAATATTCTCCATCATTTGTTTGTAGTGGCTGCTATTTCTCTCTCTCTCTCTCTCTCTCTCTCTCTCTCTCTCTCTCTCTCTCCCCCGACCTGGTTGCAAACACAATTTTTTTGGTGATTGAAAAATATTGTTTCCCAGTATTCTGGGACTGTGCTAATCTCAAACCGGCTGGATTCTTAAGAACCCCTGGCAGCATTCTTTGCTCCGTCCGGCTGCCACATTTACGGGAAGGGCTTGAAAGAAAGCATGTGGGAAATCAGTCCTCAGAACTGAAACTTCTATCATCCTGTGGCCAAGTGCAAATGCTTGTGAGTATTTTAGTGCATATCAATTGTTAGTTCAGAAACACGAGTTAGGAAAAATAGGAAGCTAATTTATACTCATATATAATTTATAATTATGGTGCTGGAGGAGACTCTTGAGAGTCCCATGGACTGCAAGATCAAACCTATCCATTCTGAAGCCTTGTGTCTAGAGGGAGGTCAACACAAGGTAGAGACCGTTGCCTGGGCGAGATTTCTTCTTTGTTGGTTATACATCTACCTCACATTAGACAAAGATCCTCTCCTTAGCAAAGTCTTGTCAGACCCCTTTTTTCCCCCAGGGCTACAACAGTTTAACATAAAGGTACAGTGGTACCTCAGGTTAAGTACTTAATTCATTCTGGAGGTCCGTTCTTAACCTGAAACTGTTCTTAACCTGAAGCACCACTTTAGCTAATGGGGCCTCCTGCTGCTGCCGCGCCACCGGAGCACAATTTCTGTTCTCATCCTGAAGCAAAGTTCTTAACCTGAAGCACTATTTCTGGGTTAGCGGAGTCTGTAACCTGAAGCGTATGTAACCTGAAGCATATGTAACCTGAGGTACCACTGTACAGCAACTTGGACTGTCAATGGAACTTTTGCGATCGATGCCCCCACGATCTGCCAAGGCTATAATAAAAATTAGGTTGAACACCAGGAACTAACAGCAACAGCAGAGAAAACATGTTCCCCTCTTTACTTTCAACTTTCTTTGGCATATGAAACTAATCACAATTATCTTGAATTTCTGCTTATCCCTCAAGAAAGAAGGGCATTTTCGTTGGCCACGTTTAATTCAAATCCATCAAACCTCCTTTGGGGAAGGTTATCGGGAATGGTGGAAGGAGAAAGAATTTGCCAATGTGAAGACCACCTGCTGGAAACTCTTACACATATGGTTCTTAAATGTAAACTATATGCTGATCTCTGCCAGCAGTTTCTAGATCAACTCTGCATCCCCAAATGCAAATCATAGTTGGAGGTCATACATTTTCTATTACTGGGGAATGATCAGGAGCTCACCAAGTTAGTGGCTAAATATCTTCATTTGGTTTTTTGTCACAGAAACACATTGCAGACGTCTGATCTCCCTGGAGACCTAGAGATGTAACATTAGACTGTTTTGACTCTTTTCATTTGACAAATGTTTTGTGACATTGGGGAGGTGGTAATTCTGTATTGATTTACTATGGATGTTTGTATGTGATGCCAATAAAAGGTTTGATGATGATGATGATGAAGGAAATCAGCCCTGAGTGCTCACTGGAAGAACAGATCCTGAAGCTGAGGCTCCAATACTTTGGCCACCTCATGAGAAGAGAAGACTCCCTGGAAAAGACTCTGATGTTGGGAAAGATTGAGGGCACAAGGAGAAGGGGATGACAGAGGACGAGATGGTTGGATAGTGTTCTTGAAGCTACGAACATGAGTTTGACCAAACTGTGGGAGGCAGTGGAAGACAGGAGTGCCTGGCGTGCTCTGCTCCATGGGGTCACGAAGAGCCGGACACGACTAAACAACTAAACAACAACAACAAATTTATACCGAATCAAACCATCAATCCACCTGGCTTGGGACTGTCTGCACTCCTCGCAACGGTGTGATAGAAGAAAATGTCCCTGAAAATGGAGGGGCAGGGGAAAATATTCTGTGAAGTTCCAGTGACTGGGTGGGTTTGGCTCAGGCACAACAACTCTTGGGTGCCAATGTGTCTTTGGCCCCCTCAATACTTGTTTGAAGAGCCCCCAGTGCACATCATGCATGTGTGACGCATCACAGCTTTGCCAGAAATGAAAAGGACATTGCTAACACCCGGCAGAACCTGTTAATTCGGAAACCCAAAATCTGAAGAGGGGTCTGGGATCCTAATGGATATTTTCCAAGGGCTTCTTACTGAAGCTGCATGTTGCTCACTCAGCCTGCACTACTTCTTGTGCTGTTGCTTGACAATGGCTCTTCCTGTGTAATTGATTCCATTCCCCCCCCTTTTGTTTTGTTTTTTTAAAAATAAAGTACCAGCAGGAGGCAATAAATACTATATCTGGACAGCTTTTCAGACATTGGTTGCATCTAGATTGTCTTGTCTATTGACCTGTGAACCACCCTGAGACCTGCGGGTATAGGCACTATATAAATTTAATAAATGATGATATTTTCTTAAACTAGAAGCATGGGGCAGGCTTGTATTCCCCCTGCCCACCCCCACCCCCACCCCCACCTGGAGTGCTTTCTTCCTGGTTTGCCTTGAGCCGGAGTAACCCATTATGTCTGAACTCTGGCGAAGATGAAGTCTCAAAGCCAATGGGCAAAGGAGGGACTGAAGGGGCAGGCAGGGAGTGCAAGAGTCTGGTATTCATTCTTCCAGTATATAAAACTTGGCTTATCATAGAATCATAGAGTTGGAAGGGACCCAAGAATCTCAACTAGATCATCCATGGCAGATGGTCAGCCAACTTCTGTTTAAAAACCTCCAAGGAAGCAGAGTCCACAAACTCCCAAGGGAGACTGTTCCACTGTTGAACAGCTATTACCATCAGAAAGTTATTCCTGAAATTTAGTTGGAATCTCCTTTCTTGTAGCTTGAAGCCATGGGTTCAAGTCCTACCCTCCAGAGCAGCAGAAAACAAGCATGTTCTCTCTTCCCTGTGACAGCCGTTAAGATATTTGAAGATGGCTGTCATATCTCCTCTCAGAGAGCCAGTGTGGTGTAGTGGTTAAGAGCGGTAGTCTCGTAATCTGGTGAACCGGGTTCGCGTCTCCGCTCCTCCACATGCAGCTGCTGGGTGACCTTGGGCCAGTCACACTTCTTGAACTCTCTCCGCCCCACTCACCTCACAGAGTGTTTGTTGTGGGGGAGGAAGGGAAAGGAGAATGTTAGCCACTTTGAGACTCCTTCAGGTAGTGATAAAGCGGGATATCAAATCCAAACTCTTCTTCTTCTTCTTCTTCTTCTTTTCCTCTTACCCAACTCCTTCAAGTGTTCCTCATAAGGCTTAGTTTCCAGTTCTTGATGATCTGCACGTTCCAGCTTGTCAACATTCTTCTTAAATTGTGGTGCCCAGAAGTGGACACAGGACTCCAGGTGTGGTCTTACCAAGGCAGAATACAGTAGGACTATTACTTGCCTTGAAAAATGGAGGGCACAAGGAGAAGGGGACGACAGAGGATGAGATGGTTGGATGGTGTTCTTGAAGCTACCAGCATGAGTTTGATCAAACTGTGGGAGGCAGTGGAGGACAGAAGTGCCTGGCGTGCTCTGGTCCATGGGGTCACGAAGAGCCGGACACGACTAAACGACTAAACAACAACAACAACATTACTTGCCTTGATCTGAACATATACTTCCGTTGATGCAGCCATTGCTGCTGCATCACACTGTTGACTTGTGTTAATCTTGTTGTCCACCAAGACCCCTCGATCCTTTTCACATATACTACTGGCCAGCCAAGTGTTCCCCATCTAATATTTGTGCAGCTGGTTATCCTTGCCTAACATGTTTATAACTTTGGATGAGAAAACTAACTGATCATTTTGAACTATTGAGCAAACCTCCCTTGACTTCCAGGTGTTTCACTCTGAGTCAGTAATTTGGTGACAATTTCTTAGCTTTTGGGGAGGGCAAGGGATTTAAAGTCTGTCCAGTCTCGAGAACAGGGTTGGGCCTGATCCTCCTTCCTCTTTGGCATTTCCACCAATGCTCAGCAAGGTAATGTTAGCTGTGTGTTTGGCCTGTTCTTGTGCCTTTCCGCATGGCACCAGCCTTGCCTGGTTGGCTGTGCTCATCACGACTGGAACGCGCTGCAGTGTTTGCTTTATTTTCTAGTCACCAGAGAAACCAGAAGGGGAATCTTGAAATCAGTTCCCCAAGAAATCCAACTGGACGGATACCGCAGGATGGATTTCCTCCTGTTCGCTTTGGCAACGATGCCCTGAAAGAGGAACATTTTTCTTAACTCGCTTTTCCTCCAGGCACCTCCCAACATCGTACCCACACCCACCCAGCCACCCACGGGCAATATTTATGCACTTTCCCCCTTTACACTAAGCTTTTGACTTTGCTCTGCATGACTCAAATGCCCCACGCTAGAGAAACCTTTTTTGGCAATGGCTTCAGAGAAAAGACAATATTTCTGCTGTTAGGTTTTTGTTGGTTGAATGAGTAATGCTACCTCTGTGCACAGTGGTGGGTGTGGGTGTGTGTGTGTGTGTGTGTGTACCAGAGACCAACTCTTTTGCAACAAGTGAGTGGGCAGTGGGGGTGGTGTTAATTATTGCATTAGCCAGAATTCAATAGTCTGGGAAAAGAGGAGGCTGCTGTCTACAAAAATAGGTAGCAGGGCACTATTCTGAATGCTGTACAAATATGTGGGTTTCTGAGTGCTGTGGCTGGAAGGAAACCATATGGACTGGAAAGACTGTGAACTTTCCATTTTCCTTTCCATTGTTCCCTGAGGAACAATGTGGTTGTTGTTCCTGAGGTTGTCAATGCAGCTGCAATGAGGAGTATAAAATTTAAAAATGCACATTTGAATCATTTTTGCCATCTTGTTTTACCATGTTCTTAATACAGGGTGAATTCAGACACCAAGAGGTGACTTTCAGTAAATCACACCGTGCCATAGATATGTGGAACCTGTGTAAGGTAAAGGTAAAGGGACCTCTGACCATTAGGTCCAGTCGTGACCGACTCTGGAGTTGCGGCGCTCATCTCGCTTTATTGGCCGAGGGAGCCAGCGTACAGCTTCCAGGTCATGTGGCCAGCATGACAAAGCCGCTTCTGGCGAACCAGAGCAGTGCAACAGAAACACCGTTTACCTTCCCGCTGGAGCGGTACCTATTTATCTACTTGCACTTTGATGTGCTTTTGAACTGCTAGGTTGGCAGGAGCAGGGACCGAGCAACGGGAGCTCACCCCGTCGCGGGGATCCGAACCACCGACCACCTGATCAGCAAGTCCTAGGCTCTGTGGTTTAACCCACAGTGCCACCCGCGTCCCTTGTGTAAGCAATGCTAAAATTTAGCCCTTCCAGCCAGTTGATGGGTACTCAGTGAAGAATGGATCTTGAACTTCATTCTTCCATGAAGTGTCAGCTTAAAAAGCTATGAATGTGAATGAACCCCTGCATGTGGATCTGAATTGCCCTACACCCTTTATTTTGGCATTCATTGGAATTAAAGGAGTGACAGGAATGAGCAGCTTGTTGCTAAGTACCGTATTTTTCGCTCTATAACACGCACCTGACCATAACACGCACATAGTTTTTAGAGAAGGAAAACAAGAAAAAAAATATTCTAAACGAAACAGTGGATGTATGATTTTTGTGGTTCATGCTGTGGCCACAGACATGTGATCTGACAGTGAGTTTGGAGTAGCCCAATGCAAAAATCCCGAGGATCCATGTGGATCCATGCTTTGTAACCACTTTTTTGCACCACTGCAGCCCCAGGCAATTTTTTGGGAGCAAGATGTAGCCATGGACATGCTATGTGATCTGATGGTGAATTTGGGGTGACCCAGTGCAAAAATCCTGAGGATCCATGTGGATCCGTGCTTTGTAACCACGTTTTAAGTGGGGAGGGAAGGAAAAGCACTCAAGGGACAAGGAGCAGCGTGGGGTGTGTGGAGAAGGATGCTGCTAATAATGCAAAAGAGGTGTTTAAGGGGAGAAGGCTCCTCTCCTCTCCCACTTTGCTCCTTTAAAGCAAGCAGGCTCTGCTTTTCTCCCTCCTCCCCGCTCATCCCCGGCTTAGCGAGCTGAAAAACTTTGCTGCTATGTAGCGAACTGAGTGGGGACGAGAGAGGGACAGAGAGCCTGCTTGCTTTAAAGGAACCAACCGGACATGAGTGTAAGCTGCTCCTCTCCTCTCCCGCTTTGCTCCTTTAAAGAAGCAGGCTCTCTGTCCCTCTCTCCTCCCCACTCAGCGGCTCTTCTCCCGCTTTGCTGTTTCAAAGCGAGCCATGGAGGAGGGAAGGAAGGGGAACCATGGATCCTCTGCTCACGACCGCAGCAGATCCCCCCCGCCACCCATAGGCATTCCCTCCATAACATGCACAGAGATTTCCCCTTGCTTTCTAGGAGGAAAAAAGTGAGTGTTATGGTGCAAAAATTACGGTATTTGTGCTGCCTTGACAGCCCATAGCAGAAACAGGACAGGATGATCACAATGTCTGACTGTCTGTCAGTTTGAAAGTAAAATGGGGTCATCCATAAATAAGGGAGTAGTTTCTATATATGCATATACTGGGCAAAGGAGATGCGGGTGGCGCTGTGGTCTAAACCACTGAGCTTTTTGGGCTTGCTGATTGGAAGGTCAGCGGTTGAAATCTGTGTGATAGTGGAGAGCTCCCGTTGCTCTGTCCTAGCTTCTGCCAACCTAGCAGTTCGAAAGCATACCAATGCAAGTAGATTCCATATAAACATTCCATTAACTTATTTCTCTAATTTGTGGCTCATGCTCTGGACCAGCCTTTCTCAACCATGGGTTCACAGATGTTGTTGGACTACAACTCCCATCATCCCTAGTTAGAAGGACCAGTGGTCGGGGTGGTGGCAGTTACAGTCCAGCCACATCTGAGGACCAAAGGCTGAGAAAGGCTGCAGTCTAGTGGGGTCAAGTAGGCCTAACCCTAAGGCTTGGGCTCTTCAGCTGGTGGGTTTTTTGGTTTTTTTGCTGTATTCAGGAGATTACAAACAATTGTGTCCTGTGCATCTCTTCTAATTGGCCATGTTTCTTTAATCTTGAAAGGAGGGAAATGATTTTTTTATTATCATCCTGGTTACAAATTTCTACATTCCAGAGCTTTTTGTTGTTCAGCCAAAGAAATAATGATTTCAGCAGTGCTGCAATGATTTAGTAAACCAAAGGAGGAGTTGGCACATGGCTACACAGACCTAAGGTAACACATTGCGGTTCAAATGCTCTCTAGAATTATGCAATTCCTTCAGAATATCAGGGAAATCTTAACAGCCATTTCCAGTATTATATTGTACTCCTCACATTTTGAAACTGTTCAGAGAATATTGATCCAAAAATGGCCCTGGGCACAAAGTCTTCTTAATGTGAGGGTGTTCAAATGTTACATGTGAAATGTGAGAGGTACAAATTGTCCTGGAAACTCAGACACATGCCTAAAGCCTGTGCATTTTGCTTCCCTACATGAAATTTCCTTTAAAAAAACACAAGAATTCAAAACATGGGTAATGGAATGTGAAAATTTGCCTTGGACTTTTCTTTTGTTGCAAATAAGGTATGACTCCTAATTTCTTCTTTGTTGGCATCTGGTGAAAAGACAGCCTGTAATTATTTCAGAAAGCTCAACATTAGGAAGGATTAAACTGCTTTTTCCTGTCAGTGGCATATGAGATCCATTAACAAACCACTACGTTAGTTGTATTTGAATCCTACCAACTGGTGTGGTGATCTGACTCATCAGATGACAGAGACAGAATCATGAGGTGGTCAAAGTCTATGGTTTCCTTGGTTTTTATTTTATTATCAGTCTTAGGGATGTTGATGCCAGATGCCTTTAAAATAGTTTTGGCTCCCAGTGTGTGTTTGGGGTTCTTGCAGACAATGTGATCTGGGGCGCTGAGTGTGTTTTGTTTACATGGCCATGCTGTGTTGTGGGATTCATGTGAGAGAATACTAAGAATTTGGGGAGACAAATTTCTTTCCCCTGTTGAGGCAGTTCAGAAGGTAGAAAACTTCTGTAACATTTGACCCAGCCCTCAGCAGGAGGCAAGCTGTGGCACTCTGCATCAAATCAGATGAAATTGCACACATTGCAGTAATCTAGCTCTGATGCTACGGAGGAATGGGTCACAGCTGGGCGACATATAGAGAGCTGTTAACCAAGGTAGAACATCAGGTGAAACTGAAAGATTTTGAAGAGATAAGGGATTTATTAATGGATTGGTTACAGTTTCACCAATTAAATGATATTTTCAAGACAGGCAAAAAGAAAGGTTTTAGTTATGAGATCTCAAGATTTCAAAAAGATCTGTTAGAAAACAATATAAAATTACTCTCAAAAATGTATAGATTGCTCTTGGAACGGTATACAAAGGATGAACAGGTTAAATCCATAATGATACACTGGGCGAGGTATTTGGGGCACAATATTCAACTTTTAGATTGGGAAAGGTTACGGAAAACGGATTTGAAATTCTCGGTATGTTGCACGCTGAAAGAAAACTATATGAAAATGATGTACAGGTGGTATTTGACTTCTAGTAAGTTAGCAAAACTGTATAAGACAAATCGTGCTGGAAATGTAAAGAAAAAGAAGGTACCTTTTATCATATTTGGTGGACGTGTAAAGTAATTAAAGCATTATGGGAAATGATATATAATGAATTGAAAAAAATGTTTAAAATCTTTTATTTAAAAAACCCCCCCAGAAGCTTTCTTACTAGGAATTGTAGGTACCAATATCCCAAAGGAGCAGAAAATACTCTATTTTTTTCTTATTTTTTTCGAATCCCCGCTACGGGGTGAGCTCCCGTTGCTCGGTCCCTGCTCCTGCCCACCTAGCAGTTCGAAAGCACGTCAAAGTGCAAGTAGATAAATAGGTACTGCTCTGGCGGGAAGGTAAATGGCGTTTCCGTGCGCTGCTCTGGTTCGCCAGAAGCAGCATAGTCACGCTGGCCACATGACCCGGAAGCTGTACGCCGGCTCCCTCGGCCAGTAAAGCGAGATGAGCACTGCAACCCCAGAGTTGGTCACGACTGGACCTAATAGTCAGGGGTCCTTTACCCTTTACCTTTATTTCTCCTTAAACATGCAACTTAGAAATGTGAGTATTACGTACAATGATTTGCTGGAGGACATTCATTGCAGCTCCTTTCCATTGTAAACTCTCTACTGGCTGCTTAGGACGGTCTCCCTGTCTAAGTTTTCCCATCTGTGGGGCAACTTTAAGAAAAAGAGGGCCAAAGCCCAGCCATACTGCGAAACATTTTCCAAGCGGAGGGATCAGAAGATCAGCAGAAGCCACATGGGCAGTGTGCCACTGCGATGAAGGTCATGCCATCAAACAGCCAAAGAGCAGGTGCAATTGTGTGTGTGTGTGGGAGGGAGTGGACAAATGGTGGAGGGGAGAGGAAATAGGAATGGTGGGTGGTTATCCGGATGGGAAGGGAATCAAGGGATATGCACCAAGGCAGCCGCTAGCAGCTTGGGAACGGGTCAGGGCAGAGCCGGCCCACACAGGAGGTGGAATGAAGCACCTGCCTCAGGCAGTGGAAGCACAAGAGGCAGCACCTCACCCATCCACCCCTCCACTTCAGCCACCACCAGAACTGCCCCTTCTCACCAGCCAGAGGCAGGCGGTCCAGTGTCCAGCGTTGCCGCTTGCTCTAGGTGGCTCCTGATGACCATCACAAGGCACCATTGGACCTCTGTGCCCAGGGCACCCTCGAGGAGCAGCTGCCCTGGGGCCCAGAAGCTGCTGAGGTTCTACTCTAGAGTAAGTGGAGTAGGAGGGGGCTAAAGCCCTTTTTGTAGAGATGGATTTAGAAGGTGACACTGGGGCAGCCGCTTTCTAGTTCTCTGAATTCCTTGGGTGTGGGGCAGAGCCGTAACTAGGTGATCTTGCGCCCCTGGCAGAACCGTCCAGATTGTGCCCTCCAGCCAAGGACAAATTGGCTCTTGTTTCCGCCTCTCCATTCAATTCACCTATTTCTTGCCTTTCTTATAAGGCAATAATATTTATTGTGGACAAATGGTGGAAGGGACATTTATGGACACATTTTAAGCCAATTTTGCGTGCCCCCTATCACCTGCGCCCCTGGCGGGGGCCCACCTCACCACCCCCTAGCTATGGCCCTGGTTTGGGGGCATGTTGACATGATGCTGGAGGACTCAGCTGAAAACAGACTATGAAGAGGCTTTCTTTGCAAGATGAGGCGCCGGGTTCCCCATACCCCGACCCATGCAAATAAGAGACCAAAGAGGCTGGTTTTTTGGGTCAAAACAGGCCACAACTTTATTGAATACAGATGAAAAAGGTTTGGCTTGGGCAAGGGGCAATCAAAATACTTCCAGCCCACCTGCCAGAAGTGACGCGTGGTCAATCCAGGGGGGTGGGTTTCCTAAGACTCATATCAAATAGGGTGACCCCCACAGGGACCACTGTCTGGGGGAGTGCCTTCAGCCCTGGCTCCCCCAGGGCACGTGGACATGGCCACTCCCCCCAGATTGCCCCAATGCCAAACTAGTTGTGATGATTGCTATGAGGTAGGCAAAGCCCCTGGGTTGGTGCCAATTAGCCCAGTGGGCAAATTCCTACCCAGCCCCTTAAAGAACGGTGACCACCGTAGCCACAGTAAAGTTGCTGACTATCAGCTTAAACCGAGGGTGAGTGGGCAGAAGAAAAATCTGGTGAAGAAACAAACAGGTGGGGGCTGCTTAAAAGGGCAAGGGATGGATCTGAGGGAAACCTGCTCCGTCGGCTCTGCCCCCTGGCACAGCCTGAGTCCCCAGCCTGTACCCCATTAGCCAAAGCTGGGTGCAGGCTAGGATCCAGTTCCTGATATCCAGAGGGGCTTAAGCCTCTACCGCCTACCAGGAAGGGCACCACTGTTCCAGTTCCCTCGTCAGGGCCCCAGTGAAGTCTCTGCCATCCTGCAATGCTGCCATGCCAAGGGGGTGAGCGGACTTCCTTCCGTCTGCCCTTTTGATCCCCATCACAGCACAGACTCTTGCTGTGAGTGCTTTTTTCTTAGTGCTCTATTACAAAACTCCCCCCACGGGACTTATTTGTTAGCATATATGGCTAGAAACTGCAGCCATGGATGGCTTTGTGGTGGGTCATTAACTTTGTCTTTAATGTACCAGCCTTGCCTGTCTTAAAATGGCAGAAATATAATAATAAAGGTGACTCCAGCTGGGGAAAGAATGCATCTTCTTTGGAAATGTAAACACAATTTCCCCTCTAATATTTATTCTCCTCTGAAAATCACATGAATTCAGAGCCTTATTTTATTTATGGTTTAGGAAACAGAACAGGAAGTATATCCTGCAGCCATTTTGAATATGCACGTGCTATTTCTTTTTATGTAGGAGAGGTCTACGAAACATTGTACTTGAATAAGGATGAGGTTCTAGATGCACATTTGAGAGTTGCAAACAGTCTTGCCTGGAGCTGCTGCGAGTGAAAGTTTACAGCTGGTAACACTTCACCAGCTTTCTGTTTTTTCCCCAAGCCCCCCCCCCCCCCAAGGTGAGCCCAAGCGCTGGGGACTTATTGAAAAGCAAGATACGACACCACAGTCATTTCTGAAATCGCCAAGGCATCATCTGACTCAGCCATTTCATGCAATGAAAAGTGATTGCATGTGGTGATACTTATACACATGTGATCCACCAGCTGCCCCAAATCATAGCTCAGTCAGCAGAGCATGAGACTCTTCATCTGGGGGTCATGGGTTTGAGCCCCACATTGGGCAAAAGATTCCTAATTGCAGGGAGCTGGACCAGGTGATCTTCAGGGTGGCTTCCAACTCAACAGTTCTATGATTCATCTGGAAACATCCTTTGTGCATTAGCAATGCCAGCAGCACTGTGTTCTATTTTGGTGCCTGGGACAGGGAGAACGTGTCTCTGCTCCTTGATCTGTCTGCAGCTTTTGAAACCATTGGCCATACTATCTCCCTGGACCAGCTCTGTGGGATGGGCATTGGGGCACTTCCCCTCCCCGGTGGTTCCATTCCAACTGCAAGGCCCTATCTGGAGAAGACAACAGAGAGACTGTGTCAGCCCCACAGCCCTTGTGCTACGGTGTGCCACAGGACATGACATTGGCACCAGTGCTGTTTAACATCCACCTGAAGCTGTTGAGAGTGGTCATTAGGAGTCTGGGGGCAAAGTGTCCTCAGTACACAGATGACGCTCTGCTCTTTTTCTCCATAGCATCTAACTCAGAAGAGGCTGAGCATGGTCTGGCTGCAGCTGTGAAATGGATGGGGTTGTGCAGGCTGCCTATACTCTGTGAGACCAGGGTAAAAGCTCTGGTATTAATTTATAAGGCTTCCTTAAGAAATAGGGTCCAGGATACCTTAAGGACTGCCTGGTCCCCAATATCCCTGCCTGATCATTGAGGTCCCCAGGGGAGGTTCTGCTAGTGTTCTTCTGTGGTTCAGATACATGGCTTATAACAACTGGAAGCTGCATGTTCAGTATTGTGGGCCCAATCCTGTGGCACTCCCTCCTGGCTGAGATTAGACAGGCCTCCTCTCTGCTGAGCACCAGGTGCTTGACAGAGACCTTCCTTTTCCAGCAGACATTCCCAAGGTACTTTTCCATTTCTAGGATGAACTTTCATAGTTCTTAGTCTCTATATGGTTGTAAAAATTTTTTTATGTACCACGCTTAGAAATTCTGATTATTTAGCAGTATATAAACAAATACCTGAAATGAATGAAGGAAGGATTAAATTTAATAACAGGTAGAACGAAAAGTAAAGATATGTTGTCTGAGGCCACAGACCTAAACATCGCCACACAGGAGGCAAATTGCCCACCAAGAAGACTTTGCCAATGACTTTCCACACCAGCAGTGACTGCAGATGTACAACAGGCTAATTTTACGTATTCTGTTTTCTGCAGTAGGGGGAAATCTGGATTCAGTGTGAAAAAGTACAGCCTGGCGCTTCGATGACAAATAGGTTGTGTGGATGCTGCTAAAAATTTGTGGGCATGAGCAACACCGATTACACAGTAGACCTCCTGTTGGGAAGAGCCCTTTGCAGGCGCAGGAGGAGCCTCCCTGATTCAGCACCACTTTTCCAAGCAGCTGAAACAGGCTGTGAACTAGGGGTTGCTGTTGTTCTTAAACAGGCTTGGCTCTCAGTAACCTCTTAAGTTTGCGTAAGTGACACCAAGATAAATGGTTGTTGATTTACTACTTAGACTGCTTCTTTACCTGCCTCTCACTTAAAGGTAAAGGGTAAAGGGACCCCTGACCATTAGGTCCAGTCGCGGACGACTCTGGGGTGGCAGCCCTCATCTCGCTTTATTGGCCGAGGGAGCCGGCGTACAGCTTCCGGGTCATGTGGCCAGCATGACTAAGCCACTTCTGGTGAACAGCGCACGGAAACACTGTTTACCTTCCCGCCGGAGTGGTACCTATTTATCTATTTGCACTGGTGTGCTTTCGAACTGCTAGGTGGGCAGGAGCAGGGACCGAGCAGCGGGAACTCACCCCGTTGCGGGGATTCGAACTGCCGACCTTCTGATCGGCAAGTCCTAGGCTCTGTGGTTTAACCCACAGCGCCACCCGCATCTCATGCCTCTCACTTGTTGTTGTTTAGTCGTGTCCGACTCTTCGTGACCCCATGGACCAGAGCACGCCAGGCACTTCTGTCTTCCACTGCCTCTTGCAGTTTGGTCAAACTCATGCTGGTAGCTTCGAGAACACTATCCAACCATCTCGTCCCCTTCTCCTTAGACGCACACAAAATATCACATGTTATTTATTATGGCATTATCAAGAGTGAGCTTATTAATAAAAATGCCTACCATCACTCAGGACAGTGCAGGAATAAAAGTAAGATAGCCTTGGCCCCAGGCTTACAATCATCTTCAAACCAGAAGTGGGAGTCAGACATCGGCCTCACACATCTGTTTGTTTCCCTGTTTCCCAGCACTTTTTGGAGAGAGCGGTAAGTCAATCCAGATGTGGCTGATTGAAATGAGTCATCTTCCACTAAGGCCAAAGTGAAGCATTAAACTTGTGGTCAGTTGTTTCCTGTTCTGAAACTGAAGAGGGCTGGGGCTTCTCAGGGGCAGGACAGGCCTTCTCCAAAGGCCAGGGAGGCAAAATAGAGCTCAGGCAACCCTGCCTTTTTCATCAGCAGTGAGCAGCCTGTGCAGATTCTGTCCTGAAAAAATGCCCCTGCCAGACTCAGCTTTTTAATCCATGTCTGTGCATGGTGCCTGCGTTTGTATGGTTACTCATACTTGGCCCATTTGCAAAGGTACATTTAGGACATTTCAGATGCATCCCTAAGAAACTGAGCATGATTCAGCCAAAGCAACTTAAAATAAAAGTTCCATTGATTTCAATGGGAGAAAGTAAAGCACATGCCCAGCTCTCCCACTGTGTAAATGGGATTTAAGCCTTGAAATGCGAAAGCCCTTCTTTAGGATCTTATTCATCTAGGTACATTTTAGAAAAACAGCTGAACTTCCTCATCCATTGCAGACATCACAGGAAGATTCTTTCTGTTCACCTGTCTCTTCTTGTGTAACCAATTACCACTTTCAATGGCCCAACATAATAAAAATCAGATGGATTACTCAAATGTAAGGAGTTGCTCCTCTCTGTGGACAGAGCAGTCATATTGTTAACTAGAATGGAGCTCTCTGGCTGCTTTTAAGGCCCTCACTAGTTGCCAATTTGTTCCCCAGCACTACTCAAAATGCTGCTTCTAACTTCAAGGTATAAAAATTAGATGATGGTCACCTGAAGTGGCAGCATTTTGTCCTGTCCTTTGGCCTGCTCAGCACATTCTTTCTGATGCGCCTGCTTAGTGTAAATGGTCTGGGACTAGATTATATGAAGGTTGGCCTATTTCACTCCCAAGGTCTTCCGGGGAGGAGAATGGCGGACTAGTTGTTGACTGTCGATGTGCTGCCAACTGAGATAATTATGCAGTGATTTATGATAGCCATGTTATAAAGGCAGTGGAGATGTTCTCATTCTTTATTCTCAATACATGATCTGTCTACATTCGGAAGGAGTTATGATTCCTAAAGTACATAGTGGACCAAATTTGGCTTCTGTCACCCACCCCACTGTGCCTGGTGACTTTCCAGTGAAGTGTCCGGCACTCATAGATCGCATTCTTTTTGTCTGGTATTACAAAATCTTCCTTCAGCTGGATTTTCATCCAACCTACATATCACAAAGTTCAGCTACTTGGAAGGAAAATGCTAATTTGGAGATTAGCAGTCTTTCCTTGCAAATATTTGTTTCAACAAATTATGAGCTCAGAAATTCTATTCAGCTGGCAACAGGTACAAGCAAAATTTGTTATAGACAAATTCTTAGGAAATTTTATGGATCCTTTCCTTATCATTCAATTCTTCAGTGATTTAGTAAATTACCGTATTTTTCGCTCTATAGGACGCACTTTTTCCCCTCCAAAAATGAAGGGGAAATGTGTGTGCGTCCTATGGAGCGAATGCAGGCTCCTTGGCTTCAGCGATAGCAACGGGAAGCCTCCGAAGCACAGAGGGAGCACTCCCTCCGCGCTCCGGAGGCTTCGCGTTGCTTTCGCTGAAGGGAGCTATCCGCAAGCCTTCGGAGCGCAGCAGGAGTTCCCCCCGTGCTCCGAAGGCTTGTGGATAGCAGCCTGAAGCCCGGGGTGTGCTGCGCCAACTCCCGCTGTGCTCCCCGGGCTTCAGGCAGCTATCCGCAATCCTTCGGAGTGATGTGGTTGGTGCCGAGTCCCAGAATGTATGCAATTGAAGCAGGTGCACCCCAAAACTGACATTGGAGGACTGTAGAACTTCACTGCATAAGCTGTTTCCTTAGCACAATGATTCCTAAGACTGAATAGCAGGAGGGATAAAGGAGCCTTCAAGGAGCAGCTGGTAGTGCTCATTTTATTCCCAATAATTAATGCTTTAGGAGTAAGTACTGTATGTTATAAAGGCAGTGGAGATGCTACATGTTCTCATTCTTTATTCTCAATACATGATCTGTCTACATTCGGAAGGAGTTATGATTCCTAAAGTACATAGTGGACAAAATTTGGCTTCTGTCACCCACCGCACTGTGCCTGGTGACTTTCCAGTGAAGTGTCCGGCACTCATAGATTGCATTCTTTTTGTCTGGTATTACAAAATCTTCCTTCAGCTGGATTTTCATCCAACCTACATATCACAAAGTTCAGCTACTTGGAAGGAAAACGCTAATTTGGAGATTAGCAGTCTTTCCTTGTAAATATTTGTTTCAACAGATTATGAGCTCAGAAATTCTATTCAGCAGGCAACAGGTACAAGCAAAATTTGTTATAGACAAATTCTTAGGGAATTGAATGGATCCCTTCCTTATCATTCTATTCTGCAGTGATTTAGTAAATTAAATATTTGCAATGTACAAAGATATTATCAGTGGAATTGAAACCAAGGATCTGCCAGGATGAACAAATTTAGAATCTTGGCTTTGCTCAGTGAGATATGATTTGATGTTTCCATTTTTTTCTTTGCCGTGTGGACTGCACACAATATTCCAGGTGTGGTCTGACCAAGGCAGAATACAGTGCTTGTATTACATCCTTTGATCAGGACACTATACCTCTGTTGATGCAGCAGAGAATAGCATTCACTTTTTTTTGCTGTTGCGTCATACTGTTGACTCATGTTCAGTTTGTGATCTACTAAGACCCCTAGATCCTTTTGACATGCACTACTTGCAAGCCATGTGTTTCCCATCATTTCTGCAGCTGTTTATTCTTAAGTGTAGAACCCGACACTTGTCCCCACTGAAATTCTGTTAAGGTAATTTTGAATCCTGTTTCTGTCTTCTGTGACATTAGCTACCCCTCCCAGTTTCCCGTCTTCTGCAAATTTGATGAGCATCCCCTCAATTCTTTCATCCAAGTCATTTATAAAGATGTTGAGCAACAACGGGCCCAGGGCAGAACCCTTGTGGCACCCACTTGTCACTTTCTTCCAGGATGATGAGGATGGGTTTGGTCAGTCAAACAGCTACAAATCTACCTAACAGTGAGTGACCTTGTTCAACCCACATTTTATCAGCTTCTTCGCAAGAATATCATGGGGGACTTTGTCAAAAGTCTTACTTAAATCAAGATATACTATATCCACAGCATTCCCCTGATCCACCAAGCTTGTAACTTTATAAAAAAGGAAATGAGATTTGTCTGACATGACTTGTTTTTGAGAAAGCCATGTTGGCTCTTAGTATCCTTTTTAAAGTGCTTATAGACAGACTGTTGAATTATCTGTGAGGAGGCAGCACCCGCCACCAGAAGTGATGCAGAGGGAAGACCACACAGCCAAGCCCACTCCAAACAGCCGCCCCACAACCACCTCCAAGTACAAGTGACTGGCAGTGGCAGCTGGTGGACTCTGGACTTGGTAGAGTGCCTGGCAGCCATAGAGGTGCCTGGCAGCATGGCTAAGCTTCTCTATTTTTATCCTCCTCCTCCTCCTCCTCCTCCTCCTCCTCCTCCTCCTCCTCCTCCTCCTTTGCAAAAATACTGTGGGCACTTAAGAATTGCAGGTTTACAAACAATTAGCACTTAACTAAACTGAAAAGTGCCTTACTTTGGTTTAGAAGGGGTCCCTGCTATCATAATTGCTTCTTCACTGGGATTACACCCCCCCCACTCTGGTTCTCTCCCTATTCTCCCCCTTTGCAAAGAAACAGTAGACTTTTAAACACTGCTGTTTTCTTAATGCCCTTCAAGCCACAATGACCGCATGTTGATCAGAAGTAAGGTCCACTTAATCTCATGCAGATTGCTTCCTTTTATGTGTGTGTACAGGATTGCAGCCTGAATTGGTCAATCTTAAAGTCGGTCTTTTCTGCAGTGGTGACCTGGCTTTGGAGCTCTCAGTAGAGCTTTGCTTGGCACTAAGTCTACTGTCCTTTTGGTACCAGGTGAAAACCTTTACGCTCTCCACACCTTTTCGATTTCCTTTTGCAAATTGGATTTTATCTTGTTACTCTGCTGCTGTGTCTTAAAGCTGCCAAGGGACACGGGTGGCGCTGTGGTCTAAACCACTGAGCCTCTTGGGCTTGCCGATTGGAAGGTCAGCGGTTCAAATCCCCACGACGGGGTGAGCTCCCGTTGCTTGGTCCCAGCTCCTGCCAACCTAAAGTTCGAAAGCAAGTCAAAAAGTGCAAGTAGCTAAACAGGTAACGCTCCGGTGGGAGGGTAAACGGCATTTCCATGCGCTGCTCTGGTTTTGGTGTTCCATTGCACCAGAAGTGGCTTAGTCATACTGGGCACATGACCCGGAAAAACTGTCTGCCGACAAACGCCAGCTCACTTGGCCTGTAAAGCGAGATGAGAGCCGCAACCCCAGAGTCGTCTGTGACTGGACTTTACTGTCAGGGGTCCTTTATCTTTTTTTAAAGGTGCCACACAGGACTATTAACAAGCTCCCCCCCAATTCCCCCCCGACCCTGGGGCCCATTAGGGCAACCAGGGCGGAGCCTTACCAAGGGAAATGCCAAGCAGTTTTTAAAAATGTTCTCATTGAAACTTCAGTGCCATGCTCTGTCCTGTCTCAGACATCTTCCTAATAAGTGAAGCTCATAGAGATATTTCTGTTAATCTCTTGTTCTCTGGCCTATCAACAGCCCACTGTCATTGCCTTTAGCTTCATAAACTGCTGTGAGGATTGAACAATTAAGCGATACACACCTTGTTATTTATTTATCACTACTACTACTATTTAGGGACGCGGGTGGCGCTGTGGGTTAAACCACAGAGCCTAGGACTTGCCGATCAGAAGGTCGGCAGTTTGAATCCCTGCGACGGGGTGAGCTCCCGTTGTTCAGTCCCTGCTCCTGCCAACCTAGCAGTTCGAAAGCATGTCAAAGTGCAAGTAGATAACTAGGTACCACTCCTGCAGGAAGGTAAACGGCATTTCTGTGTGCTGCTCTGGTTCGCCAGAAGTGGCTTAGTCATGCTGGCCACATGACCCGGAAGCTGTCTGCAGACAAACGCCGGCTCCCTCGGCTTATAGAGCGAGATGAGCGCGCAACCCCAGAGTCGGTCACGACTGGACCTAATGGTCAGGGGTCCCCTTTACCCTTTACTACTATTTAACAATAACCCAAGGCTATCTCTGGTATCTCATATGCAGCAATGAAGCCACATTGTCAAACACAACCTTGCACACACTACTTGTGAAACTTTTTCTTGTAACTTAAGAACTGAAACAAATCAATTTCCCTCCTACCAAAACTGTGGAAAACAATTTATTTGAACAAATTTTCAAAGTGAACATCTGTCAATAAATCACAGGAATAAAATAAAATGAAGTGGTAAAATGAATATTGGTGAAAAAACAATAAAAGGTGCAATGTTAAAAACAATTTCCTGTTTTGAAAAGGACACTGAAATCATAGCAAGAGCACCATTGGAAACACTGGATGAAATCTGTCCAAACCAGTTCCTAACTTCAATGTCTCTTTCATGAGTTAATGTGTAAACATAGGAACAATGTAAAACCTCAGGCTTTGAGGCATGGCAGGGGTAGCACCGACATGGACTTCATGTTGGCTGGAGATGACCCTCCAAAGCCAAAAGGCCCAAACTCATGGCATAGGCTTTTGGGTTTTGTTTAAACTGGAATACTGTATCACTTTTGCAAATCTCAAGGCTCACCCACAATTTCTTCTGCTTGTCCCATAATTTCTAGGTACAGCTCCAAGTGGTTCTCCTTTTGTCCTGCCGCTTCCCTGTGGAAACCTGCTGCTCACTGCTGAATCGGAACAAACATAAATCTTCAGAAAGCCCAATTCATGTTTGTTCTGATTCAGCAGTAAACTGGGGGTTTTCCCAGGGAAGGCAGTGGGACGAAAGAAAAACCTCTCAGACCCGTGCCTAGAAATCACAGGACAAGCAGCAATGTGAATGAGCCCGCAATATCATCATGTATGAACAACATCAGCTTCCTTCACCCCGCCCTCTAGTTTGGGTAGATACTCTTGGGTTGAATCCTTCTGTCAAAGTAACCTACTTTGAACTTGATTGTATGACTCAAGTTACAAATTTATCACTTTCCATAGTTGTCGTGGAAAGCAGTGACTATACCATGAAATGAACCTTATATTTCTGAAGACAATGTAATCTTTCAGAAGCTAAGTAGCCGAAACAGTAATTGTTACTCAACATGTTTCTTGACATAAAAATAAAAGAGCAGACAAATTTAACAAATTAGTTTGGCAATGAAATATAGGGGATCCTTTTATTTTGAGAAAGAGGACCCTAATATTCATGTGAAATGTGCTATCAACCTTAGAAATAAGGTTAGTGCATTTAAGGTTCTTTATGAACCCGGCTTACCTTCATCAAATATGGTACAAAAATAGTCATTTCAGTTACAGTTAAGAGAGATATCAAGTAGGGGAAAAATAAACCATCCTATGCTTTTCCCTGCAGGCTGGAAGAATTCATGGACAAAGAAGAAAACAGAGCTCAAAAGTAAGGACATGGGTGGGCTATGGCTTTGTATAAAAAACATGGATCCAGCTGGCTGCTAACATTTTATTTCTGAACACTTAGAATCTATATATTTTGCTCTTCCACTCCCACCTCCTCAGTCTACAGCTATTTTTCTGGAGACAGTTTGATAGAACACTCCCCTCAGCAGAGACTGGTAATCCGGCACTCTGAAAAGGTGCCTCTCTCCATAGGCCACATCGTACTCTGCCGCTTTCCCGGTGACCAGAACACGCACATTGGGCTCATTGGCTTGAGTGCCAACCACTAGTACATAGATTTCAAGTTCTGCCCGCCGAGCCTCTTGGACTGCCCTCTCAATGGCGCTGCTGGTGATGCCTTGAGAGTTGCCATCAGAGAAAATCAGAACTCTCTTCTTAGCTCCAGCACGGGCGGACTGCCGGTAGAGACCAGTGACAAAGCGGAGGGCTGCATTCACGTCCGTGGCGTCATTCATGAATTCCATGCTGTCAATAGCATCAGCAACCACCGTGTAGTTCTGCTCAAACCGCACCTCCGCTTTCTGCTGGCCTTTGCCGCTGTACTGGACGACAGAAATGCGCACGGCATCCTCCGAAGGCTTGGCTGCTGTCAGGAATCGTTCTGCAAGGCGCTTCACAAATGTTTTGGTGGTGTTGAAGTTGCGGCTCCCAACGCTGGTGGAGCTATCCACAAGGAGTGTGATATCAGCTGGGCCAGCAAAAGAGACTGGAAAGAGAGGAGATAGGGGCTAACGACACTGCTGTAAATCTTTCAGATTTGGGTATGTGTGCTGTGGTCAATACCAGCATAAAAAGGCAGGGCATGGGGATTGCTCTGTTGGTATACAAGGCATAGAGGTGTTAACCTCAGAACTAAGTTTTCTGGAAACTAAGTAGTACACTTTCGGATGCAAAAGGAAACTGGACATCCCAAGAGGTACTGGTTGATTCTGAGCCAGACTCCTTTTGTGCCCCCTTTCTAGGCATAGCTCGGGGCTTTCCAGGCCTGTGTCCAAGTAGGGTTCTTTTTGTCCTGGAATTTCCCTTCCCCTGGGAAAACCCACATTTTACAGCTGCATCAGAGCAAGCAGCAATTGGGTTTGCTTCATTTCAGCGGGAAATGCAGGTTTCTGGTGGCCCTGGTGTGCAATGGCACAGAATAGTTGAAACACAGAGCTTGTTTCAAATTATGGTGCTCCTCAGGTGAATGGTCAGTGTCCAGAGGAAATGGAGTAAGCTAAATAGCAGTCGCTAAGGCAACTTCAAGATTATGTGGAGCACAGAAATTTTCAACTCATAAACACAACTTTGTAAAAAGAGTACTCACTTGGGCAGGTGTAGTCCGGGCATTTCTTTTCTATAAAACAAATGAAACAACGTCACACTAAACCCTTCTCTTCATTTACAATCAATGTTCAACACCAAAAGTCCACTCCCCCAGCTTGGTGGGCACCGTTGCAGGCTGGCACTCCCCACGCCCTCCATAATCTGGGGAGAAAGGCCCCTTGGGGCTGCTTCCTGGGAAGGAAAGGAGGTCCTGGGCCAAGCTTGCTGCCAGGAAGCAGATCTTGCCTGCTCACTCAACTGGCCAATCAAAAGGGTGCAAGGGGGTGGGCCATTCCTCGGGGGGGGTGTCAGTCCACTTCCTGGGCATATAAGGAAGGCCCGCGGCTTCTCTTGGCAGCCACTTTGCTGGATTTCCCACGCCCTCCCTATTTGGCTGACATGTGCTGCACTGATTGACCTTGCAATGGCTTTGTCGGTAGCCGTATTTGGGACCAGGTTGGAATTTTCCCACTTGGCAAAGGGGCTCCAGCCCTCTGGCTTTGGCCACCCTCACAGCAGTCATCACAGGTATGCTGGTCCCACCCATGGCTGTTTTCCTTCTGCATTCACCTTACAAATGACCTTGGTATAGATGGCAGATATGGATTCTACAGGGCCACTTCGTCTCTTTAAATTGTGTGGGTCACCAAAGTAGTACTAGCAGAATGTGCGGTTAAATAAACTCTGGCATCTAAGACAAACTTAGGCTTATGTTGTCATTTCTCCACTCATTAGCTGTTTTGTGGCATTCATTGTGTTGAGAAGCTGGATCAACCACCTCCTTCAATACCAGCTCATAATTAGGCTCTCAGCAACCAAATATGTGTCACCTACCTTTGCAGATCTGAGAGGTAACATTCTGCAGGAAATTGTCATCCAGCAGCAAAGCAAAGTTTTCTTGATAAACAGAGATGCCCCCACAGGAAATAGTTGATAATTGCTCAGTGTTTGCTGGTTTGTTGGAAATATCACCGATACCCAGGGGAACCACCTAGAAGTTGACAGGTATGTGTAAGGCTTATACTCAACGATTCCACATTAGCTAGTCCTCAGGTGCCCCAAGTGGGGATCAAGGGGGATAAAATGAAATAACAAGAATAATATAGGGAATATATTGGTCAGGGGGAAGACAGAATTCTTCTTTACTGGATAATCCAGTGTTAATCGAGACACAGTTACCTTTCATTAACATTGGGGCAAGTAAAGGGAAACTATCCTGTTGCTGAAGAACAGAGATCATGCTGCCAAGTTTTCTTTTGATATTTCCCAGCCCTGCTTGCCTTGGTAAATATCACACAAAACCCATTCATAAGCTTATTTAGGATCCTTCCAAGTCTGCTTTGTTAGAACTTTCTTATACTTCCCACTGGTCTTCTAAAGCGCTAAGAATTACCAATGAGTATCAACATTCACTGAATTTCTGACATTCACATTAGCCCTTGAATTGTGATCACTGCAGGAACTCTTCAGTAAAAGACATAAATTTCAGTCTGGAGCTGCCCTTCGCTACACAGCCGTCTCAGGGCTCCTTCACACTCCCCTTGTCCCATGCCTAGAAAGCAGGGCTCTGAAGGGTTTCCTGCTTGTCCTGTGTTTTCTAGGCATGGGTCTCACCAGTTTTCCATTTCTCCAGGGAAACCAGCTCTTTACCACTGAATTGGAGCAAACTTCAATTTGCCAAAAACTTGATAAAGAGCAGGTTTTCCTGGGCAAAAGGGACAGGATGAGTGGAATTGTGAAGAAGCACTTAGGCAGCTTGCGCTCCACTGCCCACACAAGTGCTGGTTTCCTCCTGGCTTAACCAAAGTCACTGACCCAAACTTTTCTCAATAGGAAGACACACCTTCACCCAAGAAGGCTTTCCTATCCCTCCTCCTGCCCTCCATATAATATTGATTTCACCTGGGTCTTGCTTTCACAGAGAACGTTGAGTGGTGTTTGGTCCCGAAGTACATCAGACCGTCCGTCTGTGATGACTATGACCACTCTTTTCTCAGAGGGAAAGCGCCGCAGCAAGTTGTCCTTGGTGAACTGAAGGGCCTCCCCAGTATATGTGCCACCAGCAATCCAGCGCAGGTTCTTCACAGCTCTGCAAAGCAAGCAGCGTTGAGTTTCAGCGCCAGCTCCTCTTCTGACAGAGAAATCTAGACCTGTCTCCCAGCTCTTTCCTTATTCTTGGTTTGCCTCCCCTGTTAAGTCTGGTTCACTTGCTTTTCCTTCCAGATAATCTAAAGCACTTGCCATGAACAAACCTAAATGTTTTTTGTGGTAGCAATGTGAGAAAGTGATGTAATCTTACTAATTTGCATAGGAAGTACAAAATTATATTCTGAGGAAGTTCTCATGTACTCTCAATTGGCAATGTATCAGTCAATCAATGTACCCCAAAACAAGGTAATCAACTGATTTATTGGTTTGGTGTTGTTGTTGTTTAGTTGTTTAGTCGTGTCCGACTGTTTGTGACCCCATGGACCAGAGCACACCAGGCACTCCTGTCTTCCACTGCACTTTGGTCAAACTCATGTTTGTAGCTTAGAGAACACTGTCCAACCATCTTGTCCTCTGTCGTCCTCTTCTCCTTGTGCCCTCAATCTTTCCCAACATCAGGGTCTTTTCCAGGGAGTCTTCTCTTCTCATGAGGTGGCCAAAGTATTGGAGCCTCAGCTACAGGATCTGTCCTTCCAGCGAGCAGCATTATTGGTTAGTTATCTTCAAAGCATTCATGGCAGAGCAGAGCTTTCCAAACTTTTTATGTTGGTGACACACTTTTTAGACATGCATCATATTACAACACAGTAATTCAGTTTTCCTAGCAAACTGGAGGCTAAACCACCCCCTTTCCTGTCCTGGGAGGAGAGCGGGGAGTGTTTGCGCGACACACCTACACACTGCAGCAGACACACTAACGTGTTGCAACGCACAGTTTGGAAAGCTCTGTGGTAGAGAGTTAATTTGAACAGCATGTCTGTAGATTAGAAATCGGAGGAGGTGGGGAGTACTTTTTAAATTCTCAATTTTTGCAGCAAAACTCCATTCAGTTAGTGATTTCTTGGCACCTCTCAAATGGAGGCAAAATCAACATATTACTATGGGAGCATAGAGGTGGCTGGAGTGTTCCTATCCAGTGCTGCAAGGCGATAATAAATAGTAAGCAAAATCCTAATCATACAGAGATTTATGTGTGCTTTGTATAACTAAGACACCTGACTCGACAGGGAAATTCAAGGTAAAGAGGGATGGGAGGTGTTGGATGGGTTGAAGGCAGGTGATCTCTTCGCAAAAACACCCAGATCAGCCTTAAGATTCTTAGAAGAACCTTCCAATCAGATAATTTCCCAGAAGAAGGAAGCATCTTTGTCCCAATGCATTAAGCATAAAGTGGCAAATCTGTTTACCCATCATTTTGCTAATGTGCCCTAGAATTCCACTTGGCATATCTGTGGCAGAAGACATGTTGGTCTGTCTCTTATCATGTAATGATCAAGATGATCTACTACAATGGTCATTTCCCCTCAGTTTTAGAGTCACTGATACATTGCTCCCAAATACAGCCCTTTAGTGTTTCTTCCTATCCGAGTGCAAGGCAGACATTTACTTGACAAAGTAACTTGAGTGCAATTTAGTTACGTCTTTAGGATGAGAGCTAAACCTGGCCATGCCTTGGTGACCTCAGGGTCTGTAGTGCCACAATTATTGGTTGTGCACTGAGACCCAGGGTAGTGGCTCATATTGAGTGTGCTTAGGGCTAAGCATTCCTGCAATAAGGTATTCAGATACCTGAAAAACATCCCACAAAAGTGCCACATATAAAACTGAGCACAATAACCCCTCTCTAACTCCCAATTATCTGATCTAAACTTACTCCTTAAAGGCTCCAATGTTATCAATGTTGCTATCGCCCAGGGCCACCAGTTCCTGGGTGTTGTCATGGCTGTACTGTACGACACCAACGTTGGTCTCCCCTGGTTTAAACTGTTAAGAGAAAAGTTAAACACCAAATGATGTTTTTCAGTCCATGTATTATCATAAACAAAGACACCAAGAACAGTTTATAACATCTAGGAGCTGTAACGGCAGCATCCTGTTCTCTGGGTAAGGTTCTGGAGGTAGTTGATTTTGACAATGCTAGGAAACTTGAAAGTATCTCAGTTGTTTTATGATAACATGCATTAAACATATATTGCTGGGGGGGTATATGTGATTGTTTGCAAGTCTTACCGTCACTTTTTCATCCTTGATAAGCCTGTCAATGACCTTGACAATGAAATCCTTAGCAATCTGGAAGTTCTGCAGGCCAATGCTCTCTGAACTGTCCAGCACAAACAGAACATCGCCAGGAAGACACTTGCATTCTGTAACAGAGCACAGAACCACACAATAGAAACATTCGTGGAAGTATGAAGGCTTTCTTTCAGATGCTGAACAACCCAAGGGAACCAACTACAACAGCAGTAACAATAAAAGCTATACTTCTTGCCAAATGCTAAGTTTAGTTTAGAATCCAAACTATGGTTTGCACTGCTAACATTACAGGCAAATCATTGTTTAGAGATTATTATTATTTTCCTTGCTCAACACTCCAGTGTCTGGATAAATCTGAAGGCAGAGCAGCAGCTGTAACTATGATTTGACCAGTCATGCCAAATCATAGTTAGTATAACCACAGTTTGCAGATCTACCTCAAATATTGGTTTTTGTTTCTGATTTGCCAGTTGCAAACCACTGTTAGTTAATTTAGATATTAAACTGCACTGTAGGCTTCTTTAACCATGATTTGTGTGATGACATAATTTAGAGTATGTTTACATGGGTTTTTTTTTTACACAGAATCCCTATTACAATGTGAGGGAACATGTAAACTCACACTAAATCAGAGCTTCATCTTCATCCTCTCAGAATGTCATATTTTGTTATAAAATACATTTAAGTAAATGCCCTTAGGACTGCAACTCAAGTCTGATGAAGTAGCAGTTTGAAAGGAAAATAATAATTGCCCTAATTCCTTTATACACCCAGATGTAATTCAAGAGAACTTATTTAACTTTCAGTGGTTCTGTTTGGGCCACCTGAACAGATATAAGTGCATCATAGGAACATCCTTGCAAAGGCTAAGGCAACGAAAGAAAGGATGATTCTGAGTTATTTACTCACTTATTGAAAGGGCTGCACATGCATCTCTGGGACACCAGCAAGGTTGTGTAGATGATGTGGGCATTTTTTTATGTGATGGCCAATGTTATGGAAGCACAATAACTTAAGACTGTAGCAGTAAACAGCTATAGCAGAAGGCCATAAAATGGAGACAGTGACAAGGGGTCTTAGAGGAGCAGCAGCAACAGCATTTGAAGAGTAAGCTTCCTCCATCTGAATCTTGTGACAGTTTTTTAAATGAAAATGCAATAATGTTGTTAAAGAAACTGCAAAAATGACACTCACCGCAGCAAGCTAGGAGAGAGGAAGAAAGCAAAGAAATATGGTGAGAATCAACTTCAAATTCACTGTGACTCTAAAGAGCACTGAAATTAAATATCAATATGAGGATGTTGAAAACTTTCTCCCTGATATTAGGTAAACTTTAAGATGATTTTCATATCCCAGATGTTTTCATTTTCAAATCCAGCATATGCTACTTAGCAAAAAATAAAGAGGGAAGTATAATAAAAATGCTGAAGGACATTTCAGTGGGAACACATATTTTGGGATTGTTTGACATCCCTGACTGCAATTAATAATGAAATCACATTTAGTGTTTAATAAACTCTGGAAAATAACCACAGAGTTTGTTAAGCAGCAAATGTAATTTGATGTAAACAACAAATGTAACAAGGATGAAGATAAGGTATACAGGAAATCCTAATTCCCAGTGCAACAGAGTTGCTCAACTAGTTAAAACTGGGACTGCAGACAGCATGCATGGGGGAGGCCTTTCCCAAACATGGTAAATAATCTCTCTTATCATTTCTTTGTGGTTTGTGGAATGTAGGAAATAATTTGCTTGGTTGATATTCAATAGCAGATGCTGACGTTTAATACTTTCAAAATATAAATAAAGGATGAAAACAAATTAAGAGCCTTAGCCTGTGAACTTCTTTGCCAAAACAGGCAGAATCAGGTTTCAATTTCCCTTTCTCTTGGGTTCACACCAGAAATACAGTACTTAATGGAGGAGAAGTCCCCTCCGAGCTTGAGTCACGCTAGCCACTTAAAAAAATTGAATTAGAGGAAGATAGGATACAAGGCTTGTTACTGGTCCAAAAACCCAATAGACTGGCCCTTGGGACCTGATTGGGGGGTGGGATTGATAATGGGCCCTTGCTGCATGATAGATCCAACTGTTTTTCAGATGGCTCTGGGCACTGACTTCTGTTGACTAGAGCCAAGCTGGATCCCTGGTTCTGTAACATTGAGCCTGAATCCATTTAGAAACATGACGACTTGGATCACAGAATCAATGTGATGGTGTGAAGCTTGGTTAAAGCCAACAACCTATTGTTTCTTGTTCTGACTTGGCCACTGGTAATGATACAGCTGCTAATTCTGCAACAGTAGGAGTCAGAATACTTACAGCACATTTTCATGATGATATCCAAAATTTCACATTCCTGGAAACAAACGAAGAAACATTGGTGTCATCCAGGTCTTGGATATTAAGAATCATTCTGCATCCCCCTTTAGCTGGGTCCTTCATTGCAGTTATAGCCCAAGAAAATAGCTGTGTCACATTTAGCAATCAATTCACCAGGCAGCATGTGAAGCATTAGATGTTTTTATGAGAGGGCAGGCTGCCTTTGTGGAGCATTATCTAATAAGCAGGAAGCAAAGAAGGAAGTTTCCATTGCTAGAAACAACACTGTCACTTTAGTCTTGATTTCAGGCTAAAGTAATGAATTCTAGTTAATATTGTGAATGGGTGCTTATTCCTTGCTTACTTGAAAAGGTGGTCATTTGATCTGCCATTCTGAAGTTGTCCCCTCTTAGCTGACTACAGTACTGTACAGACAGTGAGCTTAAAACAAAGTTAGTTTATGGGTTGTGGGAGCCTCCCCAATGCAGGTATAACTCTCAGAACTGGCATAAGGAACAAGGAGGGGGCAAAGGCTATATCTGGGGTGCCTACCAGAAAGAAAATGCAAGGCTGTAAGGAAGGTCCAGAACAAGTCACTTCTGTTTTCTTCACTTTAAAGTCAGATTGTCAAAAGGAAAGACAGATAGCTAGAAATACAACTGAAAGCTAAGAAGGGAAAGTCACTGACTCAGGGACTGAGCTTTGTTAGGAGAAGCCAGAGTGCATCTCTACTCTGTTTTGCTTTGCTGAACACTTCCCTCCGTAATCACCCAACCCTTCACTAAGAGAAGGACCCAAGTGTCATGTAAGGCCGGTTTTACTCACATCTGGTCCTGGAGGGCCTCTGGGTCCTGCAGGTCCCTGGAAAACAACACATTGTACAAGTGCCAAGAGAATACTTAGTTGCATCAGACAAATTCCAGAGAGAAAGCTATGTCAGACAGTTGTTACAAAAATGGCAGAGTCCTGTGGTGCCTTAGAGAGTGATGAGATGAGCTCTAATCCCAGAACAAATGGGCTAGGGTACAAGTTGCTACCGCAGGGATCCCCCCACACAGACAAAGCAATAAACTGGCAGCACCCCTCAAAAACAGGAAACCCTCCTAACCAAATACCTCTCACCAAAAATTAAAACCAAGGGACCTCCACTGTAGTTCTTTTAATTACTCATAATCCAAATTATACACCTCCCCACTTGTACTCATAGTCATCTGGCTATGAGAATTAGAATATCTGCCAATGAAAATGCCTTTGAATGTTGTGGTTGATATTTCTTCTTCTTGAGAGTTGTGAAGATATTCTTGTTGCTATCCTCGTAAGAGCACCGGGCATTGGCTCAGGTGCAATTTGTTACCTGAGGCATTTTGATAAAAGACTACTAGCTGGTCAGTTACTGTATTACTCTATCATAATATATCCCAAGTAGCTCCCCAAAGGCCCATTCCTTCATAATCCATAGTTAGTGGGAACTTTATTACTCACTGGAGGCCCTTCTGGTCCTCTGTAACCTTTGGCTCCTTTCATGCCTCGGGTCCCAGTTGCATTGCTCTGGAAGAAAAAGACACCCGTTTCCTAAGGGGACACTTACACTCTTTTCTGTGTTAAAGAAGACATTCAAGTTAGAGAAGGACTTCTGGGCTGCCTTTGCTCAACTTTCTTACTATGACAACTGAGCAATCAAACTGGTCGATTAGCATATGTGAGATCACTTCCTATCTAAGGAGTGGGTTGCATGTCACTTTCCCCCCAGGTATGGAAGGTGCAAGAGCCACAACACGGCACTCTCAGGAGAACCTGCAACATGTGAACAGATGAGAAATATATAAATCTTACCTGTGCTCAGCACACAAACCTGAATGCAGATGACATCTATATATTTATAGTAATTCACACATATTTTGAAAAGATAAATCACTCCATCGTCACCCATAGCTTTGATAAAAAGCCTGAAAATTGGTCCTGTAATGTTTTTATCACTTCCTTTGGAACTCTAGTCCATACCTTGTGGCAGTGAGTTCCATAAGTTATTTATTCACTGTATGAAATGATGCTGCCTTTTATGTACAGGCAACAACTGATTTAGGCATGTCTGCATGACATGCAATCACGATCCTGTGCACGGCACAGAAGTTAGCCCCAAAACGTCATAAAGACAACATGGACAAGGGAGGAATGGAACAGGGCAGAGCAGGCTTACATGTGCTCCACCGACTCATGCAGAATCAACCCCCATGCAAAACGAAGATTAATTGAGTGATCCTGAGTTCTAATGTTATGAAAGTGGGAGAAGAATCTCCTTTATCCACTCACTCTCTACTGCTCATAAGTTTATAAACTTCTATCATTTCCTCCTTCGTCATATTTTTTTCCAAATTCAAAACCCCCAAACAAGTGCTCTAATCTTTGGTAGTTAAATTCACTGTACCTGCCCATCACACACCATCTCTGTCATGAGCCTGTGTGTCTGCTGAGAAAATCATCTGAGGCCTTGCTCCTAATGAATATTCGGATATTCAAGCCTTCAAATGTTAGGCCTTTTCTGTGTTGGCCCTTCAACTGGCCTTTCCCAGGAACATTTGCCTGGTACCACCATGGCTATCTTTGCAGCACTAGACTAAGATTGTCCTGTTCACTCAAGCCTTTGATAGCAAATAATGTATATTTGAGTATTATTTCAACTGATGTTTATTATCTTTCTTCTATCTTGGGTTTTAGGTTGTTTGATTTTAAGCTGGTTTTACTGTGCATTTTTATATTGTTTAGAATGAATTGTACACTATATTGACATAAATTCTTAAACAAATAAATAACAATTAATGACTATCAGAAATGTAAACTGAAAACCTAAATGCATTTAGGTGGAAGGAATCCCCATTTGTTTCCACAGCACATACTTGAATCAAGAATGTTTCATCCATAGGTATTTGCATATTTCTAATTCTAGCTGTTGTCTCAGATGGCAAACTCAGCTAAAGTTGGCCAAAGTGTGTGTTCACTTTTCTGTGCCATCACTTATTTCAATTAGTTTTTTTCAAAGACTTGGTAAATAGGAGTTATTTTGTCGAGTCTAAAAGGGAACTGAAATTTGGTCTCCACATTTTCTTCTCCTGTTCTGCCTGTCTTCCATGACCAAGGCAACTCAATTCTTTCCAAATACACACTCTCACTTCCCTGTCTGTCCAGACAAGTTTTCTATTACTCCCTCCACATATTTTTGAATAGTATAATGGATGGGTGTTAAAGTATTGAATAATATTGCTGAATACTTTATCATATATTTCAAATAAAGATGTATGGTGGGAAATAAAACTCATGGATTATATTGCATAAGGGAATAATCTATCCGGTTCTTTTACTTACTTCCAGCCCTGGGTCTCCGATCTCTCCTTCATCGCCTTTGGGACCAGGATAGCCTTTGGTACCCTGAAAAGGGAAGATATAAGGCCATTGGGCAGAAGTATACAAACCACGTGGCACTCAGCTCCTGCAGTTAACCATGGAAAGAGGCATTGTCCATAGACACAGTGCTCTCTGCTTCTTGTCAACATGCTTGATTGCAGGTAAGAGATCACCAGAAGGCGTTCAGATACATTCCATCTGCTGGACTTAGACCTTTTCTTACCAAGCTACATTCAGAGCAAGCATCTGCCTCCACTGCACTGCAAGGCAATTCTGGGTAGAACGTGACTGTGGGCAAATCCTCTCATATGCTTATTAGAAACATTAGGCAAACAATTATTCGTGTACTGTTTACAATTTGCAATAAGATGCTTAGCCAAGGAAAGGATTTTCAGTACAAAGGGCAAGCTCTCTCAAATTTGCTTTGGATTAAATTGGGAACAGCAGAATTTCTTGTGGTGAAAATATGAACACAATTCATATCATCCTTCTGAACCAATCCAAGGGCTCAGAAGAATGCCTGCTCATCCCTGCCATCCGCCCCCCAGATATATCATCCCTTTTCTGACAAGTGATGGTGGAAGCAACAAGGATGGATGTAAAGGAATAGATTTTCCCCTTCCTCTCTTCTATATTGATTAGTAGAGCATTGGGGCACAAAGCGCCAGGGACCATGGGATATGTAGTCCTCCTGAGAGCAACAGTTCCCACTTGTGGGAAGGGAACAGGGCACTGCGTTGGGTATGGACTGCTGGCAGTGGCAGAAAGGGCTGGTAGTGACATAGGATGGAAGGCAGCAATATTTTGATCTGAGTCAGAGAAGAAATTTATGAAAAGTTCTTGAAGCCTAAACTTGGAGACGTTTGATTGCATCCTGCTTTCCAGTTAAGTTGCTTTCACCAATAGACTAGTACAATAATTCACAATCACACTTTTTTCTCCAAATAATGGTGTTAGCTGAAAATCTCCCAAAGATCTTGTTTATCTTTTCAAAAAACTACAAGTATCAGCTCTAAAGCTGTTCCACGTTACTGTTCTGTGATTAACAAATATACCAGCATATGATTTCAATGCTTGATACTTTCAAGCTGTGTGCGCAGGGGCTGGGGAGGAGATATGGCATGCCTGAGTAGCAAGAGTAAAGAAAGGAGAGACTGAGACTTACATTAGCCCCAGGATCACCTCTGTTGCCAGGATATCCCTTAGGAAAAGAAGGAAAATAGGAAGTTAAATAAAAAAAGAATGCAAGTGGAAATTAGCTTTGTCTGAATTCTTTTTTAAACTCTGGCCTTCTGGAGTGAAACTCACCGGGAAACCGGGGAAACCATCGGTGCCATTTCCTGCTCGGCCATCTTCTCCCTAAGAGGAAGTTCCAAAACCAAGAGGAGACGTCAAAGTTTAGTTTATGAACCTTGTATGTCCTTAGTCTATTAAGCTGGCAGGCTCCCTGGGATTGACTCATTGTTAGCCACCAGAGAACTTTATGTTACAGGCAGTGCTTTCCCCCCCCTAGAAAAAAGGGTGACGGTTCCCACCTGAAGGCCATTGTGGGCATGGATAGAAAGAGCGGGATGAAGGGAGGGTGGCTGGCAAGAGAAACAGAGGCTGAGAGTGGGGGGGGGGACCCCAAGAGGAAAGAGGTGGGGCTGACGGTTGTTCTGGAGCCCCTGACTGGCGACTGGACACAGCAGCCCTGGTTTCTTGCAGGTTCATGAGTGAGGCAGCAATGAGAACGGGGCTGGGGAAGCCCAGCTTCCCTTTTTCTCCTCAGCAGTGCTGCATCTGGCAGGTGGGCGAGGGAGTGAAAGGGACATGGAGGGAGCCTGAGGGGGAAGTAAGCGAAGCACAACAGCCTCTCTCAGATGGGGATGGATTTCTCCTCCCCTCCCCCCCATTTTCTCCTCAGACACTCCAGTGAGTACCTGGTTTGCTCTGTTCCCCTCCCCCCCGGCCACCATTTGCTTCTCAGGTCTAGCGAAGTTGCTTCCCAAGGAGCTGGGAGGAAGAGGACTGCGCAGACTCCTCCTGGTCCACCTCGTTGAGACCTCTCACGTTTTGCACGCTTCCTTTAGGACACTCACCCTTTCACCCATCAAGCCAGTTTCTCCAGGTAATCCAGGTGGGCCAGGCAGTCCTTTAGGACCCTATAAAGCACATAGGGGAACACATCAAAGTCATTGCCATACGGACAGCACTTGTTGAGACACAAACAAATCCTCTGGTGCCTTAAATACTAAATAAATACATAGTTTGTCTTTAACGTTCTATAGGACTCTATGGGCTTTCTAGATGGGGCTGTCTTTGCAAATGGGTTGCTAAGATACTGCAAATGGCAACTTTTTTTTTATTTTACTGATCAAATTTCCATTGGAAAGGATGTTTACAAAGGGCAGTTTGAAAGCCCTTCAAAGTGGTTCACTTTGAAGTCCTAACTATTGGGGCTGGGAGGGGGTTGGCCACGGGTGTAAGTGGGGGTTGCCCAGAGGAGCAAGCAGGGGCAGAAGCCGCACTAGATTCCATGTCTTCTAAGTAGCCTTTGATGTATAACTCTGTATGTCATGAAAACACATGATGCTCTATGACTTCTGCAGCATAGCATTCTGCAACATTGCTGTCTATGAAGTGTATGGCCTTTTAAGCTCTTGAGGCAAGGAACAGTTCCCCTAATCATGGACATTAGAATATACTAACCTCCGGTCCAGAAGGGCCTTCATCTCCTCTGTACCCTTTAGGACCAGCTGGGCCTGCTTCACCCTAGAAAAATGGGAAGACATCTCAACGGCTTCACCCTTCAAAATAAGTGGTCAGCATAAAGTTGTGCAAAGAGCAAAAGCCTCAGCTCCAAACTCCCTCAATGACCTCCTGGTGAATCCCTTTGGCATATCGGCTATATGATTTCATGATGGATTGGCAGAACTGAAATGTGAATGACTTGACATACATCATGGGCCAATCTGGATCTAGCAGTTCCGAGTTGCACTCAGATGCAATATAAGAGAGCAAGTCCAATTGGACACACTTCTGAGTAGCCATGCATAGGATTGGGCTACTGATGCTTTATTCACAGGCTGACCTGTGTAACCTGAGTGCGTTTGTTTGTTTGTTTACTCACTCACTCACTTTATATTCCACCTTCCTCCCCAAGGAGCCCAGGGCAGTAATGCTGAACCATTTTCTAAATCAACGTGTACAAGAATAACTAATATGAAGCAACTGGAAAATGTCACACAGTCCGATTTGTTTGTGTCATAGAATGGGGTTAGAAGGCATGGACAGCATGAGACAACATTTCCTGGCAGAAGGTGTAAGAATTTGACTTTTCTCTCCCCCTCGAAAAGAACAGCCAAAGCTGTCATAGGAGCTAAATGAAAGGCAACATCTGTCTTGGGGAGGGGAAAATGAGCGCAGGGTACATATTGTTAACAAATGTGCCCTGGAAGAGAATAAGGACCATTTTTTATCTGGAGGTGGGTGCTGGAATTAAGCAGCGTCAACATTCCTGTGCTGTAGACTGAAGAACCAGAAATTCACTGTAACTGAACAAAAGCAAAGCGCTAGTAGGATCATGGAATTGTAGGGCTGGAAGACCTCAAAGGTTATCCCTTCCAGCCTCCATTCTGGTTTTGCCAGGAAAGAGGAGGGAACAAGACAGAATCAGTTGCTCTATTCCCCAACCTCTGCATTTCCCCAAAACTTGTAGCCAGTCCTCCTTCTTTCCTAAAAGGCAGGCTTCAGATTTTTTTGATGTTCACATCAGTTCAAATGATGATTTATTTGTCCTTTTAGTCACAAATTCAAGTGCCTACATCACCTTGTCCATGTATGTATCTTAAACATCTTAAAATGTACGTATCTTACTATGGTCAGATCAAATAATTGCGGTGTAACATCCCTTGGGTAGCTGCGCAGCTGCCCTCCCCCATTTTGAAGAATGCATCAACACCAACTTCTGAGCTGCTTTCTGCGCTGCACAGTGCAGGCAGACAGCTCCTGCACCAACCAGTGTGAGCCAATGGATTTGGGGAAGGCTCTCATCTCCAGGGTGGGGCTTATGCCAGCTTTTCTTCTAGAAGCTTTTCTTCTAGCAGGCTGTTTTTAATTATTCCTTCTGACAGAGAACACCTGCATTTAATTTCAACTACGCTCAATACTATTGCTAGAAAAACTGACAGTTCACAGCAGACTGGATGGGATGCATTTTGGCAAACAGACCAGAGCAAAGAATCCTTTCTTGAAAAACAGGACAAGAATTTCTGGAACCCGAGGAAGGATATGCTACCCCCGGGGGTACACTTGGGCAACTAGGAAGGGTAAAAAAATGAAAATGTAATAAAACATCATTAAGACCAAACTGGTTGTGTCATTAATAGTAGCTGCACAACCTTATACTATGAGTTTCAAGATATTCAGGTTTTCTCATTCACAAAGGGATCTTCCACACTTCTGGTTCTCCTGTGCCTAGAAATCACACATCTGAGTGGTTTTCCACAAGATCCACACTTTCTAGGCACGGGTCCAAGTAGTTTTCCCTTTGCCCCACTCCTTTTCCAAGGGAAAACCCGCTCTTTAGCAACAGATTGGAAGAAATGGCAACCCGGGGGAAACCAGAATTGTCGTTTGTGCCGATTGAGTGCTAAAGAGCCCAAAGTGAAAGGACCAAGTCTTATTTCAAGGACTGGGCAACTGTGGCCCTCCCTTTGTTCACCTCCAGCAACTTCTGGAGAGCCACAAGTTCCCCATCCCCTGCCTGATTTGTCTTGACGCTTGACACTTATTGGTCTATTTTTATTAATTTTAGCACTGTTACTTCATTACATTGTTCCCTGCCAAAAATTCATTTTGTTGAAATTTTCTCAACCAACACATGGCAATTTCCAGCTTTCACTGTGGGTCAGAGGTAACATGCAGACCAGACAAGGGGTGTGGAAAAGAGTCTAAGAGCTATCTCTAGCTGCTGTAGACCTGGCTGGGTTCCTGAGCTGATCTCTTGTTCCCTCGCATGCAGTAACTTGCCTTTTGCCTCTGCCCATACAACAGATACGGACTATCAAGTGTGTGAACAGTGGCTTACTGGCTCTCCAGGTGGTCCAAAAGGTCCTTCTCGTCCTTGGTCACCCTGTTGTCCTGGGTCACCCTAAAAACAAGAAGAAATTGAAAAGACATCAACAAAAATACTTTGCAGAATGGAAGAGCAAGCAAACATGACAATTACAGGAATAAGGTGGTCTTCTACATATCTAATTGTGCTGGATTTCCCCTGTAATCAGCAGAGATGAGACCAACCCATATCAAGCAGGAAATCTCTAGAGCAGCGATGACTAACCTGGTTAGCCCACAGTGACCACAGTGAATGACAGCCATCTAAGAAGGTGGGACTGAAGTCTAATTTTTAAAAAAGGACACATGTAAGTCACAAAAACCCTTTGGCATCACAGCAGGGGACGTGCAGGAGTGCTCCGTAAAATACCTTTTTAATGCTAAAACCCTATTCAACAAAATGGACACATTTGGAGGGGGGTTGTAGGATGACAAAAATAAACTCTTGGCATCATAGTGCTGGACACATAGAGCAGTAACACTTTTTAAAAAATGACAGGTTTCCCCCCTCTTTTGGGGGGATGTTGTGCTCCAGAGGAGTTTGTGACATGTGGATCAGCAACAGATAGAATGCTTTTGTTCACAGCTTGCTCACGTTCACCATATCAGCCATTTGAGTTTTGACATGAATATGGGATCGTCATTACCATAATCCAAGAGAACGGTTTCCCGAAGACCTGAGAACTCATGATTTAAACATGATTCCTGAGAAGTAAGTCCAGTAGTTTCAAATGGGCCAAAATAAACATGAGGATAAGTCATGTATACTTGCCCATGTAAGTATTCCACGTGAGCCATATGAGTGACTGTACTTGAGCTGGTCTGTTTGAACGCTGAGTCAGCACAGCAGCAACTGAGCAGGCGTGCAAATGGGGGCTCATCCACACTTCCACTGCTTCCCCCGGGAAAACCCTCTGTTTGCTGCTGAATCAGAACAAACATTATTCAGGTTTTTTGCGGACTGAAGTTTCTTCCAATTCAGCAGTAAACAGAGGGTTTTCCCAGGGAAAGTGGTGGGGCACAAGGAAAACTGCTTGGACCCGTGCCTAGAAAGCCTGAGACAAGCGGCAGTGTGGATGAGTCCCGCGTCCGCTTGTGTGGGAAGGGTTTGTACATGGCAGGGTATCCATGGAGCAGGTTGGCCCTTTGCCCACAGCCAAAATCCCGTCCACTTTGGCCCTTCTCTTCTCAGTCCTTTATCAGCAGAGGTTCACTATGAGTGACTCTACTCACAGCCCAACCAAGGCTACACTCTTGCTTAAAAAATGGTCTGGACAATTCACCCCCCATTTCAAATTCTCTGTGTGCAGTCTTACTTTCTGCAGGCAGCCAAAACATTGTTGTGCAAATACCTATGGGATTGTTATACAAGAGAAGGGCAAGAAGAGAAGGATAGTGGCATACGTGGAAACTGACTGGCAACAGGCATTTACCAACAGCTCCCTGGTGGCCTTGCTGAGCTGATTTGTATTAATTAAAAGAACTTGGGGTTCTGATGGGAAGCAGAATGGCTTTTTGCAGCCCCACAGCCGAGAAATCACTTGTGGAGAGAAAGTCACTTGACAGCCCACTTTCCAAGAGGAAAGCAGCCCTGTGGCATCTATGGCAATGGAGCAGGAGTGGGGGCTACAGCTTCCATCACCCATGATGAGCAGAGGCTGTGCGGCTGGGGCTGAGTCCTCCACTTCTGATGGGCCCCTGCAATGGAGGGCCAGACTCCTCCGGGTACCTTTAGAGGACAGTTTTTTCTTTGTTTGCAGAAATGAATACATTAGAGGAGCGGCCCATCCCAAGAAGCACATGGCAGTTCCTCTTCCTTCTCAGTGGTGCCAAACCTTGACATGAGTGGAGTATTTGGCTGCACTGAAAAATCAGGAAATGCCACAGCTTCTGCCTTGTGCATTGGGAGCCAGAGATATCAGCAGCCAGTTCTCTGCAAAGCTGGAGAAGCTGCTCTCACATAATCCGATTCTTGGTCTTAAAAGGAGGAATAAGTGACCCTGACAGAAGTACCAGTTCAGAATGTACATTTCCCTGCACAAACACAAGATAACACCTAAACATTTGGTTGCTTTTTGCCCTTGCCCTATCACATCCATAAGAGTATATTTTTACTGTCTTGCAATAGTTAAGGGCAGCACTAGAGAAACCACGGCCCAATTTCAGCCCAGTCCCAAAGCTCACTGGGTGGCCTTGGGCCAGACCTTCTCCCTCAGTCTGAGCTACCTCTCAGGGATAGTGTCGGATCTGGTGCCACTTGAAGGCAACAAAACAACTGCCCCCTCCCACTGCTGCCCCTTCTCCTGCTTCTCTTATTTTTATTGTTTTTTGCTGTTGGTTAACACAGCAGCAGCGCTGTGCCTTGTCCCTTTCTCTGCCTCACTCTGAGGAAGGGAAGTGGAGTCTTTCCTCACAGAAAGCCACTGTGGGAGAGTTCCTGTATCATGGCTGCTTTTCCAAGATGGATAGGCATTCTCCAAACTTAAGGAATTAGCAAAAGAGACTGGCAGGCCCTTGCCTAGACCACCTCACTGAGAATGCCTCACTCTGAAGAAGAACCCTTTTTCCTTCCTCTGACAGGCAGAGAGGAGAGGGCAGGCAGGGAGGGGAGAGATACCAGACTGGACTGATCTGAAGAGGCTTCCAGAGAGGCACAAAAGACAAAATGGCAGGAGGGACCAAGTTCCGTTTTGCTTCCCTCCAGGATGGGAGCAGCTTTGCCTTCTAAGAATGGCTACTACCCTAATTCCAGCTCTAGTACTACAGAAGAACCACATTTTTCCTATGGAAAATATGCTGTTGTGTGAGTACTTGAAAAATGTGATATGCCTACAGCAGATCCGCAACCTTGAGGGAAGGCATGTTAACTGTTCATTACAAGCAAGAAACAATTGTATTTTGTAATGTGATGCTGAACCAATTATTTTATATTGTTTATTTAGATCTATAAACAAACAAGCAACACTTCAGCGGTATTGATGCCCCATCCTGGGTCTTTTGCCTGCGGAGTGTAGCTCCAAACCTGATGCAGAAACTATACTTAAATGTTTACATGTGTGTGTGATGACACCTGCATGATGGGTATTTGACTTTCCTGGCTTTTGCCCCACAGAGCTGCTGGAGGGGGCACAGATGCTCTTTTTCATTGTGCTAATGAATCTGGCTCAAGGCCCACATCCATTCTTAGGTAACTGAATCAACACAATAAGCATCTAATGACAATGAAAAACTACTTTCCTGTCAATCTTGGAAAGTGTCTAGAACACCATATTCCACACCTGCAAGAAGTCATAATGGTTGGGTTAATCTCAGAGCACTTTAATGCTGACGCCTCAGGACAGTCCTCCAGAGAGAAAGCCTGGCAAACAGAAACAAGCAACTTGTCCAACATTTTATATGGAATTAGAGAAGCTGGGGTAAGCAGAGGAGTGACTGTTGAACGCTTGCTGTCTGTGGAAGAGGCTCAAATGCATTCTGAAGATCAGCATTTGTGAAAGCGCCTAAACCTTGGGAGCTCCCCTCTTTCCTCCCTTTCAAAGAGCCCTAATTTAAGGCACTCTGCTGGCACATCTATCCACATCTGGTTCACAAAGTACAGTTGAACTGCTGTTTGTGAAAACATGAGATGTAAACAGGAAACTGAAATTTAGATGAGACTTGAACTTTCCTCCTGCTGTGCCTGCCCAGCACATCAAGCTGATTTATGGGTTTGTATGTTTGTATGGGCTCCATTTCCACTATGCATGACAGCAGAGAGCAAACTGTTTGCAGTTAGGACAGGAGGTTTCTTCACACCAGACTAACACACGGTGACACACGACTCAAACGAAAGCATGCATAATGGGCAGAGTCCAAGACAAGCTCTTGCACAACCCTAACAGAGGAAAGGAGGTTGGCCTTTAAGCTGCCATTCTATAGCCCTTACTTGGGAGGATGTCTAAGGGCTTAGCCTCACTTACCTTTCCTCCACTCTTCCCAGGCATGGTCCATGATTTAAAGCTCTGTGTTGGAGCATACACATCCTTTTTTTGTTTTGTTCCAGAGCTTTCCCGATGAAAACCCTCTTTAAAGCTCAATTGGAACAAGCGCCAATCTGCGGATAACCTGAATTGATGTTTGATCTGATTCAGCTTTAAAGAATGGATTTTCAGTGGGAAAGCCCAGGGCAACCCCCCAAAAAACCCCACAACAACCCCATGCTCGGACACAGAGCATTAAGGCAGAGCATGCTCTGGCTGACATTGGCCCAGATGAACTGATGTAATAGAAGCTTAGGCTCAAAATGTTGACTGTGGGGTTAGTTGAATGTTACAGAGATGTATTTTCACGATAAGGTTTTCAAAAGACACCTTACAGACTGACCAAGTGAGCTGGAAGAGAAAAAGACAACCCCTGAGGCTTATATGGTAGAATGCAAAATGTCTCTTTTTTCCCCTGGGAGGTCTTGAGCAGATGAAATGAAGGGGAACCTATGATTTAAATGCACAATGCTTACTGAATTTTTTTTTATTTAACAGCACTAATTTTTCTCAGTGGCATCAGAACATTTTCCCGTTCTCCCTGGCAGAAGTTGCGCCACTGCCCATGTTGGTTTTGGATAGATAAACTCTGCAAGTTGTCCAGCTCATGTGCCTGTTGGGTGATTCAGCTTGGGACAGACATATAAAATATTTTCCTACTTACGCCCAGTTCGTATGGAGGAGCTGAACCCTCTCCCTGAAAAGAAACATTCTCCCCTCCCCTCTACAACTGCACTGTTCTTGGTTTGCTTAGCACCAATATATGAATGCAATCCAGAAACTCCCCAGTGAGTCATGCAGATCCTCCAAGCCAACAGAGCTGTAAGAAATTCAGTACATAAACAGGTTTTAATAGAAATGGGTAATTTAGGAAGCAAAAGGAAAAGGCTTTTTTTAGATGTTCAGGCACTTCAGCAATGTTTGACCCAAACCACTCTACAGCTTTGCACTTTATTCCACATCTCATACAAAGTTTGCTTGAATCTTTACATTATGTAGCCGTCTTCATGCCTCGTGCAACTTGTGAATATCACGAAGGACAACTACATTTTCCGGCTCTAAAGATATATTTGTGCCTTTCTTCTACTAGACAGACTACTGCTCGTTGGCTGATGGATGAGCAGAGCACAGAAGCTGTAAGATCTGGGTTGTTCCTGTGGAGCCCTGCCTTTACCTGCCCCACACCTGACGTCATGTATGATGCCAGCTGTGGGGCAGGAGGGTCAGTGGCTCCCTCCCCCTTCTCAACCCCAGTATGCTGCACCTGCTGTTTTACGGCTATTTGGGCAACAACACGTATGGTAGGAAGCACAGTCTTGGAAGGGATACAAGGCCCCTTGAGGAAGTCCTGCACTGAACAAATGCACATTTTTCATACCTTGCTCTGATGCAGCCCTGGCAGGAGGAGAGGGAAGGCGGTAGGTCAGTGCTGGAGACCAGAGCTTATGAACTGGCAATTGAGGGCTGCCAAAGCTGTGGTGGTCTGCACTTGCTTCAGGCCACAAGGCAGGAACAGGGCACATGATCGTTGTGACATTGCGCATGGGAAGGGTAAAATGCCAGGGACTGCTGCAGAACTTTGAGTGGCCCCATTTAAGGACAAAAACAAATCCAGCTAGCATATAGCAGACCTCTCTGCCTGGCACAGCTTGGACAGTTTCCATGCATGCTTGAGATTGAATAAGGCAGTGAGTGGAAAGACAACAAGCTCTACTGAAATATTATTTCGGGATTTGCTTGTTTACCTTTTCTCCTCTTGGTCCACGGGTACCAGGGTTCCCTAGCGGCCCTCTTTCTCCATTTGCACCCTGTGTGATAAAGAACATGTCAGAGATGAGGAAATTGTAGTACACTAGATTCAGCTATGAATTTGACTGACAGCCATAGCAGTCAGCTTTGTTATCTGATGGCTACACGACGATGCGACTGTGTTGTGGTTTTCTCTCATCTGGCAGAACTGAGTGGGGAAGGTAGTATAAGAGCTCGTCCTCAAAAGCCCATTGAGAAGGTAGTTGAGAACATGCTGGGGATAGGGGGAGATCTCCTGGGACAGCTGTGACTTAAGGGATGTATCAACATCATAAAAGAATAATAATGATGGCAATGCTCAATTCCTCAGGCAGCCCAGAGCAACAAGGAAGAAGGCATTCTTGGTTGTGGCACCTTGTATGTGGTTTCCCTGGACTGCACACTTTTACCCTGGGAGTGCACTCTGTTGACCATTCTGGTGGCAGGCCAAAGCTTTCTTTTATTCCATCAGGCTTTTAAAATGGGTTTCCTCTGCTTTATTATTGTTTTGCCACTGTTGTTGCTGCTGTTGTATCTCAGGTGTCAAAGAGGTGTGTCTTCAGGACATGACAAAAACTATGCAACACTCACCTTTGAGAGGAGGAAATTCCACAGCTTAGGTGCTGCTACAGAAAATGCCTTCTCCCATTCTGCCACCCCCAAACCTATAAGAAACTACGAAGACTGTCCCTTAACTCCTGAAAGAATCTCTTAGGTGGTCACTGAGGGCTTTAGCACTCATGTGAACACCTTGAACTGGGCCCAGAAACAAACTGGCAGCCAATGCAGCTGTTTTAGAATGGGGATTATGTGAGTTCTGAATGGAACCCCAGCCAATAGTGTCTCTGCTGCATTTTGGACCAGTTGAAGCCTTTGTGGCAACTTCAAGGGCAGCCCTGTGCAGAGCACATTCCAATAGTTCAGTCTGGACGTTGCCAGAGCACAGAGTGCTGTGGTCAAGTAATCCCTGACCCAAAAGGACTGCAGCTGGCAAACCTACCAGAGTAGGAAACAAGCACTCCCAGCTACTGAGGCCACCAGAACCTCCAGTGACAAGGTTGGAGCCAGGAGTTGAAGAAGGTTCTTCACTGCAGCACTTCACAGGTCACTGCATTCTGTGCCAGGTCATCCCCATGGCTTTTAATCAGCCCTCCATGTCTCAACTACTGCTATGTTGGGTTTTCAGAGGAATACTCAAAATCGGTGCCTCGAGTCCTCATATTGTTGGTTACTCTAGCCAACAGGCATACTTCCCCTGTAATGAAAACAGTAGCCTTACCCTGTCTCCCGTGGGGCCATCTGGGCCAGGATTTCCCTATAAGAATAGGAAAGAAATGTTAAAACCAATCTGTGTAGCAATCTGGTCATTTAGACAATGGAGAATTTTTACATGTCTACCTCATCTCCCATTTCTCCTTTCTCTCCAGGCGCTCCGGACTCTCCAGATGGTCCCTAAACAAACACATGCGAGACAAGAAATAAGCACATTAAAATGAAAGGATTCCAAAATAAGTGACTGGGAGCTCAGGCACCAGCTGTGTGCCACATGACAAGAGTTGATCTCAAGAACAGAAATGGATATATCTGCCAAAACATGATGGTCTTCTTTGGAGATGTCATTCAAAATTGACATATTTGCTTACACAGACAAAATTTGAAAAAGTGGTGCATTGGGAGGGTATCTTTTATTTAGTTGCTAATCTTCCACAGTCTTGTTCTTTCAGGTGTTTCTTCATATGGATGAATTATATGAAAAATGAAAGCAGGTTGGAAGCCAAAGCTTGAAGGAAAATGGCTGTTACTGAATTTTGTTATAATAAATAATAATAATAATAATAATCATCATATTTATACCCCGCCCTCCCCAGCCAAGGCCGGGCTCAGGGCGGCTAACAAGCAATAATAAAAACAAATTGAATGAACACAACTTAAAAACAAAATTAAAATACAACATTAAAATATTGAAACCTCATTGCAGGAGGAGAAAGGAAAAGAAAAAAGAAAGAAAGAGGAGGAGCGAATCAAATTGGCTCCAAGCCAAAGGCCAGGTGGAACAACTCTGTCTTACAGGCCCTGCGGAAAGAAATCAGATCCTACAGGGCCCTGGTCTCATGAGGCAGAGCGTTCCACCAGGCCGGAGCCAGTGTTGAAAAGGCCCTGGCTTTGGTTGAAGCTAATCTAACTTCCTTAGGGCCCGGAACCACTAGGGTGTTGCTATTTATGGACCTTGAGGCTCTCCGTGGGGCATACCGGGAGATATGAAGATAAAAGCATAGCCTCCTCTAGAGAGAACAATTCATCCTCTCTCTCTGGGCCCCCACTTTGGCCAGTAAGGCGACTTAAGCCAAATTAAAGGTTTTCAGGCAAGATGGCCCTTGCCCCTTTCTCTCTGGGCCTCTGCAAGTAACTGAGTGGGCAGGTGGCAGATGTCAATGCTGTTCTCCCTCCCACCTTCGCTGCTCGTGCAGCCCACCATTTTAGGGTCCAGGGTCCCAATCTTCATAATATCTCAGAGGGAGGGAGAAGAGCGAGGCAACTGCCTCTTCTCCCCTTTCTCATTACCCCTGCTTGCTCTCTGGCCCATCGTCACCTTTGGGCAGCAACAGGGAACAGCAGAAGCCAATGGGCCCCAGGCAGAAATATACTTGAGCTGAGCCATGGGTTTTAGCAGGTACCTGACTACGCTGACCCCAGCGCTAACTCCATAGACATTTAGAACACATATCAGAGCTGGGTAGAAAGACAGATCTTCTCAAATGCAAAGGGATTGTTGTTTCACTGCCAGATGGCTGTTCTTTCATGAACTTGTGGGGGAAACTAAGCATGGTGAACACCAAGCTCCATTTCATCTTAACTGACTCCTTGCAAAGAGAGTGTGTAGGTAACAGAGACATTGAGGACATCATTGCAGTATGGAAAAGAACTGAGTGATTGTCTACAGGCCATGTCTTCAACCTTACCTTATCTCCAGGACTTCCAGAGTTTCCTGTCCTGCCTGGTCTTCCACTAAGCCCAGGCTCTCCCTTGAAGGAAATAAACCCAGACACAAAACAGAATTGTGAAGCTAAATATGACTCACTATTTTAAATTCAATCGTCCAGTTTTTAAATTATAATCTGTAAGCATGTGCATAATTTTGATCTGCCCCAGAGTGCAGGCACCAGCCTTGATCAAGAGCTCAAGAACTTTCAGAGGAACAACAGTAGGCCCCAAACTGGAAGGAACCAATGTTCAGTAATCAGCTGGTGATGGGAGAATTTCTTCCTAGTCCTGTTCACAAGTATGCTGGGAAATCTAGATTCTGGGCTTATCCACATTTACCTTTTGCCCCACTCTTTCAGGCATAAGTCTCTGCTTAAAAGCCCCATGTCTGAGCATTTCTGTTTTGCCCCAGAACTTTCCTCACAAAAACGCACTCTTCAGTGTTCCATCAGAGAAAACACAAATTCACATTTCCCACAAAGTGCGATTTGCTCTGGTTAAGCTTTAAAGAGCAGGGAAAGCTCAGGTTGTGGGGTTGGGACTTGGACACAGAGCTTTAAAGTGTGGCCATCTACCTGGAAACAGCAGAGGAAAGGGAAGTGTATGCAAGTCCCCCTGGTTGATCATTCTTGATAACTTGGCTCTAATCCCTTATGTACGATGGTGACCAGTGTGTATACAGGACCTCAAGACCTGCCACCTTAGAGAGTCAGTGTGGTATAGTGGTTATCACAAAAGTGGACAGAAGAACACCCATTTTTGCAGAGTGAGTATATTGGTCCTCCAGCAGTTCATTTTATTTGAGAGATACAGTGTTAAATGTCCCTCCAAAATGGGACAGTAATTGAAGCATGTGTGTTACAGTTCCCTTCCATGCAACACTATATAAGCTACTCTGAGCCACTTCCTTGGCATTAACCAACCAGACCAAAGTTTGTGGTAGGCGATTATTTGGGTATTTGGATGACACAGAATGTCAACCATGTAGAGTGGAAGGATATCTTACTACCAATTTTTTTATCCCTCTTTGTCACAAACGCTCCAAAGAAACACACATCTAGACTCTATTAATCTTCACTAAAGTATGGAAAATATCCTGTGAGGGGAAAGTGTGAAGATTTGGGGACTAGGTGTGACTGTCTCAAGTCATCTTCACGGCTTTATTTATATATTTATATATTTTTATTTCTCAAAATTTACACACCACTCAGTTGTAAAAAAAAAAACCCCTCAATGCAGTTTACAAAAGATAAAACAGTAAAATCAAGAGAAAATACAACCCTACTTTAAAATACACACAAGTTGAAATATTAAAACAGATCAAAATTACCTCAACTTTTTAAGCAGCTGGGTAGGCTTGTCTAAACAGGAATGTTTTAAGCGGGTGCTGAAAAGAGCACAGGGAAGGCACCCGCCTGATCTCACCAGACAGGGAGTTCCAAAGTGCAGGAACTCATGATAACCAACATTTTCCTTTTTTGCTTCACTGCAAGTCTCAGTGCATTCTTGAAAAGGTGTTGCTAGGAAAACTTGAAGCCTCAGTACAACATAAATTTTGCTGCAATAAGATTGTTTTTCAACACCATGATGTCGATCACACTTCTTTTGCAAAAAAAAAAAAAAAGGGCAGATAAAGGGTGCATGATCATTTTAGGCAATCAAAGTCGCCCTAGCAAAGCAACAGCCGGGAACAGTGCAACTCACTAGGCCTCTTCCCCAAGCGTTGTTCTGCAAGTGTGGTGAAATGTTCATGTTCAATTTCCACCTGACTTTCAGCATAGAACAGTTCCCTGACCTAAACAGATAGCTATACTGCTCCAAGCCATAACAAAGAAAACAGATTATTATTCACCTTTCTTCCTTTGGGTCCATAAGGACCTAGATCCCCCTTTGGCCCAGGAGGTCCTTGTAAGCCCTGTTTGAAACCAAGTTGCAATCAGTGTATGTGGGAAACAAAGATAAATCACATATGTTAACATATTGCCATGATCCTCATCAAGGGTAGGGGCTGATTTTTCCCTGGGATCCTCAGGTACATGTTTGGCCACAGCCTCCCTCAATCTCCCAGCACTGCATTTCAAACTTTCCCATGTTGCAGTTTCTCCTCCACTTGTGAGATTCTGCTGCTCACACTTGACTCTAGGAGTGCAACTATATCCAATCCAATCCAAATATTTGTTACGGTCATAGACTAGCATAAGGTAAAAGCACCTCCATACACAAATAAAACATGCTAGATAGGCAATAAGGCAACTGCAGAAGTAGAGGCTGCACATACTCATCCTCTCAGCTGCAGTAGACCAGCATAAGATAAAAACACATAAAACATGTCCCTCTTATCTAAAAACCTGCATCCACTATTGCAGACTCAGATCTCTGCTGCTACAAGCCTAGGGTGATCTAGTATGTTGAACCTACGTACATCAAATCCTGGGGATCCTTTGCATCCTGGTAACCCATGAAATCCTTGTTCACCCTGTAAGGAAAGAAAAGTTGTCCGGATTGATACCCTGCCATTGTTGTTGCTTCTTCCTGTGATCAGCAGCATGCAATAGGCTACTATATAGCATTCACAGAAAGTGAAATTACCCAAAGAAACTAAATCAGTGAGCTTTTTAAAAATAATAATAAGGGAAGCAACTGGCTTTGATACATGGCAAACAGTTCTTCAGACTTAGGCAGCCCCACCTGCTCTGCAAACAGTGGACTCCCACTCCTGGTCTGGAAAGTGTGCCCATGACATTAACCTGACTCCATATCTACCCTGAATCCATCCTGTGTTTTGATTCATTTCCCCACAAACCAGCTTCTGCCTGAACCCGGAAAAATAAGAACCCAGCCATGTTTTATGTTGGTAATGTGTACACAGCTTTAATGCAGTCTAAAAAGATCTGCGTTGCTCATTCCAGCATTCCAGCTTAAGCATTTGGTGATTTCCCCTCTGAGCGCTTGGATGCTCATCACATTGGCTATTCCTTCTGCATCTCTGTTCTTCTTACCATTACACATTTAGTGGTGATTTTCTTGGAATGAGCCTTTTCAGGCCCTGTTGCAAATATTTTTCATGCACATTTGCTCTGACTTACATACGTTTCTTTGTTAGGAAAAACATAGAGATTGTGCCCTGTGCATGAAAATATTAACCATACCTTCTTGCCATCTAAACCATCGATGCCACGCCTGCCTTTCTCTCCCTGAAAGGAGAAAAAAATGCAAAAAATGTAAAAACAATGTTTGTTGTCTCCAGCATAACTTTTGAAGTAGCATCCACCCCCCCCCAAAAAAAACCCCCAATACATACCTTGGCTCCTTTTGCACCTCTTGAGCCCTGTGGATGAGAAGATGATTTAGTTTGTGGTACCAGCTACTGAAATATGCCTCACTGATCACCTAACCAACCAGGGGTTGGTCCCAGGTGGCTTTTCATCCTGGCATTGATCAGATCCAAACCTGCTTAAATCCAGCAAGGCATCTTTATCATATGTCCTCAGACCACAGTCTAGGAATTCCCTCGCTAACTGTGGAGAGATTGTTCTCTCATTAAAAAAAAGGTGGGTAAGTGGAAACTTACAAAATATTTCAGTTCCCACCCATCACCACTGACATATCTATAACCAACAAAAGCATAATTTAACTGTTTTGGTTCTGACAAAAAGCAAAACAAACCCCTTTGTATTCAACTCCAAACTGCTACTTATAATCGGATGCTAATGGCCAGGGCTTTATACTGTGCTGTATACAGTGCTAACTATTTTGTGATATTTTTGTGATAGTAAAAGCTGAACAGGTAAGAGCTCCAGGTAAGGGTTGTTTAAGTGGCCAGGGCACAGACGGGAGGGAAGCCCTTCTGCTCCATCAGCTCCGCCCCCCCTGGCCAGCCTGCATCCGAGCCTGCACCTCCATTCGTCAATCTTGGGTGCAGGCTAGGATCTGGCTCCTGATAGGCTTTCACTGGCTCCGCCCATCAGGACAGGAGGCCAATCCTGGGATTCTTCTCCGGGCCCTTGACACCAGCAACACCGTGGCACCATGAGGGTGAGTGGACCATTTTGGATTTTTTATATTATTATTGAGCAGACTCTTTGCCTTCTGTAGGGTTGCACTTTTAATCAATGGCACACTCACCTTGTCACCTCGGGTACCTTTTTCTCCCTAAACAGGACAAGGAGAAAAACACATTACAAAATGAAGAAATGAGACAAAATTTAACTATAGAAAGTCAAATTAAGCAATCCGTTAACCAACAGTATACCTTCATGCCTTGGTAACCAATGGGTCCTGGGTCACCTTGCTTCCCCTAGAATAAAGTAATAATAAGAAAAGTCACAAACCACTTTGCACAAAGTAATCAGACATCTGCTGTCATATGCACTAGTATCTGAAGATTTTTAGGCAAAAGCAATTTTATTATAATGGACAGGACATGAAAGATTGTACATTAATAACATTCTATAACTTTTAATGTACTCCGTGTATGTCATTGTGGGTGAAGACAAGCAGCCATTCTAAGGGTTCATCCCACCATTTTCACCTGGGAAAACCCAACCTTTGCTGCTGAATTTGAAGCAAACATCAGTTGGGTTTTTGCAGATTGACATTTGCTCCAATTCAGCACTAGAGTGGGTTTTCCCAGGGAAACCAGCTTTGCAAAGGCAAAACCACTTGGATTCATCCCTAGAAAGCATGGGACAAGTGGAAAGGCACCCAGCCCTGTGATCTCTAGGCACGGAAGAAGCGGGATGTAAACGAGCCCTAACTGTGGTGAAAGTAAGTTGCAACACACATTCTTTGCTCAGAAAATGAAGGCCCAGGGATATAGAAAGGAGGCATTCAAACTGCCTTTCGAATCCTGTCTTCACTTGATGACTCCCAGTGTATTTAATTTACTGTTTAAATACATAAAACTATTTGTACCCCACTTTCGATCCACAAGGTGATTAGCTACAAAGGAAACTAAAAGAAAACCAACACTCATTACATACAGTCCAAACAGCTGAGTGAATCAAAATGCCAACAGCAGTCTGGCTTATAAAACCAGCAGTCAGCAAACTCTAAAAGCTTTGTGAAAGAGACGCCTTTGCCTGGGTCGCTTCTGTCTTCGTGGATGAGAAGAGGAAGCTCTTGTGGGTCTGCAACTCTGATCATGCCCCGAAACCTCTATCTGCTTAACTGGCTGATGGAAATTCAATTAGTTTTCTGGACAGCCAGGGAAGGCATTCAATCTCCCCACTAAAATCAGAATGAAAACCCAAGGAAAAAACCCCTACCTAATGAGTGCATGAAAATGAAACCAAAGAAAAAAATTTAAATGAATGAAGTGCTGTTTCCTGATCTTCCAAACTAAAAACAAACAATATGAGTAACCATCCCTTTGGAGATGTGGGAGAAACTCGCCACCTCCCAAACTAAAAGTACCCAGGTTTGGTTTGGTTTTTTAAAGAGGAGGGAACAAGGAACACACACACACACACACACACACACACACACACACACACACTCCACCCTGTTAGCAAATTGTATCCCAAAGAGGACTGAATAACCCTGCCTTGTTTGTGCTTTGAAAGAGGTGGATCCCCAAAGCCAGGTAACAAATAAATAAATCTGAGGGTAGAATATGTTACTGTTGGCTTCTTGGCCAACACCTGGCAAAAAAGAGATGTAAGTTAAAGGGCTGGAAATATAGGGGTGGGGTGACTCAATGTAGCCTAAGCCTGGTTGAGGCCTCTTGCTAATCTTACTTAACGGGCAGAGAAACCCTCATGAGGGCCAGGGAGCAGCAGAGGGGAAGATCCACCAATGGCTCTCAAGTCTGGCTGTCTCATGCTGGGCCCCACTCAAGGTGAGGTTCTGGGTTGAGGCTTCCGGATCCGATTGCCTTAATGGAGTAGCTCCCACGGCAACCGGAGATCATTGGCAAAGGAATAAAGAAAGATGACAGAGGGTAATTAGCTTTGTAAACTCCCCCCAGGGTCAGGGGAAATTGCTTCACTCACGGACCATCAGTATCACCACCCACAATGATTCTGTGGAGCAGTCTTCCCCGCTTGGGATATCTAGCTTGCTGGGCTTGGTGTTCCCTTTGATGTACAGAGCGACACCACCTCTGGTACATCCTTCTCTGCCCTTCCTGTAGAGTTTATATACTGAGATAGCTATGTCCCACTGGTTCTCTCCATTCCACCAGGTTTCATTTATGCAATATATCAGTGCACTTCACGTCACCCTTCTTGGCTCAGACGCTTCTAACATTAGCATATAAACACTTGTGTACAGTCTCTCGCTTGAAGTGTCTTTGGTACTTGCATTGTTATCTGCCTGGGCTCCATTCAGTGACCTTCAGAAGGGTATGCAAGGGCATTGCTACAGAAGATGCAATGACAAATGAGGGCCTTTGATTTTTATAAATAAATCTTCCCTTCATAATCTTGCTTCATAATTTGTGTTCTTATTTTGTATTTTTATGTTGTGAATTGCCCTGTGATCTTCAGATTTAAAAATTTAAAAAATAAATTATGGTGGTCATCTGCATAAATGTGTAAATAGCATGAATCAGCCTTCACAGCACCCAGAGAAGGTTTCTCAATAGGTTTCCCTAAACAAAGTTTTATTTTACTTGATTATTTCCCAGTCAAATAACTGCGACTTACAGGTTCTCCAGCATCTCCTTTTTCACCAGGAAGGCCAGGTTTCCCCCTTTCTCCCTGAAACAAAACAGAAGTAAACATGAGACACAATTTTGATTTTACATTCAGTTCCATAGACTAGGATTCCTGCATTGCAGGAGGTTGGACTAGGCATAGCTGTCAACGTTTCCCTTTTTTAAAAGGGAAATTCCCTTATTTTGAATAGGATTCCTCGCAAGAAAAGGGAAAAGTTGACAGCTATGTAGACTAGGAGACCCTTGGGATACCTTCCAACTCTACAATTCTATACAAATGCATGGGGTGGGGGGTGGGGAGTGTGTATTGGGGACCAAGAATATCCTCAGACTTGTGAATGAGATGAGTTTCCTTCCAAGAGCCCATTTAATTGGTGAAGCCACCACCACGTTGTTCTTGTAAATCTGTTTGTTTTTTTAAAAAAATCTGCCACACTGCAGACATTTTCAAACGGCAGCTTTAAGTAGTTGGCCCTTTGCAACACAGAAGGACGTCTAAATTACATTTAACAACAACATTAGACAAATGACAGACATCACCACAACATAGGTAAAGGTAAAGGGACCCCTGACCATTAGGTCCAGTCGTGGCCGACTCTGGGGTTGCGGCACTCATCTCGCTTTATTGGCCGAGGGAGCCGGCGTACAGCTTCCAGGTCATGTGGCCAGCATGACTAAGCTGCTTCTGGCGAACCAGAGCAGTGCACGGAAACGCCGTTTACCTTCCCGCTGAAGCGGTACCTATTTATCTACTAGCACTTTGACGTGCTTTCAAACTGCTAGGTGGGCAGGAGCTGGGACTGAGCAACGGGAGCTCACCCCATTGTGGGGATTTGAACCGCCGACCTTCTGATCGGCAAGTCCTAGGCTCTGTGGTTTAACCCACAGCGCCACCCGCGTCATAGCATTTATTAATTAAAGTATTTGCAACCTGCTTTTAATGTAAAAGTCCCCACACTACAATTTAAACTAAAAAGGTTATCATAATACGGTAATATAGTTTTTTTAAAAAGATACACCCTGTGGAGATTTCCAGCAGCACTGATATCCCAAAAGATTGAACTTTGGGGCATTCCCACCTCATCTTTCCCCACCAATGTCTGGGACAATAGTGTTTCATACAGAATGTAAACGAGCTGTGAAAAAGACTATGAATTGAAAGTGGATATGTTATATGTACATTTCCTTACTTATTTGCTTGCTTTGTATCACAAAAAAATCTTCAGTAAAAACAAATTTTAAAAAACACCCTTTGAAATTTATGCTGTGCTCTTTGGTTCTTCTGCAAGCTCACATTGTCCAAAGTACAAGGGGTGGCAGGTGTACAAGGGAAGCATATGAAATAGGACCCCTAAGAAAGATCTCATCACATTGGTAAGTTCTTATGGGAGAAGACAGCTCTTATTTCTTAAAGTATTCTGGGTCGATCCCACTTAGAGCTCTGGCGATTCAAGTCATCCCTTTAAATATTGCCTGGAAGCAAACCAGAAGACAGTTAAGCTACTGCAAAATTGGGACCGCGTTCTGCACACAGCTTGCACCAGGCAGCCCTCAGACAGATGCATTTGGAACTAAGTGGTGTTTCTAATTACTTTTCAAGGAGCTCATTTTGGTGGACTAATCCAGATGTGAATAAGGCCAGAATCACTGTGGCTAAGCAATTTCTTTCCAGGAAAAGTTGCAGCTGGCAAATCTAAGCTTTTAAAGTGCACACCAGCTATCAGTGCCGCCTGTACATCCCAGTGTGGTGCTAGATCCAGCAGCACCTTTAAGCTCATTCAGGATTAAATCCTGGCTGGCTTCTATTTTCCCACTTACTCACCTGGCATTGACCAGCAGTAGACAAAGACGGTTGTGTCACTGGCTGAAAAACTGGAAGGGTGGAATACCTTGCAAATGTCACATGTTTTTGCCACTGTCAGTCTCCTTGTCCCACCAGTGGCAGTGTATTCCTCAAAACTTGTTAGATTTTCCACATTCAGCCTTATAGGTGTGGCAAATTGAGTAAAATACCAACCTCATATCCTGGATCCCCTAATGGTCCCGGGGGGCCTCGGGCAGGCTGCAAAAAGAACAGTGAAGAGTTAGTGATTTGAACAGAGAAATGGGACCATTTTGACATTAAATATGATTTATATTACGAGATAGACACTCACCTGGCATTCATATGAGCAGCACTGCCAAGAAAGAGAAAGTATACCATTAGAGGAAGAGCAAAGGACTCACCGGGAAACCAATTTCACAGAACACGCACTCTTTCTCTACTAATCTAGCAGAAAAACCATTTATTCATGTTTATGCAATGAACTACAGTTTAACATATCCCCCAAGGTTTGCTTTGGTCAGCTCTAGGGGGAGTTAGATATGTGCCATAGGCTTCCATGTGATAGATGGCAAACTAATCTACTGAGTACCAAGATTGGTAAACTGAAGCAAAAGACCACCCTAAAAACCCCTGCAAAGTTCCATTGCTTGACTAAACACCAAAATGTTGGCAAATCTGAAACAAATGTCCCTTTAAATGGAATAAAACGGTCTATTTGCATGTGACTTTTTCCTGCAAAGCATGCAATGTATTTGCATGTGACAACTGCACATGAGTCTATTTTGCTCCTTGAATAATGCAATCGGTCCTTTAGGCCTTTCTCCTCAAAACCCTTCCATACTGACAAGCAGCCTCAGCTTGGACCAAGGGTTCCTCTCCATTATGCTCCAGTTGGTGGGTACTTTAGGGTGGAAAGGGATGACCAGATGCCTGTCTGGAAGCAGAAACTTTGTGAGCAGATGGTCATCTATAACTTCCACCTACACAGGAATCTCATGTTATCACTCTCCACGATTGCCCCCAAATGCAGGGAAGTAGAGAGAAGACAAAGCTTTAGGTTGTTTCAGCCACCATATAATTAGCTTTTAAGAAGCTAATGTACAGGCCCAGTAAAGTGTTTCTGCTTGGCATGAAATGCTAAGCCAAACTCTGACTCATGATTCTGTGAGAAAAATAATTTCCTTTTTCTGACACACAGGCAACGGAAAAAGAGAATCCTGGGTCTCAGGTTTACATTTGCTCTGCAAGCTGAAGTTCTACTGGAGAATAAATGATGGAAACATACAGGGAAATTGTAAAAGTCGGAAATTATTCCTTGGTGGAAAAACAGCTTACCTCTTGCTCCACTGTCTCTGTCTGAAATAAATAAACAACAAAGAAGTCATATGAGGCACAAGATGGTTCAATGTATTTGACTCGGAACAAATAGAGAGGGAAGACAGATACATACAATTCTAGCAGTGATTTTGTCAATTGTGTTGTCAATATCACGTGCTGGACGTCCAGTTGCTGTGAAATTCTCACGATAGGAATGGTCTGTGGCAATCACACCGAGCCGAGATTCCTAGGGCAAAAGAAGCACATGGGCAGAAATGAGAAACCGGGGGATTTGGAAGGACTGCTACTTTCTCACTCAAATCTAAGTTCCTTGGGGCTGCTGAACTGATGTAATTCTGTTCATCGGATGGCACTGCAATGAAGAAACTTGCTACAGAAAGCTAGGAGATAAATGTAGTCACATGAAGCTTACAATGCAATCACAATCTCTAAAAGTCGTTCTCTAAGAGTAGGCTGGTTATAGCTACCTACAAACCATACAGGGGAGTTGGCTGGGCAGGCACCATTGGAATGACCCAAGAGCCAGAAATGCTGGATGAAGGCTGTTAAGGCACCATCTGCCAACCCTATCTATAGTCAAGAGTCTTGCTTTCATGACATAAATAGCAGGAATACTGCGGACAAAATGTACATTTAATATAACGCATTTTAACTGAATTATTTTCTCTTGGATGTGGGCAAAGTTTGTTGAAACTGATTCTTTACTTTTTGGCAAAATAATTTACAGGGAAACTGGAGGAATTTATTAATGGGAGGGGGCGCTTGAGCATGTCCACTGAAGCTGATTGTAAACAAAATTCTGACGGTAATGTTAGGGGTGATGTGGAGCTCTTTGAGAAAATTATGTTCCTTCAGGGAGCCAGATTTCAACCTTGAGGTGAACTAAAACAAACTTCAAATCATGGTTGAGACGAAGAGCATTTTCTGGGACTATCTAGCAGGAAGGTTTTGACTCACTCTTCTTCCAGATCTGGACATACTGAGACTTTACTCATGGTTTCCTAACCCGAAGAGACTGGTTGATTGCTGCCAATGCAGAAAGTGGTTGTTCAAGGCTTGATACTTGTCCATAACTTCTTAGTAGTAGTTGCTGGTTTTGACTCACAAAACCTGTGGGTTAAACCTTATGTAGCTGTCACTTTTTCTCGCCTGCATTTCACCGTGATTTCTAGAGCAGGCAAAAATGACCTTTTTAAACATACAAATTGGTGGAGAGAGGAAATGGGTGTGGAATTGTGGACTTAGCTTTCTTCCTCTTCTTAGCCCTGGCATCAGTGGCAGAACAGAATCATTTCTGGAAATACTGTATTTCCATGGAGATCTAGCAATGCCTCAGAGATTATTAAAATCCAAGGTTTAGAGAGAGGCCTTTCACCTATCTTCCAGGTCATGGTAGGGATGTTGGGAGCCAAAGGATCAACCAGATCTACTAAGTAATATCCTGTTTCTGCTTTGATTCTCTCTATTTATGGGCAGCAATTGCTCTAATAGCATCCGTGTGTGTGCATTTCATACCAGATGGTCTGGAGATATGGCAATGGAGAACACTTTGATCCCCAGATGTTTCGCTTCAGCTGCAGCATCTTCCAATCCGCCACAGGGCTCTTTGTAGCCTTCCAAGGGGTGTCCGTCTGTCACCACAATCAGGTATTTATTTTCATTCTTATGAGATCCTCTGCAGGGGGAAGAAATCAAACCCACTAGTGCCGCCATACTGTCTCTATAATATGAGAACTCCAAAGCATCAGTCCTAAACCCTTGCACTGGCATAGCCACCTGCTGTACCAATTGCAGTGTCTAATTACACAAAGATATATAGGTTTGTATTTGCTGATGAACCTACTCAACCAGCAATATGCTAGAAACGTAACAAAACACATTATCATAGAATCAAAAATTGTAGAGTTGGAAGGGACCCCAAGGGTCATGCAGTCCAACCCCCTGCAAGGCAGGAACCTGAACTCAGGACTCAGCTACATTAGTCAAAAAACAGCATTTTGAATGTGTTGTAAACTTGCAACACCAGATGGCACCAGAGAGCAAAAAAGAATTCTAAGTGCTTTTCCATAGCGCTTTTTTTCCTTTTGTTATAACAATTTAATTTCTGACTTATTTATAGCATCCCACCCCCCCCTTCTGGTGTGTAGATCCACCCTCATTCTCAACCTCCAAAGAAGGAGAGTCCACAACCTCCCAGAGGAGACTGTTCCACTGTCAAACAGTTTTTCCATATTTTTATTCAGAATCTCCTTTCTTGTCATTTTAAACCATTGGTTCAGGTCCCACCCTCTGGAGCAGGAGAAAACAAGCTTGCTCCTTCTTCCATGAGACAGCCCTTGAGATATATGAAGATGGATCTCTTATCTCCTCTCAGTCTCCTCTTTTTCAGGCTAAACATACCCAAAGCACATTTGTTCACACAGGCATTTGGGGGAGGTCTGTAAATGAGTCTCACTATTTTTGACACTGAACTGTTTTTATTGATTTGATGCAATTTGTAATGATGTTTAAATTAAATAGCTTATGATTTTGTTATGTGCGTTCAACACCCTACAGAATGAGGGGTAAATGTAAATAATGAAAGAAATAAACAAGCAATAATAAATCTAACTACGAATATTGTGATCAGAAAGTGCAAATTCTATGACTTAAATAAACTCTTCAAAGTAAATAAGGAATACATTTTGTTCTAGTATCAAACTGACTTTTTTTTTCTTAGAGGAAACACCCCCCCCACATAAACACACATAGGTCCTCTCAGAGTCCAGAGAGGCCCAGGCCACTTTCAACATTTGAGGCCCCAACTCATAATGAAAATTGAAAATGATGAGTGAACACACAAGCACAATACAAGTCCTCCCATTCAGCAACCAAAAGCTGCTTCTCTCCCTGCTTCCACGTCAGATGAAGAAAGACACATGATCCTCATGACAGAAAGCCTGAGAACTAAACGCACAGTTGGAATGGAGAGAGCTGCACAGTGGAAATGCCTCAGATTCCTGCCTAGTTAGGCTGTGTTCCTTACCCCAAGTACCTGGGAGTAAGCTCCACCCAACTTAATAGGACTTAATTCTGAGTAGACAAGGTTAGGAATGCACTTTCAAAAGGGTTGCCAGACGCCCAGGACTAACCTGAATATATAATAACCTAAATTATTATTATTATTATTATTATTATTATTATTATTGCATGGGGTCTTAGGGGTGGGGTAATATCTATGGTGGGGGATGTGTCCTGCTCTTTCTGGGGTAGTTGACCCACCTTTGGTGCCCATCATGCACGCAGTTCTCACCTGTGGCTCCTAGAAGCTGTCTGCCTGGGACAGTGGCCACCCCCCAAGAACAGCTTCCCCTGACCAGCTAAACCAGGTGAGGGCAGCTGATGGGCCTCAAACCCTCAGTGCGTTAGGGACTTGTCTATCCCCTGCCTGCGAAAGAGGCTCTGGCAGACTGAGCGGATGAGACCAACAAAAACAGGAGTGACAATTTTGGAACAATTCCTGTTGTGCCTTTATGCATCTTTGTGGGGAGCGGGGGCAGAAAATCGTGGCCATTTTGGTTTGTCAATGCAAGTCATTGGGAGGATTGAAACTTTGGTTCTCCCCCCCAGCATGGCTTTGGATTCGAGGTCATAGGTGAGGGTCCCCCAAAGCAATCCAAAGCAAATACAGGTCTCGAAGCCTTGACGGGGGCCTCACGTATCCCCCTCCCCTTTTTCAAAAGGCATTTGAGGCAATGAGGGGAAGGGAGAGGGAAAATGGCCTGCACTGCTGCTCCCCTCCTCTTCAAAAGGTCTTCTGGGCAACAAAATATACCCCCCAAACATCCTCAAAAAAGAAAAGAAGAGAAGAGAAGAGAGCAAGAGGCAGATAAACCTGACTCCGACTCCAAGCCACCACTTTGGTTCACAGAGTGCCCCCACCCCCCGCCGCAGAGTCCTTAGTAAAGAAGACTGGAGGGGTTTACACCACAGCCAACGTATAGGGAGAGACACCTTGAACCAAGTCATAAACATTTTAAACTCTTTAATACAATCAAAGCTATATCACTTAACCCCCAAAATGTATGTTACCAAACCACATCTCTTAGAGCAGCTTAACTTTGCAGTTCCAAGCTGTCACATGTTGGTCCAATGTACATAAAATCAACTTGTGAAACTTATCAAATGCCAGAGAATTAATGAGCCCCCCTTTGAACTTGAGGACTAAGCCAAATGCCCCTTGCCACCCTCTGACCAGCCCTGTACACACACACACACACACACACACACACACACAGGCACTTGTGTGACAGCTGCTTCCCCATGGTGCAATAAATTTACCTGAGTGCTTCTTATTAAACTATTTTGTTGGGATGGAGGATACTGATTTGATGGGAAAGAGCCTTGCCGCTGTGTGTCTGCTCTCTCTCACACACACACCCTGCTGCAAAGGGTCAGGTTACTGTGAGCTCTTGGTGTAAAGGGCAAAACACCTGCCACTGCCCAAACAACTATGGGAAAGGGGATGGAGACAACAAAGCCTCAGAGAGCCAAGGCAGAGCATGCTCATCCCAGTCTACCCGCCCAAGAGCCCCTGGTGGAAAATGATACTATTTGCAGCATTTCCCAATGCTTGGCAGTACCCCACCCTAAAAAGAAAACGTCCCCTGTCAAGGCTCTGCAAAGTTCTGCTGCTTGGATTTGGGCAGGGACAGGGAGAGGCACAGAGCAGCTGGTTTGGCTCACCAAATAACGTACCTTTGGGGGATGGGGAAGGACATGTTAGGGGACCATCTCAGAGCCTTAATCCAGAGGGGACCCTTTTCGGACTAGGTTGTCTTGGTGCTGTTCACATGCATTCAAGCTGGGTAGTTGCTCTTGGGCGTAGCCATGGTCCAACGTGCATGATAGTGTGTGCATTTGTGCCTGTGTATACGACACTGATGCGTGTCAAGTGTGTGGGAAATCGCATCAATAAGAAAGAGCAGAAAGTCTGAAGAGCAAACTAGTACAGGCCAACAAAAGCACACATCTAAAACAAACCTCCTGTTTCCAAGGGTTTCTCCACACGACAACAAATTTGGTTTCAAATTCTGCACCAAAATCCAAACACTTTATCACAGGATTCAATATTTTTGCCTACTGAAATTGATAGGTGTATATGAACGGGCTGCTGTGGCATCAGGGACCAGCTGCCAAGCCACCAATACTACAGTCCACTGGAAAGGGCTAGAAAAGCTGCCCAGGTACCCCGTCTTCCTCCCACTTTTCCCTTCCTCCGTTGACGGAATGAGAAAATTAGCGTTCCCACTTACCCGATGAGCAGCTCTTCAATCCCTCTCTTGATGGCACAGTCTGTGTAGGTGCCTTTGCCAATAGAAACCACGGAGGAGACCCTGTTCTTCAGGTCTGCTCTCCCTGCAGGCATCCGGCTGAGCTCCTTGATCAGCTGCACTTCATCACTGTAATGCAAGGCTCCCGCATTCCACACAAGATTCCGGTCGCACCGATAGTATCTATAAAGAAAGAGAACCACCTCCTTAGCTTTGGTGCCCCTTGCATATTTTTTATTTCTGTCTGTTTATAATGTACAAATAGACATACGTCACAATGTACATCTGTGAAAGCTCCCCACAGCATCCTGTACCAGCTGATCCGGCCCACCCATGAGGTAGAAGAAGAAGAAGAAGAGTTTGGATTTGATATCCCGCCTTTCACTCCCTTTAAGGAGTCTCAAAGCGGCTAACATTCTCCTTTCCCTTCCTCCCCCACAACAAACACTCTGTGAGGTGAGTGGGGCTGAGAGACTTCAAAGAAGTGTGACTGGCCCAAGGTCACCCAGCAGTTGCATGTGGAGGAGCGGAGACTCGAACCTGGTTCCCCAGATTACGAGACTCTTAACCACTACACCACACTGGCGGTGTGGACTGAGGCAGCCTCCTACTGCCACCAGAGAAGCAAGGAGGAGTGGAAGTGGCTTGCAGACCCACTCCAAGATCTTGCAGGGGAACAGCACCTTCCCATTTCACCTCAGATGGCAAAACTGGATGGGCTGCCCCTGTGTGCCAGGATGCCCTGGGAGCAGGATGGATGGATGGTGTCTGCTGTTGCTCTCCTTCCTTCCTTCCTTCCTTCCTTCCTTCCTTCCTTCCTTCCTTCCTTCCTTCCTTCCTGTTGTTGACTCACATACCAGAAATGAGAGGTTGCATGATTCTATCTCTTGCCATGAGGCACATAAGGCTGCTGCTTGCAGGTGTGGGGTTGTGGTGGTTGTTGTTATTTTGAATTTATATGCCGTCCTATACCCAGACATCTCATGGTGGTTCACAGAATAAAATCAAAATATAAAACCACAAAATACATAATCAAAATAAAAACAACAACCCAATAAGCCCCCCGACACCTCAAGGATACGGCTGTAGGATGGAGCACATGAGGGGAGAAAGTGTGTTTTGCATATCTGCTCTCATAACAAATCAGCACTGATTCAGATAAACAGCAAAAGCTAGATTTTTTTTAAAAAAAACCCTGACCTGCTATTTCTACCACATTTGTCTTAGTTATCTTGCTATCTTAGTAATCTTTGTTCCTTCTCCCATGCCGTTGATAGCAGCCCGACACAGATGTTTAGCTTTCTCCAGAAGTGGAGCAGAAGTTGAGCTCTGGCGCAGCTGCATCAAGTGGGGTCGGCCTCCTGGCTGTGGTGCAGCTGGGGAGAGACGTCCCTTCTTCCTCCACCGGGCCCACTGGCTGCTAGGGCTCACCCACAGTTGAAGCCATGGGGCATGGTTTGGGGAACTGGCCAGAGGGAAGACTCTCCGGCTATAGAAGCCCAGGGGACCCAGGCCGCAGCTCAGTTGTCGCTGGTTTCCCTGCCCGCCCGCCCTGCTCCTTATGTGGTAGGGCTGGCCGAGGGCAAGCAGGCAGCTCCCACAGAGGACCTTGCTATGGAAACCTTTATTCGCCAGCTTTGGGGCCAGGGAAGAATTTGCCTTCAGACAAATTGGGCCTGTCTGGGGGTTTTGCCTGCCTCGTAGGCACTGTCACAAGTTGATGGGGACAAGGCTGGGTTCTTAGTCCAAATGGCCAGGGGGTGGGGCCTCGCTCCAAAGGATCAGGGGATCCCCTTAAAGGGATCCTGGGAGGTGCATCTGTCTGGACACCCCTGATGAGGGAGGGTGGATGGGTCACGCCACCCCCGAAAATTGTGATGGGGGGGGAAGTTGCCCTGATTTGATGTACATCATAGGGCGATCCTTAACATTGGGTAATCTTGCCAAATAATCAACCGGCAGACAGGTCAGTTGATTCAGGATACACCCCCCAATGCCTGCGCCAAAGCCTTCTAACGTCTTTAATCAATAAAATTGTGGCCTGTTTAAATCATGGTTGGTTGTCCTGCAGTTATTGCAACTTTACCCTGCCTTGGCCCCACCACCACTGGTTACACTCCACCTGGAAACGCAATTTATCACCACAATAGAAAAACATCAACTTGTGTTTCATCAGGGTGCACAAAGGCAAGGTAAGGAAAACAAGTTCAGCTCTAATTAAATATGAAAGCAGAATTTCTTCCCCTGACATTGGTCTGCCCAAACATAAAACAAGACCAGGAATTTTGGAATACCACTACCACCTGCAGTTTAGAGCAGGAGACTGCAGAACATTCTTCTCCATATGAAATGCAGCAGGAATTTTGAACAATGACTAGGAAGTATAAAACCCACATAAAATGCATGCTTTTCAAATGAAATTATTATTCTTACTGTGTAAAAATGTGCCTTGAATGTTTAGAACAAGACAAAAGACCGTATCAGATGTTTGTTGTAGGATTGCCAGGGCAGTTCATGCAACATTTACCTGTCAGTTAACTTATCAAGGAATCGGTTGGTGAATGCTTTAACTTGATCCACCAAGGCCCCAAAAGGCTTTTCTCTTAAGGCAACACTCTCAGAGGTATCCAAGACGAAAAACAGATCCACAGGACAATCTGTGCAAAATCAGAAAGAGGAAGTTTAAAAAGAACACTCTTTATAATACAAGATTCTCCAGAAAGTCTGCAATACTTCATGATGAAGTACACCTGAGAGGGTCTTTTTTGGTGAGGGGATGGCATTGCAGTGTAGTACCTATGTGACATAGAGCCCATCCAGACAACCTTTTTATTGTGCATCCATGATAATTTGTGATCATGATGCTATGCAGGGGGTGGGGGTGTCATACAAGACCCTTCTTTCTATACTGATGGGGCAGTCACACGGCTTCCTTTCTAGTCAGTGCACATTTAGGAACTTCCTGCTGAAATCCCATCGCTTTGTGCCACAAATGTTCAGGTTGACTTTTGCCCTTCTTTCGGTGCCTCTCTCGACAGCAAGAATGTGGTGGTATTAGGCAACATCACAGAACAAGATAAAGAAGAATAAATCCACTACTGATGCACGATTATTGTGCCCAGACCATGTGGCAGAAGATGCCCACAATAGAACAATAGATCCCCCAGATCCTGAATAAGGGCCTGGTCTGGGCTCCCCTGTGGTGCCAGACTGGATCTGGGGCAGAAAAGGAGGGTGTAAATGCCCCCACGTTCCATCCTGGCAGGCAAGAGGCTGTATATCTCCCTATCGCCTCTTAGGACTGCTGTGTAAGAGTGCTGTCCTCTGCCTGTTTACTTGGAAGTAAGCCACACCGAATGCCTTAGCCACTGGGACTGTAGCCTAAGCTGCAGATGAGGAGGTCCTCCCTCTGCTTGGATCAGCCTACTATACTTTTGAGTGAGAGCTCTTTGGGGACTATTAACTTGCTGATGAAGAAATATCGTTGAAACAGTTCATTATCCTGGAAGAACTGTTCTGTCTGCTGCACCACCAGGCTCCAGTTCATTCTCCACCAAACTGTGATATAGATATGAACTGTGGAAAGGCTTTCTGCCTCAACTTCAGTGTTTCTTTGGGGTCACACACCATTCTAAGCATTCCTGTTGATGGAATATTCATTTGACTTCTATTAGTCCGTGACTTCTTGCACGTATTATATGGCTTTTGTTTATGAATTTGTTTATGAATTAAGAAACAACTGATAGTGTTTCATAAATACTGCCAATACATTATTAGCCCTCGTGTTGTCTTTTGTTGATCTGCTTGGAGCTTGGCTGGTGGCTGGAGACACAAAGCTCTCGCATAGCATCATACATCCCCACCCTTTGAATATGGAGTTAAAAGAAAGGAATGACCTTCCAAGGACCTTATCACAAGATAAGGGACATGAAACTCTTTAAATAGTGCTACGTAAATGCTCAGTATTATTATTAAACTAATTTAAATGAATCAATATATATAAATAAAACGAGGCATGTGGGTCACAGTGCAGAGGCCTTCACACCCAAACAGGAATTGGACCTTTTGCTTCTCGATTATCACTCTGCCACTCCCCCCCTCCAACATGGCAACTCACTTCTGAAACTCCAATGAGCCCATAGGAGCCAGCTCCTAGGGGCAAAGTTTCCTTCTCACCCCAATAAAATATTTGAGGGGGCTGCCCCCCCCCGAGTTGATGAGCATTCAAATGGTGTGTATGCGTCACGTCTTGTGATCGATTATGTGGGACTGGGCTTACCTCCCCCACCTCCCCAGTATTTTATTCAAGTTGACCCCTGAATGAGCCTCAACAGCAGTCTCTGGCCTGGAAATCTGCGAGCTAAGAAAAAGAAAAGAAGGTCCTTCTGGGTAGCTTTAGTCATAAGGTTTAGAACCCTCAAAAAATTATTACTTATGGTTTTGGAATATCATCTACAATATATATTGCAGATGCCAGAAACTGTCACTAGCCTTGGGCTGCTGGATTATCTTTGTAGAGATCTTCATGTGGAGAAAGGGGTCAGGATTGCATCTCGATCCCTTCCCCTTGCCATGCCTGACCTTCCTGCTCTCAGGATATCTTCACAGAGAGCCTGTGGGGGGTTGCCTGCCAATGGAGAGCATAAGTTGCACATCCAAAGCCAACTCCCTTATTAGAGGATGCACATATAAGCCTCTGTGCCCACGTCACTCAAATACACGGATGTCAGAGACAGGACCAACAGGTGTGATTCTGCACACACATATATACACACACAAACACAGTTGATATTTAGTTGAAAGACTCTGCTCAAGAGCATTCTTTTTAGAGGGAAACTGAAGAAAAATGAACGCAGCCCGAGACAGTAAAATGAGCCACTACTTCCTCTTCCTAATATAAAAAGATGATTACATTATGAATATCTGCTATGTCAAAAGTACATATAAAACACCCTCTTTTCCTTTTTTCCTTCTGCAGCTTTTTTGTTCTTCTTTTGGCCATTTTTTTTGGTATTCATTTTCATTTCATTTTTAACATGGGTATTTATCTCCAAAGCTCAATGCTCACTACACTAGAGACACTACTTACAGCTCTTTCTTCATCAAAAAGTGGGGCTATAATTCTCAGATATCCCTTAATGAGTTCTTTAAAACAAAGAAGGAATAAAAGTTTGTTATTTTTGAAAGAGTTAGCAGAATCTGGTGACTTCCATAATGGCTTATTAGTCACCGTATTATTGGGACATACAGGCTTGGCTTGTACTGCAACTCAGCACAGAAAAAAATCTCTGACAAAAAACATTTGTATGATTGCTACCCCTTGCTTGACAATGTGGGGCATATACTGCTGTCCTATTACTGATTTTCATATTTGTATAAGTCAGACAAACTTAAAAGTTAGCATAAAAGTTAGTGCCCAAACTCTGATCTGAAATAACACGGCAGATGCTTCATCAGATCATGGACTGGTACTCAGTTGTTTCATTTCAACGTAGTAAGAAGGCAGTAAGCATAAGCGAGGAGAAAGCAACACACTGTGAAAGTATCTTCTTACCTTGAAATGTTGCTGCACCATTGGAGACTGCTGTTGCTTGAGGAAGAACTGTTCTCAAAAGAAAGCAGCCCTGAAGTAGGAAGACTGGGAAAAAGTAAGCGAACTTCATCTTGCAAGGATTGTAGTTATCATTTACTGAGACTTGAGGACAAATTTAAGGAAAAAAGAGAGGGAGCCCAGGACTCAGAGGGTGACAATTATCACCTAGTTTGCAATTATTATTAAGTTTCTGCTCTGTCCCTGAGTTTCCAGAGAGTGGAAGGAGAAAGGAAGGGAATTAAGAAGAGGCGGCGGCTTGGATTTGCAGGAGCTGGAGCTCTCCTTCCAGGAGGGAGGGAACATAACAGTAGTGTCAGATTCGGCTGAACTGCAGCACTAGCTAGTGAGTCATGAAACACACCAGCCCATTTTGAAGTCTCCCTTCTCTGAGTTCAGTTTTGCCACTGCCTTCTTCAAATATGGCTGTGCTCCTCATACTAAAACGTAATTTAGCTCCATTACAAAATTATTGCTGCCTGTCCTCATATGCTTGCAACTGATTAATGGCTCACAATGCAGAAACACACGTTAATTCATGTTTTTGTATAACGGCTGACTCTAGTGTCCAATGAAATATTCAGGATATGAAGGGGATGTTTAGATGGCTAACAAGTAAAGATGAAAAATGAGCAGAGTTGTATCAAATGGGTATCTAATATAATAGAGTTGAAGCCTCTTAAGATATAATAGAGTTGAAGCCTACAAAGTTGGTCTCTTTGTAATTTTGCTCTAGATACATTTGGTAAACTGCATTTATGTTCTAAAATCTATTGTTATTAGGACCAACAGAATTATCAAAAAATCTGTCAAGCTTCTGAGTTCTCCAGAACTCTGCATCAGGTGTGACATAAAGCAGGTGTTGGTGATGCTTTGTGGAACATCTTACCGCATGAAGGTCCCCACCGTCTCTGTTGCATTCCTCCCCGTTGCTCTTTCCTTCATTGCATTAAGCCTGAATAAATTGGAAGGCTTTCCCAAGCATGCATTGCAGTCTTGTTTTCCCTCTCTTCCCCAAAATGTCCCCTGACTCATTTTTAGTCTTCCTCTCAACTGTTATGCTATTGCAAATAAAATGAAGGTATTTACAACAAATTGTGTAAATCAAGGCCTTTGTGTAACTTTGTATCTGCAACTAATAAAGTAATATCTGCATGGTTAGTACAACTGAATATGCTCATCGCAAATGGTGGGAAAAATGGCCCTCTTTTGGTTTTAAAATGTGGTAGTTTTCCTATACGCGAACTTCATATTCATGCTTCTTGTCCAGTTCTTTTAACAGCCGTTCCCAGCAAAGCTCTTCGGCTTTGCCTCATTGCACCACTTATTTGCTTGTCCCAACTCCACCCTTCTAGCACCAGTATGGGGTTTTCCCAAGAGAGACCTTTCATCCGAATCTACTGAATGGTAAATGTTAAGTTGTGGGTGAACATATCAGACGACACAGCGATTCTTCAAATAGCTCTTGTTTATTCACAGAACAGAACTGAACTGAAAGGTTCAGCCAGCCTGCTTATATAGAGCTCCAGTACAATGTAACAGTAACCACTTTCTGTAACTATCCAATCACTGAATGTCACTTTCAATCCCTTATTTGCATATGTGGACCTGAGTGAAAACTATCTACAGTATCCCCGTGCTGGCCCAGGGTGAGAACCTCAGTACATAACAGTAAAAGCTGAGAAGATAAAAGTTTATTAACCCAGCACAACAAGAAAGACTTCTAAATGGTCAACTCTTGGGGATTTCAGTTTTCACTGATAAATGGTTGACAGTAATGATCCCCACTTAGAAATGAAAAGGAATGAGTTAATCAAAGTAAATGGGGCAGGAGTCTGAACTTTTAGTGTTGACCCACTCAGATCGGTACCCAGGCAGTGATGGAGATGCAGCAAGAGCTTAGCTCTCTGCACGGTTTACCACATGAAGTAGGTGAGCACAGTGAGTGGACCTGTGCATTTACTGTAAACAAATTTAAATTTAAGGACTTGTTTAGAGGCCACCCCTCCTACCCAATGTGGAGTGATGGCCCGGGACTCAACATTACCTGGGGAGCCTCCGCTTATAGACATCATAACAAAGGTGGCAATGGTGTGAGGAGCCACACAACTTTGGAGTGGGGCTGGGCTGAATGTGTGGCCCTGCAGCCCTGACCACTGGGTTGACTCTCTTCATTCATTCAAGTAACTCATGAAGAGGACTTGCATCAGCATATGTGTTATTTCAAATATCCTGCTCTGCAATTGGATGCACCTGCCTTGTGCTGAGGGGGGAGACAATAGGTCCCAGCATAGCCACTGCAGGATTGGCTCCAGTTTGGCGGTTCCTTTTTCTCTATACAGGCAGCCCCCCTTTATGTGCATTCAAAATGTGCATGACTGTGTATACATGCATCACACCCAACCTGGAAGTGACCCAGAAACGTCATAAAGACGTCACTGAAACGTCACTAAAAGGGCAGAATTGGGGTGGGGTGGGGCAGGGCTTTTTGCAGGTTTTTTCAATGGGTTTCAATTATACACAATTTCACTAACATGCCTGGTGCCTGGGAATGTAACTCCCACGTAAATGGGGGGTTGCCTGTATTTCAACCAGGGCTGAGGCAAATAGCAAGATAGCAACTCCCTTTCCATAGATAAAAGCTGATCAGACCAGCAGTTGGGTTTTATTTCTGCACTGGTGACACCGGTATTTCACCTCCACTCCCTCCTGCCTGAAGTGGCCTCCTCATTCTGCCTAATGGTAGGGCTGGCATTGATTTCCGCTCTAGTTCAGGAATGGGAAGAGGGAATCTGCATTAACAGGATCCTGGCCCCACCCCCCAAAATCCCAGCTGGTTTCTTAAATATGAACTAGGCTTTAGATTTTCATTACAACACACCAACAGACCATCCCAGAAAGGGTATTGTGTTTCCCCTCTTTCCTTAGTGAAGCTTTAGCAAAAAGTTTCTTGCGCAAAACAGTTGCCTCTTTATTACTGGGAAAAAAGAAGTAGTGGAGTTAAGGAAACTTTGGTCATTTTAAAACGTCTTCATGGCTGCTTTGAACAGTACAAACTGGAAAGGAGTCAACTGTCTACTAAAGCCTAATGATAATGGTATGGCTTTTGCCGTTCATCTTTGACTATATATGGGAGTTGTTTCACATCTGGAAGGAATCAAGGACACATGCTTTCCTGGCAGCCTTGCAGCTGGGCCAGATCCCAGCTGCTCGGAAAGGAAGACTTTTCTGGAGGAAAGAGCAACAGCACCCCCTTGGCTGCCGGGCGTGGATCTGCAGCTGGTTTCGTAAGAGCAGGCAAGCTCTCAAGGGGTCTCTCGTTTCTCCAAAAAATTTCTGTGCATCAGAAAAACGGAATCACTGAAAGCAGCTACCTTTTAAGGGCTGGAACTGTGCATCTTTTCCACAGAAGCATTGTTTCCTGAGAAAAGCACTTCCCCCATCCAGAACCTAAATCCAACATTAACAGCATTAAAGAAATATATTCTGTAAAGCAAGGGTGTTCGTGTAGTGGCATTTTCACTTATACACTGATGGTAATAATTAAAGAAACATAGTTTCATGTTGCAAAATACATGAGAATGATGAAACAGAACTGACTTCTGGGGGGCTGGGGCTGCATGTGAAAAGGGAGTGGCATTTCAAGAGGAAAGGAAACTTAAATGATGGTGTAGCCCACCCTTGTGGGGAGGAAAGTATTGCATGCTGGAATGGAAGACCAGAAGTCAAATGGAAAGATGCATTCCATACTCAAGCGCCACCGTTGAGGAAAGATGCAGGAAACAGCCCACCCTCCCAGGCATCACTAAGCCCTGTGAGCTTCACAAGGGGGTGGCAGTATGGATTTCAGGGCTGCAGCCAGGGCAGAGTGGTGATGTGCAGCCCAAGGACCCAAAGAGAAGAAGTGGGTGAGGCAGATGCAGCTTACTGTCCTGCCCCCCACAAAAAACCCCCCCACACGAGCAGAAGCTCTTAACTTTTACGTAAGAAATATTTAAAAGAAGGACAGGCTCAGCAGCAGACACAAAGCTCAGGAGTTCAAGAGCAGAACAAGAAGTTCAGAGCTGGGTGAAAACAATGGAGATGCCCCAATAAGTCTCCACCTCCTGCCCACCAGGTTTTCAAAGATGAGGCATGGTGCACTCACTCACTAGACTCGCACGCCTTACAGGGATGTCGGAATTGCAAATGTGTGCTCCTTCAGAGGGGTCCTCTTCTCATTTGCAAAGGTGGCACCCCTAAAGAGTGAGCAGACTGCACCCTCCTATCTGGCGCCTGTTCAGCCATTGCCACCTCTGGTTCTGGCTCCCTTCTTGTCTGTTTCATGCAGGTGGGGCAGTAGGGGGGCATGACAAATGGCTTCCTGCTCCCTCTTCCCAGGCTATGGAAGTTGAAGTGGAAGGGGAAGAGCCCTCCTTCTCAGGCTCTCACCATTCAGCTCCCCACCCCAACGTTTCCTCCTCCTCCTGGGTCAGAGCCTGCCAACTAAAGCCTGATTCTGACAGCACCGTGGGGCTCATGGTGCTGACACCACTGATTTGTCTCCAGAGTCATTCTGGGAAAATTAAGATGGTGGCTGCAGCATTTCTTTTTTTAAAGAGACGTTTTTAAGGAGGCTGGCACCAACAGAGATGAACCCTCTGCTTCCCTTTGGAGATCCATCAGCATGCTTATTGGGTAGTAAGTTTCAGTTAACTCAATGCATCTTTTTGTTGTTGTTTAGTCATTTAGTCGTGTCCGACTCTTTGTGACCCCATGGACCAGAGCACGCCAGGCCCTCCCGTCTTCCACTGCCTCCTGCAGTTTGGTCAAACTCATGCTGGTAGCTTCGAGAACACTATCCAACCATCTCGTCCTCCGTCGTCCCCTTCTCCTTGTGCCCTCCATCTTTCCCAACATCAGGGTCTTTTCCAGGGAGTCTTCTCTTCTCATGAGGTGGCCAAAGTATTGGAGCCTCAGCTTCAGGATCTGTCCTTCCAGTGAGCACTCAGGGCTGATTTCCTTAAGAATGGATGGGTTTGATCTTCTTGCAGTCCATGGGACTCTCAAGAGTCTCCTCCAGCACCATAATTC